CTTCAAGGCTCCGTGGTAGCTCGCAGTGGCAACTGAGGCAGCTCAGCATGTGCTCCATGAGCCTTGTTGTCCAAGGAAGAGCTCTGTTGTCACTTAGCGTGATGGAGAGCTCCTGTATGAAGAGCTGCCTCCATAGTGATAACTTCTTCAAGGAGTACTCAACATCTGGTTCTCAAAGTCGGTGTAGGTGCTCGTCAGCAGTGACTCGTTGACAAACTTCGAAGTACACCGAATCATCAGGTGTCGCCATTTGATCAAATAGTTGCTCAAGTTGGCAACAACATCAAGTTGCCTCCCACTCAACTGGTTACACATCTGTTGAACTTGAACAAGGCTGTGGTCCTCATTAGAAATCAATTCCCGTTGTTAGCACGTTAATTTGATACCAATGTAGTTAAATAACCTTTCATTGAGCTGATTCAAAGAGAGGTGTTTGGCCATTTGTCTGAAGCTCATCATTCCAATGGATTCCATCAATGCTTCGAGATCTCTAACACGCTTTAAGGTCACTTCGCCATCATAGGCATCCAAAAGGTTCTGTGCCTTGACTTGTATCCACTCCATCATGCTGAATACCGGTGGTATCACTTGTTTAGCCCTATCCGGTGGTACTGTATCATTGTTTGAAGCTGTAAACATGCTGTACAGCTTTTCAATGAACTCTTCAAATGTCATCTCATACCAAAACCAATCGTTATCATTTGACAACCTTTTCTCACTGGATACGATTTGTCTCTCCATGGTAACTTTCGTCCATATGTTTATCTTCAATTGTAATTTAGCATATCCATCGTCATGAATATTGAGATGATTTTGCAATGCCAGTTCACTCTCAGGGACATCAACAACATGTAAGAGTATCAGATATGATCTGACTAAGTGGTAGTGGTGTAATACCAACGACATCGACAGGTATGCTTCCCAGCAGTTGAGAAACCTCAAATGCGTCGAATAATGTTGAGCGTTCGAGCCGAGAATTAGACACATGAACGCAACCAGCGATTCGCTTGACCTTATCAGGAGCTTTCTGTATATGAATGAATAGAATTCATTATCATCGTAGTGCAATTTCTTCAGATTTGGAAAACTATACCTTGAGACTGACACCTGATCAACGTTGGTGTTGTATATGCGGTCCCAGGGAGGGCTCGTACCTCAATCCGATATTACCAGTAGGCACAGTGATTAGCATCTCTTCATGGACAGTCTGAAGCTTGTCTTGGGCACTGAATAGACTCGAAGTAACGCTTTAACGTTACTCAGCATCCAGGTGTCTTGTACTATTCATTGCATAGAGTCGATCGGAGTGTATTTCAACTCTTCCAACGACTTATTGAAAACCGACAATGTCATATTGTTCTTCAAGAACTTCATATACAAGAGCTTTGTAGTTGCTCGTGTTCTCCTTGCGCCGTTGAAGGCTCTTCAACATCGCGTGCATCACCATTCATGAAAATGTGCCATTTCGTTCCTCTTAGAAAGTCCACGAGACAGCAGAAAGATAATGATTTCTTTAAAAGAGCATGAACGCACTCCTTGTGTGTTTGTCTATTGAGATGCGACAAGACACTTGATGAGCATGTTACGCTCACCGTTGTTGTCACAGTCGACAGACAAGTAGCACGCAGTACAATGGAAGGTGGCCAGAGACAGTTTGTCCTTTATTGTCCCACATGTCTTACTCGTGTACTCGTCAGTCCTTCTCGAGAGCCGTGTCCCTGTGACTTGACATTCGAAGGCCAAATGCTGGTGGACTAGGGAGAAACAGAATGACCTGGAGAACAAGATGTGACAATTTACCACTGTTTTTGGAGTGGATGTCCGATGAACTTAGCGATGCGTTTGGCGGTTACATGCGTGTCCGGGGAAAGTGGTGAAGACACACGCGTCTTCCCGCTGCGTGCCTGACGCGTGGTGAGCGGATGATTTATCACTGGCTCATGATGATGAGAATGTCTGGTCTCTTCCGGATTCGATAGTAGACAATACGAGCGAGATAAGGAGCTTTTCAAATGTCCGTTGTATGCTTTGTGAAAATTCACTATGGGAAGGGCTTGAATCGCCCATATCGGACACTTTTCCTGCTACAAATCAGTTTTGCTGGCATTTTGCTGTGCCTTCTCGTGCCCTGACAGCAGTTTTACATTTGGCGCAAAAGTCTACAAAAGTCTACAAAAGTCTACAAACTACAAAAGTCTACAAACTACAAAAGGGCACCTTTTCGGCAACAGTTGGAACCCGTTCAATCACCGGAGACGCGCTGCACAACTTTGAGGGACATGCCGGGGTTGAGTGCTTCCCTTCCGACAATTCATACCCACTGCAGTTCAAATACATCTCGTTTGAAGCCGTGCGTATCGCCAGTACCAGCTCAGCCTCCATGGATGAGCATTGATGTTACGGGAGTAGAATTATGGCTCCAAACTTCTTTTATCGGCAATTGGAAGCAAACACCTTATCGCAGTTTTACGAGGCAGGCCCGCTGCTGCCTTTGTGCAGACACAAAATAAATTGTGGCTAGTATGTGGAGGGCTTGTAGACTTCCGCATTAGGTAATTCTAAAAAAACAGTAAGATAATTGTCCATTATATATTTCTTGGGTCTCTGTCTCTATTATATAAAGCACCATTAGTCTATTTAAGAGTCCCGTGTTGTGCTCAGTTGCGTTTCCTCTTGAATGACAGTAGCCTACTCCTCCATCTGTTCTTTTGAGATGGGCTTCTCTCACACTTGGTGCCCTTGTTATCTAATTCTGTCAATGAACAGGTGTGTAGTCCGGCCCCCGTGCTGTCATATAAGTGATTGAAGCTTGAATCTTGTGATATTTCAGACTCAGAGATTGTCATAGGAACTGATCCAACGGTAACAGGGTTGGTCATGACCCTGGTAGTGGTGGTGCTGGTGTTCGTGGGGGTCGTTCTCCTCGTTAGCTGTGTCGGTACTTTGTCGAATGATGTGTGTAGTGCAGAGCTCGTTATCGAAGACGGAGAGCTGGCAATGGGATGCAAGTCCTCGCAGTCTGATTTCAAAGATTCATCCTTGGATAGGAGGTCCTCCTGCTCTGATAGAAATTTGTAGTAGATATTCTCTCTTAGAAGCTGCAGGACAATGTTCTTCGCAGGCAACAGAACCATTGGCGAATGGTACAGCACTTTCTCGTTGTGTGCCTCTTGTATCAAATCGTTATATATGTCATCGGGCAAATTGATCTCATATGGAGAATCCCTCGAAACATACGTGTGGATGATTTCTCTGAACTTCTTCTCCAGTTCATTTTTTAGCATCTCTCTTTCTTCTCTTTGCTTTATAGATTCGTTGTATTCCAACACACTTTCCTGGTCACCATTCGAAGTGGAAATACTCAACCGTGGGATATTGGTTAAGCCGACGTTCATGGAGCTGTTATGGTTCTCAACTTTACATAGACATTCCTCCTCTGTATCGAAATACGAAGGTTTGAACAGCTTTGACCAATTCGAGGGAGATTTATGAATATGCTCATGTTCTTGTTCGTACTTCATCGCGTCTTTACCCATGGGCGACATCTGCACTATAGATTTGGTATCTATATCATCGGCAGACAACACCAGTTCAGGCAAAGTTAACTCGTTAACCAGTTTGGAGATATCCTCGTTATTGAAAGATTGTACCATATCAAAGCTGGTGTTATCTTCAGATTTGTCTAGTTGTTCTTGTTCATCTTCGGGTTCCTCTGCAATGGACATGTGTCTTCTGAACTTTGATGAATTATTTGTGTGAATAGTGGCAACGCTGTGCTTCCGTAGTTGTGATGCTTCGTCTTTACACTTCAATATCGAATACTGTCTCTTGAATATCTTGTTCCAAATCTTTTCATAGTGGAAGATTTGGATGAGGAATTTGAGGTTCTCTATGCAATGTGACGATTTGATGTAATCTTCAAACTTATCGTATGTGAAATAACCATCTCTCTGGAACCCATGCGCACTCTCAGATGACACCCCTAAGGCACCAGATGAGTATCCACTTTGGCTTAACCGACGCTCAAGCGTCTTGTTCAATTTGGCATAGTAATCTTCACAGCATTGGTTCACAAGACACTCCAATGAGGGCACTTTGTCCCTGTTTGGCATTCTGGTGAAATGTTTGGCAGCTCACGTCGATGTCTCTCACGATCTTGGTCTTCAACAAGTTGATCAGACGGTGATCAGCTTCGCTCTTCTAAAAAGGTCTTGGATTTACAACCACTTAAATGTGAAACAAGAAGAGAAGACCAAACACTGAAAAAAAAAACAATAAAAAGTCGTCACATATGTGATTTACTGACCACAGTTTCTACGGTTAGTTTATGCAGGAGAAGGACAGGATAAAAAAATAGAAGCAAAAAAAAGAAACGAGATGCATACAGGCAACTCATGGAAACGAAACACTTTTCGCAAATTGGCGAAAACTACATCACAGTTTTAACCAAAAGGGGCACAAAAAAAAGAACGCAAAAACGCAAAAGTGAAATAATTTCAAAATTGTGGGCAAATCTAGTCATCGACACTTCTACACCTTGTGAGTTTACGATATGGAGGGGACATAGGAGAAAGTGAGGTGTGCATAGCGTTTATCCTTAAGTATTAGTGTATGGTGAGATGCAACAATAGTGGTGGGCTGCTGGTCCCGAAGTGACAATTTTGGGGTGAAGCGGCAATACAGTAAATAAACGACAAAAGAAGCAGTTACAACCAAAGCGCTTAAAGGTCGTTGACATTGCGCGCTTGTTCTATGCCACACGTCAACGTCTGTCGGTTTCCACAAGATCAGCATGTTCCTTGTTCCGTAAAAAATTGTCACACCAAACAAGACAAACTCTAAAATATCGAACGATAAAAGCAACACAGAAGTGCGAAACAGAGTTTTCGGTTCGCTGCTTTTCTCGCCAAGTTTGCGGCTAGGAACAGGCTTCTAGAAGAGTTAGAATTCCAATTCTCCACGCATGACTTTTTCTCTTATTATATGAAAGCCTCTCCTGTGTCTTCTCCTGCTTTTTGCGTATTTTTTAGCGTGTGTTGCAGTGTGTTTGAGTCTATGCAAGTGTGTTCTCAACACCAAGCAGAGTTCTAACCCCCCCCCTTTCAAAAACTGTTACAGCTGGTTGCGCACCTGATTCGTGCTCCCGGTTATCAACATGATCACGTCTTATAACTTCAGTTTGAGTGCAAAGCTTTATTTGTTGGGAAACTGTTTCATTCATTGAGGCTTAAACCGATTGGTCCCGGTATCTCCAATGCATACCAACAACCCTACCAATAGCAATGACTATTTTACGTACATACGCCCAGCAGATACACAAGTCGTATGAACAACAACAAAGAATGCTGGAGAAGTTGTTACGCGCCCAAAGAGTTAAATTAATGTTAAAACACGCCATGTAACTGTCACAACACCATGTGTTGATACGCAAGGCTTGTCAATTACGCAACTTAAAAGTCTCTCCGCAGATCTACGCTCAAGCGCTACATGTCCATATGGAAATTGGTCTTGATCACAGTAAAAATGCGGTTCTAACGGCGACCACTTCCTCCTCCTCGTGTAAATCTTCGTGATCATCAATGTCAGACAACTCTATTTGGTGATCAAGCAACTCTACTTGGTCATCGACAATCTCATCTCTTTTATCATGAGAACGTTTCCGATGGATAGGTCTGTGAGTGTTATAAACACGTGTCTGTGGGGCCCACCAAGGTCTCGGTTCATCTCTTGTCTCGTACCAATACGGCAGGCAGCTCTCGAAACTGCCCCAGTTGAAGTCCTTTGAAAGCTCACAGGTGCACCGGAGCTCAATTCTCTTTTCGCCGTCACGTGGACACTGGGAATTCGGAACATGGTAATAGCCGGTGTTGTCGAAATAAAACACCTCCTTCTGATCCAGCATGTAGGAGACAGCTAGTGTGTGCACTGGAGCGTCTCCCCATCTTTCGTAAAAGAACCCTCCGGATTCTTCCAAATGGTTGAAATAGTCGTTGTATTCCTTGGATCTTAACCAATCGAGGTCTCCAAGTTCAAAATTTGACCAGTAATGGCACATGTTAAAGGACTCCTCGTTATCCTGACTGATGAATTCAATTTGATTGTTCTCGTTGATATATTCAGGGTGTAAATCTCTAAAGAATTTTTTCGTTTCACTGAATAGCCCATCCACAGTGGCTGGCAGTTCGTGTAGAGTCATTGTGAACCCGTACTTTAGCTTGTTCTCTCTCATATGTTTGAAGTAATCAAAATCCAAATCACAATTGAACTTGATATCCGGCTCAACTCGCCAGTAGTACTTGTACTTGGCCAGTGCATCTAGCTTGTAAAAAAATCCAGAATTGAAGCGGCACATAAACCTATAGCTCTCCGAACCACCGTATATGATACCATGCTTTTCCATCCTTTCACGAGTCTCTAGTGCCTTCTTTTGATCAATGTGTGGAGGATAAGACCACATCTCCTTTGGAATCGTCACAAAGGTTGCTTCACCGCTAACCAAGTGGGAAACCTCCAACTTGAAGTTCTCATCGAACTCCTCGTCGTTGGCAAAGACCCATGGATAATGGTATCTCCAGTTGAACCTGCTCTCAACGTACTCGATGGACTGTAGCAGGGAGTATAGCTCTTGGTTTCGAACCAGGGTGAAGAATGTGGCATTCTCAAGGGGATAATCGTCCCCCATGCCCGCTAGCTCGCCATACTGTCTAAAGTCAGATAGGTTCTTCTCCGGTATGATGCGGAACTCGGTGTAGTTCTCCTTCGTGTAGTGATGGTTAGGGTACAGGATCTGTAGCACCTTCAGCTCTAGTGCCTCCTGTATATAGCTAACAGCGGCTCGATGCCGGTTTGTCCGTATCATGAACCCGGTCCAGGAGATCACCAGGAGCGCTGAGAAGCCGAGAATGAGACCTCGAGTACGTCCACGTACCATCGCTATGTCCTGCCAGAGTACGTTCAATAAGACCGGGACTGCTAAGCAAGAGTACGAGTGTTGAGCAAGAGACCAAGCGCTGAGCGAACCTCCGCTGTCAAGTGTATTTATCCGGCCCTCTTCACAGGCAAAGGTGGAATCAAACCAGTGAACTAATACCCATGAGGGCTCAATGTTGTTTATACATAACACCGAGCTTTCAAAATGGTGTAGCGCTTAGGCTGGCGATCGGAGTGTGTCTTTATCAATTGGATTGCCGGTTTAGTCCGCTTTCACGCTCTCCGCCACGCCTAAACGGAAATCTTCCGGTGTGAGCGTCTACACGGTTGTTGCTAGAGCTACTGTTCACTTCCTCAGTGTGATATATACGGTTTTATACGGTTTAGGGACCGGCTCCGGGGGATTCTTGTGTTGCCGTGGTTCCCAAGCGCTGCTCGCTAAAGGGAACGTTTAAGAGAGAAAAGTAACCGCGGAAACGAGTATCTGCTGGTACGGGCACGCACATAATGTCATCGCTATCTTTGCTTACATCGCTTACACAGTCCACTCTGTCGTTGTACTTTGGCATACCCAATTGTACCAATACAGGCTCTGCTTCATTGTAGAGGCCCTCTTGGTATGTATGGGTATCAGTGCTGCTTAAATCAAGAATTTTTGTATGGTTTTAGGTACTTTCTCCTGCTATCTGTTCCAGCTACTTAGTCTCAATCAGCAGCTTGGACAGGATGAGTGTATTAGGTTAATTGATGAGAGGAATACCACCATCCACCCGATTTCAAGCGTATAAAAACAATAGTAAAGTTGTCCCCAGTGTACTCCTGAAAGCTCTTAGATGATTTCACCCTTGTATATCGGGCTTAGCTCCCACAACACTCCATGACCAGCTCTTCCAAACCAGCAATGATGACTTTACGCTCTTTGTTAAAGCTCACAGCTATGGTGCCGTCATGTCTGGCATCCCTCGCTGTTTACTGGGGACAGGCTGAGAATGACAAGCAGCAGACAGACCTGCTCTTCTACTGCTCATCACAAGCTGTTGACACCATAAACTTGGCCTTTGTTTCCAGATTCGGCCAAAAGTACATCGACGAGGACAACAGCGATGGCTTTGTCCTGAACTTGTCAAACATGTGCACGCAGTACAATGATTATCGTTATTCCTGTCCCAAGGTGAATAGGGACATCAAAGAGTGCCAAAAACTGGGTAAGAAGATTGTCATTTCAATCGGAGGTGAGGACAATTCCAATGAGAAGTATGGCTTCATCGACGATAATGAAGCAAAACGCTTTGCGCATATCCTTTGGGACCATTTTGCAGAAGGCCATTCAGCAAATAGACCCTTTGGAGACGCCATTGTCGATGGCTTCGACTTTGATATTGAAACTAGGGATCAGACTGGCTATTTGGAGCTGGCCAATGAGCTGAAGAGTATAGTGGAACTCAACGGAACCAAGGACTACCTCTTCACGGCTGCACCTCAATGTGGTTTGAATGAACGTGACATGGAGCAGCTGCTGGATAACTTTGAAATGGATAGGCTATACATTCAGTTCTACAACAACAAGGATTGTGAATTACTGTCTGATGGCTTTAACTACTACGATTGGGCAAATGAAGTGATTTCCAGAGGTCATTCCAGTACAAAGCTATACATCGGATTACCTTCAGCTTCTAAGGCTGCTTCGTCAGGATTCATAAAAGATGTGGGTCGATTACAGGACGTTTGTAAAGACATTCTTGCTGATAGTCGAGTTAATGAAACCTTTGGTGGACTGATGTTTTGGGATGCAAGTCGTGGATTTGACCTCTATGAAAGGGACTCTCGAGATTCCAGCTATATCTTCCGTGCTTGGTCTGCTCTCAATGCGTTGTTTGGAGAAGGTCTAGGCTCTGGTGTGACGATGACCAACGATACAGGTGGACAAACTGTAGACAATGGTTCATCCACCACTTCTACACGGAACGGAGCAGGGTTTATTGTGAGACAAAATGTATACGCATCTTTTAGTTACTTGCTTATTTTGATCTCATTCATATTCCAGTTGATTTAAATGGGTTAATTCTAATATTACCAACCATCTTTCAACTATTACTGTACTCTTTTCGAATCCTCTTTGTCTCCCTCGCTTATTGTATCAATCCCAATTCCATCTCTTTACTTGGTTGGTTCCAAACAATTTTGGGTATTACAATTGAGAGCATTGTCTATGATACAGTTTCCATTATTTGATCCATAAGGTGCAACACCACCTTCTCCGTTGACGGACGAGGTTGTTGTGGAGCCCAGTGCATCTGATGAGGCTTGTCTTGTGAATTTCCCCGACGCAATCTTGGTGAACTGTTGATAAACCTCTGCAGAGATGTGATCCTTACCTGTAAACTCTGGCTGCACTGTAGCAGAGTGGATACCATAGTTGTGTAAGATTGCACGAATCTCAGAAGCAATCACCAAGAACACTTCTGGATTTGAGTCCACTTCTACGTGCAACGAAGCGATGAAGATATCCTCCGTCAAGTTCCAAATGTGGAAGTCGTGTACAGATTTGACACCTTCCAAGTTCAGAATATCTCTTTGGACCTCATCAGCAGATACGTCTGTTGGTGTGGCTTGAAGCAAGATTCTTGATGCTCTACGGCACAGAGGTAGCGCAGAGGAGAAGATGATTGCAGTGATGAGAAGAGAGACAAGAGGATCCGCATAGTACTTCCAGGAATAATCCGTTTTCCAGATGAAGAGAGCAGTGACGATAACACCCACGTTACCAAGGGCATCGCCCAGTACGTGGAGGAAGACACCGTGCATGTTCAAGGACTTTCTCTTCTTCTGCGGCTTCAAGTCCTGGTCGTCATTGTGTGAATCTCCGTGCGAGTGTGAGTGTGGCTCGTTTACAGCAGCGGAAGAGGAGGAATGTGCCTCTTCACGGGCACTGCCACTGCCTGCCAGAAGAGAGGATCTCTCGTCGTATCTCTTCACGACGGTTTCTGGCAGCAACGCGCCCACAGTGGACTCCTCGTCAATGTCATGTCCATGAGAATGGGAATGTCCACCATGGCCTCCGCCGCCGTGCGAATGGCCATGTTCGTGGAACAGCACGAGGCCCACGATGTTCGAGGCCAGTCCTGCGGACCCCACGTACAGGATCAGCTTCGGGTTCGTGACGATGGCTGGAGATATCAATCTCTGGATGGCCTCGATCAGGATGGAGAAACACAGCGCCAACAGGAACACAGCATTGACCAGCGCACCCAAGATCTCCGCACGCTTCCACCCGTACGTGTAACGGGCATCGGCGTTCTTCGTGGTGGCGACTCTAACGGCCCACAGAGCAATCACCAGCGAGAAGATATCGTTCAGCATATGGAAGGAATCAGCAATGAGGGCCAAAGAATGCACCGCATAACCCACAATGACCTCAAGGAGGAAGAAGATGGTATCGATCACCAGCAGCGCGCCAATACGGATCTCTTTACCGGTAGCCATGATTCAGTACGGGCTATAAGATCGTCGGTGATGGAGCAACAACTAGCAGGCCTTCTTTCTCCACTGCTACTACGGATGAGCTTGCAATGGTTGGTCATAATAACAAAAAGGGGAAGGCAGAGAGGAAGCAAAAATGTATAAAAATTGTGCTGCAGAGGCGAGCGCTGGAAGGGCTGGGCGGGATTTTTGTGGTTCGCACCAGCAGGGAACCAGGCTGGGCTGGGCTGGGCTGGGCTGGGCTGGGCTGGGCTGGGCTGGGCTGGGCTGGGCTGGGCTCTGCGGGCAGCTAGGCAGAGCGCCCAGCCGGGGACTCTGGGCTCAGCACAGCTCCAGGCGGACTTAGGCAGAAGCAGAGCGGTGACGGGCCTTCAACACAACGGCCCGTCCAGGCAGGAAGTGGGCATTGGAAGCTTTAGGCTGGAGAGAAGCCCATTGAACTTTGGCAGAGACAAAACAAAGCGAGCTGATTGGACGCGGGAATGTTGTTTGCGCACACTCGTTGAGTGATTTCGACCAATCAAATGGCCTCAAAGGACCTGCCTGTATCCACTGGTTTTTTGTTGGCTACTTCTGACCTCAAATGATTACACGGTTTGTAACGTATGGACGGCACTGTCCTGATAATTGGTGCTAATTAGGGCTACAAGGCCACACGAGACGAGAGAACGGGCCTGTGCATGTGGATTGATGCCGGTAACTCAACTCTGACACCTTGTTGGTTGTCGGTGATTCAACTCTGACACCTTGTTGGTTGTCGGGGAACCAATTTTAAATTCTTGTACCTTGATGGTTATGTACGGTATCTTTTTTTTAGCTGGCTGGCTTGCGAGGTCTGTTGGTACAATGGGAGCACTGTGCTGATGAGCTGTGCTGATGAGCTGTGATTAGGGAACAATCTTCATCTCATCCTCGTAGAGACGGCGTTGGTTGTCTGTAGATGCGCATTGGTTTGCTCGTAGAGGCTTGGCTCGTGTGAAATAACAATGCAATGGCTCACGTTGGTGCCCTGGAAGGTGCTTACTACAATGATGGCTACGCAGCCACGTCTCCGTTGTATAAGATGTTAGTGATAAAATGTCTTAATCTACCATTCCAATTCGCTTGCCCATCTAACTCCTTTCTTCCCGCGCCTCGAGGGCACTGCTGTAGAAGCATCAACGTCGTCGTTACTGTCCCCATCGTACGGCTTTATCACTTTGGACGGTGAATCGCAGTACTTTTTGTACTGCTCTTGAGAATAGAACCCAATTGTCGAGCCCTTCTTATCCCTGGACCCTCCTTTAACCGTGTATCCTCGCACAAGGGCCACCTTTGCATTCTTTGTGGATTTCCGAGCTCCTAGCATTGCGATCTGTACGAGCTCGTCGCTCCTCTTCGGTAGTTCTACTCCGAGGTCACCGTTAACGGAGTTCAACGCAGTGGCATATCGAGTTGCCTCCGTCAGCAGCCCGCTCTTACAATCAACAACAAGGTTGACATTTGCAGACCCAGGTTCGCAGTCATGGGCACGTCCATATTCGGACTTTAACGCTGGCCGAAGTGGGACATCAACTTGTTTTGGTTGGCACTTGAGCCTATGTGAATCCACATCTATATCTTGGAGACGCTTGGAACGGCGTCTCAGAACTTCATTTGTCGCCATACTCATCAGTACCGGGATCTTGGAAGGGATTTGAGAATGCTCCACCATTTTCTGTGCCATGGGCGATAGTGTGTCAAACTGTGAACTTTGCGATCTTGTTCTCTTGCAGATACTGTTCTCCAACTCTTCAGGCGATTCCTCAGCTTTTCTCTTTTCTGGTGTAGATAGTATACGCTCGTCTTCAATGATGTTAGAGCCGTTGATTCGTTCGGGAAACAGTGGGAACTCCTCGATTTCTTCGCTTTGGTCCCTGCTGTCGTCTGTTGAAGAATCGGATACGTCGATAATGTCTTCTTCTTCTTCTTCTTCTTCTTCTTCCTCAGCATCCCCCGGTTTCAGCACTCGTTCAAGTTGTTTCGAAGTCAAAGACTTCTCAGGTGAAGAGTCTAATTTCAAGGCATTCATTATATTCGCTGCGTCTGCACTCGTATTCACTTGGTCTTCCTTATCAGTCCCATCTTCCCCGGTATCTACCGGAGTTGACGCATCGATTTGCGCTTCCTTCACCTCGTTCTGTAGAGGAGACTCCTCAGTCCGCAGACTGTTCAGTATCAGCTGTTCACCAGCGTAATCATAGGCATCGGGCATCGGTAATGAAAGGTTCAAGTGCGATTCAAGCATGGGAGTGGTAATACGGGTAGCAAAGAACGTCAGTGCACGCCTATCAAAGGATCAATATACCCAAGTCCCAAGGAAGATACAACAGCGTGGTGGTCTAGAACAGTATACGATAACAGTTACAAGCAACCTCGCTCAGAGTCTCCACAGACTTACACGGACTTGCAACCAAATGGAGATCAAAGGTGGAAACCTGTTTATGCTTCGAGACAAAAAGTAAACAAAGGAAATGAAAAGAAAAGAGGGAAAAACAAATGGGAAAAAGATTTTTGTACTGTTGTTGCCCTGGTGAGGCGCCGTGACGGGTTCTCCATGACAATAATGAATTCCGACATGTTCCGATATGTTCTGACATGTTCCGACCTGTTGCTCCCTCGGAATTTGTTGTACCTTTTCCATGAGGAAAAGTGTAACCATGACAACAAAGTGGTTACGTACATGACACTGCGTTATTCACAAAAGGAGTCCTTTGTGTCATTTTTGTTTGTGTGTTGTGGTTGTTTACTCATAAGCTCCTTCCTCCTTCTGTTGAGTTAACTGTTATTGTGAGATGTGACACAAAGTTGACGAGAGATATGGGAAGGCCTCGATCACAACAACCTTGCAATTGTCCTATTCACACCATTGCACTGTAAAAGGACCATACCAATCCACTACAAAACGCTATATAAACACACGTATCAACTCTCAAAATTGCACAATGACTGAACCAGTAAAAGCTGGCGTTATGCTTGACGACTCGAAACAATCTCATCCAGATGCGATCAGCGAGGCTGCCCCTGTTGTTGAGCCCACTTCAGTGACAGAGACGAGAGAGGCTCACGAGCCTGAGGTCCAAGAAACTTCAACAAAGCTGGCTTCTCTTTGGAAGACAAGTATTCACATTCAGAGTTACCCAATGGTTAAGGAGACCATCGATATAGTTCTGGGAATACCGGGTGTTCAGGCCCTTGAGGACTCCAAAAACTCTGTGCTCTTCCCAGTAGATTCCTACATGCACACTCAACCAATGATCAAGCCGATAGTTGAAACCATCGATAACATGGGAGAACTGACATTGAACCTTGTCGATTCCACTGCACCATGCTTGAAAACTGCAACTTTCAACACCGTTGGTGAAGTGGTTATGACACCTTTCGTCGAGTTGGAACAGGCAAAGCTGCAGGCCCTTAACTGGACCAATGAAACCGTTGATAGACACATGTTGGCACCAGCGAGAAGACTGATCCATGATACTCGTTCCTATTACAACAAGCATTTCTACGATACCCACGGTAAGCCACTAGTGAGAGGATCGTTGGATCCTGCAATGAGACTTGTCAATCATACGTTGGAGGAGTTTGCAAAGAATAACCTTCCAGAACCTGATATTCCCTTCAGTACTGATGCCAAAACCGAGGTGGAAAAGACAGTGGTTTTGGCCATGGACATTACCAAGCGTTCTGTCCCAGTTGTCATCTCCAAAAAGGTTGAAGTCATGATGCTGCCATATACCTACAGCAATCATGTGGTTAAAGTATTCAAGAGTAATGTCTCCAAACAAGAATCTGGTTGGTTGAAGCCAATCATAGTTACATACTCCTCCAGCATGGAGTTAGCAGATGAGGCAATGAAGACAACCATGAAGATGCTTACATTCGGAAAGGCCAGCAAGGAGCTGGGTTCTGAAAGCGAACGCTCAGCTCACATTGAGATCGAAGGCCCTGCAATTATCTCACAGCCCATCGAGTCAACACAGGCTACAACCGAGGTTTAAATGGTACAGACTGTCTTCTCTACCGTAGTGGTATCACATTGAAGTTTTTGCCATCATAACTGTATAGTGTGAATCACAACAACGTACTAATCTAATGAATAATCCTTGTAGTTATCGTTGCTGTTGAATATGGTCTTCAAGTACTTTACAGCATCATCACTGGCACCGCCAAAGTATATTAGGGCTCCGAATATTTTACATCACGTGCCATTCCCTCGGGCTGCACAACCCTCTGTGACTTTCAAGATTTTGAGAATGTGTCCTGTACCAGATACCATTCATGAGTGCCGTCCAACCCTCGAAAAACCACGCAGCGCTGCCAGCGGAAACAGTACACAAACACCCGAACACCTATACATTTGTCGCTGTGCGTTGGTGGGAACAAACAAATTTGAAGTGAAAAACTGGCTTTTCAATACCAACAACATTAACGAAAGAAGAGGTATCCACCTAGATCAATCAGCCAAAAAGTATGTTATAGAATAGAAAGAAGGATAAGCTGATGGTGCAAAGTCAATGAGAGAGGACAGGATAATATTCGAGAGACTTCATGGTGTAGATAATGACCACATTGTCTTTTACCGTGCTGTATATGGGTTCTTACTATGAAGAGGTGTGCTTTTTCAAAGAGTCACCATGAAGGTGGTGTAAAAACACAGGTCTATGGCTCATAGTGTGTCTATGTGACTTGAAGGGACTGAGCATATATCAAACCATGTGTTACGAATTGAGGAATCGTATTTTAAAAGCATGGAACCGCAAGAGCGTGCCTCTTTATTCACACAGGACCCGTCATCATGCTGAATAACACCTTCTATCCCATGTTCCTCCCTTGTCGATGCATCCATCTCTAAGCGTTTGAGTCTTCTCTTCGGAGCAGTGTACTAACAAGTCAAACACAGTGTCTCGTCTTACTGAGTACCAAGTTATTGGTCGTCGTCTCCCAACTGAGTCCGTTCCAGAGCCAAAGTTGTTCCGTATGAGAATCTTTGCTCCAAACGTTGTCGTTGCCAAGTCCCGTTACTGGTACTTCCTCCAAAAATTGCACAAGGTCAAGAGAGCTTCTGGTGAGATTGTCTCTGTCAACGTTATCTCTGAGGCCCACCCAACCAAGGTTAAGAACTTTGGTATCTGGATCCGTTACGACTCCAGATCTGGTACCCACAACTTGTACAAGGAGTTCAGAGACGTCACCAGAGTTGGTGCCGTTGAGACCATGTACCAAGATTTGGCCGCTCGTCACAGAGCCAGATTTAGATCTATCCACATCTTGAAGGTTGTTGAGCTTGAAAAGACCGAGGATGTCAAGCGTCAATACGTCAAGCAATTCTTGACCAAGGACTTGAAGTTCCCATTGCCACACCGTGTCACCAAGACCAAGGCCATCTTTGCTCCAAAGAGACCAACCACTTTCTACTAAATGGAGTGAAAAGTGTTGAAGAGGTGTTGTATAGGGGATTGTTGTGTTTTTAATTTTACATCGGTTCTGGATTTACAAGAGAATGTATAATGAAAATGATCCATAAAATCATACTAGCTCAATGTAGTTCTGTCTATATATTATGCCATTATTATTATATTTATTTGAAAGATGGCTAGGCCTTTTGTTTGGTCATCAAGAGAGAGGTGAGCTCACTTGCGGAAGATGTAGATCACAATGTAAAAGAAGATACTTGATAGCACTGGGATTGTAAAGTTGTCATCCCAGTTGAACAGGTCAATACCTTCTGATAAAGCAGCGATGAACCCTGCAAGGATACTCATCGTGTGAATGTTCAAATAACTTGTCTCTGGGGTCCATAGTATGGATCCTGGAGCGTTAAACTGCGAATAAGTTGGCACGATATAGCCGTACAAGATATAACTTGAAATCACACCGATTGCAAAGGCAGCCATTGAACCAGCCAACGATTTGTTTCTTGCAATCTTTGGGGTCAGGTGACCCCAAGCACGACCACATGTCGAAGCAGCAGTATCTGACCAACTCAATAACAACACTGATAAGACTGCGATATCCTTAGTGGTGAATGAAAATGCGAAATCCAAGCCTAAGATGTACCATATCACCCCGTTGAAGCCATGGACCTCCTTCTCTCTCATTAGAAACCCGACAACTTGGCAATACATGTAGTTAAACGTCTTTGAGTAGAATCTGATAAGATCCAGCAAAGTAATCACAATGAAGGCAACGTGGAAGTACTTCGGGAACAGATTGATCTGCACTCCTTGGGTCCACAGGTACAAAGTGATGAACCCTATAGAGCTGTGGAACACCTTACGAGGAATCTCGTGTTTGCGGATGTAGTCACCAAAGACGTGATGGGCAGTCAAGAAATCGTTTCCCAACGATGGCGAGTTCGGTCTCTTCACCAGCGGCCCAACGTAATCGTTGGCAACTGGCACAGCCAACGAATCTGCGCTCGTTGGCACGGACTTGTCACCTTCTGCCGTGTCAAAGAGCGCATCATCGGACCTTGACGACGACGAGGTGGAAGGAGCAGCCAATCCGCTCTCCTCTACCGTCTTCTCATTCGCTCCACGCTCTGCAACACGACGTCTAGCGCTCTGGCTGGGCAACGCGCTTGTAGACATATCCTCAGCGCTTCGGGAGAACAGTAGGTAAACAACAGGTAAACAACAGGTAAACAACACGAGTCTGTGAACGGTTAAAGACCCTCACAACAAAATACCGAGACGGAGCGCACACTCGAAGAGTTTACACCTTGGTCAGCTGACGTGATTCTTCGCGTTCGAACAGTCTCAGTTGTTTTTTTAACTGAAAGATGGTTGCTCTGTGAAGCTTTTGATGCCAAATACGCCTTCCGTGTTGTTTATGTCGCAGTGAAAACTGCCGTGGAATCAGAAATTTATCCTCGATGAGGGAGGAAAAACAGGGGAAAAAGCAGCGAGAGGCCGCGAGAGGCAGCGCGAAGCCGGGCGAATTTGTGTCTCCCGCTGGTGTGCGGGTGTCGCGAATATTTCCCTTTTCACTGTGACTTGGTGCCATTTGGCGCGATTTGTGTCATTTTTCGCCGTTTCCGGTAACTCATCTCGTAATGGCGTAATTTTCGGTACATGTGATCGTTCGCTCCGCCAATTGACACTTCGTTTTGCGGAATGCTTCCCAAAGTAGCAATCTGGAAAATTTTTTCTTCAACTGTTTTACGCAAATTTCCTCTGCGCAGAGAAAACAGGCAGATGGAGGAGGGAAAAAAAAATCTTTATGCTTCTCTCTTCGAGTTTTCATTCCCAGTGTGAAGGAGTTTCGTCTCAAAGGAGAATAGATTCCGGTAGAGAAAGATCAACTTGAAAGCATGGCTTACGTTCTTACAGAGACAGCTGCTGGTTATGCCCTTTTGAAGGCAGCTGACAAGAAAATCTACAAGTCGCAGAGCCTCATCACAGACTTGGACACCACCGAGAAGGTTCTCTCGCAGTTCAAGGTGTCAGCCTTCTCCAAGTTCAACTCTGCTGCTAATGCGCTTGAGGAGGTGAACAGCGTGATCGACGGTAAGGTTTCTGATCAATTGAAGTCGTTGTTGGAGGGCGTTAAAGGTGATAAGAAGACAACGCTTGTTGTCTCTGAGACCAAGTTGGCAAATGCCATCAACAAGTTGGGCCTGAACTTGAACGTTGTTTCAGACGCTGTCACCTTAGACCTGTACAGAGCTGTTAGAGAGCACCTGCCAGATCTCTTGCCAGGGTTGTCGGACTCGGATTTGTCGAAGATGTCTCTGGGTTTGGCGCACTCCATCGGCCGTTTCAAACTCAAGTTCTCCGCTGACAAAGTCGACACCATGATCATCCAGGCCATTGCCCTTCTCGACGACTTGGACAAGGAGCTCAACACCTACGCTATGAGATGTAAAGAATGGTACGGATGGCACTTCCCTGAACTGGCAAAGATCATCACCGACTCTGTTGCCTACGCCAGAATTATCCTCACCATGGGTGTCAGATCCAACGCTGCTGAGACTGACTTGAGTGAGATCTTGCCAGAAGATGCTGAGGAAAGAGTCAAGACTGCTGCTGAAGTGTCTATGGGTACTGAAATCACAGAGATTGATCTTATCAACATCAAGGCTCTCGCTGAACAGATTGTTGAATTTGCAGCTTACAGAGAAAAGTTGTCCCAATACCTCTCCTCAAGAATGAGAGCCATTGCTCCAAATCTCACCCAATTAGTCGGTGAACTTGTTGGTGCCAGATTGATCGCCCACTCTGGTTCCCTGATCTCGTTGGCCAAGGCCCCAGCTTCCACCATTCAAATCCTCGGTGCTGAAAAGGCTCTCTTCAGAGCTCTGAAGACCAAACATGATACACCAAAGTACGGTCTGCTGTACCATGCTTCCCTTGTTGGTCAAGCCTCCGGTAGAAACAAAGGTAAGATTGCTAGAGTCCTCGCTGCAAAGGCTGCTGTAGCTCTCCGTTACGATGCGCTTTCAGAAGACAGAGATGACTCTGGTGAGATTGGTCTTGAGGTTAGAGCCAAGGTTGAGTCCCGTCTCTCTGCTCTTGAGGGTAGAGATTTGAGAACAACATCCAAGGTTGTCCGTGAGCAGAAGAAGGTTGACATCTCTGAGGCCCGTGCTTACAATGCCGACGCCGACGCCGCTGCTGAGATCACAAAGGCCGACTCTGACGATGAAAGTGATGAAGAGGAGGAGAAGAAGGAGAAGAAGGAAAAGAAAGAGAAGAAGGACAAGAAAGAGAAGAAGGACAAGAAGGACAAGAAGAGAAAGAGAGAGGAGGATGATGAGGAAGAATCTGAGAAGAAGTCCAAGAAGGAGAAAAAGGAGAAGAAGGAGAAGAAGGAGAAGAAAGAAAAGAAGTCTAAGAAGTCCAAGGATTAATGAAACTATCACCCAATCGATGTGTCCTCAGCGTTGTTGGTACGCTTGCCTTGCCCACTTCCTCAGCACATCCTCTTTGTATATTACCACGTTATATTGATGCCTCCTGTCGATCCATCACAAAAGGACATCCTCCATCGTACCCGGTGTTCTTTGTAACTTCATTTGCATTCTCAATATATAATTCGACGCTTTGTTTATATCGCTGTAGAACAATCCTAACATGGTCTTCCACATGTGCCATGTTGTAGTGGTTGAGAATCTTCGATCAACAAACAAATCGAGAAAAAAACAACGGACACAAGCAACCATCAACAAGACACAAATACAATTCAATCACGGGCGCTTCAACGGAATCGGTGCTGAACCATGTCTACAAAGACGTACTTGAAAGCGGCTAAACAGGCTCTACAGGATAATAATCCTGAATACTGTTGCTCTCTAGCTGAGAATGCTCTGGAGCTGGATCCAGATTGCTACTTTGCCCTGATCTTCATTGGTAAGTCCAACCATCTCATGGGCAAGCTACGTGAGGCTAAGGAGGCATATGAAAGGGCGATTAGGCTGAAACCTGACGATCTGACCGCGTGGAAAGGCCTCCTGTTGCTGGTGAAGACTGATGACGATTATAAGACGTTCTTCCGTGTTATATCTGACTACCTCGATGTTCTGAGTGAACAACAGCACTCGATTGCTGAGACTGTTGGTGAGATCTCCAAGTATTTGGATAAATTCCCCTCCGAGGATGTGATAGATGAGTACAAGAGACAGTTATTGCCCGATGGGAGACTTCAACAAGCCACGAAGGGGTTGTTGGTGAAGCCTGAAAAGGCTCTCAGAGATTACCTCGGCCATGTTAGAACAAGGGAGAATAGGCTGTTGTCATCTGCAAAGATGAAAGCATCTGGTGGGGCATACGATGCAACTACGTGGAACATCTATAAGAACTCAAATGTGCCTGACCTGTACGTTCAACTGATCAACATCGTTGACGATGACGAGGATAGACGAGATTTGGAAGACAAGTACTTGAGTTACAAATTACAGATGCTCAAAGCTGCGCCACCAGGTGCCAAATTAGCTATAAGTAACGATATAAAGGCAATAGTGGAAGGTATGGTTGTTGTTAATCATTCATCTTTCCAAGCTTGGTCCATATACTTTGATTGGTTAGACCCAGAAGATTTTGATTCTTTGGACCCTGCAGTGGTGACAAATTTCTTGAAGAAATTCAGCGGTAAGCCATTAGGCCAAGTCATACATGGTCTTGTTTTGTCAGATATGTGCTCTTTGAAAGTTGAGCTCAAGGAGCAAACAACAGATGAAGTTTCACCGGAAGACGATTTGGAGAACGAATTGGTTGAAAAGGAGACTTTTTCTCAAGAAGAACTGTTGGCATTGATGCTTCAGGGTCTTGAGTCATGTAAGAATAGCTTGTTTGCTTACAGAATCGTCATTTCGTACCAGGACCATTGTAATTTGTACATGGATGCCCTATACAAATGTCAGCAAGCTCTCTCACTTCTTGTACAGACAACGACTTCTACCGGAATGTTGTTCAAGAACACGAAGAGGGATTTACTGGTGAAATATGGTAATGTTCTCACTCACAATGAGCCACCGAAGCACCATAAGAGAGCAAATGAGATCTTTGATAAAGTATTGCAAGATTTCCCTGGGAACACTCAAGCTAGAGTTGGAAAATCGGTCATTTTGATTGAGAGAGGTGAATTACAAGAGGCTAAGCGCATCTTACAAGAAGTTGTCGACGAACAGGATGACACTGAAGCACTTTCTGAACTCAGTTGGGTTGAAATTTTATTAGGCAATCATGAAAAGGGCCGTGAGGGGTTGAAAAAAGCACTGAAGGATATCAAAGGTAACAGCCTTTATATCCTCGACCAAAAGGCCCTCATCAATTGGAGATTGGCAAAGAGTTATGAGATGACTGGAGACTTTGAAAAGTCATATGCACAACTTGTTGACTCTTTAAGATCAGCAAGTAATTACGCACCTTCATTCTCCGCTCTTGGTGAGATATATTTAAACCATTTCGAAGATTATCAAAGAGCTACAAAGTGTTTCCTTAAGGCCTTTGAAATTGATACATCAGAAGTTAAGGCGGCGTGGTATCTGGTCAAAGATCTTACAAGTAAGGGCAACTGGAACAGAGCAGAAATCTACTGTCATCAGATCATATCTTCTGAAAGCGCAAGACGTCGTCTTGGTTTCGACTCATGGCCATATAGAGTACTTGGTTGTTCTGCATTGGAAAAGCAAGATGAAGCAAAGGCAGTTGAATGGTTTCAGAACGCTATCAGATTGCAAAATAGCGACACTGAATCATGGGTTGGTCTGGGTGAAGCTTATATCAGCAGTGGAAGATTGGAAGCGGCTATTAAAGTTTTTCAAAGAGCTTTGGAACTCGATCCAGATCATTGGGTTGCTCAATACCTCATGGGTATGGTTCAAGGTCAGATCTCCGACTTTGACAATTCTGTTGAAACTCTAGAAAACGTATTGTTACAAAGACCAGATGAGGAGTGCATTATTGCAGCGTTACAGGATTCGCTGATAAAATACTCCCAAAAATGTGTCTCTACTGGCTTTTTTGGTAAGGCAGTAGGTGTTGCTTTGAAATGTCTTGATTATCTGGAAAGAGGGAACCTCAGTTCTGTAAACTTTTGGGGGATTTTAAATGATTTCATCCAGTTGTTCTTACAAATCCAATCAAAGATCTCTGAATATCCCTATGAAAGAGTATTCACAATGTTGAAGAAAGCGAATATTGATATTGACGATGAACTGGTTGCCTCTTACATTGAAAACGATAAGCAAATTGAATTAGCTGCATTGTCCCTGATCTACTGCAATAGAGCATGTTTGGCTCTTGAACCTCGCGCAAGAACAGTTCGTTCTGCTGTTTACTACAACATGGGTCTGTCTTTACTTGTATCATATCTGATTACTAAAAACGTTCAATATCGAGACGAGTCGATTACAACTTTGAAAGAATCTATTAAGCTCCAGAACAATTACCAGGAGCCATGGATTGCATTAGGTGTTGCTTCGGTCTCTATAAACCCCCGTGTTGCTCAACACTGTCTGATCAAGGCATCTTCCATCGAGTCGAAGAATGTTGTCATCTGGTCTAACCTTGCACTGTTATATCTCCGTTATGAAGATTCCTCCCTCGCATCAGAAACCTACAAGCGTGGTCAAAGTCTGAATCCTACAGCGCCAATCTCTTGGTTGGGTCAAGCATTCACTTTGAAACAACAAGGCGATCATGATATGGCATCCCATCTTTTCACACACTCGTTTATCCTTGCAAATGGCCGTAATCCAACGGCACAAATTGCATACGGTTACAACATCTGTATGAAAAGAATTGGTAAGGGTGATGAAGTTAAAGATGTGGATGCGGTGCTGGAATTGAGTTCAGCGTGTCATGGTATGGTTCAATATTTGAAGCATTATCCACTAGATACGTTTGGATTAGAATTGACCTGTTTAATCCTCGAAAGATTGAGTGATTATGAACTAGGAAAAGAGCTGTGTGGGAATCTTTTGACACAACTGGAGACCAGCTTTGAGGAGACTGAGGATGACACTATTTTAAAGAGTTTTACACGTGTTAAGGCACAATATGCAAGATTTGAACTTGGATTGAGTAACTATCAAGAATCGATTGCTAGCTGTCTTGAGTGTCTCGATCTTGGTGATGATGATAAGACCGTTGTCAGTTGCAGAACCGTGATGGGTCTCTGTCACTTCTTCCTTGATGAATTTGATGATGCACTGGATCAGTTCAAACAAGTGTTAACCCTCTCTGAAGATGCTAAGAGGCTCGTTGTGTTAATTGCACAAGTTCTATTCGTGTATGACACGGAGGAAACTAAGCAGGCAGCATTAGACCAACTATTTAACAATATTGAAGAGCATGGTTCTTCTCTTTTGGTCACTCTTGTCATTGGTGCCATTTCGATTGTTGAAGATCTCACTGATTATTTGACTATTGTGAAATCTGAATTAGCATCCTTACCTTTGAGCGAATTGATGAATGATAGATTCAGAAACGTTCCATATTTGATCTCACAAATCAACAGACGTCAAGGCGAAGCCGATTTAGGTGTGTGGCAAAGATTTGCGGTGTTGTTCCCCGATGATCTAAGAGTATGGGACCATTTGGACAAGAGCACTGCATTGAAGATTGCAATCAGAGGCAAAGTCACATCACAAGAGCTAAGCAACTGTTACGCAGAGGCTGGTAACCTGAAGGACATCCAGAGGTCTCTGTTCATTGCACCTTGGAACTGTGAATCAGTAAAGGCTTTAAAGGGGTGTTTTTAGAGAACTAAGTTGTTTCAATTGGAAGACACGAACAACAACAGGCATGTGGGACTTTCGATGCTCTCTTTATTCTTAGCAGAGATATATACAAAAGACAGGAACACTTGTCACGAATGTCTACAACACTACAACTAGCACAAGTGGTTGCACAAGTGGTTGCACAAAGTGATCCTATAGACCCCCAGAGGTAACCTGATCCCAACTACGCCCCTCTTTTCCCTGCCTGGTTTTACCAGAAACCTTTCTACCTTATGTGATTGTTCCCTCTGTGCTCTTCAGGGCTCAGCTTATAGTTTCCAAAAGATGATGACATCACAATGTATTACACAATCAACAACTAAACAGTTATCGATACCGTTCCCTTCCACTTCAAGTGTGGCTAAACACTACTACTAATATGAAATAATGACAATAGGCTAATTCTTAAAACAATATAATATGAAAATATATAAGAGGAGTGTGGGTTAGTTCATCAGAACTCTGAAATGAGAAAACACAATGGCTCAAAAAGTTCCTTTTGAACCAATGTCGAAACACCCGAATCTTGACACTGCATGATTCACGTTGTTTCAATCAAGCACTGAAGAGGTGTAACAATGGTTAATTGTTACAGCAGTTTACAATTCGGTCAATTGAGCGATAAATCGGAAAGTCGAATGCGAAGGTCGGACGTCACACGCCGACCTGCTCAAAAGTCCGACGCCATGCCCGTACAATCTGCCAAGAATATCCATATAAAAAAGCCCGCTACGCTGTCATCTGCCGAGAACACCTTGTTTCTTATTTTGATTACCAAGCCTGGAAATTACACTGGGACACAACTCGAAGTAAGCTATGAGGTTGTTGGTGTTGACATTTCTGCTCACTGTTGCCTTTGGTGATATGTATGAGACGTGTATTTCATTTGAGGCTGATGATAGGCCAAGAGGAATCTACATTGAGAACCCCCACGAAAACGACACCTCGATCCTTGTGTACAATAGGGAAGACATTGGGAAGACCAATATTCCAGATTGGGTTTACACTGCCGGGCCGTTGCTTGAATCAGAGGAGAGCTTTGGACTCTGTAGTGAGCTCAATGTGACTGAAGGTGTGTGTGATGGTCCAGCCGGTACTTTCAACGTGAAAGTCACAGGTGACGGAACACCACATGACTGGTTGAACGTTGTTCTGCGTCAAGGTGAAGGTGTCAAGTACGATATCAACGAAGAGGGAAACTACTGTGTTGTTGCTTATAGAAATTCGGATATGTTTTACGATGAGATAGTTGTTAAAGAAGTTCATGGCCATGGGTTCCTCTCTAGAAGAGATTACAGAGTGTTCCAAGTTTACCAATTACAGTTGGTGCTGCTGATTGCCACTGCTGTTGCGATGTATCTCACTTTCCAAAAGAACAAGAAGAGCTACCTTGGTGATATATTCCAAGATTTTGTCACCTTGATGGTACTGCAATTCGCTGAGGTTATTGTGTTCAATGTCAAGTTTATGATAATGAATACCAATGTGAACTTCTCCAATTCGAACAAGACTTTTGACATCGATCATTGGTTACCAAAGATTTTTGAAAAGCTTGATTTACTGGTCTTGTACAAGCTCTCACGAGGTGTTTATGGATACGGCAAATTAAGCAGACAGCAACTCTCGATTCAGCCTATCTTCGTCTTATGTATGGTTTCCTTTGCTGTTTCCGAAACGGCATTTGCCTTCCATGGGCTCGTGTACACCAAGCTATCTAAAGTTTTTGCAAATATTATGATGAGCCTTTTGGGTGTTATGAGATACAGTCTATGGGTTCCAACATTATTTCTCATATTTGAAAATTCAGATATCACTTTCAAGGGAATATTCAACCCTGTCCACGCCAACAAGTACTTTTTAACTAGAAGGGTGTTGTTTCTCGTTCCTTTGGCTCTAGAGTTCATATCACGCCTGGGTTCCAACGTCGTCGGTAACATCATGAGGGGCGACGAACATTTCCAACGGGGTGATTTCAGAGCACACCAATTTGCGTGGGATGATATTAGGTCAACTTTCCTAGTCACAATGTTGGATCATATGGAGGACTTCGCCCAAGTGGCTGTTCAATGGCTGCTTCTGTACATTTGGGTTTGGAAGCCAACAAAGATCGACCTTGCTGAACAAGAAGCGTCTACAGCTGTGGAGTTGGATGACATGATGATTGGTGCCGGAAACTCCAAGCTTGCATGAGGGAATAAATTACAAATTGTATGATCATCACTCAATTCGATTGGAGACACTGGCAAATTTGAAAAGTTATGAATACATTTCAATTTTAACTCTCGCCTCAAAGCGCATTGCATCAACGCACCATGCGCTGTGACGTATGTACATCTTAACTTTAAAAGCAGATGAGATTATATAAGCACGCAGTGCTGTCCGAACCATCGGGCTGTACACTTTGGGTATTAATAGGGCAAATCCGTATAAATAAGCCGTTAATCCTCGTTCTTTTCCTTCCCGTATCGCCTCAGAAGAAGAACTATATTACTATAATATGAGAGTTCTCCCATTGGCCACGTTAGCACTCGGTGCACTTGGTGCTGTTATACAAAATTGCGTTGGTTATGAGCCTTCCGACGGACCCAGAGGATTATACATTGAGTCCAATGAAGAGGATACCTCCTTGCTGGTGTACCATATCAGAGATTCTGCCAGAACCAACATCCCAATGGTTGTTGATGATGACATATTGCTCATGGAGGTTGACGGGTTTGGCATTTGCTCGCAGAAGAAGCTGTCGCAAGGGCTGTGTGATGGTCCTGTCGGCACCTTTACCGTCAAGGTGATGGATGGTGAGAAGCCTCAGAGCGCAATCTTGAACCAAAGACTGATGAAAGGTGAGAATGTCACCTATCAGATCCATGAACAGGGTATATTCTGTGGTATTCTTTATCAAGAGGCTGAAAGCGTGAAGGGACTGTATGTCCAGGAGATCCACAGCTATGGATATCTATCACTTGCTGGCCACGCAGAGGCTAAAGTATTCCAACTCTTGATAGCACTGCTATTCATCACCCAGCTGGTTCTCATATGGACATTCAGAGGTGATAAGAAGAAGTACATTGGAACCATCTTTCAAGACATCTGTGTGCTCCTTAGTCTGAAGGTTTTAGAGATTACATGGAATAACCTCATTCTCAGCCTTTGGAATTTCTATCCAAGACTCTCATTGTTTAAAGTGTTTGACTTTTACATCGCAGTTCAATTCCTCTTCACAATAGGATCCTACATTGTCTATTATAAGCTCTCCTCTGGTGTCTATGGGTATGGTAAACCGGACAGAGAGAGATTGTCTATTCAGCCAGCTTTTAAGAAGTGTCTTGTTGCACAAGGTGTCTCGTACATTATTCTCTCATTCCATCCGTTATTGGAGAAATTGGCACATTTCTATGTTGTCCAAGCTATCCAGATCATCGCCTCTCTTGTGTCCGCATTCATATGGATTCCTATGTTCTACATCATGTACAAGAACTCCAAGATGACGTACAATGAGATTGTTGATCCAATATTCGCCAGAAAGTATCTTCTGTCAAGAAGAGCACTTATTTTCATCCCAATATCACTCGGATTGATCTCCACAGTTGGTACGATGGTTGTGATGGCTGCTGCCACGAATTCGTCTCAAAAGACTGGTGATATCGGAAAGGACTTTAAGGAGAACTTCACAACCATGCTCGAAGTGTCCACTAAGCAGAACATGTGGTATGTTCTTCTCAGCCACCTGAACGACTTCTCGATGTTGGTTGTTCAATGGGTGTTGCTCTTGATCTGGAATCCTAAAACCATTGATCCTTCCGAATTCGAAGACGTTCACGCAAATCAACTCAATGAGGGCAATGGAAAGCTTCAGCTGTGAGAAACGGACAGTTATAACTTCTGTTTCGTTAAATACCATCGATCATACTAAGAATACTCTTCAATGCTCCCACCTTTGTAGCCTCGTTGTACACCAACACACCTTCACCACACCCACCTTCCACGTTAACAAGACCCTTGTCCAATAACTTGGAGAAATCTGATTGCAGACCCAATGGAATGGCACTGGAACTTGCCAATCCTTTCTTCTTCAGCATCGACGTATGCTCAAAGTCCTCAGCAGCTTCTTCAGAACGTTTGATGATGGCAGAGTCAATACCACACATGTTGGCAACGTGCATTCCAAAGCTTCCCTCAGCAGCACCTGGCTCTAGCCTGTACAAGAACGTGATATTCTTTGAGGCTTCATCGACAATGATTGCCATCTTGTAAGGCTGCACCTGTGGATGGCTCTTGAAGCTCTCTCCAAGAGAGGCATAATGTGTTGCAAAGAACCCTAAAGATTGGACGTGTGTCACTATATGGTGCAATACAGCCTCTGCAATGGCAAAGCCATCGGAAGAGCTGCCTCCTCTTCCCAACTCGTCCAGCACCAGCAAGCTCTTTGGCGTGGCATTCTCCAAGATACGTTTGGTCTCTGATAGCTCAACAAAGAAGGTGGATTTCCCTTGCATGATGTTATCATTGGCACCTAAACGAGTCATGATACGATCAACAGGTGTCAGACGAGCAGCTTCACATGGAACGTAGCAGCCGATTTGAGCAAGAATCACCGCAATGCATGTCATCCTCAACACCGTTGATTTACCAGCTGCGTTGGCACCGGTCAACAGTCCCATGTTGGCCTTTTCTCCACCCAAGGTGATGGAATTTGGAATGAAATCCTTCGCATTTGTAAGGCCGTGGTTGAAGAATGGGTGTCTCAGATCGTCGAATCGTAAGATTCCCTGGTCAGAGTCGACAAACTGTGGGCGTACAGCCGGGAAGCCTATAGATTCTGAGGTTTTGGCCAATGAGACCAAACAATCAATCTTTGCAACGATTGAAATTGCACTGTTCCAAACGGCATAGTCCTTGTCGAACTTTGCAAACATTCTAATCTTCAAAGAGTCCTCCAGGATCTTGTGCAATTCCCTGGCACGAGCGATCTCTTTGGACAGGGCCTCCACCTCAGGAGACCACCATCTCTTTGTCTTCTTGGAGGCACCCATCTGCTTCCAGGAAGATGGCACCTTCACGGAGATTGGCATCTCGATGGTGTACAGCTCCTTTCCAAAGTCCTTGTACTCGATCGACTGGGTCTTGAACTCTCTTCTGTATGCTCTAAGCGTGGTGTTCAATTCATCCTCCAATCTCTTGATGTTACTCTTCGATTCGTCATAGTCTTCTTCAACGCCTGAGCTGAGGATGAGAAGTCCTTGTTCCCTCGCTTTGACTCGATCAAAGGCATCTGTCCATTTGGCCAGACACTGTGCAATTTCAGAAGGGAAGCTCGAAACCAAACGGCCAAGGACACCTTTCAAGTCGTCATGAGATGCTAGGATCTTGTAAAGAGAAGCAATGTCTTCAAATCCTTCAATCACTCTTGTGAAGTCCTTCAGTTTAAGCTGACCAGCATGCACTCTTGAAAGCAGCCTCTCCAGATCTGGAAGCTTCGACAGCGTGAGCTCGATGGTGGATCTCAGGTCGATGTCCTCCAGCAATTGATCCACGGAGTCCAGCCTCTCGTCGATATCATCCTTGTGCAACAGAGGATGGACGATCCAGGTCTGTAACAGTCTCTTGCCGAATGGCGTGGATGCACGGTTCACAAGCTTGAACAACGTGCCCTTGTCGGAGCCGTCAAACGAGTTTGCAAAGATCTCCAGGTTCTGTAGAGTCTGTCCATCCAACACCAGGTTCGTCGTTGCCCTGATGGTGGTGTACGTGGAGATGTTCCCCAGAGAGACCAATGACTCGTCAAGTTTCAGTGACTTCAAATACCACAACAGCCCACCAAATGCTGAGAAGGCAGACATCTTACGATCGTTGTAGAAAGCTCTCAAGGTCTCTGGCCATTGCGAGATGTCATCCAGGTCCTCTGCTGGGAAGTACTTGGCTCTCGTCAGAGTCTCGAAGGTGACATCAAAGTCGTAGAACTCCTCATCCGGCTTAATGACGTTGAATATGGCCTGGTTTTGGCAATTGAACTTGAGAATTCTCACAGCCAATGAGCACAGGTTGTCCTTTGCGTAGATCACCTCTTTAGGTCTCAATTGAGAGATCAACGTCTCAAACTTGGTGCATTCACTATCATCTGAGAACTCCGTCATCTGGATTGAGCCCGTGGCTGTGTCTATGAAGGCAACACCAAACACCATGCCAGCTGGGTCATGAGGATCTGGGTCCTGTCTGATGGCACAGCAGTACATCGCCATGTCATCGACAAGCATGCTCTCCTCTGTCAGAGTACCTGCCGTCAAGACACACTTCAGCTCTCTCTGGATGACCTCTTTCTTAGCTTTCGTGCCACTTTCCCTGATCTCCTTTGCCAGCCCGGTCTCCTTCTGATCAACCTTGGCGACCTTGAAGCCCTTTGATATGAAGCTCGTTGCCCAATAGTCAAACGACATCTCTGGAATACCAGCTAATTGCATGTTAGCACGACCACCTCCGGCAATCTTCAGGTCGAACTCGTTATGAGCAATCATAGCATCCTTCTCGTAAAGCTCATAGAACTTTCCCTTCTTGAAGAACACTATACAGTCCCACATCTTGGACTTGATCTCCCAGTACTGCTTCTCAAAAGCCGTGAACTTAGCCCAAGCTGACGGTGGGATATACAGCGTTCTCGGGTCGTAGTCAGGGTCAGTGATGGGACGCTTCTCAGCGTCACGGATATCCACAAGCCACTGGTACCTCTCCTCGTTCTCCTTCGTGAACTTCTGATGCTTTGGAGCAGGCTTGTCCCTTGAGGAAGGTGTCTGTTTAGAGGGAGTCGAGCCGTTTGGCCTGTAACTTGATGATGACGAGAACTGTCTCAGCTTCGACGCACTTGACGATGGAGTGGAGGCCTGGGACTTGGCTGGTGTGGATCTCTTCTTCTGTCTAGGCTTTGTCAGCTCGACAAGATCCTCGTCGTCGTCGTCAATGGCCCCGGAATCGTCCTCAAAATCGTCTGGCACGACGAACGCGTCGCCGTCATCCACGTCAGATTCCTCCTGTACATCCGGAACGAACTCCTCGCCGTCGTCGTCGTCCTCGATGACTCGACGACGCTTGCGTGCTGATGAATTGACCACTGGGGCATCCTCACCGTCGTCCTCATCGCTCAGCTCTGCGTAGCTTACATTCTTCCTGGTTCTTCTAGAGTTGGAGCCACCAGCCACAGGCGCAGGGGTGGGAGAGCTCTGCAACGTGTCGTTCTCAGCTCTCTGCTGTAAGGGCTGCTTCTCTGTCTTCACAGCAGTGTAACTGGGCGTGAGAGGCGTCGCAGGAGTGGAGCTCTTCACCTTGTCTGACAGGATAGACGTGTCACCGCTTGCAAGGCTCCCACAATTCTCCTTATCCTCACTAAGTCCACAGGACCCACCAGTGGACCCACCATTGGACCCAGGCACCGGTCCGGCCTTCACACCAGGCTCCTTCTTTGCTGATCTCTTCGTGAAGAAGGACAGCAGCGATGATTGCTTCATCTTTGCAGAAGACGACGTGTCTCCTTTCTTAGCAGCAGTTGGCCTCTTTGGCGTCGTCGTGCTCGATGGATTTGTCATTGGTTTCACCCTTTGCTGACTCGTTGAGGGTTCCAATTGGAGCGTAGAGCAAGCCAAAACACGTCAAAACTGGTTGAAACGATACTGACGCGTCACTGCAAAGACCTCGCGCACCGCGAGACACGCGTCAGTTTAGTGGTGTCCGGGTGTTTGGTGGTGTCCGGGTGGTGTCCGGGTGTTCATATTACATAATCAGTGTGTCCCATACCACTATGGCGTCATTTTTCCATCCCGCAAGACTCACACCCGCACACCACCATATAAGCTGGCCAAATTTTGCCCACGTTAACACTACGCGGGCAAGCTCTCATTCCATCACCGTGGAAGTGGTCCATAAATCCACTGGAAAGTCAGCAATTGGAGCATAAGTTCGTACACCAAGCATCGTTACAAAGATGAGCGTGATCGAGGTTAACAGCGATGACCACTTCACCGAGCTGACGAGTGACGTCTCGCCTGAGAAGCTCATTGCACTGTACTTCTACACGCCATGGGCAGCTCCTTGTATCCAGATTAATACCGTTTATCAACAGCTCGCACAGCAGAACCCAGAGGTTGCGTTCCTGTCCATCAACGCCGACGAGCACCCTGACATCTCTGAGCTGTTCGAGGTGAGTGCTGTTCCGTATTTCGTGCTTATCAAGAACGACACGATCTTGAAAGAGATCTCTGGTGCTGATCCACAGGAATTCGTCCAGGCGTTGGAAGAGCTTCAACAGGGCACAGCAGCAGGCCAACAGCAGCAGCAGACGAGCCAGCAGGCTCCACTAGCACAGACTCAGGCCCAGACCGCTTCTGCCACTTCGTCACAGCCTCCTGCGGAGGCTCAGGAGGAGGAATCTCCAGAGGCCTTGAATGCCCGTCTCAAGCAGTTGACAGAGGCATCACCTGTTATGCTCTTCATGAAGGGAACGCCAGCTTCACCTCAGTGTGGATTCTCGAGACAGCTCGTCGCTATCTTGAGAGAGAACCAGGTGAGATTCGGGTTCTTCGATATCCTCAAGGACGATTCTGTTAGACAAGGCCTGAAGACGTTCTCAGACTGGCCAACTTTCCCACAGTTATACATCAACGGCGAATTCCAAGGTGGGTTGGATATCATCAAGGAGAACCTGGAGGAGGATCCAAACTTCTTTCAGAACGCTGTAAATGCTAACTAGGTGGTTTGGGTTCGGTAAAAACCCCTCGTCATATAGTGTTATCTATTATAAATTGCAATCTTATAATGTTCGTTAATAATGCTATGTTAGTTAATCTTGTTCAGAAATCAGAGTCGTCAAAATCGTGGGAACCATCATCTAAGTCCTCTAGAAGCTCCAGGTTGGTCAAAGTCTTCTGTAGCGTTGGCCTTTGGGAGATTTGCACCAGTTCTCTTTCGAATGTATCGTCAACGTCAGGTATAATCTGATCTGTATCTTCAATATCACTATCTGTGACTATTGGATCCTCTTCTTCGTCTCCATTATCACCACCGTCGAGGTCTGCAGAAGTGCTATCCAGTTCCATATCTCTGTACTTGAAATACTCCAGGTTATTGCTCGAGCTGGCATAATCAACATCATCATCTGCTGTAGGGGTCTCATCTCCAACTACTTGCTGATTGATGAAAGTGCCTCCCAATCGTTCAGTGATGTATGGCATCTTTGGGAGAAACAACTCCTCAGGAATCGGCTCTATCCCCTTTGCCTTCATATACACAGCTTTGCTCTTGTTCTTAAATGCCAATTGCCTGTTGATCAGAGGCTCCAAATCACCAAACAACTGATTCGAATCTTGGAAACTTCGCAACACGTTGCCATTCTTCCTCAGCTCCAGCTCCATATACTGTGAGACATCATTCTTGACCCTCTGAATTCTCCTTTGCACTTTCCATTCTCTGGGGAAAACAAGTCCCATATTGTTATGTGAAGAGCCAGTGGCTGTAGCCTTTGCTAGGTTTGTTCGAACAGCTCTGGTGGAGATTTCGAGGCTTTCACCTTCAGGAACTATCGTATCTGCTAAGCTCAAGCCATCTGCAACCTCCAATGCAACGCTCAAGGGGAATTGTGACTTGTTCAAACTGGTGTAGTTCTCCAATAGTGCCAGTTTCATTATTGAAGGCCTAGTAATGAAGTCCTTTACAACTTGGTTAGTTGTGACGTTATCGTCCTCATCGCTCTTACTTCCATAGACACACTTGCCTACAGCATGGAATATTGAGAATGGCTGCTCTTTACCGAGGTTCAACGTATTGGCTGTATCCTCATGGTACAATTTACACCAAAATTCCAAAGCTGATATTGCTGATCTTATGTCACCAAACGTTGACAGTTTCAGGATCTCGTCCTTTATCGCATTCGAAGGAATGGCTTGTAGTTGAGCAGACTCACTCTTTACAATGCTATTCAATGTCTTCTTGATCAGAGTTGCGTTCACAGGGTTAAACTTGATCCTGTGGACAGTTGGTGCGTTCAAAAGCTTCTTACCTAAAATGGTTTCAGCGTTGTAGTTGTTCTCAATGGAGTATCCTCTTCGCATGGTCTCCTCATTGGCCAAATCACATTCCGTGATACATATCACCAAAGGAGGAGTCCTTTGGTCAGAGTATGCCCATTGCATCAAGCTTTTCCTGAGCCTTTCCCGTGTTTCTTCGTGGAATACGTTTGGTATATCTTCAACCAGTACGATTGACTTCCTCACGCCTCTTCTGAATCGCACAGATTGGAGGAAATCGTCGAATTGATCTCTATGAGTCTCCAGCGGGCTAATCCATTCTATGTAGGGTATCTGGCCTCCTCTGTCCTCGATCAATTCCTGGGAAAGTAGCTTTATCACTGTGCTCTTTGAACAACCGGACGGGCCTGTTAAGACGAGAATCTTACACTGGGATTCGCCAGAAACCATTGGTTCCAAGATGCTTCGCACATCTTTGAGCTTTCTGTTGTGTATAGCAACCTGGTCCAGTGATCTGGGTGAGTATTTATCGATCCACTGGAGTGATTCTGCTGCTGATGCTGATGCTAATTCTGATATTGATGCTGATGCTGATGCTAATTCTGATATTGATGCTGATGCTGATGCTGATGGTGTTGATGAACGACTCGTCGTTTTTTCCTTCTCTTTGAACGAGTCAGTCAAGTGTGATATCTTCCTCCTCTTCCTCTGTGCTTCCTTCATCAGATATCTCCTCTTTACCGGCGATTCGAACGTGGAACCCCATGGAAAGAAACACAGGAAGGAGGTGAGTGTGAAGTTGAAGTAACACCATCTATACACCACCCGGACACCCAAACACCCGGACATTTTGGGTCCAGAAATGTCCGGGTGTATGTCCGGGTGTTTGCCGACAGAGCCCCATCGTACGGTTCAAAATGACACTCAAAACACCTCTTTAATCCCTCTGTTCCAACGCTTATACACGCTGCTACAGTCATTGTATGGACACATTAAGCCGGTTGAGTGGACAATGAGCACTCCAAGTTACTTCTGCGATGGTGTACCTGTTTTTACCCCATCGATCGAGGAGTTCAGTGACTTTTACGGCTATATGAAGGCCATCAACAGCTATGGAATGGCTGCTGGTATTGTCAAGGTTATACCACCTGCTGAGTGGGTTGAAGCTCTTCCGGAGATTAGTGAAGAGAAGCTGAGGTCCATCAAGATCAAGAACCCCATTATTCAGCATTTTAACGGGTCCAATGGGGTGTTCGCGTCGCAGAACATTGAGAGGCCACGGACGTATAACATCGTGCAATGGAAGGCCTTGAGCGAGGCCTCAAGCAACCAGCCGCCTGCTCCACGGGGTAAACTGAGGAAATCTGTTGATGGCGAGACCCAGAGATGGAACAGCAAGGTGATTAACGGCAAGGTTGACGAGGATTCCATGTTCGAGTCGTTTGAGTACAACATTGACGTTTCTGAGTTCACGCCGGAGAGGTGTGAACAGTTGGAGAGAGTGTACTGGAAGAGCTTGATCTTTGCGGACCCAATGTACGGTGCAGACATGCTGGGGTCGATCTTTGACGATAGCGTGAAGCATTGGAACGTTGCACGTTTACCCAACGTTTTAGACCATTTGGAGGAGAAACTACCGGGAGTTAACGATGCCTACTTATACGCTGGGCTGTGGAAGGCCTCATTCTCCTGGCACTTGGAGGACCAGGACCTGTACTCGATAAACTACTTGCACTTCGGTGCTCCTAAGCAGTGGTACTCGATTCCGAGGGTGTACAAGGATAAATTTGACGTTTTGATGAGAGAACTGTTCCCAGAGGACTCTTCACGATGTCCAGACTTCCTGAGACATAAGACATTCTTAGCATCACCAAGTTTTTTGGAATCAAAGGGTATAAAAGTTAACAAGATTGTTCATCACCAAGGTGAATTCATGATAACTTACCCGTATGGATATCATGCCGGCATGAACTACGGTTATAACTTGGCTGAATCTGTTAACTTTGCCACGGATGATTGGTTTGAATATGGGCTGAAAACTACCAAGTGCCTGTGCATCAGTGACTCTGTGGGGATTGACGTGCCGAAGTTGATAAGGAGGTTTAAAGGTGAAGCTGAACCCGAGATTGAATCGGAGTGTGACCACGTTGTGGAAAGCGATGAGACACCAATTACCTCTGAAGATGAGCACGTTCCAACTCCAGTTATCAAGCTGGTGACACCTTCAACTGCTGACTCCAAGTCTAAGGCTTCGAACGATGCTCTGGCTGTGAAGACAAAGAGAAAGAGGAAAGCATCCACATCGTCGTCGTCATCTCCCGTTGTTCTCAAGAGAAGAAGTACACAAGTGCTTCAGTGCCAATTATGTCCACATACTCTACCACAGAGCTCTATCGAAGATAACAGCATGTTCACACTTGTACCCATAGTTGAATCATTGGAGAATGGCGATGCCGAGACCATACAGTTCTGCCATGCCATCTGTGCGTATCTATTACCAGAAACGTCAATACAAGTGGATGGCTCCAATCAAGTGGTTCTCGGGATGTCAGAGGTCTCCAATGCGAGAAGATCCTTGAAATGTCTCTACTGCCATTCTAAGAAAGGTGTATGTTTCCAATGCACTTCACCAAAGTGTACGAGGTCATACCATGGAACCTGTGCCGTTGCATGTGGAGTTGAACTCCATGCACACGATTCGAACCATTTATGTCGCTTCCACAGGGACAGATCTCCAATGGATATCAACAGCAGGTTTGTTGAAGAGTTGGAAGTCGGTGATATTGTTCAGGTTAAGCTACAGAGCTATTTCCCTGGCGAGGTTGTTTCGAAGAATCTCGGAGAAGGAAGCATCTCTGTGAAGGCATATCCAATCAAGGACAATGACGATACAATCATTGAAGTGCCAATCTCGTGTGTTGCATATCAAGGTGTAAAGAACTCGTTATTCAAGTGTTGATATCACTGATATATGATCAGATCTTTCTAGCAAGTTTAAGCACTGTAAGCCATTCTAACTTGACAGTGGTTGCTGGAGTCCACTTCATCTTCGACTGTAGCTCTGACAAGTATAAGTCCGCGATATCGGCTTGGTCCTTATGAGAGCGTTTCCAGTTGTGGTAGGAGCTCCATGTCTTTACATAATTGCCATAAAATGTCAACGGCATTTCTCTTTTAATACTCAAGGGTGAAGAGGTGCTATTATTCAGAGCATCGCCAGGTGTTCTCTTGAAAGTCTCGACATCCTTGAACTTATCAGCTGGCACCTTAACATCGTCCAGCAGTCCTCTAAGGATATTTCTGCCTGACTGCTCCCAGTAGGGACCCAGCTTTGTAGGGTCTTCATACGTGAACTCCATGCTCAGTCTATCAGCCACTGGGTCGTTGAAAACCGGGTCTGCGTAGCCCCAGATCGCAATGGTCCCGTTAGGCTTGAGCACACGGTACACCTCGTCAAAGAACTTGTCCAATTGGAACCAATGGACACACTGGGCCACGGTTATCAGGTCCACGGAGTTGTTCTCCAAGAAGGTCAGCTCCTCCGCAGGACTCTGCTGGAACGAGATTCTCCCTCTGAGCGAGGGCTCCTCCTCAGCCCTGGACGTCGCAGTCGCCACCATCGTGCCAGACAGGTCAGTGCCGATGACTCGTTTGAAATAACGAGTCAGTGGGTACGACGCCTGGCCTGATCCGCAGCCAATGTCCACCGCAAGCTCATCACCACCCTCGTGATAGTGCACGATGAACTCGTACAGAGAGTCGTCGTAGCTCGGTCTAAACCGGGCGTAGCCCTTGGAGTCGAAGTCCTGATCCGAGAAAGCAGACATTCCAAGGCTTCTTGTTCAACCAGCGCTGTGATATTGCCCTTTACACCAGCCATCATGGAACCCCATAGAGCAAAGAGGCAACCACCGGTGCTTATATATATCATTAAACCCGCTAACACCGCTACTCCCGAGCAATCTCCGACGCCCAACTCCGACGCCCATCTCCGATCACCGGATTTGATCACCGGGGCCAGAAACACAGCATTCGTTGGCAACGGCTCCGAACGGTTTCCAATGGCAGCTTATGGGCCAGCTCTCTATGCCCAGCTGCCTCTTTATGCCCAGCTGCCTCTTTATGCCCAGCTTGTAGCAGTGTGAAGCTTCCCGACGGCCGCCTTTGAGTATGAGCGCAGTGGCTGTAGACGGTGAAGCGTTGCTATGGTGCCCGGTGTATTACGTAAGCTCTTAGTAATCACATTCTCTCGTATCCCTCAGCAGGCCTGGTGTACTTTGTCAACAAAGCCTGTTCCACTGAGCAGCTGGGGAGGTTGCTGGACAGCGAGTGCCGGCTGTTTGTGAGCTGATTAGTGTGATTTGCACAGGTGTGAGAGTGTGGTATGGGCGACGTACGGAAGCACAACTTTAGTGAGTATCTGAAGCTGAAGAGGCGGAGGGAGGAGCAACGGACAGAGGAGCAGTCGCAGGCTGGGACAGAGGGACGGGCAGAGGAACAGGCAGAGCCTCAGGAAGAGCCTCAGACAGAGGCCCACACAGAGCCTCAGACAGAGAGGAACGCTGCTACAGCGAAAGAGCACCAGAGCAGCGCTGCTGCCCACGAGAACTGCTCGCCCGTCACTTGGGACGACGAATTCACAGTGCTGGAGAAGAAGTACGCGGAGGGAAACGCCCTCCCTCCACTGCTATCGCCTCAATTACCCTCGAGATACACGGATAGACCGATGATACCCACGAAACTGTCGCCCACACTGCCCCCAAAGTACTCCAGACAGGTGCCAGAGAGGAAGCCAACGCCGTTGTCCTTGTCGTCCGCCTCTTCCAATAGGCGTGTTAAGATAGTGAGGAGAAACCACTGTCTGGAAGTGACGATTCACCTTCCACCAGGGCTCAAAGTGAAGGCCCATAACAGCGTTACCAAGAAGCAGGCCAATGGTAACAGCAGGCTTATCGGGCTGGGTATCTCCACCTCTGCCTCCATAGACAAGGAGCAGTGTCATGCCAATTTCGAAAAGTTCGTTAGAGTCGCAACAGAGAAGAAACACCTTGGTGACTCGTATCGTGATAGTCCCGGTGGAAACGATAGGGAGAACGTGCAACTGGCGATCGTGACGTACATTGACTCGATAACCATGTACCTCGTGGGGTTCCACCACCAGGACATGTACAGGAAGCTGTGTAAGAAGCTGTCGGATGAGAAGACATGGCTCACGCTAGAGTCGCTCCTGGACCTGGTCATCACTCTGTCACAGCACGAGCACAACGACTCATCTGACATCACAGGGCTGTGCTACCAGATACGGTGTGTCGTCTACGAGCACGTGAGTCGCATAGTGGATGGCTACATCCGTGTGGCCATTGCCAACAGGAAGAGAAGCTTTTCTGACGCGGACAAGCTGAGGTACGGCGACGTGCTTGTCGAGAGGATCAAGCAACAGATGAAGTACAGGGACATCTCGCGCAAGTCCTTGGAACGTGGTGATGAACTGCTCGACATGGCCCAGCTAGCGAGACGGTACAGGCCATTGCTGGGCAGGCCCTCCAGGGAGAAGCCCGTGGAGGAGGATAGAGCTGAGTCGCTGTTCGACGGTGCGGTCCACCTGCCCATAAACCACACCACAACGGTCGAAGAGGTCAGCGAGTACGCTGTGCGAGTCGCACAGCTCTGGAGCAAGCACCAGGGCGTACGGTACACCAATTGGGGCCTCGGATGACCGGTATATACCACCATTACTTCTATCTCTTCCATCACCATCATCACCACTACTACTACCACAGCACACCGTGCTTACGTAAGCCATCTCCCGCGCGGCGCTCATAACCACTTCCTAAAATAGAACACCCGCGAAAATTGCCCCTTCGGGAACTTTGTTTGCGTTTCACGCTTTAGGGGGATTAAATCAAAGGCTCGTGAACACATTTTCCTCTCTTTGACGTGAAACATTTGCTCCTCTGATCTCTCATCAAAGCCATCAATCTCACCAGACTGGCTTGTTTTGACGGGAGAGCCCACCGAGTGATCTGCCTACGTACTTGTGCTGGATTTGGAACACGGCTTCACGGCTCAAAGCAGCAGAGAGAGAGCTCCATACACGGCGTACGACTCGAGACGAAGGCCAGCAGCTGAGGACCCCTGCGGCAGGATGAACTTCATGAGGAAGAGGCCACCGACGGTGATCGAGGAGTTGACGGAGGTGTACAACGAAGCAGCGAACAAGACCATCACGAACCTGGCGCTGGAGCAGAAGGGCGACTATAAGCGAGCCGTTGACGGCTGGAAGGCATTGCATACACAAGTGTTGTTCAAGATTGACATCATCAACAAGGCCTTCACGAGCCATCACTACACGGCAGATGAGCTGTACGTGAGGGAGGGGATCGAGGATCTGCTGCTGAAGGGCGTGGACCACCAGGAGCGGGTGGAGAACGCCCTACGGTCCCAGCAGGGCTCGCTGTCGTCGTTATCGTCCACCAGCAGCCATCACCTCCATCAGCAGAGCACGTACACGGTGCCAACGCTGAGATCCGGCACTCCTCAGAGCTTCACGGTGAGACGGGAACAGCAGGAAGGGCCGAAGCCTCAGCGACTGTTGAAGACGTTGCGATCTGATCACAAGCCTTTGTTGAAACACAGTGCCAAATCGTACACAGGGTACGGTTCAAATGCCAAACAGGCACACGACATGTCGATGACCGCTGCCACGACGATGCTGCCACCTAACCATAAGCAGCAAGTGTGGTCGACGTCGAAGAGCTTGAACAACGGCTCCTCTTCGCTAACTTCTGTTGCTCAGAGACAGGGGAAGCCTGTTGAGGATGTGAATATCTTTGATAAGTCATTTGAAGACGATTTTGACAGCTTTGGTATGACTCTGTCCAGAGAGGATACGCTGAAGCAGCTAGAGGCGTCGGGAAAGCAGTCGAAGTCCTCGAGACACCAAGTGATTGATCTAACACTGGATGACTTGGACATCAACGACGGCTCACAGCCACTGTCCCCTCCTTCGAATACCATTAGCCCAACAGTTAGATCTCCAAAGATCCCACCTCCACCGATTCCATCTCAAAAGCCAGCTGTTAAGCCAGCTGTTAAGTCACAGACAACTAAGCCTGCCCCTTCAGCTCTCAAAGCTGGTAGAAAAGTTGCGGTGGCTCCATCTAGACAGAAGACTAATGCTACTCCTCCTGTTTCTAAACTACCAACATTGACCAAGTCAAACACTGCACCACCGTCGTCCACTGTGAGAAAAGCAACCCCGAGGACTGCCACTCGAACCACGAGACCAACAGCTACCACTACAAAGACGTCAAACGTTGCATCCAAACCACCTGTTAAGAAAATTGTCAGACCAGGCACTGCGAACTCACAACAGCATCAGCAGCAACAGCCACGTGCTGGTGCTCGTGCAGTGAAGACCACTGCTTCGATACCATCAAGATCTCAAACGCAATCGCAACCTCAGTCTCGGCAAGCACTGAAGCCTCCAATGAAGAAGGAAAGAGCAAGGTCTGAATCACCTTCCAGGGGGGAGAAGGACACTGAAACATTGGACTCTGATAACGCAGATGAAGAGCTGGTACACTTGTCAGAAAAGGAGATCCGTGAAAAGATGGAGGATCAAATAATTGAGGAGATCAGAGGCATAGATTATAACGCTGCGAAGCAGATCTTCAACGAGATTGTTGTACGTGGAGACGAGGTCCATTGGGATGATATCGCAGGTCTGGAAACAGCCAAAAACTCCCTGAAGGAAACAGTCGTGTATCCATTCCTAAGACCTGATTTGTTCTCTGGCTTGAGAGAACCTGCGAGAGGTATGTTACTCTTTGGCCCACCAGGTACTGGTAAGACCATGCTGGCACGGGCAGTAGCCACGGAATCCAAGTCCACCTTCTTTTCCATCAGTGCCTCGTCCTTGACCTCCAAGTACTTAGGTGAATCTGAGAAGCTGGTGAGGGCCTTGTTCCAGCTTGCAAAGAAGCTGTCGCCAGCGATCATCTTTGTCGATGAGATTGACTCCTTGTTGTCGTCCAGAAGCGAAGGTGAAAACGAATCATCAAGACGTATCAAAAACGAGTTCTTGATCCAATGGAGTGATCTGACTCACGCTGCTGCTGGAAAGGACACAGGCGAGGACCTTCAGAGGGTGTTGGTGTTGGCTGCCACCAACTTACCATGGGCAATTGACGAGGCTGCGAGAAGAAGATTCGTTAGAAGACAGTATATTCCATTACCAGAACCGGAGACACGCCTGGCTCAGATCAGGAAACTATTGGCTCACCAGAAACACACGCTGGATGAAAAGGACCAGGCGAAGTTGGTTGAATTGACTGATGGCTTCAGTGGTAGTGATATAACAGCATTGGCCAAGGATGCTGCTATGGGTCCACTGAGATCACTCGGTGATAAGTTGTTGGAAACTGACAAATCTGAAATCAGACCTATTGGACTAGAAGACTTTGAATCAAGTTTGAAGTACATCAGACCGAGTGTCAGTAAAGAACACTTGGTTGAATTCGACGAATGGGCAAAGAAGTTTGGTTCAAGCGGTGTATGAAAGTCACATCAACACGCTGTCTTCGGTTGTTTGTATTTATTGCTTGCTTTCTAATGGCATAATTACTAGTTTTGCGTGTGCGAGTAATTCTCGTCTACTGATTCATCGGTTAATGACACGTAATAATACGCTAAATATACTAATTACACAAGATTGGGTCTTTATATGAGGTGTTTTTTTGGTGAGGATTGAATGTTTCTTTTCCCCTTCTTCAACTGTAGTCTTCACGGGTTGTTGTCTTCATCAAATCCCTTGCGTTGGTCAAGCCAGGCAGGTCTAGAGAAGTTCTCGCATTTTCAATGGAGATGCGGCCATCACCCAATTGACGTTCTCTTTGCATAGAGCGTCTTGTAACTTCCAACGAAGTTCTTGGCTCGAAATTGTCAGTGTCATGGTTATCAATATCACTGAACTGGCCTCTTTCTCTGAATCTTGGGGTGCCATTATCATCAACGAGTTGCATTGCAATCTCCTCTGTTGATAAGTGTTGATCATCAGCAGGATAACTAGATCTCTTGGAACCTCTACTAAACATTCTAGAGGATCTTGGAGTCTTTGGGGAAGCTGTCGCGTGCGTGAGCATGTGATTGGTGGAGTACTGCGAAATCTTTGGTCTATTTGGATCTGTTGGATCATAACTCTTTGGGTATTGGCTGAAGTCACCTCTAGCAACACACTCTCTGATGATGTCCACATCCTTTGGGAAGAAATACTTTTGACAACAGTCATAAACAAATCTTGGCATCAAACACACAAGAATACCAACAAACAAGCACGCCCAAAATGCAACACTGCCATAAACTTGAGCAGCAGCTTTGTAATATTCTGCAGATGCAGTACTTGAACTCCAAATACCAGTCCAGGCAATCAAGATAATAATGGAGAGGAAAATAATCAAGGAAGAGAGCCAGTCCCACATGTAAAGGTGAATCAACATGTACAAGTTGCATGAGATCACCGCAATGGACGCGACGAGTGTACCAATCCAATAACGGTGATCAAGGTTAAGACCATTAAAAGACACGATACCACCGGTTTTATAAAGACAGTATGGCAAAAAGTAAGACATCACAGATTGATAGACACCGTCAATCATATACCACCAGAACTTCTTCATTGTCCACTCAGTTCTGTATATACCAACAACGTAAAGTTGAGGGACAAGTAAGGAGACAACATCGTTCACATCCTGGTCAAAGATACCCATAAAGATAACTGGGAGGGATGTAAATGCCAAGTTGTAGAACATCAAGTAAGTGTATTCAAAAAGGTAGGTACCATCAAATTGGTTGAAGATACCATACCAGAACAGAGCAACCGTGAAAATGACATTCTTGTAGAAGAAACTTGGGATCATCTCTGCAATTCTCTTGTATGACCATCTTCCATGAACAAGGACAAGTCTAGTCAAGTATCTGAACTGACCAACAGCATAATCAGAGGACATAACAGCCTGTCTACCTTCTTCACCAGCAATACCAACACCGATATCTGCCGACTGGATCATAGCAACATCGTTGGAACCGTCACCAATTGCCAAAGTCATCACCTCAAGGTTCTCTTTCACCATCTTGACGACGGCAGCTTTTTGAGCTGGGGAGACTCTGCAACACAGAACAGCCTTACATTGCTTACATAACAACAAGAATTTTCTCATGTTGTCACCTTGCAAAGCCAACTTCAAAGCATCACCATCGATAACAACACCATAGTTACCATGTGGAGGTTCATGCTCGCCCTTGGCCTTTTCAACTTCTTCCCAGGTACCATCCATGTCAAATTTCTCGCGAAGATATTTGTCCAATAAATGTGCAACGATTAATCTTGGATCTCTGGATATGTTTTCAACATCCTCACCAATGGTTTTCACAACCAACAATTCCATATCGTTACCAAGTAAGTTACAAGAGAAACCGATGTTGATGGCTGTTTCGACTTTATCACCAGTTAAGACCCATAGTTTGATACCAGCTTGGGCCAGAATAGCAATAGCATCTGGAACACCATCTTGTAATCTGTCTTCAATAGCTGTACCTCCCAAAAGTGTCAATTCTCTTTCGATGGAATCGGCAACTTCTTCCATCTTTTCTTCTCTCTTAACAAGGGCAGCTGCTGCAGACTCGTGTTTCTTACTCCAGGTAAGGTATTGATCCCAAGAAAGCTCTCTCTGTGCAATACACAAGGTTCTTAAACCTTCAGTTGCATACTCCTCCAAGTGTAAAGCTGTTCTCTCCAAGAGTTGTTCGTCAGAGTTCTTTTTAAGTCTAGAGTAAATGATAGAATCAGCACCTTTACAAATAAGCAAAGCCTTTGGTTCACCATTTGGATCATCAGATGGGATCTTAATGATTGCACTCATTCTCTTTCTCGTGGAGTTGAATTCCAGCACGTTTAAGACTTGGTACTCCTTGGCAACACCTTGAACTTCCACAATCAGCCCCTTCTTTGTGCTGTTTATATAACAGAATCCAACATCTCTAGCTGTACCAACAAGAGCGGCTTCATCTGGAGACTGTGCCTTAAAAATAATCTTATCTGGGTCAGATTTATCCTCTTCTGCCAAGACAGAATGACAAAGTGCCAAAGCAAGCATGAAATGTTCATCAGCAGCCTGTTGTTCGGCACCACGAGCACCTTTCAAATCCTGGACAAATTCCTTCGAAATGAATGTAACGTCTTCAGGTTTAAGTCTTTTGTTTGGAGAAATGGAGTACAAATCTTGAATCATAATCTCCTTATCTTCAGCGATTGCAGCCTTTTCACGAGAAGACTCTTCTTCAACATCAACACCTTGTCTCTTTCTTAAACCTGCAAGGGCCTCAGTATATGCACGACCATAAGATATACCATTAATTGTACACTTTTTAAATTCCATAACGTTTTGGGTCAACGTACCAGTCTTGTCACTAAAGATGTACTCGATTTGACCCAAATCATCTGAAATATTCCAGGACTTCGGTGTACACGGATAATCCAACTTGTCGTAATACATATTGACATCAGAGTAGATAAAGAACGCCTGTGCTGTCTTCACAATTTCGATGGAGATGTAAAGCGAGATAGGGACCAACGATTGGTACAAGATAACTGCAACGAAGAAACTGACAATACCATTGGCCGCAGAAGATCCTGCGATGGTACCAAATTCGAAATAACGACGAGAATTGAGTTCCTGGTTATATGAGATACCGTTAACCAAACCAGAGATGAAACAAAGAATGAAAAGCAACGCAAAGTTCAAAAGCACTGTGTAGTTCAAATCTTTCGAAATTCTTGACTTTTTTGTTGGTGTTTCACCAGCGTTAAGCATGATTTTTGTATCAGCACCTGTAAAAATGACTATACCCAACGCCCATTTGGTGTTTCTTAGGAAACAACCTCTTAACAGCATATTGTTGATGTTGATTGGTTCGTTTTTGATCTGTGCATCTTCACCGTACCATTTCAAATTACCTTGGTAGTTGTACAAGTTTGCATGGGGACCTTCACTTTCAATCCAACATTTAGATCTCTGCACATCACGTGAATGCTTGATTTGCTGGCCACATTTCAACGCTTGACGGACTTTCAAGTTTGTTTCACCATCAAGATTCTTTGTCTCAACATAACAGGCACCATCGGCATCTGAAGTTGATAAGAGGATGATATCTGCAGGGATTTCGTCGTTGTTGTGAACACGGACAATGTCACCGACTCTAACGTTTTTCCACAAGTCTTTTTTAAACTGAGCCTCTGTATTTGCCGAAGTGATTGTCATGCCTGGATCGATAATGGATTCGTTTGGATCAATTGCTTTATGAGAATCATCAAATGGGTTATCCAATGAGCGTCTAAAGTCATCCAACTGCATAGATTTACGACCACCCTCAAAGGAATCAAATGATTTTCTCATATTCATAGTTTCCTGTGCCAACTTCTCCAACCTTGCCTTTTCCTTTCCAGTCTTGGTAAAAGTTCTATTTGTCCATCTAAAGAATTTTATAACCATTCGGGTGTTCCATTTTTTAAACCTTCTCCACATCGAAACGTTATCCTCTGAAACGTTAAAGTTCTCAATTCCATGAAGGATATGGGTTGGAGTGTTATTCACCTCCATATCCAACATCGTTCTTCTGGAATCCTCCATGGCATCCTTTATAGCTGTGATGATGACAATCACAATAAGGGGCACGGTAGATAAACCTGGATTTGGAACACCGAAGATGTCAAAGAAACCCAAGATGATCATAATCAAAAAGTAAATATTGGCAACATTTCTGAATTGGAACAAGATGTTCTTTGGTAAGAATGTCAACGGTGTATACTTTGTTGTTCTAATCTTATTTCTCGGATACGACGCAATTGGATCACCATTGTCATTCACCATCTCTTGAGGCAGTGGCATGTTCAAGTAGACAGATCTAAATTCACTCTGTCTATTCTTTGCAGCGTCTTCTTCATCTTCCTCTGAATCGTCATCGTTATGCACGTCATGGTTTGGCTTGAATCCAATGTCAAATCTATTCTTCCATCTTAGCGTCCGTGTTCTCCCAACAGTCGGGACACCCTTCTTGTTACGCTGCGTACCCCAACGGTGCCTCTTCATCATGGAGCCCTTTCTAGGCAGTACCCCATCGTCAAGGGACGATGACGGCAGGTCCGAGGTTTCGCTAAAGTCTTCAAAATGTGCCTTCTCGGCCATCTTTGGCGTCGGCTGGAAAGAATCCTGTGACAAAGTTCTTACGAGCTCACTACCATCGCTCTTCAACTCCCCGATAGTTGGACTGAACGCGATTCTTGCACTCGGGTCCCTTCTACCAGGAGTACCTTTCCTCAATATCGAGCCGCCACGTGTGGCACCCAGCGTTGACCCGCCGTTGGACGACTCCAACCGCGGGCTCGCCAGCTCGTTATCCAAATTCACCTCATCAAACGTGGCTCTCTGAGAGTCGTTGAACGGAGAGGAAGGTGACGTATCGGCATCACCTCCATCTGTGTGTATTTGCAGGCCGCCGTATGTCTTCTTCTTCGTCCTGTTGTTGTCACTAGCTGAAGTGCTATTGTCTCTGGACATTTTGTGTTGAGCAAATGCGGGCGGCTAACGTGGGAAGTAAACAAATCACAAAAACAACCCTCTGTTGGCTAGGTGATAACGGTAAAGTGTGTTGTGTGGTCTTCTTTAACAAGCACAAAAACCAAGAAAATAGCCACGCTCTTTGGATCAAAAAAAAAACTATGGCAACAAACAGAAGACTCGAAAAGATGCAAATAACGCGTTGACTTTTCTGACTTTAAAACTCTTTCCCTTAGCTTCCTTCTCTAGATTGTTGAAGAAGGACAGGATGTATTTCCTATAGGAGGAGGGAATATAAAAAGGAACAAACTTCAGTAGATGACAACAAGAAAGCAGAAAACGTATTTTTCTATTCCGTTCTTTTCTTTCGCTTCCAGCCCTTCTACCTCTCTGTAGCACGGTGTCCTTTCTCCTTGTACGCTCAGCTTTCTCTGTACTTTCCACAGGTGTGTGCTCTTCAGTGTGTCTGTAGACAAGAATCGATTGCCCACACAGAACGCAAAACCTCAGGGCCCAGAGCCTAAACCGAAGTCCAAATCAAAGCCAAAATCAAAACCAAAATCAAAGGAAGACCAACAACGGGTAGAAATCAAAGCACGCACTCACAGGGAAACTGTTTGAAATCCAAACCGCAAGGGCAAATTCTCTTTCACTTGCACGAAAAACCAGGAGAGGAGGTGTAAAACAAGAGAAGATACTAACAATCTCTTTGTAGAAGAAGAAAAACGATATCTTTCAGCCTACGTGGAAGGAAAGTTAGAAGGGGAAAGAGAAAGGGACGAGGGAAATTTGGGTAAGCGCTGCTCCTCTCCCTCCGCCTTGTAAATTTGAACGTGCAAAATCTAAACCGTAACGTGTACAACAACGCCGTCACCGGGGAGATTTCCAGCGCGATGAGGCGGCAGGAGCGCATGCGCTCTTTTTCTTTATGGCTCTTTTGTCTCTTTCTTCGCTTTCTGTGGCCTCCTTCAGGGCGTTTTCTTTCCGTCATTTCGGAACAATAGAAACTTAAAAACGGCTGCCGATGGGGTGGTGGTAAGTGTTGGTTGGTCTCAATTACGAGCCTGTGTACAGCTTTATGAATGCATTTGGACCTTTATAGCGGGAGCTCATTCTTACAACTGGATTTGATACTCTAATGTAAAAAAAAGAAAAGATTTGGAGTCATGTCTTCTGGTCTCAAATGGCAAAAATCCCTTTCCCCTTGAAACTTCCGTCCCGATATCAAGACGATGAAACTTTAAATTTGAGCCAAAAAAAAATGCCGATCTATCCCGATGCTTATGTAATAACACCTGGACATTGCATACACACCCAAGTATTGCTACAACCGGTGATATTGGCGCTACTGCTGGCATTGCGATGAGCTACATGCTTTCAAAACAGTTACCGTACTCTTTCTCATTAGCATCGTTAAACCTTGGCAACAGCAGCTTAAACGCCATGTACGCATCCCATTCTAGCACAGCCTATTCTAGCACAGCATACTTCTTGGTCCACTCCCTTGCGGTCTCAATGGCCTGAGTCTCATGCTGTAACCATGCCTCTGCAACGTCATTGGCAAGCGGATCGTTAGGGTTTGGTGCGGCCAATAGCGCTTGGATGGATAATAAGATGGTTCTAATTTGAAGTGCAGGTGACCAGTTGTTCTTGAGAACATCGAGGCAAATTCTGCCCAGCTTGTCAATGTTTGGGTGGTAGATCTTGGTCAAGAATCTCACCTTAGGTGCAACCACTGGAAGAAACAGTCAGTACATGGTGTGCTCATCTCTAAAAAGGGGGAAACAACTCACTAGGATAGTCATCGGGTAAATAGAGCTCCAACTTGAAGATACCGCCTTCGTATGGAGATTGATCTGGCCCTTCAATGGTAACGTTGAAATATCTCAAGTTTTCCTCTGATGGAACAGCAGTGATTCCAGGGACTGGATCACTGACAAGTCTCTCAGTTTCCTTTGATAAAAAAAGGGCAATGTTAGTCGCTTATACTCAATACATGTAGATGTTCTTTGCTTATCTCTTTCCTCACAAGACTCACAAGTCCACACAGGGAACACATCAAACAGAAAATTGCACCCGTATACGTACTTTGATGATTCTCTTTGGTAACGAACTCATTTGAGCTTTAACAGTTCTAGAACAGAAGATTCAGAATGAAGTTTCCTACTTCTCATGCCCATGGAGAGATTGAACACAGTCAAAATCGTTGTCCTCCTCAGGGAACGGAGCGCAAGGGGAAAAAACAGGATGGAACATCCGGACATCTATTAACCCGAACACTTAATAACCCGGACACCAGTGTATTCAGCCCCAGTGGGACACATTTCATCAACAGTTTTATATATAAACCTTTTCCAAGGAGCTCTGGCAGAGCGTGTTTTGCCCCGAGAGCAATGTCATTTCTTCGCAAATTCACAGCATTTGCTGTGGTGCTTTCGTTGGTGTTGAACGTATACATCTTCACTTATCCATCATTGGACTCAAAGCACTGTTCATGGAGCTACCAAAAGAGGATCCCAAGAGATGATCCACAATGGTTGAAACCTCTGAGATCGGTCCCTTATTTCAGCGATTTGATTGATCAATACCTATATCCACCTGTTTTTGAGGTTCCAAAGGTACCAGACATCAAGATGCTGGCGTTCGGAGACCCTCAGATCAAGGGGAATTGGCCATCCACTCCGTACATCAAGAGACTGGACACTTATGGTAATGACTACTACTTGGGACATATCTACCAAGTGATGAAGCACAGATTGCAGCCAACCATAGTGGCACCACTGGGTGATCTCTTCTCAAGTCAATGGATCAGTGATTCGGAATTCTTCAACAGAACCAGACGTTACGTCACAAGACTGTTTGATCAACCAGATGAACAGAGAGAGTACGCAATTAATATTGTTAATGAGCATGTTGATATTGACTGGAGGAAATTCCTCGAGGAAACAAAGGGTACCGACTTGAAAGATTTCGAATTTGGTTACAGTGATGTCTACGATTGGTGTACGCCAAATTACGCTAAGAGATTTGCCAATGAACCGTTATTCATCAACGTTAGTGGCAACCATGACATTGGATACTCTGGTGATGCAACATGGCAGCATATGGCACGTTATCGTTCGCTTTTCGGCAAGGATAACTACTGGATAGAGTACAACCGTGGCACTCCTCATGCGTACAGAATTGTCGTCCTGAACTCATTGCTCTTGGAAGGCCCAGCTTTACAGCCAGAGTTCTTGAATTACACATGGGAGTTCCTCTATCAACTATTCGAGAGAAAATTCGACGGTGCCACTATTCTGCTGACCCATGTCCCATTCTACAAGGAGGAAGGCTTCTGCGTAGATGGACCACATTTCGAATACTACGAAAACTACGAAAGAGAACCTTACAAAAATGGTAAGCTGAGGTCGCAGAACCACTTGAGTAAAGACGTGTCACAACGTGTCCTCTCCCTGGTCTTTGATGAGAACCCTGGAATCGTCCTCACCGGGCATGACCATGAAGGCTGCGAAACGTACTACAACTTGAACACAACCAGTGGTGAATGGTCCGCAACCAAAGAAAAGAGCAACAAGCCTGGTGTCGTTAGAGAGGTCACGGTCAGAGCCATGATGGGAGAGTACGGTGGCAACAGTGGGCTGATGACAGGTCATTTCAACAAGATGCAAGGAAGATGGGAGTTTGACTTCAACCTGTGTCCATTCATCATCCAGCACGTCTGGTGGGTCACTAAAATCGCCACAATAGTTGCAGTGATCCTCTCATCCACCGTCTTCATCTTTGCATTGTGATGTTATATCTATATACGCTTGTTCACATCTTCAAGGTCAAATGGAATAAAATAAACCGTACTTATAGCCTATGCCCTATAACTGGAACTGTTGCGCGTACCTCATCTCTTCACATACAAAAAAAAATTCAGGTGAAAAACTTTTCAGTACTTTTCCCATTTATTTCTTGCTTCTTTACAGAAATTTACAACCAACAATTTGGCCCAAGTTCTTATTCTAACTCCTATGAAACGTCACGTAATGGTCACTTTGCTCACTTCTTTTAGTGAGCGAAGTGTTCTACTTTGCCTTGCCTATTCAGTTAGGAAGGCGATACTTTCAGGATTTGTACCATATGGTGAATTGCCGAGGGGGTTTTAGAAGATGGTTCTTTGGGTTGAAACAGTTTGGTGAGAATAAAAGTTCTCTTTGGCCTCAAGAATTTGCTATCCTTGACTCTTTAGGACGATAGTGGATCCCGTTAGGTCAATACATTCTACCCAGTGTGCTTTTTTTTTGTACTCTTAGTCTTCGAATTATCTTTAATACGATTTAGCATAGATGTGATGCCCACTTTTGAAAGGTCTGAATGAGTGAATCCCTATTCGAGTATAGGATAATAGTCATGTTGAACCGTATAGTATTGAACCGTACTGTACAAACCTGACGGTTCGTTATACGGAGCCTCGCAGACTATACCCATTCAGCAAACAACCCGAGGGTATCTGTAGCTGTGGAACGCAGTCTTGTGCCTATAATAATCGCTGGCTTGAACCTATGGCGTGTTCTTTGAAGCATATAAAGCGAGGTGATTTGAGACCCAATTCCATTCAGCCTTGATGTATAAAGTGAGCATTTGTAACTTGAATGCCCAATAACCGCAACACCTTCGCTCCAAAGTGCACTTCCATGACCAATTAGCTCATACAGTCCTTGTTATAAACGTTTAGCCAATACAAAATATCAAACCTGGTTGTTTAACCACTGTATATCATTTCACGTATGCCCCCACAGTGAGCCATGGGTCACGTGACTTTCCCCGACGTGGTGTTTGGATGTTGTGAGACCACCACGTACTATGGCTCTGATTATATACAACTGTGTGCAATTAAACTACTCTTAAGCAGTTTTATTCTCACTATTCTTACTACTAGTACATAATTCCCGCTTAAACTAATTAAATATCATATAATTATGAACATTTACAATATATTTTCTCAAAATTCTGGAGTAGAGATTATGTACAGAAGTTCTACTACGATAGTAATCAAAATGGCCAAACAATAATACCAAAAACTCACCAATTATAACAAGTCCAGATTCTTTACACAGCTATCATCATCATAATCAAATGTTAATATACAAACATCGCCATATGGAATATCCACCAGTGTATAAAATCCCCATTTTGACGTCTTCGCTATCCCAATTAGGTAGACTTCCTAATCAGGCAATTTTGCACCTGTAAGGTGTATTCGGGTTTTCCCTCCCAATATCGGACAACTTCCTTCGCCCACAAACTTGTGATGCTTCTCCCTTCTTCCTTCAACATCCCCCTGTTGTGGTAGCCAATTGAACCAAACCAAATGTCCTTTTTCCAGAACTTATCAAAGAACCTCCAAACTGGGCTCAACGAGGGTTATAGCCAGGCTCAGAAGCTCTCCTCTGAGATCACCCCGCTGGCCCAAAGAACTGCCAGACAGATACAGGAGAAGCTGGGTCAGACTGACGATATCTCCCAGTTGCCTCAGGAGTACACTGAGTTGGAGCAGAAGGTTGACCTGCTGAAGTCTGTCTACAAGACACTGCTCTCGGTGACCTCAACATTTGATTCCGAGTCGTATGACTACCCAAACAACGTTAAGGAATCTGTCACAGAGATGTCAAAGAACTTCACAAACAAGGTTGAGAAGTTGGCCTCTGCCAGATCTACCTCTGAAGCCCATGCCGTCATCGTCAGTGAGAACCCACGCTCATTGCCAAAGACTTTGAACCAGGCTCTCTCCACTGCTGCCAATGTGTCTGCTCTCAAGATCCAACAGCTATCAACTGACGATTCTCTTGACATTGTTGCACAAGGGTTAACTCAGGTTGGCCAAGTGGAGGCCAAGATCAGCGAGGCTAAGCTGCAACAGGACAAGCTCATCCAGACAAACGTGAACAAGCCATTTGTCTTGCAATTGAAGCAGTCTTTGTCAGTTGCAGACAGGGCTAGAAAGAACGTTGAGAACAAGAGATTGTCCTACGACGCTGCCAGAAGCTCTCTCAAGAATTGCAAGCCTGAGAAGGAGGCAAGTCTGAGAGTGACGTTAGAGTCCTTGGAGGACGAATTTGCAGCAGCCACTGAAGATGCTGTTGTTGTTATGAAGGATGTCTTGAAGAAAGCTGAGGTCCTGGAGCAATTGACAGAGTTAATCACTGCTCAATTGGCCTTCCACAAGGCTGCTAGTGAATTGCTAGGTCAACTCTTGCCAACCTTGGAGAACTTGAAAGAGGATGCCGGTGGTAAGGTGTTGTCCGATATTGAGGATGCTGATATATAAAAGTAGCACTCAGAACTCCTTTTTTTACTCTCTGTGTATGTATATGTATACCGGTGTGATTTGCTTCTAATATATATATATTCTTGTTGTTGCTATTAGATTTATGTATTCATTCATTCATGTCGATGTCCCACTGTGCTGAGATATCCCATCTGCTACCTGGAGCGTTATAGCTCACGTATTTGACAAACTTCAAGACACTTGGATCTCTAACCATCAACGTGAACTTGTTCCAGCACGCCTGAGTGTTCACCAACACCGAGTCGTCACCATCAGCAGAGCTCTTATAGATAGCTGGATCATCGCCTTCTTCATCGTCGTCATTTGTAGCCATACACAATTCATAACCTCCAAATTCACCAGATTCCCAATGCTTTGAAGGTGTCAAGTTCAACGTACCTTCGAGAAGAGCATCTTGTTTGGAATCAGAAGTGTCAACTGACGTTGCGAGGATGAAGTCATGGCCTGGTCTAAACCTTCTGACGATGATCTGGTCAGAGATTGGAATCAAATCAGTTATGATTCTAAGCCATTTTTTGAAACTCTTAGACTTCATAAACGAGCTCAACTGTGTCAATTCCCTTGTAGTCTCATCCTTTGCCATTTGATTGGTCAACTGGAAGTTTGGAGATTCCTGAACTCCGTTGTTGGCCAATTTGACGCCTTCGACGGTCCACTCTTCAGGTTGTTTACCATCCATGTACATGAACCTCCATTTATGAGGAGGAACAGCCATTTTCCAAGGGAACGAGACTTCTTCACGACGTTTAGGCATGACAGAGTCGAGTTCATGAGAGCGAATCAGCTTGTGCAAATGCTTTGCATAGTCATGGTTCAAGAGATCGTCGATTTGCAAGAGGTTCTCCTCTACAAACTTCTTCTGCAAAGACACCAGCTTGTCAGAGGTGAGCAGCTCTGGATTCATATACTTGGATAGAAATTCCAAATCGAAAGCGTCCAGTGGATTACCATCTGTGTATGACTTGATCTCATACGAGGAGAATGGCAATCTAACCTCCTTAGGGAAGTCGTACTCTTGTAGCTCCTTAGATTCCAGCTGTTGTAGAGTGGACTTCGCCTCTGTTTCCTCCTGCTCGCCCTCAATGAACCCATCTTCACCTCTCTGTGGTATATGGTACCAGCCTTGAATGGACAATCTCTGCTTGTCCACTCTGACCTCTTCAACGTCGTGGAAGCTCAAGCCTGGCTGCACTTTGAAGAAGGCCATCTCGTTAAACTGAGGAATGAACTTATGGGAGTAGTCACACTCAGGCACGTTAGGAACCAGCGCAGGAAACAGTCTCAGAGCACCACCGTAGTGTTCCTTCCAGTGCTTATCTGGGTCCGGCAGGTATAGAATGAAACTCACTCTTCTCGAGCCTATAACGTCATCGTGGGTCAGCAGATGACATCCTTTGGTGTACGTGTTGATACTCATGTCAGTCTTGACACCACTGAGCTTGCCACACTGTGTCACTTCGGAAACAAGGTCTCTGAACTCTTGCGAGTAGAGCGCCTCTCTCAGCTTGAACACTGAAGGCAGCCTGGACAGGTCGTCCCAGTCCAGTCCGGACAGATTCGCCAAATCGCCCGACTGGAACACCTTGTAGATGTCAGTCTCCTTCAGCGTGAAGTGGATCTCCTTCTCAACCTCCTTGCGAACGTTTCTCAGCAACGTGTCGTCAAACAAGTGGTGGAAGTGGCCCCATCTATAGGGCTGCGACTCTTTGATCGACTTCCTCAGCGACTTCACGTGCTCCTCATCAAAGATCTGTGCGCCAAAGCACTGCCTGGTGTCCTCCTTGTTGAACTTCGTGTTCTGCTTCTTAGCAACAGGTGCCATTCTCAACCGCTGTCGTCGTGTCTGCCTGCCTGTCTGCCTGCTCGTGGAAGGAGATGGGAACGATGAACAGAGATGAGCCCATAATTTTCCCTCTGCGCACCCGTAGGCTCGAGCCTACGGGTGCGCACATGATGGCCTGCGATGGCCTGTTGCACATAACAAACCGCTTAATACCCGCTGTTTGGTGCCTACGATGCGATTACACGGACGATGGAGCGTACATTTCTATGTAGTGGTGGCAGTAGCAGTGGCAGTAGCAGTGGCAGGATGCGAGAGGCTGGCGAGTGGGCACACTCATCCATGCTTTGCACGGTGGTGAGGGTCCAGAGGCTCCACAACCAGCTTCTCGAAGGTGTACATCTGGCTGATCTTGGATTGTCTCTTCAGCACCTCCAGTTCTTCCCTGGCCTTTTGGAACTGGACATCCACCTGCTCGCTGGTGCTGAGTGACTTGCCCTGCTTGAAGGCATCGCGCGATCTTCTCAAGAAGTAGTTTCTGAAGTTGTAGTTGGAGAACTTGGAGGCGTTACGCACGAACTCCCGGTAGAGGGAAAGCACCTGCTGCTTTGTAGGGGACATTACTGGTGAAACCGGCTGATATTCGGAGAGAGGGCGGACAGCGTGTGCGACGAGCGTTGGAGAGCCGTTGGAGGTTGATTTTCCCACTGTTTCCACCGTATACGACGAGCTCAGGATTGGCCACTTGGAGAGGAAGCTGGTTGCGTCGACTTTCCAATTCGCCTCGCTTCCGGAGAAACGCCCTTGGGGTAGCAGGACAGCCCCGGAAGAGCCCTCGGAATATTACGTAAGCAGCGTCATGGTGGAGGGAATGTGCTCTTTTCAGAACATTCTGAAATGGTGTAGATTCTGAGAGAAATTCCTCTTTGATACAACAGAGGGCGCTACCAGGCCATCACACAGGAAGTGGAAGAGGAAGAAGAGCATATAACGATGATAACTGGAAACACACAGGTGGACTACACGCTTGTGATCCTCTTCAGCGTGGCCAAGACGTCGACGCTCAAGCTGCTGACGCTTGTGCAGAGCCTGTTCATAAACTATCCAGACGTCGCACTTGTGTCTCTCATAGTGCTGGGCTCGTTCCTCCTGTACTACTTGATCCTCAACGCAGTGAGAATCGTGTACAGCCTGGTGGTCAACGTCATCAAGCTCACGCTGATGCTGTCGGTCTTGATACTTATCTCGTGGATCTACCTGCGAGGGTTCATAACGTTCCAAAACGACATGAGACTCGTGGTGGACTACACCTCGAAACTGGACCCAAACTCGACAATCTCACATCTCAAGGAGTACATGGCCGGCATAAGCGGATTCCTGGATATATAGCCCCAATACCATGCTTTAAACCCATCTATACACGTATAGTTAGTGTCCTTCGCACATAATCGTTGTAGACCATGTCTTCTTACTAAGATGTTACGTAAGCAGCAATAGCTTATTAATATCTTACGTAAGCACCCGTCCTCGTGTCCTTCCCGAACCAGGCGAAGTGCTCAGGGTTTATGGGTCATCGAACCGTTCATGGATACACAACGCAGCCATATTCGTCCATAAGAAGAGCGAACTACTAAGAGAAAGAGCGTGAACAGGATGGTCAAGGATACTGAATACTACGATGTGCTTGGGATTTCCCCTGATGCGTCGGCTAGCGATATCAAGAAGGCGTATCGTAAGAAGGCAATGTTGACCCACCCTGACAAGAACCCTAATGATCCTGAGGCTGCGAAGAAGTTTCAGGAAGTTGGTGAAGCATACCAGGTTTTGAGCGATCCAGACCTCAGAAGCCGTTACGATGAGTTTGGTAAGGACCAGGCGTTGCCGGAGGAAGGATTTGCGGATCCGTCAGAGATGTTCACGGAGATGTTTGGTGGTGAGAACTTCAAAGATTGGATTGGTGAGCTCAGCATGTTGAAGGATCTGACCGAGACTGCTGAGGTTCTACAGGTTGATGGTAACGGCAACGGTGAAGCTGCTGCTGATGGAGCAGCTGACTCTACTGATTTGCAGCACAAGGCTGACTCTGAAGTTGGAGCCAGTGCCACTGGCACTGGCGCTGGCACTGCCAATGCCAACGCTAAGAAGAGCAACAAGCTGACAAAGGAGCAACGTGAACAGCTGGTCCAACTCAGAGAGAAGAAGAGGGCGGAAAAGCTGCAAAGAGTTGAAGAGTTGTCCAAGAAATTGGACGCGAGACTGTCAAAATTGATCTTGGCTATGAAGGACGAAGCAGCTTTCCAGAAATTCATCACAGAGCTGGATAAGGAGATTGACGATTTGAAGATGGAATCCTTTGGCTTGGAATTGTTACACGTCATTGGTAAGGTCTATCATGTAAAGGCCAATGCTTATCTGAGATCCAAGAAGACCTTTGGCCTAACCAGAATCGTTTCCTCGCTACGTGAAAAGGGTTCCACTGCGAAGAGCGCGTGGAATATCCTTTCAACTGCTCTCGATGCCCAAAACACCATGGAAGAGATGGCCAAAGCCCAAGAAAAGGGCGAGGAATGGGATGATTATCAAAGAGCTGAATTCGAGCGTAAGATGACTGGCAAATTCGTTGCAACGGCTTGGGTCAGCTCCAAATTTGAAGTTCAAGGTGTCCTTCGAGAAGTTTGTGATCAAATCCTTCAGGATAAGTCAGTTCCTTCAAAGGAGAGATCCTTAAAGGCTCAGGCCTTGTTGATCATGAGCAATGAATTCTTAAAGGCCGAAAGATCTGAGGAAGATGCAGAAGAGGCAAGAGTCTTTGAAGAGTTGATGTACGAAGCCACTACTAAACCAAAGAAGAGATGAACTTGTCGTTTTCTATATATAATCATACCTTGTACTATTATATTTCCGTTCAGTCGTTTAATTTGTTCTTGATCCTGCCATTGTCTTTAGGAAGGGGGTAATAGTATGCTGCTTGCACAGTCTAAATCAATCCCCAGCTTCTTTGGGAAGGTTAACACCATTCACCTCATAATACCTTGAAACACAGCTCTCCTTTGACCAAGTGATATCGTCTGCTGGGTTACATGTACACCTTGATCTAAGCCTGATATCGATATCCTTCGGACACTGGTTTAAATTCAAGTTCTTTAGGGACTTGTCTATGACACCAACATTGTTCATGAATTGAAGCTTTTCACGGCTTTGTAAAAGAGTGACACCAATAGTTCTGATCGTTGATTCATCCCAGCCTTCGTAGTATAGTCCATTACGTTCCTCCAGAAATTTTGCCAATCTTTGGTACTTCTCACCACGGAAGAATTTCAAATTACCAACCTCTAAGCTCGATCTGAAATGGCAACCGTTGAAGCTTTCTGCCTTGTCATCCGAGACAAAGTCCAAAAGGTGATCTGGATCAACGTCATCAGGATTTTCTTCTATATAGTTCTTCACAGACGACCAAAGCGTGGGGAATGCTCCAGGAGAATGACTGGTTGCAAAGGTGAACATATAAGTCTTCTCCATCTTCTTCATATACTCAAATGGATCCACGGTGAAGTCACAGTACGCAAATGTATCAGGGTTAACCCTCATGTAATAGTCATAGTCCTGTAAGAAGTCCATGTTGAATATTTCCCTGGACCAAAATTTATTGAAATGCCTTTGGTTGTCATTCTTGGCCTGGGAATCTGATGATTTCATCCTTAACAACTTTCTATGCCTTGAAACCTCTGCTCTGTTAATGCCACTTGGGAATGAGAGATACGTAGCTCGATCAATCTTGTGGAACAAAACATTGCCACTAGCTAGTCTGGAGACCGTTCTTTGAAACGACGACGAATGGGACATGTCCGAGATGAATACCCAGTCGTAATTATGAGCCTTGTTAAACCGCTCTTCCATCGTAAACACCGTATCCACGATACGCTTCAGGTCCGAATTTCGTGCCTGGAGAATGAATGCAGCCCTTATCGGAGTGTTATCTTCGCCACCGTTATCATGGAGATTGCCATCATTATCATCATAGTTATCTTTTACCTCACCCTTTCCAGAGAAACCATTCACGGGACTCTTCGAATCCTCCGCAGGTCGCGGTTCACTGTCCATCACCACCACATCAGACTCGCCCACCGTCTTAGCACTGCTCTGAGTAGAGTCCCATGCATCGTTCAACGACTGCACAGCACCATCATCAACAACCAACATGCCAATAGTTGTAAAGAGTACAACCACGGCAAACATGGAAAAGACCCACACTTTTGACCTGAGGCCCAGTCTGCTCAGCCCGTGAACCAGAAACCTGAGCTGTGACATCTACAAGCGAGAGAATCAGCTATAAATTGCACTTAGATGGTCCAAAGTTGTGTTCTAGCGCATCGAAGAGCCCGAGACATTTCTAGGCGGTGTTTTGTGCTTAACTACGTGTGTACGTGTGTGGTGTATGTAACTGTGGTTACGAAAAAATCCTCCGCCCCCGCGAAAATTCCCCGATATAGCGATTTGCTTACAACAAAACGGCGGTTTCCCCGTTGCCCATCTGCTGCCGGGATTTTTCGTTCGGGCACTCCAACAAAAACAAAAACAAAAACAAAATAACGTACACAAAAACGAAAAATGTAAACAAACCCTTTGTTGTTTTTGTTTTTGTTTACAAACCAGGATCACTCGAACACAGCGGCTCAGCTCTGAAGCACGGACAGAAGACACACAGATCACTGCTTCTCCATCGCTAACCTATCTCGAATCCGTTTCCTATAAACCGCTGCTGGTATTGCTGGTATTGCTGGTGCTGCTGGTGTTCACCCTCTGGGTTGTTGATATTGTTATCGCCATAGCGCTCCAATGTTCAGGTCAAAGCCGTTGATTGCTACTCCAAGGGAGGCAAAGCAGCCTGCGAACCACAGGCTCGAGTTCACTCCTCTTGGCGGAGAGAGTAAGCACTCACAGTACGCTGATGGAAGTATGCAGAAGAAGAAGAATGGGAAACAGGACGCTGCTATCCACAACCTCATCAATAACAGTAACTCCTACAACAGACGTGCTCTGAAGCCACACAACAGTCCTCAGGATAATAAACTGAACGGCGGCTCGTCGTTCCTGGAAGAGAGCACGTATGACTCTATCATACAAGATACGTTGAGACAACAACACGATTCAGAGGGGAAGTCCTCTTATTCGCCCATCCATAACGATTTCAACAACAGAGACTTGCTAAACAATGGGTCCAACCCTGTGAGACAACAACAGGAGGAGATTTCGGAGCTGAAGAGTGAAAATTATAACTTAAAAGTGAAGATTGCATCTTTGAATAAGTATCTCAATGCAATTTCCACTCATGATCAACAGTTTATCTATGAAGAAAACTCAAAATTACAAGAGCAGATCATAGCGTATCGCTCTGAAATCTCACAGCTAAATAGAGAGCTTTCGTGCCAAAAGGAACCCGTTTCACATGTACAGGAAGACTCCTCTGAACTAAATCTGTTACAAGAGAAGTTGAATCGTGAAATGGAGGAGAACGACAGGTTAAGGGAGGATATAGAGGCCCAATTTATGGATTTGGAAGACTTGCGGGGCAGTCACAAGTCTCTTAAGAAGAGTAAAGAAGAATTGGAAAGAGAAAACTTGGAATTGGAGGAAAGATTAAGAGAATTGGAGAACACTGAAAGATCACGCGCAAGATCTTCAAGTCCTGTGTCGAAAACCTTACTCAGTGAACTCTATGCTAAAATTGAAGATCTTCAAAATGTTAACGAAGACAAAGACCATGAAATACGTCGTTGTGAAAATGAAATCGATGAAAAAGCTGATCTGATTGAAGACCTTGAACAGAAGTTGAAAGATTGGGAACAGAGATCGTTTCACGATACCGCTGCAGAGTCGAAATTGGAAGAGTTGAAATATTTGCTCCATGATAGAGACAGCAAAATTGCACAACAGGACCGTGAGCTTCAATTGATAAAGGATGAACTTGAGCATAGCAAATCAAAGACATCAAAAAGTCTACACGAAGTTCAGGATCTAACGAGTGCATTGCATAACGCTGAAAGAAAGTTGTCATTATTGGAAGAAGAGCAAGCCAACAGATCGAATGGAGATCATTCAGCTCAACAAATTTTAAATCTCAAGAGGGAGAAGATTGAATTAGAGACTGGATTAGAGAGTTTGAAATCCAAAATAAGAGAGTCCAAATCTATCATCGAAGAGCAGAACGATGTGATTGAGGAGCTCAAGCAATCATCCTACAAGTTGGAAGAGACTAACCGTGAAAGAGAACGTTTGATGATCAAAATCGAACAACTAGAGAGGGAAAATGAGAGAACCTATAAGGCTTATAACGACCTCAAAAAATCTTTACACAGTTCCCAGAAGTCTGAACACGATGAGCGATATTGGAAGGCGGAAATTGATCTCCTTTCAAACCAGATTGAGGATTTGAATTTTGAGAATAACAAGCTTCAACAAGATTTGGATAGGCAAAGAGCAAATAAATTAGGCAACGACGATTCATATGCAAAGCTTGAGGTCAAGTCTCTATCTGCAAGATGCAATGAATTACAGATGGAATTGTCCGATAAGGAAAATTCTTTGCAGAGACTTTCCTCATCCCACAAGAGAGAACAAGAACGTTACAAGTCTTTGCTTCAAGAGAGAGAGGATGAATTGGTTAAGCTGAAAGATGAGATACGGTCGTTGAAGATCTCGACTACCCAGAAGATTGATGATGAAAAGATTGAGCTCTTGAGACTTAAGGGCTCTAAAGAGGGCCAAGTGAAATTGCTACAGATTGAGTTGGAAAACATAAAAGAACAGAATAAGATAGAGGTTCAATCTTTAAAGAGCATCATTGAGAAGTTGAGGAAGGACACACCTAAAAATGATTCATTTAAGGAGACACACATCGACAAGAGTGAACAGCTATTACAGAGTATCACCGATAAGAACAACAGAATCAAGTTTTTAACAGAAAAGTTGACAAAGTCTCTTGTTAGTATAAAGGAACTTCAATCAATAATTTCCAGTTTGGAGAGATCAAGGGAAGATTTGAAACTTGACAACAAGAAACTTGAATCAGATGTGGATCAGCTTTCGGCAAAGATATACGAACAGAAAAGAGATATCCAGAATCTCGTTGATAATGCTGTTGACTATAACGATTACGACAGCATTCGTATGAAGTTGAAACTCAGAGAGAGACAAATTGAAGAGCTTGATCAGTTGAAACGTGAATTAACAATGAAGATTCGTGAAGTATCTGACGAGAACGACTCATTACAAGGAAAGATCGAAAAAATTGTTAAGAAGTATCGTCAGCTACAAAATTCAGTGAATGACACAGTGTCACAATCGAGATCGTTGGTCAAACTTCAGGAGAAGGCCGATCTGTACAAAATGAAGAACACCAAGGCAAGCTATAAGATAAGAGACTTACAATTTATTAACAACTTCATGGTGAAGTCCATCCAAAGTTCGAACAATCACATAAAGCAAGATATCAAAAAGATGCAAGCGGTTGGCATATATCCCGACTATGACCTCATTTGCAGAAAGAAGCTATCTTTATCGGTTCTATTCAAATTTGTTGTTGCTGCTGTGCGTATCAAACGTAAGACAGAGCATAGTGCAAAGAGAAACGAAAGGATTGAACTTTTGGAGCTAAAACTGTTATGATCTACACGAATTTATCAATTTAATGGTTGCTAGACTCCTACATGTAATTTTAAATAGTTATCAAAGTCGTAAAAGTCATTAGTGTTGCTGGGGCTGTATATAAATTTATATAGGACGAGTGTTTGCCAATGTATCAAGCATTGACGTTCTCGTGCGAACGGTTCAACAACCCAACTGTGATTGAACTGCTTCTTGCTCTTGATTCAGAGTCCTGTGAACGTGGTGAAATGTTTGGCATAACCCTGTGATAGTGGTTGGCGTACTCAGATGCCAAATGGGCATTCTCAGTAGACACGGGGGTCTTTGGAGCATTGTGAATCAATGGTGACGCAATACGCCTCAAAGCCAGAGACTCTTTATAGCCCATAGGGAGCTGTTCTGGACGTTGATTGTTGGGTCTAGCAGTTGAAGCCACAGCCATCGAATGGCGTTTTCTGCTGCTACCAAAGGATATCATCAACTCGTCAGCAGAGGAGGAGGAGGATATATCCGTCTCATCACCACCGGAGTCAGGCACATGCATCAGCCCACCAGCAATACTTTCAGGAATGGTCTCAGCCCGAGAGATTCCAACGTCAGTAACATACGTACTGCTGTCCTCTGCGTCATCTTCATCACTGGTGTTGGCAAAGATCACCTCCGGCTCAGAGTTTGACTCAGACTGGGATGAATTCTCCATAAAGCTATACTTTGGCTTCGATTTGCCTGTTGTGGATCTCTGTGCGTTCGTCTGCTGACGAGGAGGCGTAACCATGTCTTGGATAAGATGTGATGGTATTGATAGCTCTGAGATTTGATCATCGCCATAGTCACCGTCGCTTTCTGTTGTTTCGTCTGATTCAGTATCGGAATCAGAGCCATTGCCAAAGTCAAATACTGTATGCGGTGCCATGTTATCCTCTTCAAGACGCTTCTTAGTCTTGTTCAAGGTGAAATTCTGCATTTTTTGAGCAACATCCTTGTTACTTGGCCTTCTCTCCCGCGAGGTGCTCGTATAAGCGTACGAAGGTGCATAGTTATCCATGTACACTGAGTCCAAAGATGCAAATGATGCATTCACAGGCAACGAAACAAGCTGAGTACCCACAGGCATGGACGTCTCTGTTGAAATGGTGTTAAAGCTCTCTGATGTCACATTTGAAGACATTGGTGGGACACCCAGTGAGCTGACGGATGATCTGCGTTTATCCACATCCATGATGTTGTTCAACGAGCGCAATGCGGAATCATTTCTCACAAACAAGTCGCCTTCAACAGTCGTTTCTGTCAATGTGGCAGAGTCTCCAGATTTGACACGACGATGTCCATTTGTTGACGGTGGACTTCCTTCCGTCAACAGAATTGATGACACCTTAGAATTCGATGCCTCACTCAGCACGTAAGGGCCCTGGAATCCAGAAGAATGTGTTTGTTGAGCTGGAATTTGCAGAGGTCTTCTGAAACCAGCAAATTTCAAAGCCTTTGCAAAACCTCTCTTGAGCTTTGAGCCCAAGCCTGTCACAGCCACGTTCACTTCTTCATTGGAAACTTTGATCTTCTTTTCGCACGATTTCTGTCCCTCGATGAAGATGGTAGCCTCTTCTAACGTCAAGTCTCTTAGAGTGAGAGGATGCTGTTTAATCTCTCTAATCGTCAGTCTGCTGGAGGGGTCCTTGTCTAAGATCTTTGGTAGGAAGTTTCTCACATTACCCTTATCCTGAGGTGTGAAGTGATCAGGGAATTGTTCCGGGATATCCAGTTCTTCATGACATATAACGTCAAAGAGCTCAAACTCGTTCTTTGCCCAGAAGGGCAACTTACCAAACAGGAAACAGTATAGCGTCACTCCTAGTGCCCAGATATCAATCTTGTAGTTGATCTTTGGGTGCTGCTTATCATCCATGGAGAATCCACAGAGCTCTGGGGCTAAGAAGGCTGGGGTACCTGCACTTTTAGCCAAATCGTAATCATCTTGTTCACCAGTCTTGAGAGATGAAGCAAATGACACACCAAAATCAGAGATCTTCACAGCACCATTCCCTGCAATGAGCAAATTTGCCGGTTTGATGTCACGGTGGACGATGCCTTGATAATGCAAGTATTCCAAGCCTAGGACAACGTCTCTAAACACTTTCATGGACTCACTGATGGACATTAACGGCACACCAGGTGCCCTCTGCCATTTAACCTCACCTCTCTCCAAGTATTCGAGCACCAGGTATATTTTTCTGGAATTTTCATCATCCATCACCTCCTTCAACTGTACAACATTTGGATGGTTGATCTTCTTCATTATGGCAATCTCTCTTCGAACCTTCTCCTCATGGGTATCGTGCTGTCTGAAGGCCCTCTTTGGCGACTTCCTGTCAATGATTTTGATCGCAACCAACTCGCCGGTGAGTAGGTTCTTAGCGAGCTTGACCTTCCCGTGTTCGCCCTTCCCCAATTCCTTGACGATTTCATAAGAGTTCAATACTTTCTTCCTCGATACAGGGTCATAACCCAAGGAAACCTTTGTCGATTCCTTCACGGCAGGCGAGGAGTGGACATGGTATGGGTTCACCTGTGCCGGATGCATTTGTCTAGTCCCGAGGTTTGGATTCGGCAACGACGACCTTGTGGGTCTAGTCGCGTGGCTATTGCTCCCGGATCTCGAGGGAAATGGGTTTAGCACCGAAGGTTGACGGCCCGCAACCCTCGAATGGCCATGGACAAGCGGACATTTGAACAGCTGGGTCTCGTGCGATGGATGAATGATCTTATTCTGCTGCTGGCGCTCCACCAGTGAGGCCAGAGAATCTGTAGAGGAGTACGTTGAGCCCATGGTGGCCATAGGCGATATTGGCGGCGAGCTGCCATCCATGGTTTTGTGCAGGATTTCACTGACCATGCTTAGTCTGTGATGCGGGTTTGAAGGTGCGGTGTGATCAATCTGGAGACTAAAGTAATCGCCCTGCTGATCAGGTTGGCTTGGTCCGTTTGGTTGGCGTCGTGGTGTACAAGAGTCGTTATTTGTAGCCGGGGAACTAACCACTTCCGCAGGCGATAGCGCTCCCTTGAGATGCGTAAAGGAGATTCCCTGACCATGGGACAGGTTCCTCGTCTCCATTGTCGCACTGTGATGTCAATGTTTGTAGTGGTACTTTATTTCCCTTTTCTTTCGATTGTTTTGAGTTTTGTTTTCACCGTGAGCAGCTTTGCTGATTTTGTTGCTTTCGCTGTTGTCCTTTTTGATAGAAAAATTATTTGTTTGTGGCTGCTCGGCTTTGCGGGTTTGTGCAAATTTTACGCCAGTTCATTGCCGGCTTGTCATTTTTTGCACATGGTCATAACGAAAGAAGAAGAGGCCGCGAAATTTCCCATTTGAAAGTTTGGTTGGCTTGTGTTGGCCATGGGGTAGATATCTCTGTGATTGTTGTAGTCACAGAGTGCTTAAACTGTTCACAGTCTGAACCGGACACCTTGGACATCCACTTAATGTTTCATCCCAGCATGATCTTGGATGATTCGATACATTGGTGGTCACGCTCGTAAACACGGATGATTGACTAGTCTGCTAATGGTTTAACTCCTCGGTTGAACCGTGCGGTGAAGACCATGGAGAAAACAGACCAACAAACTGTTCTATCAAAGAAAACAAAACATGGTAGATAGAAGAATCGTTTCATAGATATAAAAACCAAGCCTGCTACTAGAGTCCAGTTATATGTGCAGCTCTCCGTAAGATCACCAACTGCTATCCAACTTCCTCTGTTCTACAGGGCTCAATATTAACAGTCACTGCTCAGACACTTGTACCTGGTCGTTCGTTATCTGCCACTAGGTCGCACCCACACGATTTCCCACATGATTTTGTGGCTAGCCACGGTATATTTTGGGGTTTGGATTTATAGCACCATCAACTAGTGGGTGTACTCCTCCAGGCACATGCAACATAATCAACCGTTCATTACCACATGTTAGCAATCAACACCACATTGTAATTTAACCAAGGCTTGGTGATCACATATTAATCGTGGAGCAGTTTCCAATCTCGGCGCACAAGAGTCACAAAATACAGATTACAGACGCTCCTATTATTCATTCATAATTGTTAAGTTGGCCTGGAGGTTATAGTGTCTTGGAGATTATTTTAAGGTTGTGGCGTGCATGAATATGCAGTGAGCACCATCCTGTGTACCTACTTATGAACTTTGCATATATCCACCATGCAGAGTTCAATTTGATATATGAGCAAAGCCCACATTGCTTCTGGCTTTGGGTCTGTGGCACAGTACATATATGAAATGGATTGATAAGTGTAAAGTGTTTTTTACCAAGAATTAATTTAACCATGATAAGAAGTTAGGTCCAATATAACTCCATGTGTGGGGCTTATAACTATGCCTCGTAAATACGCAGTGCGTGTGTGTTTACCGAACTTGCCTCGGTAACGATTGAACAACTTTGATAAAGATATACGATGTGGACATGCCAGGAAGACTGGACATTTCCCTCACGTTTTGTCCATTTAGTTCTACTCATGATTATGCATTAGCACATGAGCCAATCATTCTGCACTGCTTCGTTGGAGCCGCAGTTAATCACAGACAGACCAACATTGAGCCCAGTGCATGGCACATATTCATAAATTGAGTTTTCTTTCGATCATGAACCATGATTGTATGCTCACGGACAACAACTCGATTCTCCGCCTTCTATTTCGTGTTCATTCCTCTACCTGCCACCACGAGTCAAAAACCAACCTGTTGATTTGCTTGTACAGGTGTTCTTTAAATAGCCGCCAATGCGTCTGTTATAATTCTGTCGCCAACTCAAGGGGGTACCGGTTTTCACCTGATGAATTCTATCAGAGTCCATACAATAAGCTGAGCAAGGAACTCATGTTATTCTACCATCCATGGTCACCACAAGTTGCAGTGTTGTTAAATGGAGAAAATAAGGGAATCACACTAAGAGACAACTTTGCGCCATAGAGACAGAGAGCTGTGATTCTTCGGCAGAAAATGCTTTAACATCGATACATGATCATGAAACCCAGTGGGAGGTTTCTTTCAATGAATGTCACATAATCACAGCCATTCTAGTGGATTTAACTTTCTGGATATCGTTGTCATCTTATGACCCAAAGCACATGGTCTCAAGAAGAAGTTGAGGAAGGGGATGGCCATCGATTACTCTACGGCATAGTTGAACAGAAAATTGCCTTTTCGGTTAAAGCTGTACTATATAAACAGTGATCAAAGACAATGCATAAAATCCCTCAAGTATCCACGACATTCAAAATGGATCAACTACATGATCGTCTGTGACTATTCTGGGATCTTCAACAGCAACTTTCCTGTGGTTTTTCTTCCTTCCAAGTCTGCAGCCGCTTGTTTGTAATCCTCCAACGAATAAACCTTGCTGATGTCCACCTTCAACTTGCCACTCTCCACGAGCTCTTTCAAGCTTGCGGAGTAGTAGTCCCATTCTTCCGGTGTCACCAAGTAGTTGAACACTGTTGGTCTCAAAACTTTGAGATTCTTCGATGTAAGCGTCGAGATTGAGAACGGTGGAACAGCACCGCTGGCATTTCCAAATGACACAAGCGTACCTTTTCTAGCCAACGAGTCGAGCGAGATTTGGAAGGTATCCTTTCCCACACCATCGAATGACGCTTGAACGCCCTTGCCGTCGGTGAACTCTTTAACCTTTGCAACTGTATCATCGGTGGATGAGTTGATCAGATACTCAGCACCTGCTTCCTTAGCCAATTGAAGCTTCTCATCAGTGGATGCAGTTGCGATAACATGTGCACCTCTCAACTTGATCAATTGAGTCAACAAGAGGCCCACGCCGCCTGCAGCAGCATGTACAAGGATGTAATCACCCTTTTGGACCTTATAAGCTTCCTCGATAAAAGTCAAGGCCGTGAATCCCTGGATGAACAACGCACCGTACAATTGCAATTTCTCATCTGTTGTATCCTCTGGGAGCTTATAAATCTTTGATTTGGGGTTGAACTTTGTGAACTGTGCAAAGGTCCCAGCAGAGCCATACGCAACGTAGTCACCAACCTTGTAATCTTGAACGTTTTTACCAACCTGGACCACTACTCCACTGGCCTCACGTCCCAGAGTGTATGGTTTTTGCGAAGGATAAAGACCTATTCTGAAGTACTTCTCGATGAAGTTGACGCCTGCGTATTTGTTCTTGATCAGCACTTCATCGTCTGAGATTTGAGGGACTGCTGTATCCTCGTACTTGAGGACATCGAGACTCTCGCCTGTCTCGTGGATACGGATTGCCTTTTGAGTGGCTGGGATTGCAAACGATTTTGTAGACATTAATCTTTTACCTAGAAAGTTCTTCAACATGTAGAGAATACCGTCAGCTTCCCAATGGATAACCTGGTTCAAATGATTGGTGGTTTATATATGTATCTGGGACATTATTACACTGTGGCTTTCCCATTTCCAACAACGGGGGAGATTATTACATAATGCGCACCGGATAATTTGTCATCAGCAGCAGCACACGAATGAGTAATATGGGTGATCGGTGGGACAATCCAAGTTTGAAGGCACTCACGGGCGTGGAACCATAGAAACACGGGATTCAGCCGACACCTGTACAGATTCCAGCCCTTTCCACAATTTTATTCGTGTATATAAAAGGTGGATTTATTAGGGATTCCCCTTCATAGTTTAGGTCGGAAATCGCCTGGGCACGTGCATTGACGCAGGCCTTCCGACTTCCCATAAACTAGCTTCCTAACATCGCAACTCAGTTGCGGATCAAGTTTGTATGATTTACAATGTGGAAAATTACGATGTCTGGCATACCACCACATCCGCATGATGGTCCAAGATACGAACAAAGGCTGAGTGACACGGAACCAAGCTCTTATCTGTTGTAATTTGCAACTATGCGTAGTAGATAGAGTGATTCAAGAAGACGTCATAGTTGTATAACTTCTAACTTCCATGTACTGGGGATTTACTTCCAATGAGAGGCGTTCTGGGGCTCGACCCAACCTGGCCATTAGATGTCTTTCATGAGGCAAATCCGCTTGATGACACGCATGTGTGTGTGTCGGGCTACAACGCTGACACCAGCTTTCCGTAAAGTTCTTACTCCTATCAAATATCTTCGACATCAAGTGGGTTCTTCTGGAGGGGCTAAATGAGGGAATCCTTATCCTCAACTTTCCAATTGTTGACTGCATAGAATTGCTTAGCTATACGTGATTTAACCTTCATTCATCTGTACTGCGTGTAAAGTGGGTGGTACAATGAAGCACATACATAACACGGAGTACACGGTGAGGGAGACACATTTCCAAGCGACGAGTAACAAATTGGTTTCCCACCAAGCACGGCAAGTTCACAGCAGAATTGGATGATTTCTAGCCTCTAAACTGCTACAGATTTGTGTCCCTCTTGTCTGACGAATTGGCTGGTGGATGATCTTCAGGATGGCTCTAACGTCGGTTTATATGTGGGTGAGATGCGGTCTTTACGAGCTCATCGAGGTTGGGAGAAATCTTCTGCAGGGAGAAATTATTTATGATGTGCAATTATTAACAAGAACACACGTCTTTGGATGAGCCAATAATGGCTAATCCAATGGGCAATGCACAGGATAATTCTCGCCCTGTATTGATGTACGTAGAGAGTTCCACCGTGGATCGCTGTTCAAGCCAATGTTCTTTTACAAACAGTGTCAAGGTCCCGGTACATGCTCAATATTTGTTCGCTCGATGCAGATACGCTTGTTGCCGCAATGCTGACCACCCACCACGCTACTTCCTAATTCGACTGAGCACGTCTTTCGTGCACGGTGCCCACCACCACTGTCCGGTGTCGATCTACACCAGAAGGGACAGCTGGCTGAAGCACCCGCCCCTTAAAAAGTACCCATAAACGAAAGGATTTCTGCCTCAAAGTCCATTTGCACGAGAGGGGAGGGAAAATTGAACTCTGGAGGGCACATGGTGGACAATTCATCCCGGCTTAGCCATCGGAAACCTTTGTAGTAAATAACTGCTTTACGGGATTTATCAATTGTGTACAAATTACAAAAAAACACTAGTGCTTATAAGGTGATCAAGGAGGGTTTGGCGACCATCTTCTATGAAGCGGCAACGGGAAATGCCGAATTGTTCCTATCTGACCCTCCAACTTTCATAAGGTTTGACACAAAAGTTGTTCCAGGCTGGATTACCAATTCGTCCATTTGGTGATTAAGACGCCTTGAACTCTATTATTTCGATAGTTAACCGCACGTAGCATTAGGTTGGGCATCGAATGCGAATCGGTGTGCCTTGACCATAGAAATGTAGGCTACTCTCTCGGCACCACTCTATGTTCATAACCGCACGTTTACAACTGTTGTGTTTTGACGCTACTGGATACAGTTGAATATTCGTTAATTTCGTTATAGACATAGTTGCTTTATCTGGATGAAGAAGAAGGTTGTGATTGTAATGTCGACTTGCAGTTACTCAATTCGATGATCTGCTCAGCTTTACCGACCTCCATTTCTGGGCAAGGTCAGTACAGACGGGTTCAAAATTCTCATCTCTTTCAGTAATATGGTCCAGCCATCTTTCTGCTGTCATCTCACGGCCACAGAGACAATGTCCTTTATATTGGAGTTTCTGTTGTAAAGACTTCATCTTCTTCACTGAGGGATCCTTGAGGATGAAATGTGTGTGTAATAAGTGCTTCTTAAAATCGTACTGTCTGTTAAACGCTCCGGTCTTGTGGTTACAACACTCCTTTGGATACACGCATCTGAACCTGGAAACAGGGTCATGCGTTCGTCTGTGTCTAACGAAATCCCTTGTGACCTTGCGCCCACAGATATCGCACTGATGAACAGTTCTTGGTTTAGTTCCGGCTTGCTTCTCCTGAGATCTGTCGATAACTTCAACTGCTGGAGGTTGAACATAAGGTGTGGTGTAAATAGGATAAACCATTCCAGATGGCATCGTCATACTTCCGGTGGAGCTCAAAGAGCTTGAAGAGGATCCATGTGCAATATGGGCCAATTGTAACTGTTGTTGTTGTTGTTGTTGTTGTTCAGGTGCCTGAGAAGTCCTGGAAACGGTAAAACCAGAAACGTTAGTCGAATGCTGAAGTGCCTGATTTTCTGATGGAGAGTTCGGCGACGGGACAGAATAACTCAAAGATCTATGACGTGGTTGTTGATTCCATGAAAAAGTCGACGGTATCGAGTTCTTTCTTGGTGTGTATTTGTTTTCAACCGTTGATTTCTGGGACGGCGGAAGCATTGTTTGGTAGGACATTTGTCCCTGTAACGGTTCATAGCTGTTTGAGGATACCGAGCCAGCTGGCATAATGACGACCGGTGCCAATGGGGGGTTCAGACTGTTGATAAAGCTTTCAGTGAAGGCGACAGAAGGTAGTCGCACCCTGGTTCTTACTCCATATTCACCGTCAGGCTGTTCGACCTCTTGATTTGAGCTTAAAGACGCCGAGGACGCCGAGACACCTCTCTTGAGGTAGTTGGTCGAGTTTGACATCATGCTAAAACTTGGGCGGAAGTACTGATCAGTTGGCGTGCGATATGAAAGGGGATCTGTAGAGATTTGTGGACCATAAAGTGTCATTTCGAGGATTCACCAGTATATTAACAGGGGTGGAATTGATAAACGAAAAACACACAGAGAGCTCGTGACTTGAATGAAACAGGTGGCCTTGAAGAGGATATCTATTTAAATAAATACCTCGTAGTTGGTACACCGTACGATGGAGGAGACACTCACAAGCGACCAATCACCAACTCAAGCAGGAGAAGGCAAGTTCCTGTATATATAAATGTGTGTGAATGTACGTGCGCTGGTGGTGTATGTACTCTGTATGTATACTCCTATGCCCTTCAGTTCTTGATTTGCGAGCAAGCGTACATATATCGTAACCTACATGAGACTATTGCAGGAGGACTTGTCTTTGGAGGTGTCTCTACTTAAATACAGCAGAAGAAATTAGGAAAAAAAGCAGGCGAACCAATAAAGTCCTATCCAGGATATGACGCCTTGATGACATTAGCAATTAGCACCTTTCTTCATGACTTTGAGGATTGAACAGACAACCATTGGGGAACAACTATTTGATTGAGTGATGTAATCAAAGTGGGATGCTCACTCGAAATTTCAGTTTACACGACGCACAAAAAAAAAGAAAGTGCAAAGCCAAAAAAAGAGGAGATCTGACAAGCTACATCTAGATGAAGTATGGACATGCATACATATGTATTAGAGCTCCAATAGGTGCATGATGTCCGCAGAAAAGAACAGATTTGTACCGTGCATTACAGAAAATTAGGATAGGACCGGGAAGTGGGAAGTTCGGACTGTGTAGAGGACCATTAGAGAAGGACAGGTGAGGTGGTCAAATGACCCAGGGCCCCTGCTTTCGGGGAGGGTGGTCAGGAGGACGGCATTGAGTTGTGGATACTCTGGCCCCAAAACGGCCATGTATCGGACATTCAAAATTACCACTCTTAAACTATAATTGATAGACCATAACCATCGGCAAGAGGTGAAAATTTTTGCCCAGTGAACTTAGAATGAGAAACAATAGTTATAAATACCTGTCCCCCCTCACTATAAGGTACACAGCTACGCCTGGCTAAATTGTAGATACCGATATTATCAAAACTCTGATATGAGCCACGATAAGTTATCTCTGTTCTTCACCCTACCCAAGTTCTGTCATTCAAGCGTTGCCATGTAACATATCAGGGTTGATTCAATTGCTCAGAGTGCGACGTAAGTTCTTGAACCGTACATGAAACTTTCGTTTCACAATTGAGACATATTTCCAAAACTTATGTTGGGGGCTGAGAAAGACGAAAAAAAAAATGAAATCTGCTGCCAAAGAAATGATTATTCCTTGCAGAATCGGCTTTGGACACCACAGTGAGATGCTGCAAAGTCGTAATTATCTTGAACCTTAATTGACTTGCGCTCTTCGTTTGACAATTTTCATCCTGCGCTCATCCACCAGACATACTTTTGACCTGAGAAGAAGAGATCGGTAAAGAAACGTGAATGCGTCAAATAAACTGTTTAAGGTTGAACAAGCTCAACACATGGTGTCTAACCAAGTTCAAGGTTAAATCCTTGCGAATTCTGTGTGTCTCAACCCCTTTGGAAATAGGGGGCGTCCAATCAGCAGAGTCCCAGCGAACAGTTTTTCTAGTCACATTAAATCTGTGCGGTAACCATGCAGCCATTCTGTACTGCGTGTATGATCTCAAGAACTTGATCAGATTTAGGGGGCAACAATTCACGAGCAGGTGTACATTGTAGGGTGACACTACAGCTACGGCAATCCGAAACCTCTATCCCTAAGTGTGAGCTTTTTAAGACCAATAACCATGACAATCCCATTGCAATATGTATCGAACCATCTACGCAGACAGACTGCTTAAAAATACAGATTGATATGGTCTCTTCAAGAAATGAGGTCAATCTGTTCGTACCTTGCCTATAAAGCAGAGAAAACTATTCGTGCAATGGGGGCTTTTGACGACTGAGGAGTTTGACAGGATTCAGTTTGCACATGAGAATTGCAACTTTGAAACTCGTGTATTTAGTAACTCTACAGAGTATGGTATCCGTATATGACAACGTATATACGAACAATTCGTGTTTGTATGTGTGATACGTTTGTTGTCTTCTTTAGCAAGATTAGTTACTAGCTCATCAAGTCGGCTGCTGAACTGCTAATTGATAACTTCCGCTTCTAACCGATGCTTTTGAGCTATACCTTTCTGACAAACACCCCTAAAGAATTCTCAAAGCTTTGCAAGTGACAACAAAAAGATGCCGTCTACGTGCTGTATTCATATTTATCCGATGGGTTTTTCTACAAACCAGTGATGTGCCGACATATATGCTACGTATACAGTGGTCTAACGTGGATTAATAGATTTGGTTCTCCCGCGGAGCCCATGTGTGCGTTTAAGTCAGCCTAAGGCGTCAGCTCCGAGAATCATCATCAAAGACGTCATGGTAGACTCAACGATACCCCTCCAAGATGCACATTGTCCTCGGCAACTTTGCGGCTTATTTCCAGCAGTACGTTTATTATACCAAGCAACCATGTTTTTCTTGACGTTCAAGGTTTTCTTCTACGTTGACATATGTTTGATCTCTGGCGAATTCCTTGATGCTTACGCTTCCACATATCAATCACATGGACTTATGTGGCTTATGGAGTACAGCCACGTTTAAAGAGGCAGGACAGATGCGGTGATTTGTGATTGAATTAATTAAGACTGCGTGGGAAGTTGTGCAGATACTGCGGTCCAATGAAGAATTGAATGGTCACCATGCTATTCAACATGGTTTTATATTTTTGAGACGGCTGTATGTCTAAAATGGGACTGAATGCAGTTAGTCAACACGATAATTACTGGTTATACTGTACTGCTGATTTGTTCACGCTTAAGATGTCATTCCATTGTAGTTTACTAAACGACAAAGTAGATGAGCAGTCGTCATTAATATTTTCTATATATTTAGACGTCTATGATACCAAATCCATCAGGCAGCTGTTGTACCAGCTTCTCATTCCATCGCAGATCAGAACATTCACTGCGAAGCAATACACCCAAGGCGCCAGACCAAATATGCACCACAACAGATATGCGCTTGTAAACGTGGTTGTCCTTTATTTAACCGGCATGCCGTGTAATCGTTCCTGGTTTATCAGGTGCTGAAGTGAAACACAATTGATTGTGTGTAAGGCGAGTTTCAAAGAATTCAGTGAAATCTATTACCTCATCATGAAAGACCTGAGGGAAATATACGACATCGGCTTCAAACTGGACAAAGGCAACTGGGTATCCAGTTTTTGAGAGAACATACATATTTTAAGAATAACCATAGACAATATGCAAATTTATGTCTCAAAGAAGTGCAGGGGGATACGATATTGCTTGGTATTTCATAACAAGTGAATACCCCTGGTAGCCCATGTGGTACACTTCCGTCTTTAAACCCATTATTCGTGAATTGCAATATAGAGAACATGAACTGATGTACACGTTTAGCCGCTTCTTGGCAACATAACTGGTTCCCATGGAACAAATATTACGTCTGCATTCGACTGGATATTTCCCATTAATTACCGAAAGCTCTTCTACATCGTACATGCCTTAGGATTGTAAGTTATGAGCCATATAGACACGTCCTGGAAATCTGTGCAACTACTCTTCCCTACACAGTTCACTGCAAGAGAAGTATTAGCACCAGCAATGTCCGCAATCTGCTTATACAACAATCCTGTGGGATATATAGTTGTCTTTATTTTCTAAATGAATTTAGCATATGGAACACAGGAGTCTGATTGCTTTCGGTTTAATTATTCCGAGAATCATATATCCACAGTCGAAAAACCTGCAGATCCAGGTCACGGCTTTTCTAATGCGCAACATTTTTCCAAGGGAGCGAGGCGGTCCATACAGAATTGACTGCGATGGGTTAAGCAGCTTAATCTAGAATGCCAAATCCGCGGAAAAATGACAGGTGGTTATCACCAATTTATCATTTGTGAAGTCAGGATATTTTGCAGCAAACGAACACGCCTCAAGGAATCGTGGAAAAGTGAATGATACACACGGAAATCAATTAACACAACAGCCTCATTTCTTCTTGGTGTTTTTGCCAATGTGACGACCATTTGGCCAATCCGAAGAAGAAATCCAGATTCAGGTCACATTGTTTTTATCGGTCTACAGGCTCGTATCTGTTGGTGACAAGCAGGCAGACTAAGAAAGGAATCTGATTACTACTGGGTAGTACTTCAGTAATAAAAGGTAGAAGGTGCCTTTTTGCAGGATTTTGGCTGCGAGGTCCTTGACGTGTTTGGTTTTGCGTTTCTTGTACGACGCCCCGAAATTCCACATCGAACTTCACTTGCCGAAGTTTTGTTCGATGGTGTACACTTTGCAACATTTAGAGCTGGTATCGAAGCCAACATCTCAGTGCTCCCACGCCATATTACTGCCAAGGTAACATATTGCAAACAAAGCAGTTTTTTTTTCTATGTGTCCAGCTCTGGGAGCACTATTGTGACGTCAGCTTCAACAGATGTACTGTAGCTACCATAACAACGATTATCAAAGTGAACCAATTGTCGACATACTTATACGCTATTATTGTTGATCTTCATACACCAGATATGACCAGTTGTTGGGAAATAGTTTAAGTATTAAGCACGAGTGATATGAAATTAGATCTATTCTGTACTTTACTTTATTGAAATTCAAGGCAGTTGTGTCAGAGGTGTTTGATCTTTAACGGTGTTCAGAAAGTGAGCTGTGTTTTTTTCTTTGAAAAGAGATTCTCGACAATCGGACTATATTGTACCTAAGTGATTCATCGGGCGTGAGACCATACGATTGGTTATGTTCAAATTTAAGAATCAGTAATATCAGTGGGAGTACAATGGAGGAACAGGCGCCCCAATATCACTCTTATGACAAATGATTAATCCACGGGCGAGTCTAGCTCTACGGCAATTAGCAGTCCTTTAGATGTTATACGGGCATTTATGGATGAGATCATTATAGCTACACATATCCATACATACGGTACCTATTAGTAGACAGTACTAGATGTTCTCAAAGGTCTACATCTACATACAATTTGCCATTGAAAGGCTTTAGTAGACCATGCACCAGACAACGCAGAGGCTGAGTTAAGCTCAGAAGTGAAAACCTAATCTCTGGGTTATTTACACACCACACACTACGAGAACCAATATATATACACTAATCTGGATTCTGAATTTCAGAAAACAAGAATACCCGACCTTGAATTTTTGAAAAGCATATATAACCTCATCTAGAGTGGAAGCTAAAATGTGATATTTGATGTAAGCAGGACGTTACTTGAATCAATGACCCCGCAGAGTCCAAGTGAACTAAATTGTCAACTTCATAGGCGGCGGTTGTGGTAAAAGAGTTACCGGCCCGAAAGCATACGATCGGACTAAACTGTAAAAGCACGTTGTTAATGATGTAAGTAAAACTATGGGCGGGGGGGGGGGTTCGGGAGTTACACGCATATTTCTGTCAAAATTTAGGTGGATGGCGCCAGTAACTGAGAACCGAACACTTAGGGAAAAACAACCAGACATGGTCGCAGTCGCAGGGTGAGGCGTTGTGAGACATTCATTCACATGCTAAGGTCTCGATTTCAAATTTCAGCAGACCCAGGAGATCCTAAGACCAGTGAACACGACATAGTCGTGCAATGACTCCAGACTTTTCAGCTCTGGTTGCCGGTGCTTCAAGGTGAACCTTGATTTACACCAAAGCTTAACTAGATTGTAATGTGCAGAGGCCGCATGCACATATGTGTATAGGGTTCGTAGGATATAGTATGTACTAAGCGTACGTGAATGCGACACAAGACGTTGAGTTATGACGGATTATGATGTCGCTGCCCGGAACCTGGAACTTCTGATTGTAAACTAAAAAAAGAGGATGTATACACAGCAAGGATGCAGAGAAATGAACGCTATGTTTTAAGTTTCAAGGGGTTTTAACTGGCGTCAGTAGTTGGTCTGTGTTTAACGATCAGAGGTCATGGATCGTGGCTGCAATTGGTACCAACGGGCCAAAATCCCCAGGACCACAGCATGCCTTGACCAATGGCTGTGCCAATGGGAAGAAGGGCCGAATGGTATGTCACTGGCAAATTCATAGGTGGGTTGTGCATTAACGTACAGTGATTATTGACATCAATATTCTGCATCACCATGTGGTTTTTGGCAGTATATAACGCTTTCTCTCATTTTTTCTTTTTTACTATAGCTGCCTTCTTGGTGGACCAGAGGTATTGTGCGCTCTAGATTTAAGATACAACGCGATGCCATGGTTACGATTTTCATTGAATACGCTATGTTTGAAACATACAGTTGCCATTAGAGTCACTGGTGTGGTTATTCCAACCTCCACAGCACTGAACAATGCTTATCCTATTATTGATGGTGATATGCTTTATAACATGATTTACTTGCTGTAAGCATAACAACGATGAAATGAAGCACATGTCGTAGCCGCTATTGCTAACCATCTTGATTGATTTGCGTAGATATTGTACTCGGGACAATTAATCAGTGAAGTGGTGTGCGCATAATGATGTAGGATACATAACAGGAGTCAGTTCTAGATCAGCTTAATGTTTTCATGCCTTTTTCGAGTATAATAATTCCCGCACAACGTGATCCATTTAATCCCCTTAACATGGTCAAACAAGTGGTCATCGTAAATGCCAATCTTTATTTGGGTTTTACGCCGCAGCACAAACTCTGGTGACTGCAAATTAGCAAGATAGTAATCGCCATGCCCAAATGTCCCGATTTTGGCATCTACAGGAAACGATCAGTGTAAATATCTGTAATCTGATAGTATGGCTGTGAATTGTACATGTTTAAAATATGCTTTGTTTAATACTCATATATTTTATACATAACCCCTTTCAATCACCAAGTAAGTCTCTTTTACAACTGACCTTGCATAGTAGATACCCCCCTCCTTCTCCGCCAAATCCAATCCATGAAGCTTTTGTCAACGCGGAATGCTTGTGCGCAATAGTGTGTTCACGAATTTTCAATGCTTATCATTTTGCATTGACGTCACCTCTGATGTGTTTTTTTGTCTCTTAAAAAAATAGTAGTCAGATTCTAGACTTTCCAGCTAACTATGCGGTACAACAGAATACAGCTATTCACCCTTATGTATAGGCTATTATCAATTACAGACCAAATATGTACAGGATGATGTGGTCATTGATCTGTAAAACGTTACAGGGATGGACAGGAGCAATTTTAAAGTAAGATACAAATTCCAATTCACACCTACATATGGAGTTTTAAAGTTGTGCGTAAAATAAGTTTTTCCAGATGGATCACTGGTCATGTCAGGCTTAAAGACAGGCGTAAGAGACGTACAAGGAGGTCTCAGGCCTTGTGCCCTCAAGTTTTGCTTATGTTTGGCAGTTAATGTGATCACCAAGAAGTATTGCCAATTCGAAATCAGCAAACAGATCAAGGATTAACCACTACGGTATAATAGGCGAAGCGAAATCAGCTCATAAGCTGGCAGACGGTACAAGTACAACTATATGAGAACATGTTCATTCTTGAGTCCGTTGTACCTAAACTCTGACACAAATGTTACCGAACACGGTTTTATTAGGAGCACATAAATTCTGATGTTTAGTATCTGATCATGCGGCTATGAAGAATTTGGAGATTATATTCTCTGGAGGCGTTTCTACCGCCTCTGAAAGGCTATTGAAATATAGGCTATTACAACCGGGATCCGTGAATAACTTAGTCGCGATGCTGCCAGGAAAGAATAATACTTACTTCCTTTTGCACGAGGCGGTACAAAGTTTAAACTCCAAATCTGTTGTACGTCTCTTTGCACAGAACTCCGGCTAGCTAAGCCTTGATACTTTGATGTCCTGATGTTATTAGACGTAAGTATCAGCCTGTCTCTTAGATGGTTGCTATTTACTGACTCAATGGCGGAAGAAGTATGGGGAAGAACAGCCCAGTGAGGAGAAACCTACGGATAACTACACAACGGAAAGGATTCAAGTTCTGATCCGTTGATGAGGCTATTCGTGAGGGAAGCGTTTATCGTATCAGCAGTTTTTAAGCTTGATGGCTCATTTTTCCGCAAGCATTTTGAAGCTCTGCGTAAAGATTGAATTCAATGGAACTCATGAAATTTACGTTTGAACGGCCGCAGAGGCAAGTGGTCGCGAGGCTCAAATTACAACAGAATCCGCCTGGGCCATGATCCGTAAGCCCGAATCGGCTTGCACTGGGAAGGCCAGGGGGGGCGCCAGGCAGAGGCAGCGACCTGGTCAATTTGACAAAGACCAAAAACAGGCACTGATCATGTAAGATTAGGCCCGGTGCAGCCAATTTACAATCAACACAATGTGGACCCTTTTTAAACGGGATATTCTCCTTATTGCTCATGAATGATGATAAGATTGTTGCTTTTATCGGCATGATATTTTCATTTTTGGAGATCACAGTACAAGGACCATTCATGCAAAGAGGAACTTATCTGTTGAACTAACATCAACTACTTGGTTTTGTCCATCAGAACATCCCATTTTATAATTGTGATGTTTCCGCCATACATTCAACTTGAGGGAGGGGGCGTTTTGTTTTCGTCAAACACCAAATCTCTCTTCCAGTGACCAATTGATTAATTAAGCAGTACAAATAGTTGAGAAAATTTGAAAGAAAGCCTATATAGTTCGATATTAGAATGTTGTTTCTCGTCATAGTCCACCCATTCTCATATCGGGAGCTTAATCATTATTAAACATCCCATTTCATTAAATAATTAATACACGAGGTGCCCTACCTCTTTTATCAGCCTCATCAATATTTATGTGGTTCTCATATAGTCTGCAGTGTTTCTAGTTGATGCCCTCTTAATTCGTCATCCGATAATAAATTTAAAACTGTCAACTTTTCATGTCCATGTGCTTCTAGTACCTTTATACCCTCACCATCTGAAGCCAACAAAGAAGTACACTGATTTTTTATGGTGCTGGACATTGCGGTGTAAAACATCAAGTATTATCTGATGGATTCTGGACACCAGCACGATGTAGTGCCCATTTTTCTTTGAGATCCGCACAGCTGTATTCACCGAAGCCGTCAATATCGATGATATGGTTAAGCCAATCCCTCGCAATCATAGCCATTCCACACATACACTGTCCCTCTTGACCAAGTTTCTGATTAAGCGATTTGAACTTTATCACTTTGTAATCCCTTAAAACAAAATGGGAATGTAATAAATGTTTCTTGAAATCGTACTGTCTGTTAAATTTGCCTGTCTTATGGGAGCAAAATGTACGTGGATACACACACTTGAACCGTGGCTGTGAATCGTGCGTCCTCATATGTCTACGCACATCCCTTCGTATAACACTATTACAAACCGGGCAAACTTCAGAAGTCGATACTGTTGAGCCGGAAACAATGGGAGAAACTGACACAGAATCAACGGAAGGAGATGTTGTAGCGTGTGGCAACTGTGTTTGTAGCTGTTGTTGTTGGGAAAATGATGAGCCAGCAGATATCGAAGCTGGTTGGGGCTCTTGTTGTTGTGTGGTTATCCACGTGACTGAATTTGCTGAGATCGAGGGATAAACAGGACAAATACTAGGCGAAGTTGTTTCTGTAGTGGTTAATGTGTTGTATAAGACGGGCGAAGGCGGAAGTAAGGAAGGCACCGTTGATACTGGTGGTTTTGGTGGATGCACCAGTGTAATTTTCTCACCAGAGAACTCTTGTATTCCCGGAAGGTGCTGAGGTTGTTGCAATCGTTGATGCGATGGGAGAGGGAGTGTCTGGTCCTGTGCAGTGTCCGATCTTTTGATCCGTTCGATGGTTTCAGCAAGTGACGGAAGCTTGAGCACACCCCTCCTCTTGTCGTCACCTTTATTGTTTTGCATAGTCTTGATTCAAAGATCCCATGAAGAAAATGATACATCCATGTAAACTTTTAGATATTAACACAATTTGATACTGACCAAACCAACAGAGTGTGTGAAGAGCTGGAAATAAGAATTAATTACCAATATAGAACAAAGCGTCACAAGCTGTAAAAAAGAGAAAATTGGGCTATGTGGAGGATATTGAGTTGATCTTTATATGGTATTTCAAACCCTTGCGTGATGGAGGCTCTACAGTTCAACGTACAGTCCAGCAATTTCTGCAAATGTGTTCTTCCCGAGTGTCAAAACAATTTGAAGACAAAAGGCACAACCAGTGGGGGACACCATCACAAGAAGACGAGGGTTTTAAATACAAGAGGGGGAATTCCAGCTCGATGGCAAAACACACATACACACCAGAAAATCCCATTAAAGAATATCATCGTATGCTTTAACGTTAAAAATCTGTTCATGCTTTTCCCTGGCTTCTGGGGTAATTATAGCGGTGTGTGGTACTGTACGTTGTAGATACGGCCATAAAAATTTGCCAACCGTCGCCGTCCATCATATGTGCATTTACGCAGTGTAGAATTATATTTTTTGTGAGGGCATGTCGGTTTGTGTGCCTTAAGCACTGTGTCTACCGGAGATTTGAAGGGGTTTTACCGTCTGGGAGAGCTGTGAAAGGTGGGCGAGGCGACAATCCGACACGGCCCTGCTAATCAAGGAGCCACCGGCGAGGTTGGAAGAGAGACAGGAGCCCCGGAGCTGCTATTCTGAGCGGAAGAGAAGGTTTGTCAGTGACCTTGAGTTTCTAGATTTATCCGAGGCGAACACTGCTTTCGTTGGCTTATTATGATAGACCAAGCAATTGGGCGCAGGAGTAGTCAGTCATTCATAGTGCCGGCTTCTGAACGCGACGTGGGGCCCTTTGCACTAACCAGCATCTATTAAAATATGTGCATGTAGACGTATATTCAAGACGAGAGCGAGACGAACAGGCTCCATTGGGGCATATATTTGCACTAGTTTCTCCAACCGGGTTGTCGTACCCACATCGACAGTCTATAAGAAGAGCAGCGTGGCCAGTGTCACCCGTCTCAACGAAAAGAAAAGTTCGTGTCTAAGAAAGGAATCGAAGCCACGCTGTACACTCTCACGGGCACACCAAGGGCGATGGAGCAACATCACAGACAAGCCTCATCACGCGGGTCGCACTTCTAAACACGGGACAACTACGGGTGAACAAGATGTCTATCCTGAACTACAAGCACATACAACCTCACAATACACCCGCACTTGTACAAGAGAAGTGCATAGCCAACGACTCCAAACCACGAAGCGACACGATTTGCTCTCCAAATTTGTTAGCGGAGGTGGACACGTACAAGGTGCATGTACATGCATACAGTGGCACCGCATCGCATATGTCAAGCATATGTTTTTTTCTGAGCTGGAATCGATGAATTAATTCACACTATGTATGGAGGTGATTTTATTTTGATAGTCACTGCTCATCAGTGATGAGGAAGTTTGTATTTTGACCGAGGGTGATTCACTTTTCTGAGGCACGCTATTATGGAAAGTGCCTTGTGACTTTGCATTAGCTTACATTTGCTCATTGATGTAGCTACTTTTCTTGTGGATATGAATTGATGGCGCGCTTTAAATCACCGAAATGAACACTGCCTCAGTGTGCAGAGGATGGCATAGGCTAGCAGATAACCACAGTTGAAGAGCACGCCAAATTGGTTGTTACTTCACCCTACAGTGCTCTATTGTCAACGGGTAAGTGACGGCGTGGTGTATAAGCCAGCTGGTTGTCAGCACCTGTGCCAGTAGACCATTCAGTCCAGCCTGGATATCTTGGAACTCCATATAATTATACTGCACAATGTGTGGTGGAGTTCATCCTAATTTCAGAAACCACTGAAAAAGAAAAGACAGAAAGGAACACATAGCCAAATTTATTAAGGAAGTCATCATATGATAATTGCAGGGGTGCCTGTGTTCGAAAGACTGACATAGTCATCTCCCAATTTGCACAAGGCTCTACAGTCCAGCACCAATCCCACATATCAAAAGTTGGAGAGGGTATACAGATATTCTAAGTATAGCTATTAAGACTAACAGTATAGTGACAAAGACACTGTTGAGTTACAGTGGTGCTTCATAACAAACTGGCAATGGCCAAAACAAAGGAGATCAACACTGAGCCATTTGCCGTTTGAGAAACAGCAGCACCTTCAAAGGCAGATGGAACAGTGGAGATTGAACTGCCGACAATGGCTGAGGTGCTGACTGCAGAAGAAGGATAGTTGTCGGCCGTAGTACCTACAGCTTGGTCCCCTGTGGCTTTGGTGGTTTGCACAGAAGTTGTTTTAGAATCGTACAATGATTCCGCAACCGTAACCTTTGTGGTTTTACCTGGTTTGGTGACATCAGAAGCCCCTGCTGATGCCTGGGAACCAGGAACACTGGTTGTAGATGTAGTTTCATAAACTTCAAAGCCAGATGTCTCATCGCTATCTTTACTCTTCTCAGAACTTCCGGAAGTGGTACATGGGACAGTTGTGGTGAGAGTCTTTACCAAACCTTCTTCCGTGGTTGTAGTGATGATAACATTGGATGTTGCAGTTCCAGAAATAATCAAAGTCTTTGTTTCACCAGAGGCATCCACTGAAGTCACTGTTGTACATGGAACTGTAGAAGTCAGTGTAACATTGTTCAATTTGGTCTCAGTGACAAGGAAGTTTTCAGTAGTGGTGAAAGGAGATGCATCACTAACACTGGATGAAACAACCGATAATGAAGATTGTGGAGCAGACTCAGAAGAAAGAGTCGAAGTACTTGAGGACAGTGCATTTTCTTCAATGGAGAAGTCAAATTCTAACACGGTAACCTCTCTCTTGAAGAATCTATTTCTCACTTCTGATGTGATGGAAACTTGCAAATGCTGGGAGTATGGTGCCCTGCCAGTGGCATGTCCAGTAATAGAGGCAACCAATTCTTGGTTTTGTTCGATAGAACCATCAAGCTTAACGGCAAATGTATTTTCTGTGATAGATCCCTCCACCTCAAGACGAGCATCATCAACTGTGACAATAAACTGAGAAATTGTGTATGATGTGTTTCCGTTTGAGCCTGTAAACTCCAATGAGGACCAAGGTCCCAAGTTTCCAGGTAAGTGCAATTCAAAGTGTGGTTCTCCATCAACGAGGTAACCAGTGAAATATGGTGATTCCTCGGAAACCGTGGATGGTCTGATCAAAGAGGCACTATCAGCAGTGGTTGGTGATTCCTCAAAAGTGGAACTTAGGGAGGAAGATGGTGATGAAGTGAACACAGAGGTGCCATTAACCTCATTGGATGATTGACTAGCTGTGCTCAAGGAGGAGGATGTGAAATCAGAAGTCATTGTACTGGACGAAGACTTGAAAGCTTTACATACGCTTGATGAAGTGGTAGAATCACTGGTGCTGTAGCTGTCAGTGGTTTGCTCATTAGATGTTAACGAAGCAGTTGATGAAGCAGCTGGTGAAACAATATTCGACTCAATGGATGTTGTGGAAGATGGTTCAACGGATGAAGTAGTTGTGGAGGAGGATTTGAAGGCAAGGCAGACACTTGAAGAACTTTCCACAGATGTAACAGAAGTCGACACGCTTTCAGAAGATGAAGAGGACTGAGATGAGGATGCCGAAATAGACTCGGAAAGAGATTCAGAAGATGACTGCTGAGATTCAACAGAGAAGCTAACCTCACCACCGGTGGCTTTCACAACTACCGGGTACATCTGACCAGGCTCGAGGTCGACATTGTCGATGCCTATGGCACCAAGAAGCTTAGTGATGGTCTTTGAGTGAGTTGTCAATGACACTGTGAGACTATCATCTGTAGAGAAAAGATAATTCAAGAATTCAACACAACGTTGAGTAACATGTTTCTTCTTCTCTCTGACATCAGCCTGCCATAATTCATCAGCCTCGGTGAACCCATGTTCAAAAGTGACAATAGGGTAGTTTGAGGCGATCCAAGACTTGGAATGACGCTCATAGGGAGTGTAGACACCGTATCTCTCTCTGAGATTCTCAACAACCTCTGCTGTCTGACCAGCACCCCACGTGAGCTCATGAGTATGCAAGGTTCTTTGTAGTGGAGAGGTGTAATGGCTTTCTGGGTATGGAGCACCGTTGGCAATAAGTGCTTGCCATTTCTGCGAGAGACTTTCAATCTGAGACACACCGGTTGGCGTTAAGTCGTCGTCAAACAGCGTGATGTTTCCATAGGTGTTATAGATTCCAATTTGGTCCCATTCATCGTCAGAAACCGAGTCCTTGACAACGTTATGCCATGCCTCTCCGTGTCTCTGGATGAATAGCAACTTGTAGTAGGTACCATCAACGGACTTCTCTTCAAGCTCCGCTAAAAGTGAATCCCAAGTGTAGGATGAGTCCAATCCAAAGTTGTCGAGGTCCGTAGTTACAAGCGAGGAGTCTGCATTCTGCTGAAAGTAATCCACAGGACTGAATGTCCAATCAGCACTCACAATTGTTCCCAAGAAACAAACAGCTAAGCTCTTCAGCAACATCTTCTATGGCCGTGAGAATGAAATTACACTCCATCAGCAATTGCGAATACGACAAGTCCATATTTATAAGGGTTTTACTGGAAGTCTCCTATTCGTCGTAGTTTGAGAAGCCCTTGCATCTTCGCTTCTCGTAGTATGTGGGATGCAGTTGTGGCACGTGTGCCTTCCCTCCGGAATGCGTTGTGTTCTTTTTAACCGTTGGTGCTTATGAGCACGTATCTCTATCCACGTTTCTAATCAATTGAAGCTCGTACAGACCAGCTGAGATGCTACAACACCCTCATGCACTAGCACCGAAGATCAAGTGGACAAGCTCAGAGCTCTTCGAGGCATCAGCCAGGCGCAGCCGTTGACAAACTGCTCCTGCCCAGACATTAACACTTGGCCTGCCCACCGTTTAGAGTTGTTCCTTACATCAATCCGCCTACGTATTCGCTCGAATTGGGATTATTGGTCTACACGTGTTGCTCCGCGGACCATTTGCGTCAATGCAACGGTCAATTGGTGATTCTACAGCTTGTTGGTCTACGATTGGACAGAGCCAGAGGAATTGTATGGGACAGCTCAGGCAATTTCTCATTTTGAGTTGCACGTCAATTGGGACTGTAACGACGTTAAGAATATGAAATGGATCCCATATCACAGGTTTACATTGTTACGGAGATACATCACAACGTGAAGATCGATTTCTGGTTGACGATAGGAAAACGTGGACGTACATTGCAGCCAAAATCAGACAAGTGTATGTTCTCGAGAGGTGCACGTTGTTGTTATTGTACTACAGTATAGCAGTAAACAGCGTAAAACTTGTATAATCTTGCAGCAAAGTACAGGAGGGATGTTATTGATGTGGTTGCTTTGGAGACTCCGGATGGTTGTACGGGAGTGAAGTGTCATACTGATTCCCGTTTCCTGATTCTGCCAGTGCTTTTGACCAAGCTGGTATCTGCTCTTTTGTAGAGCAAAGTCTGTGTTGTGTTTAGAAGGTTTGTGTGGTGCTTATACAGAGAGAGCAGTGTGAAAGAAACACAGGGATATAGAGTACTTGGTTGAACCTGTGGAACATGACGAGGTGGTTTCCATACATCGTCGAAAGATAATCAGTGTTTTGCTTTCAACACCGTGCGTATGGACGTCTCCTTCAAGCATGACAGAGGAATTTCGACCCCATGATCGACTCACTGGGATGGCTATCTGCTCCATTTGAGCTAAATTCCCTTTTCTGAGCCGTCCATAAGTACCCTCACTACATTAGATACAGATATGGTATCTCAATGGAATGGAAGAATGGCACATTAGACCGTTCCAGGGGTGATGTGGGCTCTGCAAAACACTCTGATAAATCTAACATCTATGGAAGAAAGTTGTGCCATTGTGTTTCCCGTAGAGGCCTTCACAACCTTTAGTGAGAAGTAGCTTCGCTGATATGCGAACTCAACTGAGGATCAGACCGGAATGGGGCATTTGAAAGGGTCTCTATTGTAAGTATGCTTAGGTAACCGGAACTGCAAGAAGCCTGGTCCCGGTTCCACTCGTAAAGTTCCAAAAGCCCTTTATGACGTGACCAAAGCTGGAAACACAGATAACTGGACTCACTACACCTGTCGAGACATGTGACTGAAGCTATACTCTAGTCATTGAGCGTAAGACCCTGTTGTCACCCAAATATATCATTGCTTCAAAGAGTAGGACTAAAAGACATGGACGCCATTTTTGAAAGCGATTCCGTGATCGATCGTAAATCATCTCCTGGTTCCACGTGAGCTTTGTCAACAGCTGAGGAGGCGGGCCTTGTTTGGTCAGACCACACTCTGGTTAAACAGGCATCAACTTTGCTACGAACCTTACAACGTGCTATTGCGATCACGAAGCAGAACCACTGACAAGCAGACAATGAGGCATAACTAAGCACAGTGCCAACATAGCCAGAACTCCACGGCTCAAGCAATCATTATGTGCTACGAAGCACAGCAAGCACTGGCTGGTGAGATCAGACACAGAGACAGCTAGCACGGCCTCATCGACCACAGTCCGGCACACTGTTCTCAACGTCCAAGTGTAGCCCACAGCGAGCACCTCGCACAGTGCCCGTAGAGTCACTAAACACCCTCAACACACTCACAGCTACTACATTGCCATACACCAAAGATTGTGGACAGTTTTTACAGATACTGTCTCCTCAATTGAGTCCAAAACTCGTATAGACAGCGTATATACACACGCCTCGGGCTTCTGAAGACAAACACCAACCCTCAGCTCACTCTGGACACAACGCTCAGACGACGCCATCTTCCCTAACAACAGCAAACCACCTCTCAACTCACACAATTGGATGCATTCCAGGCTCAAACACACCGCAGTTTAGCGTATAACCGTGTGCTATACCGGCCCCATCGCTTTCCCAATGCGGATAATTGGTTTGTTTACAATTCGAGCATATCATGCATCGTTGCTGGGGGAACAAAAGCACCTTTATACGCTCGAGGACTCAGGTACCAAACGTCCGCCATTTGAGGGTTTTCTCTGATGATTTGGTTTCTTCATTTGCTGTGTGGAAAAACTGGAGTAAACGGGAGTGAATAGGCTCTACTTTGGTTGAGATTGCTGGTTAATCTACTGGCCGTGATCAGGATTTGGGAACTGCGCAGTTGCTGAGCCAACGGATGAAGAGTATAACGGTGCTGGCTGTGCTCTCTGTACTTTCACAACTGTCCCATGCGGTTTGGGATACTTTATACACGCCGGGGTCCAACCAGACGTACTTACGGCTCTCTACAGATGATATTGTCTTCTTGAGTCTTGAAGATATCGCATCAATTGACGAGCTGATCATCACCGAAGATGATATTATTGATGCTCCGACGACTGAAGATTTTGCCCTAGGGTTGGCCAATGATGACCTCTTTGCAATTCACAATTCATCCTCCGGTGCTCTAGAGATCTCCCAGTATAAAGATGATGGCTGGAGGGTGATAGAGTACAACACTACACTCCCTCAAAACGAAACTGTGTACTTTGCAGATCCAACAGTTATGACCACGTTTGACGAGTCGTCCGGATGTGAACTGTTGTACATTCTTGGAGGGGTCTCCAATGGCACAGTCACCAATAGAATCCTGGAATTCAATCCTCTTCGTGGGACTGTGAGCTTGATCATCACGTCGGTATCACCGACTGCATTCTATGGCGCCTCCAGCACCATTGGCGATTCCCAGCTGAATTCAAATGTTGTGATTGGTGGGAAGGCCTCATCTGGATGGGTTGGCATGTTTCAAATTGCCATCTGGGAGTACAAATCATGGACATTCAGGACTGTACAGAGCAGTGCTTTTAGTGTGAATTCAAGGATTTATCCTTTGGTGCTAAGTTCTTTCAAAGACGAAGAGCTCGCCAGTGTGCTGGTGCTTGGTGGTATCCTGGGAGACTCCAATTCGAGTCCTTATGTCCTGTCTTTAAACACTACAGATAGCTGGTATTGGAGCAATTACACCGATCTTGGAGACTTTGATATTGCAAACTGTGTTGGAGGAGTCATAATTAACGGTGTGTTGTTGAGTGTAAACGAGCAGACCAACAAAAGAGATGGTAGCTATGGAATTGAGCTTTTCGATGTTGACAGTATGAAGAGCACGGACAGTATACCAGGGTTGATTGTCGCATCTTCCACACAACAGCTAGTCACATCTGCTTCTACTGTAACATCATCTGTGCTTCCATCGTCATCATCAGTGCCGTCATCAGTGCTTCCATCGTCATCATCACAGCCCACAAACACTTCAACTTCAAGCTCATACACTTTGACGATAGTTCTGGCCGTCATACTACCAGTTCTTGTCATCTCAGCAACTTCCATCGCTGTGTTCTTCATCTACATCAGATGGAAACGGAGTAGAAACATTGGACTATCTTCCGAGCCCGGTACTGATACAGATTCTGACTACTACAGGGCTATCAGCTCATTCGAAAACAGTTCCATCTCGTCGTGGGATCTAAGGAGAAAGGAGTATACAGCTTCTTCAATCAATCTACAGTCTCCAAAATTGGTGCACGTGAAGACAGGACTCCAGAGCCCTACACCTTTTGCAAACCCTGATGATTATGAAGACCTCCAGGCACTATCACCAAAGAAAGAGAACGGTGCAAGCCTTTTGACTCTTACACCACCTTATTCCTCGTCACCTAAGGACGACGAGTGTATTGACGAATTCTTCTCAGACAGGGAGGTCCAGGTGCTTGTCTCTACAAGGAGAAGGTCAGAGCTGAGGGTCATGAATCCAGATGCCGATAACATCTCAGTATTGGACAGTAGGAAAGACCAAGAGACGAGTGATTGTGAGACTGTATGCTTCCCCGATGAAAGCTCTCTGGGACTTGGAGAAGGATTCGATATCGATAAGGACCTAAAGGAAATCATGGACAAGTTATAACTGTATTAATATTGTGATGTATTCTCTCTATACATACCCTCGAGTGCTTCATGACAAGCTATTCTTAGGAACCTCAGGGAACATTGACGCATCTTTGATGTTTGTATAGTCATTTGTGCGTTTACCACTTGGCTTTGGCGAATTCTTCTTATTCTTCCTCATCTCAAAGATCTGGGCGTTGAGCTCAAACCATTTGGGGCCTCTTGCTAGAGCTGTTTCGTAGCTGGAACCCTTCGAGGTCAATTCATCAAGCTTCTGCTTATCTGACCTCTCCTGCTCCTTGGGATCCACCAACGCATCTTGGTCGCCAGCCTCCTTCTTCGAGGACGAGCTCCACGACTTGGTGTAGCTCATCAACTTATCCCACCCCGCGTATCTGTTCTTCTCATCCCATCTCATCCTCAATCGCTTAATCTCCAGATCCACCTGCTGCTTCTGCCTTTGCGCTTCCAGATACTCCTCGTCCGTCGCTGTCGCAAAGTTCGGGTCGCTCAGATGACTGTCGCACGTATAGAAGAAGTCCTTCGCATATCTGTTTGTTAGGATCGAGCCCTTGTACATTCCGTATCCATATACCCTTAGAGAGACAAACTATACATCATCACACGAAACTCACCTGTTGATCCGGTGTTATTAGAACAGCAGTCGTTGGCTTGTAGCAGAACGCACAGGGCTTCGCGTCCACCTGGGCCACTCTACGCAGTTGGTACTTATTGGTGAGCATGGCTGTTAGGAAAGCACCGGCTTGCAGAGTCCAGGTGATGGAAGCCTGTGTGTGGAGAGCAGGCCGTGAAGCTGTGAAGCTGTGAAGTGTGTGTTTGTTGTGGTTGTTGCCCCGGAGGCTGGGGTGGATGAGGTGTCTGGGTGTGTATTACATAAGCAGGCTCTACGTTGAGCTGAAAGCACAATGTATTTTGGAAAGGTTACCCTACCGTAGAATAGCACAGAGGGAGAAAAGCGCGTTGGTTTCCCGTTTGGACGGGGCGAGAGTGCGAAAAAGTGCGGGAAACAGAGAGTGTCTACGCAAGTGGGAGTTGCCGAATGCGGTAAGTGTAAATGAAACAGGCCCCGCGCGCGGTGCCGGCGCGTGTTTGCTCGACTTTTGCATCTTGTTTGCCCTGTTTGGCACAACCAGTTGGGATACGAGGCCCTAAGGATCGTTAAATGGGGTTGGCTATCCAATTGCACTTTGGATCCTGGCCATACAAACCCACAGGAACAATCCACTATTCACACGACAAGCGTAGAGGTGGCATAAATGCCACCGGCCCCTTGGCTTAATAAGCAAAAGCAACTCCGACTAACACCTCCAGACACATCGGTAAACATCCAGACACCAAAACCCGCTGCGTGTTTTTTTTTTGCCCTGTTCCTTTTGAACAGCGCACCCGCTTTTTGTTTTCGTTTTCGCCCTCCTCAAAAAAATTTTCTTTCCCTGTTTGCCGCCATCCCTCTCCCCCTTCGTTTTTGTACCTTGTTTTTTTTTGGGTAACCTCCCTGCTCCCCCTTAAAATCAACAGGAAAATAAACAAAGCCAGCTAAGCGCCCATTCCAACCGCCACGCTAGCGCCAACTTCGACTTCGACTTCAACACCAAAGAGCTTCTTGCCATCATCTTCTAAGCCGAAGCATCTCCCGCTGACACGTAGCTAAGAGGAGAGAAAGAACTCGCTGAACAACGAACAGTGAGAAATAGTACCAAGAGGACACGACATGGCTGAAGAACCAGAAGCAGATCTCGACTCCATTGTGGATAGACTACTGGAGGTCCGTGGCTCAAGACCGGGAGACCAGGTGCAACTGGAGGAGTACGAGATTCGTTTCCTGTGTAAGAAGGCGAGAGAGATTTTCATCCAGCAGCCGATTTTGCTGGAGCTGGAGGCGCCAATAAAAATCTGTGGTGATATCCATGGCCAGTACTACGACTTGTTACGACTGTTTGAGTACGGTGGGTTCCCACCGGAGTCAAACTACCTGTTCTTAGGAGACTACGTGGACCGTGGAAAGCAGTCGCTTGAAACGATCTGTCTCCTGTTGGCGTACAAAATCAAATACCCGGAGAACTTCTTCATCCTGAGAGGTAACCACGAGTGTGCGTCGATTAACCGTATCTACGGTTTCTACGATGAGTGTAAGAGAAGATACAACATCAAGCTTTGGAAGACCTTCACCGACTGTTTTAACTGTTTACCTATTGCTGCCATCATTGACGAGAAAATCTTCACTATGCACGGTGGGTTGTCACCTGACTTGAACTCGATGGAGCAGATTAGACGTGTTATGCGTCCAACAGATATCCCAGATGTCGGGTTGTTGTGTGATTTACTGTGGTCAGACCCAGATAAAGACATCACAGGCTGGTCTGAGAACGACCGTGGTGTCAGTTTCACATTTGGACCTGATGTCGTTTCAAGATTTCTGCAGAAACATGATATGGATTTGATTTGCAGAGCTCATCAAGTTGTTGAAGATGGTTACGAATTCTTCTCAAAGAGACAACTAGTGACCTTGTTCAGTGCTCCTAATTACTGTGGTGAGTTTGACAACGCTGGTGCTATGATGTCTGTTGATGAGAGCTTACTATGCTCTTTCCAAATCTTGAAACCTGCTGAGAAGAAGCCAAAGTACAACTATGATGCTGTTTCACAACAAAGAGCTGCTACACCTCAAAAGAAACAGAAGAAACAAGCCAAATGAATTGCTCTTACTACTATTATACATGACTTTACTCTTCATTGTCCAAGTTGTTTGTCTATTTTCTATCTCTTGTTTCTTTTTGCCCCATTTTTGTTTTCATGTTGTTGTTTTTTCCCTTCCTTGGTTACAAATCTACCTGGTTTTCTATCATTTGCTCATCATTGTATCGGCTCTTGATCTCGATGTTGATTTAAACAAAACTGTTCCATTGAGCCCTCCACCAAACTTGTCATTTACCTTTTGTACACTAGATGATCTTCATATGATTTCATTGCACTGGTTTTTTATTGTTATTAGATCTTTGTTGTTTATTATCCTGGTGATGTTACAATGCTACAAAAAAAACAACAAAACAGAACGATGAAACATACACATTCATACACATACACGGATATATGGACACACGAATTATATACATCTATTATCACATTTCATGAGGACTTCATCCGTTTTCACAAACAGCCTTTGACGTTTGATTCTTTACCCATGGCAGATCTACATTTTCAATGTGAAGAAGGAAAGTGTGATTGAGTACACTTCCATGAGAGGTGACATCGTATTACCTTTTCAATCTTTTATTGAATCGCATGGGGCAATTCCCTATGCAAAGTTCCTTTTCTCGCCTTTGCCATGAAACAGAAGAAGGGCATCGGAGGAATTGTTTTCGATCCTGTGTTGGGGAAGAATTTGAGGTGTTTGTTGTACATTTTGAAGTTCATCAACTTGTTGGTGTATATATAGATATATAGTTCTCGTGTCTGTTCCTTTATGTCTTTCTTTTTGTACATACGTTACATACTTTCCACACTTGTTTACTCCCACATTTGATTTGCGATACAGTTGTGTTGCTGTTGTTGTTGCTGTCTTACATTCTGATGACTTTGCTTTCTCTGTTTGTTTTTACGTTTTACTCATACTTTTCGGTTTCATACTACAGTTTCCATTAGACGGGGACTATATATGGAATAATGGACATTAGAACAATCGTGTAAGCACTTTTGCAATGAGGAATGGAGGAGAGTGCAGTCATGTTGGATTTTTTTTTGTTGTTGTCAGCTTTTGAAGGGTGTGCTTGAATGTTGGCGTTGATGTGTTGATGATGATGATTACTGATTATGTCACTTGTGATGAATGGCATTTTTGGAGGGGGAATAACGTGAAGGTTTGTTTATAAATCGGGAGCTGTGTTCTTTTTAATGACACGCTTTGATGCTGCCTAGGCAGATTATATACCAAGGGAAATGGATGATTCAAGTTAAATTTATCTACGCTTAACACTGTAGTAGCTAACGTCTAGATATAAACGCGCGCCAACGTCATCGATGGCGGTGATACACTCTGGGAATAGGCATTTTTCAACTAAATAGCGATAGAAATCGGTTCGACTATAGTTCAGTGATATCTAAACACAATAGTAAACACCCAGAACTGGAACCAGTAAGTACACCTCGTGGAAAGTGTTTGCTTATCTCTCAATTTGCAGAGATCAGTGGTTTCATATGAATTAGAAATGGTTGCGTCAGGAAACATCCAAACAACACTGTGACTGCGGAATTCTGAAAATTGCGCAGTTTTCATTCCCAAACAAGGAACCATCCGAACACCACTGCCCGTAGGGGAAAGTCTGCTTTTTTTTCTCGCCACTTGGTACCAAAATTTGTGTTGCCGTGCCAATGGATTTGCGCGAATCGTAGCTGCGAAAATTTGCGGAAAGCATCACCAATTCGGGGTTCTTTTTTTGGCGGGCAGTTGCGCCAAAAGTTGAAAAGAAACGCAAAACTATCGACAAAAGTGAAAAATTCCCAACGCACAGTGAAAAACTTCAACTTCTGCCTTTTGGTTTTTTTTGGTTTTTTGTTGAAGGTATTCAAGAAAGAACAAAATGGTGCGTTAATACGTTAAAGGTGGTGACGAAGTACGGTTTGGAGACATTAGAGTGAATGTTAAAGACGGAATGGATCATATGAGAGAGATTTGAGCTTCGTAACGTTATTGGAAGGTTAGATATGAAGGGTTTTAGTGTTTGAATACCGACCAAGTGGCAAAGTAACGACAAAAAAAAGGCCCTTGTATTACATGAGATATTGATCACGAAGGAGCATCTATTCATATCATGAGTGCTTACTAGCGAGATACACTAATGCTCGAGGTCTTACAAGACCGTCCCAGAACTGTTATATATACTCTTGTCCACGCTATTCCAGTGCTCTCTCCATGTTGTTTCCAAACCGTATATTCATCACGTATAACCATTACAAAGAGTTTTTTTACTAACATATTCATGTTTGCAGGTTTTAGTTCAAGATTTGTTGCACCCATCTGCTGCCACCGAGGCCAAGCAACACAAGCTTAAGACATTGGTTCAAGGTCCAAGATCCTACTTCATGGATGTTAAGTGTCCAGGTTGTTTGAACATCACCACTGTTTTCTCTCACGCACAAACAGCTGTCACCTGTGACTCCTGTGCCACTGTTCTCACCACCCCAACTGGTGGTAAGGCCAAGTTGACCGAGGGTTCATCTTTCAGAAGAAAATAAACAAGTATAGTTGTTATTTGAAACAATTTATCATTAATTGACTAGAAGAAACTGGCTGGTTTTGTGGGAGATATCTGTACAATTTGGTATTTCTAGAATGCATTTACGAAAGTTTTTGAAGATCACATTGTAGAGTTAGTTCAAAGCTGAGTATGTAGTACTTGAATAGGTTAAGGATGCTACTTCGTGTTTGCTCAATAGCTATTAATTAATCACGTGAATTAGCTCACAAATGCACGTGAGCACGCACGTGATCATTCCTCCTGACACGAAACTTTTCGAACACGTCCGCAAAGCAAAGGATGGAAAGTCATAGGGAATTTCCCTCCAGATCGAGAACTTTTTGACGTGTTTTGCTGTTTTTTTCTCTCTTTTCTTTGTTATTTCCTGCTCAATACATCAGGCTCAACATCAATTGACCCGTTTGTTTTGATTGGCTTCAGTTGTACAAGGACAACATGTTCAACCTACGTATTCTGCTGGCCGTTGTGGTGTCATTCGTTACTGTTGTGTCCGCACACAACGTGCTACTTCCAGCCCATGGCAAGCGTTGTTTCTTTGAGGATTTGAAGAAAGGTGACGAACTTGCTGTTAGTTTCCAATTTGGTAACAGAAACTCCCAGTCCAGTGAGCAGCTCAAGGGAGACTTCACCGTGTGGTCGCCTTCAGGAACGGCTCTGAAGACAGAGTACGACGTTTCCCACGGTGACGTTTCGGTCAAGGCAAAGCACACAGGTAAACACAAGTACTGCTTCTCCAACGAGCGTTCTTCAGTCGACACAAAGGACGTGTCTTTCAACATCCACGGTGTTCTCTACGTGGACATCAACGACCCAGAGAACGACTCCCTCGATGCTGCTGTGAGAAGACTGGCTGTGTTGACCAACGACGTCAAGAACGAACAAGGCTACATCGTGGTCAGAGAGAGAACACACAGAAACACTGCGGAGTCGACAAACTCAAGAGTCAAGTGGTGGTCCATCATGCAATTGCTCATTGTCCTGTTCAACTCTGCCTTCCAGATCTACTACTTGAAGCGTTTCTTTGAGGTCAAGAGCATCGTTTGAGACCGGCTCTTCTCCCAGTGTACATACACACTCCATAATACATGCCATGGCTAGCGTTAACATACACTTCAGTCTCATCTTACTGGCCAATTGGATCATTGATCAAAAGTCCATCGCCAGTAGTAAATAGCACCCATAGTGAGCGCGGCGCGCGCTCATAACCACTTCCCTTTTCGGAGTATTCATAATATGTCTCTGAAACTTTTTCCTCTACTTGCTCAATTTCCACCAATTCAGTGGAAGAACAACCCCCAGAAGTGGCTGATTGATAAGGATGAAGTTCTTCATAGACGATCTGCCCGTGCTTTTCCCCTATCCGAGGATTTATCCCGAACAGTATGCGTATATGTCTGATATCAAGAAGACGTTAGACGTTGGAGGCAATGCCATATTGGAAATGCCCTCAGGAACAGGGAAGACCGTGTCGTTGCTGTCGCTGACAGTGGCATACCAGATGCACTACCCTGAGCACAGGAAGATCGTGTACTGTTCTCGTACCATGAGTGAGATTGAGAAAGCGTTGATCGAGCTGAAGGGGTTGATGGAGTACAGGACAAGGGAGCTGGGCTACGTTGAAGACTTTAGAGGGCTGGGGCTGACGTCCAGAAAGAATCTGTGCTTGAACCCGAGTGTGAACAAGGAGAGAAAGGGTACAGTGGTTGATGAGAAGTGCCGTCGTATGACGAATGGCCTGGCCAAGAAACGGATACAGGAGGATGGTGCTACGGATGTTGAGCTCTGTGAGTACCATGAGAACTTGTACGAATTAGAGCCCGATAACTTGGTTCCTCCGGGGGTTTATTCCTTTGAGAGATTGACAGAGTACTGTAAGGACAAGAAGACATGTCCTTACTTCACCATCCGTCGTATGATCCCATTCTGCAACATCATCATTTACTCATACCATTATTTGCTGGATCCCAAAATCTCCGAAAGAGTGTCACAGGAGCTGTCCAAGGATGCCATTGTCATCTTTGACGAGGCCCACAACATCGACAACGTCTGTATAGAGTCTTTGTCACTGGACCTAACTAATGATATGCTCAAGAAGGCGTCGAGAGGTGCAACGTCCCTGAACAGGAGAATTGATGATGTCAAGAAGACGGACGCAAAGAAACTACAAGACGAATACGACAAGCTTGTGCAAGGACTATCAGCCCAGGAGATCATCAATAACGATGAAGATGCTATGGAAACACCTGTGCTGTCGAGCGATCTTCTGAAGGAGGCAGTTCCTGGTAATATCAGAAGAGCTGAGCACTTTGTTGCATTCTTAAAGAGGTTTATCGAATACCTAAAGACCAAGATGAAAGTGCTCAGTGTCACCTCTGAAACACCGACAATGTTCCTACAAAAGCTGAAGGAGTTGACGTTCATTGAGAGGAAGCCCCTGAGGTTCTGTGCTGAAAGATTCTCTCTACTCGTTAGAACTCTGGAGATTCAAGATATAGAAGAATACGCAGCATTAAAGGACATCACGAAGTTTGCGACTCTGGTGTCAACATATGAACAAGGGTTCCAGCTCATCTTGGAGCCCTATGAGACGGAGAATGCCACGGTGCCTAACCCAATCTTGAGGTTCACGTGTCTTGATGCCTCAATCGCCATAAAGCCCATCTTTGAGAAGTTTTCATCGGTGATCATCACTTCAGGAACCATCTCTCCATTGGATATGTATCCGAGAATGCTGGACTTTGAGACAGTGATCCAAGAGTCGTACACTATGACACTTGCTAAGAAGTCTTTCTTGCCAATGATTATCACAAAGGGCTCAGACCAGGTTGCCATATCTTCGAGATTTGAGATCAGAAACGATCCGAGTATTGTAAGAAACTACGGATCGATGTTAATTGAATTCGCAAAGATAACACCAGATGGGCTCGTCGTTTTCTTTCCATCATATCTTTACATGGAGAGCATCATCTCCATGTGGCAATCTATGCACATACTTGATGAAGTATGGAAGTATAAGCTTATCCTTGTGGAGACGCCAGATGCCCAGGAAACGGCATTGGCACTGGAGACTTATAGAACTGCATGCTCTAATGGACGAGGTGCTGTGTTACTATCGGTGGCCAGAGGAAAAGTCTCTGAAGGTATCGATTTTGACCATCAATACGGACGCACCGTTCTCATGATTGGTATCCCGTTCCAATATACCGAGTCAAGAATACTGAAAGCACGCTTAGAATTCTTAAGAGACCATTACCAGATCAGAGAGAATGACTTTCTATCTTTCGATGCAATGAGACATGCTGCTCAGTGCTTGGGAAGAGTCCTCAGAGGTAAAGACGATTACGGTATCATGGTGCTAGCAGACCGTCGTTTCGCCAGAAAGAAGAACCAATTGCCCAAGTGGATTGCCCAAGGATTGTCCGATGCTGACGTTAACTTATCAACAGACATGGCCATTGCCAATGCCAAACAGTTCCTAAGAACCATGGCTCAACCACAGAATCCAAAGGATCAAGAAGGTGTTTCAATATGGGATATCAACCAATTACAGGCCTTCCAATTGGAACAGCAGCATCACCAGTTAGCTGAGATTGACGGGGATGGTGATGTTCCAATGCTTACGCACGAAGAGGAACTAGAACTTGCAGAGTTAAATGACCTTTGAGAGCACGACAATGGTATCTATATGTATTTACACCAACAAGTGATTTTTCTCCACGTGCCCCTTGATTTTTGAACGTAATTACTCACTATCCTCTTCATCGCTTTCTTCGCCTTGCTCAACGTCAATCTCGAGAGATATTTCTTTATCGGTATTCACATACGAGTCACAAACACACCATACAGATAGACTGTGGTGTCCAGCACGAGGCATCGTCAGAGCCATCTTCACTTGCATCTCTGCCTTATCAATTGTGACTTTGTTAATGGCATACAGCTCCTTTGTTTTGGAATCACCAATAACGAGCCACCAGTTTTCAGTTTTACGGAATGGGTAAAATGGTGAGAGCACCTCCAGATCCTCCGGCTCTTCATCTCTTGAGACATTGATAACAACCTGTTTTGGCTCATTAGAAACAATAGGTCCTTCAATTTCAGAGCACGATATCTCAACGTTAGGGTACTTGTTCACAAAATCAGCAACCTTGTTGAGATGTGGGCCACTGAGTCTTAGAATATCATCTCTTTCAGCATCTTCAATGGACATGATATCAAATACAGACGAGACATCGTATTTCGAAGCACGATCGATAACTGCCTCGTCAACAAATGGTATCTGTTTGAGGGGGCTGTCAGTATCCCAAACAGCTTGCACAACCATTTGGCATAGGTCCATAGCATATGTGGCATTGAGATAACCTTCACTCGATAACAGATCCACAGCAGTATAGAGAAGTGTTATGACTTTCTCCAGAACAAATTTTTGATCAGTAACCAGATCGGGTGGAAGCATGAATCTGGAGAAGTGGGCCTGTAAAAGAATAAATGCCTTCAAATAAGGTGACTCAAAAGAAAGATCTTGGGAGAACTTGATAGGAATTTTGTCATATATCTTTTGCAAAAGAGAAGATTCATGTTTTCTAATAGGAAGTAAGTCAAACTCCGACGCTGATGTGATAATCTCCAAAATGGATTTCAGTTTAGATTTCTTGGTCAAGGACAGAATAAACGTTTGCATGGTGACAAAGGAAATATTATAATATGCAGCGACAAGAGCACCGTCTAAAGGTGTAATCTCTTCCTCTTCTTCCTCTTCTTCCTCTTCTTCATTTTGATCTTCCAACTCGATCAGTTTAGCCTCGGAAAGTTCGTTTAATGTCTCTTCCACTAATTCAGTCAAAAATGTGGAGAGACCAATTTGTGAGATATCCTTTACACCATAGAAACTTGGATTTGCTTGAAGTCTTCGATAGAGGTATGAGTATGTCAACCAATCAATACAATCTTGTCTCGACTTGATCAATCCTGTACTGATTTCATTGACGAATGCGTCGTGAAGAAAAACATTCAAGAAACTCTCCACAGGTAACGATTCATTCAAGAACTTTCTGTAGTAGCCCCTCTTTGCATCATTAGTCAAAATCAGAACGTTGTCTTTATCTATACTCTCATCTTTTGAACAGCCAATCATCTCCAAAATTTCATTGATTGGATAATCGATGTAGCGATGTTCCTTACCTTCATAGAACTGGGTACTTAAAACAGCAACAAAGTTTGCAGCTGGAGCGAAAGTTGCCGTCTCTCTAGTGGCAAACAAGACACCTAGTGCATTTCCTCTATGAAGCGTTTCAACGATTTTGCGGTCTGATGGAGTCATGTCTTTATAATACAGACCAATACCGATTTCCAGCAGATTCTTGAGAGTTTCATCTGTGATCTTCCTTAAAAGGGTTTGGATGTCACCCAATTCAGCGTTTAGAAAACGTACCTCATCTTTCTCTGCTAATCTAGAGAATTCATAAGCAATGTCAACACATTGTTTACGTGTTGGAACGAAGATCAATGAAGATTTACCCACCATTTGCTTCACCGCTTGATATGTTGGGTTTATCATAGCGAGAACCATAGACGGATTGTGATGAATCTCGAATGATTGCAAATGGATCTCAAGTGGATGACTTCTCTCTTGTGAAGAGAAGTTGTAGATTGCATCCTTTTGAGCACCAATCCATTCACCAAACTCGCGACCATTAGCCAAAGATGTACCAAGTGCAACTATTCTGAGCTCCTTTTCAAGCTGAGTTGAAATAAATCTCATTCTAGAAATGATGTTTTCATAGACACAACCTTCTGCACCGTTTCCAACACATTGCACGTCATCTGTAATAAGCAACTCGATTGTTTGAATATTTCTTCTCTGTTTCCAACGACGCGATATAACGTCGAACTGCTGAGGTGTTGCTAAGATCAAGTGACTCGAAGCAAGAAGCTTCAAGTTGGAGGTAAGCTCATTACCCAGTTTAGTAATGACTTTACCACCAGATATCGCTGAGAAGCGTGAAGTCCACTGTTTAAGAAGCATATCAATCTTCTCTTGAGATGGAACAATGTACACAGCACGGCCTTTATTTTGTTTCCAGTGATTCAAAAGCGCCAATTCTGCAATCACAGTCTTTCCAGAACCCTTGACAGCACCAAAAAACACGGGATCATTCGAGCTGTATATGGTGTTGAAGGCTTGTGACTGGAATTTGTTGAAATATGGAAACTCGAAACAACCAATAAATTCGGGGATATTTAGGGCAGAGACAGGAACCGGTGAAAGATCAAGAAGAGCAGTTGGCGCAGGAAACTTCCTTGGAAGTTTTATCGTATTCAACATTATTGGAACTTTGTATTCGCAATGTAACCATCTTTCAGAGATCAATGTCACAAAGTAATTTGGTGGAACTGGAGTGGAAATTGGAATGGTGAAATCAAGTAGATGCTCTCTGTTGATATAGCTTCTCTTGACAAGAAAAGTATCACTGAACAAGATCTTTTCACCGTTTGTATCTTCCACTAACAGAAGAAACTGTTCTGAACCATGGTGAAGTCTTACATCCCATGTCCATTCTGGTAGGATATCAAGTTCCACCCTCAACAAACTTGGTGTGATTGTCTGAATGGAGCACTTCAATTGTACCTTAGGAAATTTACGAATCATATCAAGTGCATTCCTTGCAAGCCCCTCATCACGAATGGCCTGTGCCATTTCACTTGGATCAGTGAGGTTGAAGTACTCTGACCAAGGTAAGTTTGAGCTTTCGGTGTTTTTAATGATCTTCTTTGGACAATCTGGGAATTGTCTAAATGGCGTATTTGATAACCACAGTCGTTTCTCAACCATTTTACAAAGATCAAGAGCAATGGTGGTCAGTCCGGACCACTTTTTATGCAAAGCAATTTCATAAATAGCTCTCAAAAGACGTCCTGCAGATTGTGTAATGTATACCATATCAGCGTTCAAAGCAAATCCTTCGAGAGATAACCTAGCGATATAAGATTGCAACAATACATTAGCCTTTGTTCTAGGATCATGAATATCTTCCTTGATGGGGATAGGTGCTCTCTCAACAAGTTTGGTAATTTCTGACTTCTCCTCTTGTCTGATAGGAATGAGCTTAAACTCAGAAGAAGACGAAAAAATTCGAAAAACGTCGATGATAGTTGAGTATGATTTCAATTGTTTGTTATAGAACGACATCGAATCATAGCTGATATAGAAATGAGATGCAATTCTACCCAATTCGGTGGATGTAACTTTGCCAGAGGTCTCATCATAAACAACGAGTCCATTTTGGTTTAAGATTTCAAGAGCAGAGTAGATCAAGTCCGTTCTTTTCCATTCAAGAAGATGATCACCTTCATAGTCAGCACCCACTCTATACACAGCAGGTGACGAGAGCATTCTTACATAGAGATACGAGTACCCTAACCAATCAACACCATCTTGTAAGGATGACACAGTTCCCAAAACAATTTCAGCGTTGAGGTTATCTGCAAGTTTGCTCATAAGTTGTGACTCAATTGGTAACTGTTGATTCAAAACAGCCAAATAGTATTGGATTTCAGATTGGGATGTGATGATAATACCTTCACCACTTTCATCATAACGTGGTCTACCGGCTCTACCTAGCATCTGTAAAATATCCTGAGGAGAAAGTTGAGTCCAATCACCCTTTTCTGGAGCATAAATCTCTGTTCCCTTGATAATGACCGTATGTGCGGGTAAATTAACACCCCAAGCCAAGGTCGCAGTAGAGACCAATATTTGAGAGTAACCCTCTGCAAAAAGATCTTCAGCAGCCGATCTATCATCACGGGATAAACCTGCATGATGGATTGCAAATCCAGTGGGTAACAAATCTTTCAAGCCCTGATCTTTGATCTTTTCAGACTCTTGTTTCAAGATCTCGACACTTGCAGAGTCAGACTTCAAAAACAGATGAAGTTTATCTTCTTCAAGAAGTTTGTCTCTCAACCATTTAGCAGTTCTAAAAGTATCCTTACGTGAATGAACAAATATAATAACCTGATACTTTCCGGCTGCTTCCAAGATCTTATCGTAACAAGCTTCATTCATCGCAACAGTTTTCTTGAACGAATTCTTCTCGGTGATACCGATGAATTGCTGAGCAAGTGGGCATGGTCTATATGAAGCATCGAAGAAGAACAATCCCTTTTTGTCATCAACCCTCAAAAATCTGGCAACGTCTTTATAGTTGGGAAGAGTGGCTGAAAGACCCACAAGTCTGACATTTCTTGAGCTGTGTTCCTGGTTTCTTATTGTTCTAGCAACAATACTCTCCAACACTGGACCTCTTTCGTCGTGCAAGAGATGAATTTCATCAATGATTAACAATGAGACTAAATTGGTGTAGCTTGTATCAGAGTTCTTTCTTGTGATGACATCCCATTTTTCTGGGGTTGTAACCAAGATTTGGGTTTCGCTGATTTGTTGCTTTGTTAAGTTGTGGTCACCTGTCAACTCGTTCACAGTTACTCCAAACTGTTCCAATCTTCTGGAGAATTCACGAACTTGTTCTTGGACCAATGCCTTCAGTGGTGCAATATAGACAATTTTGAAATTGTTCAAGTCAAATGATCCATTGTTACGTCTGAAATTCTGTAATGTACGTAAGATAGTAAGCATAGCAACATTAGTCTTACCGGCACCTGTTGGTGCACAGAGCAGGATATTTTGATCATCTTCAAATGCAGTAGGGTACACTTCAGATTGAATTCTGTTGAGAGTTGAGGTTTCTCCCGATGGAAAAGCTTCTCTTGCCCATTCTGGAAGACTTGATATTGGTACAAGGTGTGCCTTTTCTTTTGGTGGAGCCGGTGCTGGAATATGTATTTCCTCATACTTAGGTTTAACACGCTTGAAAGAATTTTGTGGAAGGTTCACCTTGGTCATAGTCATGAGATGAGAGCCTTGGTCGAATTTGAGATCATCCAAATTAACAATCTTTGGCTTTCTAACTTGTTCAACAGGTGTGATTAAATCCACTTTTCTTTTCTTACGTTGTTGTTCTTCGCCGCCATTGCCGACTTCTTCGTCTTCTAGTAAATGTTTCAGTCCATCACGACTCATTTGGGAATATATAATTTCCCTTTCATTTTCATTAGCTCTAGAGAGTTTTGTTCCCCAGACAATAACCATTCTGTTGGTAATGAGATACTGCAACAAATTTGGTTCATCTATAAGTGAGACGAGTTTTTGTTCAACCTTGTACGCCTGCAAGTTACTGTCCAAGAGTTCGAATATCTGTGCGGACTTCTCTTGAAGCGCCATAGGGTCAAGAGTTGGTTGCCATTCGGATATCTTTCTCTTCAACAGAGATGCATCGACATCCTTGATGGATAATACAGGTACGTCTGTAGTATCAGCAGCATTTGTCTTAATCACATCATCAGAAGATTGTTCGTCAGTGGGATCCTGTACAAAGTCATCTAATTGAGGTCCCGCAAAGTCATCATCACTGTCACTTTCGCTTGTACTTTGCGCGTCTGTCTCATCGTCTTCATCATCAATATTCACAGCAACACCTTCATCTACATCACCCTCCTGTGAACCATAGTCGGTGATCTTATCGGAGAGTTTCTTCAGCCGGGAGTACTGGTCATCGGTCAAGGTGATGTTGAGTGTGCCATTGATGCTCTTTTGCTTAGCTCTATCAGTGTCATTGTCGTCTTTCAAAATCTCCAGCACCAAGTCAGTGGCACTGAGCACCGTAGAATGTGCAACATCACCACCCAGGAGTGATGATATTTCTGACGTCAGATCGTCATAAACGTCTCTGTTGTCCTGCGCGGTCGGGTAGTACTTGAGGGTATCAACATCAGAATCAAGCAGAGTGCTATTCCCTACCCTCGAATTGCTCACAACAGCTTTCGACTTCAGCTTCTCCTTCTGTATGAGCTTCTCCATCACACTCTTGACAACGTGCTTTGATGTAGAGTCTTCCTCGTCGCCGTTGGCTCTTGAGCCCATGTCCTTCTTCGACAATTTACCCGCCATCGACGTTGGTGTCGACATCTCTGCATCTTTCATCGGATCAGACCGATTACTCAGTAGCTTCCGATCCTGTCTCAGCACCTGATTGGCCATCGCCTCATACTTGTACTTGTCGTTTTCCGACATTGTTTGCTCCCTTATCAACAGCGTCCTCTCAACCGCCCTGGACGCTAAATTCTACAGCTTCAACAGGTTAAAGAAAAAGGTAAACAAACGCCTGTGGGCCACAAAGAAAGAAGACAAAAAAAATTGTGGTGATAAACCCAGACACCAGGCCCTTCGTCGCGAAAATTGCCGCATTGGGAACAAAGGTATAAACTCATCGGCTTTTCCCACTGTGCACAATTTTTCTCTCTCTTTCGAGCCGTTTCCACCATCAATAGTTGAATCTGTATGCTGATCCGGTTGTCCAAGCGTATCATGTCCACGGGTTCATTCAATGTGCTGGCTCCAAAGATCACGCTTTCCCCTGTGGAATCAAAGATCACTGCTCTTCTGAAGGACTATACATCGTACTATAACTCGACCCATAATCCTCAAACACCTCTGGAGTTGCGAATCACTGGTGGATGGGTGCGTGATAAGTTATTGGGGAAGCAGTCGCACGATTTGGATATCGCCATCAACATCTTGTCTGGACAGACATTTGCTGAGCAGCTGCACGACTACTTGAGAAGCCACCCGGAATATGGTGTTGAAACTGGTGGAATCCACACCATTGAGAAGAACCCTGAAAAGTCCAAGCACCTTGAGACTGCAACTACGAAGCTCTATGGGCTGGACATTGACTTTGTTAACCTCAGAAGTGAAGAGTATACTGAAGACAGTCGAATTCCGGTGGTTCAATTCGGCACGCCGGAACAGGATGCGCTGAGAAGAGATGCCACATTGAATGCACTGTTCTACAACGTACAACATGATGAGGTTGAGGATCTCACACAGAGAGGTCTTGTTGATCTTCGAGACGGTGTGCTGAGAACACCACTGGACCCACAGAAGACGTTCTTGGATGACCCGTTACGTGTGCTGAGGCTCATAAGGTTTGCTAGCAGATTTGGGTTCACGCTGGATGATGAAACGTACGCCGCAATGAAGGATCCTAAGGTCAAGCAGGCACTCCTAGATAAGATCTCAAAGGAAAGAGTGGGCGTGGAAGTTGCCAAGATCTTGGAGAGCGATGCTCCAAGAGGACTCGAACTGCTATGCGGTGCTGATCTGGTGAAGTATGTGTTCAATTTTGGCAGTCTTTCAAAAGACGTTGCGATTATGAACGATTCGGAACTCCTCAACAAGTTTGAATCGGCTATCAATGAAGAGACTCTATTCCGTATCCTCAAGATCAACGAGCTGAACAAAAATCTCGGTGTAAACGTGCTGCCGGACGTGCTATCAGACCTCACTCTGAAGAGGCTGTTCTGGGCAGGTGTTGTCGTTCAGACGTGGGATAGTACGAAGATTACTTTCAATAAGAAGGGAAAGGTGACCTACGCCGTCGATGCTATTCTCAGAGAAGGTGTAAAGTTCTCCAAAAATGATGCTGATATTATCACCAAGGTTATAACCTCCTTAGAAGAGTTTGAGGCCATTGTTCTGGGATTGGAAGGGTTCAAGAGATCACAAATTGGTACACTGCTGAGACAATATGGTGACAAGTACGAGTTTGCTCTTGTCTACAACTTCTGGAGCTCAGTTCTCACCTCCAATGACACCCAAACCCTTGTTGACCAGTACCAGAGGTTCAATCAGTTCGTTAAGGATGAGAAGCTGGATGAAGCCTACAGATTGAAGCCATTGATTGATGGTAAGTCGCTTTGTAAAAGATTCGAACGCAAGCCAGGTCCATGGATGTCTGGAATAATGGACAAGATCTTGTTGTGGCAGTTGGACAACCCTGACAAGTCCGTTGAAGAGTGTTTCCACTACGTTGAAGGGATTCTATGAGAAACCTGTATAATAAAATAACCGCAAGGAATATACATGTTTATAATATGTACTCTGAAGTGGGGTTCAAGTATGTTCCTCTGAGAATGCTTTAAAATCAAAGAATTCGTCAAAATCGTTATATATTGCTGTGTTGATATTGTGCGTGCTGGTGTTAGCACTGTCGTTAGTGTTGTTAGCGTTGTTACGGCTGTTATGCTGGTTTGTTATTGTATTTGGAGACGAGGCCACCAAGTCTGGTCCAAAAATGGTACTCGTGTCATCATTGCCATAATCGTCCATACCCAGTGGTGGGCCTAGAACACTTATGCTCTTCTGTTGTCTCTGATGCAGAGGTCTTCTAGAAGGTGTCCTTGAAGTGTCGTCGAAGAAAGATCCCATAAAGTCCATTGTCGGTCTGGACTCAACAGGCGTGGACTGTCTCATCGAGGTTGGCGTAGTTATGGAGCTGTGGGTCTTGATAGGCGTAGTCCTAGCCCTCTGGATACTCGAGAGGGAAGTGATGCTTTGATTCCTGCTCAGCTGTCCCCTTGCCATTCCCCCGTTCACCGAGCTGATCGAGGTCGCAGTGTTTGCCCTTTTCCTTCTCGACACAGCCCTTCCAAATGCTCTGGTTGCATCCTCTTCCTCTTCCAGTTCGTTTTCAGAAGAGTATAGAGATTCGACGTCTCTCTTGGGAGATGGTGATCTGTGCGACAGCGAAAAGAGGTCTGTCTGGGAGCTTGACGCAGACGACGAGTGTTGCAACACTGCCCTGCCGTCTGATGACACCGTCATGACCAACGGTGTCAATGGTCTCTTCATTGGCGACAGTGGGCCGTTGAGATCACAGCTCTGCGTTCTCAACAGCCCAGGCTTGCCCTGTACCGGCACATGGCGAGTGCTGGTGTCGACATGTGGCACCGTCTGCACCTGCGTATTCTTATCAGAGCTGAGCCTGAACAGCCTGGACAGGCCTTGTCTCTTTGAAGCCTTCTTGGAGTCCTTCTTCGGCGACATATCAACAAACATGTACTCCTGTGGTTGTGTCTGCTGGCTTATGACCTGCTGTACCATGGTGGTGCTTGACACGCTGAGTTCGCCATGGAGCTGTGCCGTTTCCACAGATTCGTCCACGAACCCTTCATTGGCCCGAGGAAACCTCTTCAATTGCCACACCTTGTGGCTGCCAGCGCCCCTGGCGCCCTCTGTTCTCATCTCCTCCTTCGACAGTAACCCCATCCTATATATATGTCTCGCTCTGTAGCACTACAGCTCTTCTCAGAAACAGTGCAACAACACACTAGACAACCCTGAAAAGGCGTTAACCAACCTCAATTGGGTGCTATGCCTCTGTTTATATCAAAACAAGTGGTTGGAAACAGCTCCTCCCTCTAGAATGCCAGCCAATTAATCACACGTACACCCACACAGAGCGTAGATCAATTAGTATCACCGGTATAAACTCTCGGAAAAATCTCTCCCCGGGCCCGCTGCCAACAGCAAAAAAAATATTTCAGCTCAGTCCAACCAGGAATGTCTGCCTATGTTTTTACCCCTAAGCTGGCGAAGATCTGGCGAGAGCCTGGACTCGGTATGCCACTATCAATTGGCCTGTGGATGATTAGCACCTCTTGTTAAAGTGCTGGTGTGATGCCTCCTGTTGGACAGACGTTGAAGGCCTTAGAGAGGAGGAGGATGGAGGGAAAATTTTTTTCCAGTTAGGGCATTTTGCTTTAACTTATACACTCCCCCTACCACAGATCGAAGTTACAGAGCTTTAGCACAAGATCCCTTTTGTTGATGTGGTTATCGAAACTGTCACTGTGGAGACACACTTCAGCAGGCCAGGTGCAACGGGCAAAAGACAAGCCCAAAGCTGTTTATGAATTGCATGTTGCACGCACTCGTACATGAAGATTGCCATTTGGGGCTTTCCCACAGTTCGATGCGGCTCCACCAGAGTTAGGGTTATAGGGAAGTTATTCGAGCTTTGCTGCCTACGAGGAGACGGGTGGAGGGTGGTGAGGTGTGCCGGACGGTCTGTAGTGGTGCTAATAACTGTAGTATGCGATCATTCCCTGGTGTGCTGAGCAGTGCTTCAGCACACCTCCAGGGAGTAGCAAGAGATCCGTTTGTGGGATCAAATTGAAGGATTAGCCCTAGCTGGGAGCAACGTCGGCGTACATATCTGCCGCGAGCAGATCCAGTTATCAGACGATGGCTTTATACGTCTCTACATGTTAGATACGTGGCCAGCACCGGGTGTACAGACCAATTACGGGCTACGAGGGGGCCGTTAGAGCGTAGAGCGTGCGCACAAGAGGCCTCGGATGTGCGACTGGTAAGAGTGACCGGCGTACATAGGCTAGAGGCACACAGCCAAAGCAGCTCCAGCGCACCTCCATGGTGATGACGTTGTGCTTTCCATGCTCGTCGTGTATACCTTCCATTCAACGTCATGAGCCAATTGGCAACTTCCACAACCGTTCGCACGCCATGCGGAGGCGGAGGGCTTCGCAAGTTATCAGTACGAACGGTATATACATCTGTCGAGGCCAAAGGCTACCAAGTCGGAGCGATGCATGCGGCTTAACCTCTCTCCTTCGGTCTCTCTCGATATGCACACAGCTTGTGAAGTGTGGACTTACCATGAGCCCACCACCCGGTCCAGCGCCCATGTTGGACCAGGATCGACGCTCCAGCTTGCCTTGGGATGCTCGACAACTGTGTGTGCGCCTCATTTACTCAGATCTAACGGTGTAAGCTTCCGAGCATTCAATCTCGAGTTACACTACACCGAGAAGCTCTACAGTCAATGGGCTTCCACCATCTTGGGCACCAGAAATCACCACGCCTTGGCTGAAAATAGTGCCAAACCTGTACACGGTAGTTTGTAGGACGCTGCTGCTTGCTCTGTTGTACATCACGGTGCATCCCATGCCCACGGGTTTCCACCCCCAAGCCCTAGAACGGTGGGTTAATATGGCCACGATGACCGATATCTTAGCACGGGCAATTACCGGGGTGTTCGGGTGGGTGCCGGTTCGGTGATGGTCACATGATCTATCACCCTCGGAATAGCTGTCACGTGGTTTATGACTCATCAGTCACGTGATCTGCTTACATAAGCAGTCACATTGGACGTGACTCTAATCGAAAGATTATATATACAGACAATCACTCCTCCAATTATGGCCCCAAGCGACGGGAATCATCCTTCATCAACCACTGGAACAATGGAATCCAAGAACATATTGACCCCGTTCATCAAGTCGCTGTTCCTGTCGCCGCCAAACCTGAAGCCAAGCGACCTGGCGTTGGTCATTCGACTCATCGTGCAAGGCAAGGCCACCGACGTTCAGATCAGTGCCTTCTTGACTGCGTTGAGATTGACTGGGCTGGACCACCAGCCCGAGTTCATAGCTGCTGCTGCTGCGTCGATGCTTGAGTGGTCCAGTACCTTCACACCTGAAGATGTCAACGGCGAATTCGGCCTGGATATTGTTGGCACAGGTGGTGATGGCCAGAACACCTTCAATGTCTCAACGTCGTCAGCCATTGTGTGTGCTGGACTGGGCCTCCACGTTTACAAGCACGGTGGTAAGGCTTCGACGTCTGCCTCTGGTGCTGGTGATCTGCTGGGCTCACTGCAGGTTGATCTTTCCAAGATCAACGCCAGCAATGCCTCGAAGGTTATGAGAGAATCGGACTTTACCTTCCTCTTTGCTCCAAACTTCCATCCTGGTATGAAAGCAGTTGCTCCAATCAGATCCTCCATCGGCATTCCAACGATCTTCAACATCCTGGGCCCGCTGTTGAACCCTGCTCCGATCAGAGCTCGTATCATCGGCGTCAACTCTGAGTCTCTGGGGAAGGTGTTTGCCCAGGCTGTGATTTCTCTGGACAAACAGAGATACGGAGTAGTTGGTAAGACGATGATCGTCTGGGGCCGTGTGGGACTGGACGAGATCAGTCCAGTCTCACGCACCAAGTGCTGGCTGGTCGATCCAAGTGATGAGAGTATACAAGAGTTCTACCTAGAGCCAAAAGATTTTGGACTAGAGGAGTTCCCGTTGGCATCAGTAGCAAGTGGAACTCCAGACGAGAATGCCAATACCCTCCTAAAGATCCTTAGAAACGAGGTTGATGAAACCGATCCCGTATACAACTACATCTTGTTGAACGCTGGTGCACTGCTACACGTTGCAGGCGTCGCCAGGGACTGGAAGGAAGGTGCCCAACTCGCTGCTGTTTCTATCCAATCTGGCAAAGCACTGGAGGCATTGAACAAGCTGAGAAACGTTGTCAGTGAGCTGTGAAAGATGCTCTATATAAAGTGTATACGATACCATATTGAGATACAAAAATGGAGATAATTCGCATTATAATATTATACATTACTCTCAGGACTAAGGTATTTTCCGTATACAGTAGCGATGAGCTCAGACCATTTGAGATATCATCAACCTTCTAAGAATACAAAGGGGTCAACTTCACTAGTTCAAGGCGTACACTCCCTCTAAAGTGTGAGTGTTTTCTTCTTCTTTTTAATTGCCTGGTTTGCTGTATTGTTAATACCTTCAGTGAAACATAATTATGAGAAGACAACCATTGTGAGGAAACTGGAGTTGAGGATTTCAATGGTGATGCAATTCTATACTTCTTCTTTTGGCTCTTTGCTGTGGTAGGGAGGCACTCCCACGGTGTGCTATTCACATGTTGATGTCTAAGACAATGCCAACATCCTCAACGTTATCCTTTGACAAATCTTCCAAGAAGGGAATTATATCCAACAACTCATTATCATGAGCATCTGAGAACCAGCTCGAAATGGGGATCGCATGTTGTGGGTGAAAGATATAAGAGGCCGGGGAGTTGTCCAAGATGATGGTGTCCTTCAAGGGACGGCCAATCTGCGATAGGTTCTTGATATAGTTCCCCTGGTAGTTATAGCACGAGTCTCTGAATAATCGGTGGTGCACTGACTGGTGAACGTCCAACGCATCTAACAACGGGTCGCCGTACCGTGACACAGATGCTGTGAACACCACAACCTCGTACAATTCACCAACTCTTTTCATGAACTCGTCAACCCCAGGTCTCTTGATCACATACACGTTGTGGATCTGGTTATCAATGTCCACCGGGATGACAAAGTCCGCCTGTCTCATGTACTTGAACGACGAATGCACCAACGTCTCGTCCAAGTCGAGGATCAAGCACTTACGGCCTTTTAGCGCATCGGGCTGGCTATCCAATAGCCAGCCGTTTGGCGCGTGGGTTTGGCCAGGCTGTAGCTTTGTCAGGTCAAAGAAGTCATCTTGCGCGTACTCCATATCAACATCGCCGTCGTACTCCTCTCCTTCCGAGTTTGACGTTGTGCACACCTGTGAGGAGTCAGGATCCACCTCGTTGGTCTGTGTGCGTATTTCTGTTCCGCTGCCAGCTGTCTCATCTTGATGCTGCTGGTGTACACTCATCTTTGGATTACTCGCCTCGGTCTCAACAGTGGAGTCTGTGCCCTCGTACACGGTGACCTCGTTCCTCGTGGAACTTCTGTCCTTCTTCTCCTGGTCTATCAGAGGCGTTCTGGCGTTGGCTGGACTGCTCTTTGGCTTCAGCGTAGGCGACGGATGCTCACCTGGCTGCTTGGTCACTGAACCACGGTCTGCTTCAGCGTGGCCAGTCTCGCGTCGACTTTGCTGGTTACGGCTCTTAGTTGTGGTTCCCTTGTCCTCCTCTTCAGATCCTCCACAGCAAAATATCGACATTCTCCGCGTGAAGTGGTGTGCTTGCTCCGTTGCTGGGCCTCGCTGCGCTTGTGTGTGTGTGCTCTTTGTGCTCTCTGTGCAGACCTGGGGATTAATCAACAGGCCCTCTTGCGCTCTGTGCAACCACCTTCAGCACACCCGTTTGTTTCTCTCTTGCACCGGCTATCTCCACTGACGGCTTGCGTGCTGTGTTCCCGTGCTGTGTTCCCGTCCTTCTGGCTCGTGCTTCGCTCTCGCCCTCCGTCTCGTTTTCGTTTTTCCTCGTCTTACACAGCTTCCCGGTGAGCTTTTTCCCTTCAGTCTGTGTAGAACGACAATTCTCTCCTCCTCTGGGCCGTGTGTGTATGTATCAGTTTCGCAGAAACTATGGACAAAAATCACAAGCTGTAAAACCACCAAGCAGAGGGTCACTTTGACCGTTGAGATGTGTTTGTTGATGTTTTTCTTCCTCTCCAGAAACCGAAACGGGAGGAAACTGGGAAGAAAAGAGAGAAAACCCACAGCGAGAAAATTTCAGCGCCAAAAAAGGAAAGGCAAAAGCGAAAAAAAAAACACAAAAAAGCGAAAATGGGCAACCAAGGAATTTGCATCGGGAGGAGGAAACGGGACAAAAAGCAGACACGCGCGAGTGTAACTGATATAATTGGTATATAATCTGTGTATAACTGGGATATATAATTGTTGTGTAACTGATATTAGAACGATACTAATAAAAATTAGAAGGATATAATAATCCTTATGGCATGTACGGAGAACGGGTTCTTCTGGGTGGCCTACGTCGGGATCGCTTGTTCAGATTCCATGCCGAATATCCTTGTAAACAGTGGATGTACTGATAAGGATCACGGCCTAGTCTGTGCATGGTCTAGTCTGTTTATAGTCTAGTCTGTTTATAGTCTAGTCAGTCCATGGCCTGGTCATTTTGTAATCCAGTCTGTTTATAGTCTAGTCTGTTTATAGTCTAATCAGTTTATAGTCTAGTCAGTTTATAGTCTAGTCAGAATACCGTATCATCAAACACACTCTACAGCCTACCTTATGCGATAATCATAACAACAATTATAGCACAAGTTCAGGGTAAATTCTGTATGTTTGTGCTTTCTGGAGCTGTCATTCCCGGTCCATTTGCGCAAAAGTGGCAAAACCACACGGAGACATGAGTCACTGCTTATGTAATACATCCTCACACGCTTAGATAAGCATGCTGCTTATGTAACCATGCGCTAGTTGCTTATGTAACACTCTCCGCCCGCTCATAGGCATCACCAGCAACATGAAATTAGCCTCACTCACACTCACTTCTGCTTTTCGAAAAGTTGCTAATAGAAACATCATCTGTCATTGTTTGATCTGGCTCTCAATCACCTTTTCTCTCCAACGTAACATATAAGCCGATGTCACAAGAGGAGATCAACATCGAATGGGAACACCCAGATATCTCAAAGATCGAGCACCGCGTGGTGAACAAAGAGCTCGAGTTGAAACGTGTGCTCATCAACTTGATCCTCTTGCTAGTCACAAAGCTCGTGTTGAACGTGGCCAAGCTGGTGCTGTTCAAATTGGACTACACGGTAGATTATTCAACGTTGAACAAGTTACGAATCGCATTTCAACTACTATTTGCATGGAACATCGTCTCGGGGTTATACAGAGTGTTCAAGCCACAGGATGATTTCAAGGACTTGAAGCTGAACAATCAACAGAGAGAACTCTTGGGGTTAAAGGAGATTCCAATCACCGAGCCTGATCAGGTTGCTAAACCTGCTCAAGTCATAAACACCACGCCGTTGAACTCTCCAAAGACCAAGAAACAACAAGGCACCCCAATTGCGTCACCAATGTCCTCCCAACCTCTACCACAACTTTTGTCCCCACACAAGGCTTCTCCCCTGAGACAAGAGCAAGCCACTGACATCAACAAAGCAAAGGATCCGGTCACAAGTCTGAAGATAACACCAACGTATATACCTTCACCTAAGTACTACTACAGAATGGATTCCCCAACCAAGTCAAGAAGAAGGGTTTGATCTATGAGAACACCCCCCTGGTCTTCACCTTCTTACATCTGAAAACAAGACAAAAGAAACTAATTTAGCATTTCAATCAGCTACGTAGTGTATAGATCTATTCGACTTCCCAGTAGCCAGGGAAAAGGAAGTGCATCTTCTCCAGCAACTCCCTCTTCACACCGTGTGGACTTGTACTCACAGCCATCTTCATGCTTCCGGCCAAATCGTTACCAATGTTTCCATTAACAATCTCATGCTCCAACTTGTTGATCACCTCAATGGCCAGCTTGTTTGCATTTGCAGAGTTGGCCTTCAGGTTGCCGACAACGGTTTCAACGGTCACCGGCTCGGCCTCCTCTCTCCAGGCATCGTAGTCAGTAGACATACAAATCATCTGGTAGGAGATTTCAGCTTCACGAGCCAGTTTGGCCTCTGGAATGACCGACATGTTGATGATTGAACCTCCCCAAGATTGGTACAATCTTGATTCTGCCCTGGTGGAGAACACTGGGCCTTCCATACACACAACAGTAAGGTCCTTGCCGTCCAGCTGCTTGGAGTGTAGCTTGACATCATCACCCTCCAACACATGGCCAAACTCAGAGATCAATGCGCTCAACTTCGGGTCAAAGGGCTCGCCGAAACCAGCATGTGCAACAAAACCTCTCTCAAAGAAAGTCGAGTTTCTAATACCCTTGGTTCTGTCGATGATCTGGTTTGGCACGACAAAGTCACGCGGAGGAATGTCCTGTTGCAATGAGCCCACGGCACTGAACGCAATGATCACCTTCACACCAATGGACTTCAACGCAGCAATGTTGGCCGTGGAGGGCACGTTTGTAGGGAGCAAGTCGTGGTGGATGCCGTGGCGTGCCAAAAACGCAACGTTGAACCCCGTAGAGGTCTTGGAGATGGTGATTGACGACGAGGGAGCTCCCCATGGCGTCGAGATCGTGAGCCTAGCGACCGGAGTCAGCGATGCCAGGTGGTAGAGCCCGGTGCCTCCAATGATGCCCAAATGGACCGGCTCGCTGAACGTAGTGGCCAGCTTAGCCGTCTCGACTGCTTCACGGTGAACGGACATGCTGACGAGGTGTTTGAACTGCTTCTTAACGGACACTCTGACCAGCCAATCAATCTTTCCCACGCTGAATGGTGGTGATTCCAGCCAAAGTCAGAGACATCAACGTGGGAATAATTCAAATTTTATACTCAGCATGCATACAACGGCCAAACCCTAAACGGGGAGCTGGGCGATTTCGGTGCGGGGCGCATTCCCATAACTACGGAAACAAACTGTGGCGTTCGAACACAACTTTTTATACAGCGGCAGCAGCGTGATTATATAAGCAAGAGATATTTACAGGGTGGTGGTGGTGATGGTGGTGCTCGGCAAGTTTCCATGGGTTCTGGAGAGGGTGTTAGATGTCGAAGCCGAAGCCCTTCATACAGGTCTTGTACTGTCCAATGAGGTCGTCGCATTTGCCCGAGTCTTGTCCGTTGATGAGGAGACACTGGTCTCTGGCCTCTTTCTCCGGCTTACAAACGCAGCATGGCTTTGGTTTGGATTGTTGCTGTGTGGTCTGTTCTGGCATTGGCGGCGTGTTGCTGTGTGGTGTGTAGATGTGGTGTGTGGACGTGGTGTGTTCCCTTTGGGGTGTGGTTGTTGTGTTGTTGTCTCTGGTGAGTTGGGGGAGTTGGAGAGTGTAGGAGTGAATAGGAGGAAGTGTTGATTAGTAAAAGGGCTTTGAAACTTTTCGGAAGGATACGGTGTGGTGGTGTCTGGGTGTTTTTTACTGCGTGTTCATCCACAGTCACGTGGTCTTAGTATAGCCATCACGTGATCTTTTCATGCGATCCCGCTTATAGTGCGATTAATATCCAATAAATGTCCAATTGGCGTAGCTCCTCCTCCCTATTCATCGTAGTTCAACTGTGGTTTCATAGGGTGACACCCCATTGGTTCTTTTGCCCTGGATTTGTTTGCTCATTTCTCCCTCAACCGTACTCCATCCACGCTTTAACGCGGACGACGCACTAATGTGCAATACCCACAGCGATCTCGCCGGTTAAAGACCCGATTTTTGTTGCGAGCAATGATGTCTATCGCTGTGTGGGAAAAGTACTTAAGAGGAGCCACAAGTCTTCCTTTTCAGTCGTCCTTTGTTGTTGCTCTACGCTCAATTACAGCTCAATTACAGCTCAATGTCCTCTACAATCACTCTTAACAACGGTCTCAAGGCTCCACTGGTTGGCCTGGGCCTCTGGAAGATTCCAAACGCAGTCGCAGCTTCACAGGTGTACAATGCGATCAAGCTGGGTTACAGGCTGTTCGACGGTGCAGCTGATTACGGCAACGAGGTTGAAGTTGGCCAGGGTATTAAACAAGCCTTGGATGAAGGCTTGGTCAAGCGTGATGAGCTGTTCATCGTTTCCAAGCTGTGGAACACGTTCCACCATCCAAACAACGTCAAGTTGGCTCTGGACAAGACTTTGAAGGACTTGCAATTGGAGTACTTGGACCTGTACTACATCCATTTCCCCATCGCACAGGCCTTTGTCCCATTTGAGAAGTCCTATCCACCAGGCTTTGGAATCACCGAGGAGTTTGAATTTGAGGATGTTCCAATCATTGAGACTTATCGTGCATTGGAGGAAGCTCACGCCGCAGGTAAGATCAAGGCCATTGGTGTTTCCAATTTCAACGGTGCTTTGCTTCAAGATTTGCTCAGAGGTGCAAAGGTGAAGCCTTCAGCATTGCAGATTGAGCACCACCCATACCTCGTGCAGCCAAGACTGGTTGAATACGCTCAGAGATCCGGATTGTGGGTCGTTGCGTATTCCTCGTTTGGACCTCAATCCTTTGTTGAATTGGACCATCCAAAGGTTAAGGATTTGCAGCCTTTGTTCGAGCACGAAGTCATCAACGCAATTGCCAAAGCCCACGGTAAGCAGCCTTCACAGGTGCTGCTCAGATGGGCCACACAGAGAGGCTTAGGTGTGATTCCAAAGTCTTCAAACAAGGACAGACTGCTGGATAACTTAACCGTTGAGGACTTTGACCTGACACAGGAGGAATTGGACAAAATCTCCGCATTGGACCAAGGTTTGAGATTCAACGATCCATGGGACTGGAAGAATGCCGGTATTCCAACATTCGTTTAGTATATTTCATAGGTAATAAGCCATTAATTAAACTGGTATACTCTCTATATCTGTGTAAGCACTGGTCACGTGATGCCTAGGTCGGATTTCGACGAATTCCGGCTCATCGCACTGAACCTTAAAAAAAATTTCGGACTCACAACTTTCCATTCAATGGGACAGCTTTCTTCTTTTAAACTGCTTTGTTATCGCCAGTTCAGAAGCTCTCGGTATACAACAATATGAAGATCAAGACCATCAGTCGTTCAGCAGACAACTATGTTCCTGTGAGATCCACGCAGGAGTCACAGATGCCACGTAACTTGAACCCAGAGCTCCATCCTTTTGAGAGGGCTCGTGAATATACAAAGGCACTCAACGCTACAAAAATGGAGCGTATGTTTGCAAAGCCTTTCCTGGGACAGTTAGGTAATGGGCACAGAGATGGTGTGTATACGATCGCTAAGAATTTCAAAGTGTTGAACAAGATTGCGACCGGATCTGCAGACGGTGTGATCAAGTATTGGGATTTGGGTTTACAACAGGAAATTGCTGGGTTTAAAGCCCATTACGGCCAAGTCACCGGAACCGCTGTCACGCCAAAGGGTTTGCTATTGAGTTGTGGTGATGATAAGACCATAAAGCTGTGGAGTGTGAATTCAGAAGAGTACCAAGGTGCCGGTGAAGAGGAAGTTACCAAGCAAGGTCTACTCAAGACCTTTTACGGAGAACATAGCTTCAAAGGGTTGGATCATCACAGGGATGATTCCACATTTGTCACTGGAGGTGCTGTGATTGAACTCTGGGACTCCCAGAGATCAAGGCCTGTCTCCAACCTATCGTGGGGTTGTGATAATGTCAACTCCGTGGTGTTCAACAAGACCGAGACCAGTATATTGGCATCTTCTGGAAGTGACAACAGTGTTGTTTTGTACGACATTAGAACCAACTCTCCAACTCAAAAGCTCATTCAAACACTACGCACCAATTCGATTGTATGGAATCCTATTGAAGCCTTCAACTTTGTCACTGCAAATGAAGACCACAACTTGTACTACTACGATATGAGATACATGAAAAGAGCAATGAACGTCTACAAGGGTCACGTTGCAGCTGTGTTGGACGTTGACTTCTCACCAACAGGACAGGAGATTGTTAGTGGATCTTACGATAAGACGATAAGAATATTCAAGACGAGAGAGGGTCATTCTAGAGACATCTACCACACAAAGAGAATGCAGCACGTGTTCCAAGTGAAATTCTCCATGGATTCCAAGTACATCTTGAGTGGTTCAGACGATGGTAACATTCGTATGTGGCGTGCCAATGCTTCTGAACGTGCCAATGTGAAGTCGTCCAAGGAAAGAGCCAAGTTGGAGTACGACGAGGCACTGAAGGAGAGATTCAAATACATGCCAGAGATCAAGAGAATATCGAGACACAGACATCTACCAGTCGTTGTCAAAAAGGCTACAGAGATCAAGAGTGTTGAGTTACAGAGCTTAAAGAGAAGAGAAGAGAACGAGAGAAGACATAGCAAGCCTGGTAGCAAACCGTACAAGAGTGAAAGGGAAAAGCAAATCTCGGGCCTTGTGTTTAACGAGGATGAAACAGGGGCACACAAGACCAACTCCAGAAAGCGTAAGGGCAAATAATACTCGTATTTAATGAATTATAAAGGTACAAATCAGTTATAAAATGATACACCCATAGGTAAAGTGCAAGATGCGCAGCAAGGTTACCCTACCTCACACCTGGACACCACATTAGGTGGAGCTACACCCGGACACCACGTTGCATAAGCACACGCCCGGACACCAAATCAGCGTGCCTTTGTTTTCGTTTTTGCGGCGGGGCGGGCGAACACAAAAAAACAAAGAAAACAAAAACAAACCAGAAAAGATCAACAAACAAAACAGCAAACGAGTGTCCTCCTGAGGCGGCAACCAAACAAACACTTCCAAACAGATTACAATGGCGTCACTCGAGGATTTGATTCCCACTGTTAACAAATTGCAGGACGTCACCTATGACGCCGGTGTTGATTCGCTAGATTTGCCCATTCTTTCAATCATTGGATCACAGTCCAGCGGTAAATCGTCAATCTTGGAGACGATTGTTGGTAGGGACTTCTTGCCTCGTGGTACTGGGATTGTGACGAGAAGACCTTTGGTGCTACAGTTGATCAATATTGCGGAGGATTCTCCGTTGATCCATCAGGGCGGTGAGGCCAGCGGTGATTCTGAAGCGAGTGACAGTGGCAAGAAAGAGGAGGATGAGTTCTCACTAGAAGACCACCTGAGACAGCAACAGGGGTACGTGCCGGAGGTGCAGAACGAGTGGGGTGAGTTCTTGCACATGCCTGGCAAGAGGTTCTACAACTTTGAGGATATCAGAAGGGAGATTGTCAATGAGACCTCGAGAATTGCCGGTAAGAACAAGGGGATCTCTCGAATCCCAATCAATTTGAAGATCTACTCTCCAAAGGTTTTGAACTTGACTCTTGTCGATCTACCGGGTATCACCAAGGTTCCTATCGGTGATCAGCCAACTGATATTGAAAAGCAGATCCGTAACCTCATTCTAGAGTACATTGCTAAGCCGAACTGCATTATCCTTGCCGTGTCGCCAGCCAACGTTGATATCGTCAACTCTGAGTCTTTGAAACTCGCAAGACAGGTTGATCCACAAGGAAAGCGTACGATTGGTGTCTTGTCGAAACTGGATTTGATGGATCATGGAACTAATGCATTGGATATCCTTTCCGGGAAGGTTTACCCTCTAAAGTTGGGATTTGTCGGTGTGGTGAACAGATCCCAGCAGGATGTTGTTATGAACAAGAGCGTGGAGGAAGGTTTGCAATCTGAAGACGAGTTCTTTAGAGCTCACCCAGTATACAGAACCATCTCGAACAGATGTGGTACAAGATACTTGGCCAAGATATTGAACCAAACTTTGATGAACCACATCAGAGAGAAATTGCCTGATATCAAGGCAAGACTCAACACCCTGATGGGCCAAACTGAACAAGAATTGGCATCGTATGGTACTCAACAAACCACTACACCAGAGGGACGTAGTGCGCTCATTCTTCAGCTCATGACAAAATTTGCATCTAACTTTGTCAATTCTATTGAAGGTAACCTCGTTGATAGAAACACAAAGGAACTCTGTGGTGGTGCTAGAATATACTACATCTATCACGATGTCTTGGGGAAATCGCTCGAGTCTATTGACCCAACGGCAAACTTGACAACACAGGATATTCGTACTGCCATTAGAAACTCCACTGGTCCAAGACCTTCATTGTTTGTTCCAGAACTTGCATTTGATCTTTTGGTCAAACCACAGATCAGTCTTTTGCAAAGTCCATCGCATCGTTGCGTTGAACTCGTGTATGAAGAGTTGATGAAGATTGGCCACAACTGTGGTTTTACAGAGTTGGCAAGATATCCTAAATTACAGCAGGCTTTGATCGAAGTAACAAGTGAATTGTTACGGGAGAGATTGGGCCCAACAAGTGCATATGTGGAGAGTTTAATTGATATCCACAGAGCTTACATTAACACGAATCATCCAAGCTTTATCGGCGCCGCCACTGCCTTGGCTGAGGTTGTTCAAGAGTTACAAGAGCAAAAGACCCAGAAGAAGATGGTTGATACACTCAAAACTCTAAAACCAAAACCGGTTGAAGCGAATGGTAGTGTAGAGGGCTCCACTGCCGGTGACTTTGATGAGGAATCGGTTGTTTCTGATATTTCGCCACCAACAACGAGAATGCATAACGAAAAGAGTGAATCCAAAGATTCATTCCTCAACTTCTTCTTCGGTAAGGAGAACGGACAAGTGAAGGCTAATGGTTCTGGTGCTAATGCACCAAAGAATGCCCCAGTCTCAACACCAAGGGCATTCGGTGCATTTGAAGAGTTGGCCATTACCAATACACCACAAAATCCACTAGAGGGAATCACCGAAGATGTCGAAGAACCCGAACTAAGTGAGCGTGAACAAGTCGAGGTTCTTCTCATTAAGCGTTTGATTGTATCATACTTTGGTATCATCCGTGAGATGGTTCAAGACCAAGTTCCTAAAGCGATCATGTGTCTCTTGGTGAACTACTCCAAGGAAGGTGTTCAGAACAGATTGGTCACTGCGTTGTACAAAGAAGCAATGTTTGCAGACTTGTTACAGGAGGATAACAACTTGGCTCAGGAGCGCGAGAAATGTGCTAAACTTCTCGAGACCTATAAGGAGGCCTCCAATATCATCAATGAGGTTCTATGAGTTGCAGGAAGCATCGTGTAAATACAATATACTAGAAAATATAGGGAGATTTATATTCTATTATTAAATCTGAATACAATGACTATGATATGGACTGGAGGAAGTTGTATTGTCTACTTCTTTTGTTTCTTCCTCACCAACGTTGTTAAATTGTTGACGGTGATGGTATTCACTCGGGTTTCAACAACCCTTTGAGGCTTCACATAGGTGCCTGTAACCTTTAGTGTGTCTGTATAGCCTTCTCCTTTCTTTGATTCTAAGTAACTGATGACGTTCTTGTACGATTCCAATGCACCCTCGTCATCATGGAAGTCTTCGCCGGTGATGAAGTTCTTCAAGGCTTTTAACATCTTATAAGAGCAAATTAACCCAGTGGAAGAGTCAGCTAAGGATGGTTTCAACTTGCCTTCGACACCAATGACACTAACAATAACACCGAGTCTGAATTCCTGTCTCATCTGCAATTCCTCCCAGAATTGGGCAACAGAGACTGCTTTGACCCTGCTCTCAACGCATAGATGTTCCAAGAATCTGGCCTTAGGGTCATCGGGGAACAACGGGATCTTGAATACTGCGATGTCCTTTGGATCACTTCCAAAGACATCTCCAATTGACCAATTCCCTCTCAATGGCGTTAGGTATCTCTGGATGACCTTATCATCTTCACTGGGGATTCGAAGAAACGCCCTATGTGTTTCGAATTGTGAGGTCAGGACTGGGTCTAAGACGCGTAACCACCATTTGAGCAGGCTCTCGCCGTCCAATATGTGTTTGGAAGGGTTTTCAGAGGAGCAGGGGAACAGATATTGAGGTTCACTCCTGGTGAACAGCGCAATCTTGGTCTTCAACTCTCTGGGGAAATCCTTCATGGTATACGGCCTGACCGCCTCTGGAGTCTCTAGCTCACCCGTATGGCGTCTCAGAAGAATATCCAGTGCTTTCCTTGTGCCTGTGAACCTGGATATCGTGTTTGGGCCGTACTTTGGCCTTGTAGCGTCCTTTGGTATAACCTCTTTGAAATACTCAGCCATCGGTATACGCAAGACATGTTCAACACAGTGCTGTGTCACCAGACCAATGCTCGCCTTCGAATCGTTCTCCCCATTGGTATCGGCCTTGGATACAAATAGCATCTGCTCAACGTGTGAGCCTTCAAACACAGTGAGATAGACGAACAGCTCGAGCCCATAAAAGATCTTGTCATTATGGGCCAGCGTGATGAAGTGTTGCACTTTGAAAGTCGGCAACGAAGTCCCAGAGACCAAGCCATGGGTTTCTCTCGTCTTCGACTGCCAATGCAGCACGGTGTACTGCTCTGATAATGGTAGCACGCCACTCAATGACTGCTTAAGCTCCATGATCGCTCTTCCCCGTGCAATAAGTGCAAACAGAGAAGTGGACATAAATCCGTTGATGCAAGAGAGCTCGGTATACGCCGAGCTCGGAAACACCCGGACACCCATAGTTAAGCCCAGCTCAACCACCGGTTTTGATATACGGCTTCCACTACAGATTTATTATCAGATTGGAGCCATTGCAGAGCTTCCCCGTTGTTCACAATGCACATGAATTAATAACGATGACATCTCTAAGCGTTTTCATATTCATCAGGGTAAAAGACCAGACGTTCGATACCTTTCTTCGTCAAAATGACCTGTCTAATCACACCACCAGAGGAGCCATCCCACTTTATGGCCTGTGACAGTGCCGTTTTGACAAACGAAACCACCTCATCTTGGGTCATATCGGATTTATAGTTCTTCTCTGTCCAACCGTAGATATAACTCGAACCAGAGCCGGCAATGGCAAACTTCTGCTTATGTATTGAGCCACCTAATGGTATGCTGTAGACTTCACCAACACCGTTGTGCTCGTCAAACCCTGCAAGGATCAACCCTGCTGTCAGGTTGTCCTTGTTCTTATATGTCAATTCCTGTAACAACGAGGCTGCCACCTTTGGAGGTGGAGCGTGTCCATGCTGTGCCACGTAGAGGTCCAAGTAGTACTTCACAATGTCTGCAACAGCCTGTGTGTCTGCTGCGGAACCCGAACGACAACACCAGATGAGATCGTGCAATTGTGTGAGCTTGTCGGTGACACGGTTTGCGATATAGGAACCCGTTGTGGTACGGGAATCTGCTCCTAGAACAACACCATCTTTGAAGGTAACAGCCATGATGGAAGTACCCAAGCTGACCTCACCTTTCTTTAGATGGTTGATATCCACAGAAATTCCGTTCATTGTTTGTATTTAGTCCAATTGGTTTCAAACAAGGTTAGATCGATGTCTTGTTGACGTTGTTGTGGCGGCCTTTTTGATGTTATTGTTGTTGTTGATGCTGATGTTGATGTTGATGATTGTTAAGGGAGCCCGGCCATGCGTTTTCGCCACCAACACCTGGACATTTATCACACCCGGACATCCCTAACACCCGGACACCACCTACATCCAGACACCTCATACTGGTCACGTGACTCATCTCCCCTACGCCAAAAGTGAAAAATTTCTTCCAACGCTGAGAACGATGATGGGCCTTCGCTTCAACGCCGTTTCCATCAACCTCTCCACGCTAATCCAAGCTTAAGATGTCCCTTCCATTCGATTTCTCCGGCATCTCATCCACGTGGGGCCCACAGTCCACGATCCCTGAATCGCTACGTTTCTCTGACATCCCATACGCTCCTTATTCCAAGGCTGATAAGTTGGGTAAAGCTGCTGACTGGCAACAACAGGAGTTCCAGCGTGATCTTAAGGACAAGAAGCGTAACCAGAGAGACTACTTCCACGCCTACGGTGCCAGTGCTGCTTCGTCGTTCGCTGCTGAGGCACAGGACGAAGGTGAGGACTTTGAGATTGTTGATAACTCCAAGCAAGTGCAGAACAAGCAGGTTTCACAAACCACCGTGTTGAAGAGAGGTGGTGGCAGACAACAGCAACAGCAAGGCCAATCATTCCAGAAGAAGAACTTCACCAAGAGACAATTCAACTCCCAGGGCTCCCAGCAACAATCCTCTGGTTCTTCCAACGCCTCTGGCCAAGGCAACGGCTTCCAAGGCAACAGACGTTACTGGAGAAATGAGAAGCCTGAAAGAGTCCGTGACAGCTCTGTCAAGGTTGAGGACTCGTGGGTGGTTGTTTCCGATATTGAGCTGAACAAGCTGAGCAAAGTGGCATTTTCGGTGTCTCAGCCTCAAGAATTGGGTACTTACGGTTCGTTGAACGCATACAACAAGAAGTTTGAGAGAGGTGGATTGCCGTTGCAAGCCATTGATAAGAACATCTACAACCCAACTGCGTCTGATGACCCAGTTATTCAGAAACTGCAATCTGACAACGTTGCACAGGTGTTCACCACGGACTCTGTGGTGTCACAGTTGATGTGTGCCTCAAGATCAGTTTACTCCTGGGACATCATCGTCACCAAGAAGAATGGCCAGATCTTCTTGGACAAGCGTGAGGGCTCCCAGATCGACAACCTGACCGTTGATGAGAACGCTGCTGATGCTCCGTCAGATACTGCCGAGGACACTGACAGTGCAAGCAAGTTGTCACTAGAGGCCATGTTCCTCAACCAAAACCTTTTGGCCAACGTTGTTGCTGACGGCCAGCAGATCTCCTTGGAGCATCCTAACCCATTCCAGAGCAACAGCGATGAGCCATTGCTGTCCAAGGGCTACTCGTACAAGAAGTGGGAGTTCACGACTGCTGAAGAGACCGAGGGTGAACGCCCATTATCCATCGTTATCAGAACAGAATTCGATACAAAGGACACTGCCTCAAACCAGCTCTTGAGTGTGAAGGCCATCAATGAATACAAGAAGGGCCCATTGGACTGGAAGACCAAGATCATGTCGCAGAGAGGTGCCATCATCGCTGCAGAGCTCAAGAACAACAACAACAAGTTCTCCAAATGGACTCAGCAGGCCATCCTTGCCGGTGTTGACACCATCAAGCTGGGCTTCATTTCAAGAGCAAACTTCAAGGACAACACTAGACACACCGTGCTTGGTGTCTCCTCGTTCAGACCACAGGACCTTGCCTTGCAAATTGGACTGTCCACTGCCAACGGTTGGGGTATTGTGAAGTCCTTCATCGACATCATCAACGCTCAGCAAGATGGTAAGTTTGTCATCCTGAAGAACCCTAACGACCCAAAGATCACCGTCTACAGAGTTCCTGAAAACTCGTTCATCGAGGAATGATCTACTTGTTTTAAACTACTGGGCAATTGAATCAACAACAACTTCAAATCAAATTCATAATGTACTGTAAAAGCTCTAGTCTCTAGCAGATTCTCTGTGCTGGACAGAGGCCTTGTCCATGTCGAACTCCTCAACCTCGGTGTTCATCTTCAATGATCCCATGGCACGCTCCTCGTCACTGGCCGTGTCGAACTGTTCGATGGTGGCCTTCTTCTGGTCAGAGTAGTTCTCTTCAGCATGTGCACTGAAGTCCCTGTGGAAGTACTCTGGACCACAGATGATACACACGATGAGGCACACGTTGACACCAACCATGAACAGAGCCATACTCTTTGCGTAGTCGTAGATGCTTGGGCCGAGATCTGGCAGTGGGAACGAGCTGCTGATCTCTGATTCGATGGTGGAAGATGCTGATGAGGCCAGGTTACCCAATTGATAAGCCAAACCACCAAACAGGGCTCTGAACGCTGGTGGAGACAGCTCCATGATGTAGACAGAGCAGACACCCCAGCAGCCCATGACGAAGAACTGCATGAAGAAGCCACCAGCCATGAGCCCACCAATGGACGTGGAGAAGAAAGCAGGGTAGATCAACGCTGAGGAGCCAACGGCACATGAAAAGATCGCCAGTCTTCTCCCTGTGAATTCAGAAAGCGTACCAACACACAGGCCACCAACCATGGCACCCAGGTTAACGACGATCATGATGGCAGTACGCTGGTTTGCGGAGAAGAAGAGCTGGTTTTGCAACATGGTTGGCATCAAATCTTGGGAAGCGTGCGAGGAGAAGTTCATCAATGAGAGGTAGAAGACGAGGTAAACGAACATCAGCCAGTGATTGCTCAATGCCTTCTTCAAATCAGAGTAGAATTGCCTCCATGGTGATGCAGCCTGGGCATGGTTACCCTCAGCCAAGGCCTTTTCACGCTGGACTCTCTTGTGCTCAACAAAGTGTGGATGTTCTGGGAACATCAGTCTCCACATGAACAGAATGGCAGGAGGGGCTGCTGAGAACCAGAAGAGTGCTCTCCAGCCATGAGTTGAGAACTCGAAGGCACGGTAGAAGGCCACTGCGAGAATGTAGCCCAGGTTATAGCCAGGCAAGAAGATACCACCTAGCACGGAACGAGACGTTGTTGGCTGAGATTCCAGTGCTGTTGCAGATGCGGTGGTGTAGCAACCACCCATACAGACACCAAAGAGCAATCTCACGATCAGAAACTGTGTGTAGGTTTGGACAAACCCGGTGCCGATCTCAATCATGGAGAACAGGGCCATGACGGCCAAGTACGTTGGCTTTCTACCGTACGTATCGGAGAGAGAACCAAAGATCACGGCACCCAGAGAACGGGTCATCAGCACCAGTGTGATACCCCAGGTGATGTCGTGGATTGATCTGTCAAAGGCCTTGGCCAACGCTGGGGCACAGGCAGACACGCAGAAGAAGTCGAACGCATCAATGACCCAGGCACAGTAGCCCATGGCAAAGTAGTTCCAGTCGCTTCTGCTCAAGGCCCTCATTGCTGGGGCTGGGTTCAGCGACTTCACTGGCGTACCAGGAAGCGTGAATAGGGAAGGAATGCGTGTGGCGATGTATCTCCCAGCAGTCATGGCGATAAAAATGGTAGATAAGCACTTGATTGGGGTCTCAAGAGCTAGATAGAAGTGCCAAAATGAAGACATCTACAGCGACCTTTATATACACAGCTCGCCAACAGCACAAGCACCTTCTTCTCTCCACACTCCTTGGAGAAGCGGAGCATGCTGCCACCACTTGACGGGGAAGAGGGGTTGCAAATGCTCGATCTTGGTTGCTTTGGACGCCAATGCTCGAACAATCGTCGCCAAAGCTGTGTTATACAATGAGAGCTATGCAGTGAGATGGGAATTTGGCTTTGCTTCCCCAGATTTTAGAGTTCATGCGCGCCGTCCCAATGCGGTAATCGGAGGCTACGCAACAGAAGTTTAATTTGGGTTTGCGGGGCAACGGGATTAGAGTTTTGGTGTGGTGGAAAAGTCCGTTCCTCACGCAACCCCCACGGATCTGGTCTGGTTTGTGTTCCCCGTTTGGTCCGACGGGCCAGTTTGTGCCCACTGCCGAGACAGCTTGGAGTTCACTGTGGGCGAAGAGTGTGGCTAATGCCTGTGCCCCCACGTATTCCTCTTGCTGGTTTCTTCCGTGCATGCAAGGGAGATTATCCGGGCTCTTGCTCTGTGCTCTCTGTTGTCTGCTCTCTCTATGTAGCAATAGAGAGCACGAATGTTGGTGCTACAGTTGCTTGCTTGTTGTGTAAAGATAGTGGCATGGAGAGTGGAACAGAGAGTGTTGCTGTGGTTGGCCTGGTGTATGGCTTGTGCTTGTCTCGTCATATGGCTACTGCGTGTGTGTTGGAGTGCGCACGGTCTCATACCACCTTTGCTCCCTCATCCACGGTGTGTTGGCTCTGCAGGCTGGGTCATCGCTACGGTTGAGTCAACGAGACTCAAGTTCCAACATCCAAGCAAAACAGCCAGAGGTTGGAATCCTCTTGCCGCAGATGTTTTGGGAATTGCGTGTCGCCTGGAAGTTCTCAATCACCCGGTCTATCGGGCGTCGTAGGCAGGCCACTGGTTGCCTCCACCTACATGCGTGTAGCACTGTATTGGGATCCATACTGGAGGACCCACAAAAGAAGCCCTGGGGCTCGAAAGGGTGACGACTTCAAATAGGGAGCACAGCAGGGTACAGCAGTGTGTTCTGACTCCGCTGTATGTATGGCTATTCACCATTTTTGTGCGACATGACTACGTCTTCTGTCTTATTCAAGTGTCAACTGAATCATGTAGATCATTCAACTTTTCTTTCTCCACACGGTGATTCAAACCAAAAAAAGGGCAGAAATCATAAGCTGATCTCCATTAGACTGATCTACCCCATGTCTTGACTCAATATTGCCTTGTCAGGGGGTGATTTAAGGTATTGCACCGCGGGTATGCTCTAATCTTAAAACTATATTTTGTCTCACCACTCAGTGCCCCCCCCCCCAGGTGATCCCACACTGCTTGAAACGGAACCGTTGAAGAGCCGGTCACAGAGCCCAGGACAACAAGGTATCGTCAGTACGATGATGATTATCTTGGCAAAACGATAGAGTGTAAAACTTATCAGAGAGTCTCATGGCAATGGGCATTCAGCTGGCCACTTGTTCAAAGATCTTCAAAAGAAGATCAGAATGCACTTGGAAACCTTATACAAACAGTATATAGAATCGTTGGGTAAATGGTTAAGCAATAGCTCACCAAAAGGATTATACTGCCATAGAATACCTTGTTTCAGCAAAGTTGAGGGGATTATACAAGCGGCGTTTTATTAGTCCGGGAGGTTTCTAGAATCGTGAGGTAGTACTAACTGATAAGACAACATACAAAAGACTTGATGGCAAAGTGGAGACCAAATATGGTACCCGGGGAAAAGAAATCACGCTGAGCTCCCAGTGAGCACTGTACATAGACCATGGATCTAATCAACGCTCTATTCTCCGCTTGTCATCCGTTAAAGAAACGTGGTGCCCCATATAAGCTCCACTCCATAGTTAGGGAAAGCATTCCGGTATTACATCACGTGCGTGCGCACGTGAGGCGTCGGATCTTGCGTAACGGACAACGCACCCGCACACCCTTCGAGCCTGTTTTCCACACATTCTCCGAGGCTCAAGGCTTATATGAACAACAAGTATTGATCACAAAGGAAAACGGCATAGCCAACCCATTCGATGAGACTTCTAACCCTTCTGCTGTGCATTGTCAGCACGGTGGTTTGTTTCGTGCCACCACAGACCTGGGAAAACGTTGTTGTTTCCCGTGCCGTTGATCTCTCAAAATCCTACGTGCTGGAAGAGTACGCTTTACAAGTTAGAAACATCGATTCCAAGCCAAATGGCGTGTATTACTTCGCAGTTCCAAACTTCATGTATGAGAAGATCAGTACCGTGTCCGTTATCCAGGGAAAAGATGCCTTCAAGCCCCTGGAGTACGAATTTGTTGAGCAGAGCTCCGACTCAGCGAATGGACCTGTTGTGAACTACATCAAGATTCAGACACCTCCGGTAGCTCCAAAGAGCACTCTGTTGGTGACCGTTGTCCTCACGGTGACAAACGTGCTGGAGCCACTTCCTGCCAAGATTGGTATCACTGAACAACAATCCCTGTTGTTTTCCTCCTTTAAGAAGAGTCTCAGCGCCTACCATACGAAGAAGAGCTTGTTGAAGTTGAAGGGAATCACGGAGGCCAAAGAATTGAACGAAGCGGATGGTATCAAGGGAGAGGCAACTTCAAAGGCGCTGGTGTATGAAATGGAAGATATTTCGCCATTTGAATCTTCTCCGCTGAGCCTTCTGTACAGACATTTGAAGCCTTTGATGAAAGTTAACAAGTTGAAACGTGGTATCTGGGTCTCTCACTGGGGTGATTCTTTACAATTTGTTGAAGAATATCAAACCACAAATGAAGCAGCTGGTCTTGAGAGTGGGTTTTCAAGAGCAGACTATATGATGAACAAAGAGATTGTCACATCTTCACATGCTGCATTGGCGTTGGAATTGGAGATGGAAGATGGTGCATTCGACGTTTACTATACCGATTTGGTTGGTAATGTGAGTACCTCATTGGCACTATCTGATAAGATCTTCATCAGACCAAGATTCCCAATCTACGGTGGCTGGCACTACAACTTCACCGTTGGCTGGACAAACAAGTTGGGCAATTACTTGAAGAAAGTTGGTGATGACGAGTATACGGTTAAGGTTCCATTGCTCAACGGTATCCCGGGCACTTCTCTCGATGACGTTGAAGTTAGTGTGTACCTTCCGGAAGGCTCCCAAGTCGTGGGCGTTGAAAGTGACATCCCACCAGAATCTGAAGAAGTTGGGTACGAGTTGAGCTATTTCGACTTGGGCAACGGCCATACAAGGGTCACTCTTCACTATTCCAACTTGATCGACAGTGTTAAGCAGCTCTCCATCTTGGTCAAGTACAAGTACGGATTCAGGGAGTTTATGACAAAGCCTTTAAACGTTGCCAAATATGTATTCATTGCGCTATTGGCCTATCTCGCTCTGTCGAAAGTTGACATTACACTAAAGGCAAAGAAATAGAATCCTGGTTAATATATATATAATCTCCATATATATACACAATCGTGCAACTGCTATATACATCCGTGTCGTTAAGAAAAGAGGAATGGGGGAAGCCATATCAGAACACGTTATCTCCCTCGCCTGGTAATCTTGGAACTCTCTTTGGCTCCCACTCCTGTTCGCCCAACCCTTGAAGTCTGTAATACTCCTCCTTCACATCAACGTGTCTCTTCTTCGTATTCAGATCCAGCACCTGCTCTTCGTCCAGCTCTTGTAGTTTACGGTCTCTGTTCTCGTATCTGATAGCAGTGAATGACGAGAGCCAAAATGACCCTAGAGCCATTGCTGTGAGAAATGGTAGCCCAAACAGTAAGAACGGATGTTTCTTCAAGCTCTTTTGGTATCTCCCGCCTAACGTCGCATCATAGGCTGCCTGCTCTCTCTTAGAGCGGAACTTCTTAGCGTTGAACATCTCGATGAGCTGTGTTGTGTCTCGTGTTGGTTATGGTGTGTAGCGACAATGAGGGAAAGCCGATGATGTTTTCGCGCAAAATCGGGATTTGCAGCGAAAATGGCACAAACCACAGAAACGCCAAAAGAGGTTAACTGTATCACGTGATATGCTTATATAAGCAATATCACTGAGGCGGCCCCTTATCATTAGTCACGTGATCTACAACATCCAGACACCCACCTATCGGACCCCCTTATCAGTGGAGTTGGGATCCTGTCACGGCGCTTAACTTCACCATCTCCCTTTCCCCTCTGTTTTATAAACAATCAAAACAACACACAGGTAAACAAATAAACAAACACGGCGGCTCGATAACAACGATGAAATACACACGTGCAGCGACCTCTTCTCGGTCGTTTGGACTCGGGCTCTACCAGAACATCGTGGTGATGGTCATCATCGGTGAGTTGCCACTCTCAGTTGTGGCTTTTGAAGTGTGTCTGAGTTGAATACTAACGCTGTGCCTTCTTCCAAACAGTGATGAATATTGCATCTTTAGCATGGCTGTTTCTTGACCCGAAGCTTCTGTCGGAGCTGACGCTGACTCCGCAGGGCTCTACGAAGAAGAATATCATCTTCTTGGTGACTGACGGGATGGGTCCGACGTCACTATCGTTGACGCGCTCGTTCCGCCAGTACCGTGATAAGTTGGCTATAGACGATATCCTCACGTTGGACAAACATTTGATTGGACAGAGCCGCACGCGCTCGTCGAACTCGTTGGTGACAGATTCGGCTGCGGGTGCGACTGCGTTCTCCTGTGCTCTAAAGTCCTACAACAACGCTGTTGGTGTCACTCCTCAGAGACAACCGTGTGGCACCTTGTTGGAGGCGATGAAATACGAAGGTTACCACACTGGTCTTGTCGTTACGACCCGTATTACTGATGCCACCCCAGCGGCATTCTCATCGCATGTCACGTATAGATTCTACGAGGATTTGATTGCTCAGCACCAGTTGGGTGAATATCCTCTGGGCAGAGTTGTTGATTTGATGATAGGTGGTGGTAGAACGCACTTCTACCCACCTGGTGAAACACCATACGGTAACGGTGGGCTGAGAAAAGATGGTAGAAATTTGATTGAAGAAGCTCAGGAAAACGGCTGGTCCTATGTTGGTAACAGATCTTCGTTTGACAACCTTGAGCTCGGTAACAACGTTCAACTACCTTTGTTGGCTCTATTGGCTGATAATGATATCCCATTCGACTTGGACAGAGACGATGCCATCTATCCATCTCTTGAAGAAGAGGCCATCACCGCAATGAAGGCACTTTCAAAAGCCACTGAGGATTCCGATAAGGGATTCTTCCTCTTGATTGAAGGCTCTAGAATTGACCATGCAGGCCACAACAACGATCCAGCTGCCCAAGTTCGTGAAGTTCTAGCATTTGACAAGGCATTCAAAGCCGTCTTGGACTTTGCAGATTCCACGGATGTTGAAACCGTGATTATCTCCACAAGTGATCATGAAACCGGTGGTTTGGCCGCTGCTAGACAATTGACACCATCATACCCTGATTATTTGTGGCGTCCAGAGGCACTATTGGCTGCTAAACACTCCGGTGAATACTTGAATAACAAGATTGCCTCCTTTGAAGGTGAGGATTTGGAGAGCTTTATTAAGCATGAAATCTTTGAAAAGGACTTGGGTATCACAGACTATACACCTCAAGAGGTTGAGTCCATCATGGACCACAGCAAGGCGTCTCACTATTTGCTCAATGACATTGTATCAAGACGTTCGCAAACCGGTTGGTCAACGCATGGTCACAGTGCAGTTGACGTGAATATCTACGCCTACTCCAACAAGAAATCAACAATGCATCTATTGAGGGAGAAGCTCAGTGGCAATCATGAAAACATTGAGATTGGTCAGTTCATGAAGGACTTTGTGAATGTTGACTTGACACACATGACAAAGCTTATCAAGGGCACTCAGGTCAAGCCATCCGATGTTGACGAGATGACTGTCTCACAACAACAAGAGCTGCTCGACAACTACCACGGTGGGTTGGTTAACGTGTACTAAGTGGAAACATCATAGGGCTTGTGTACACGTCTAGCGTTCTTTTATCATATTGTTGTACCATTAAAACATCATTAAACTAAACCCAAACACTAATAAAAAACCAGAGATTTATAAAAGACAGAGGAAAACACCTCCTTTTCAGATCATAAATTAACATCAATTAATTAAAGAATGAAAGAGGATGCTTAAACCTCTGCTTGAAGGAAGAGCAAAGGGGGTTATTAACCTCTTTACAATTGCTTCTTGATGAGAGCGTTGATGAACTCCTCTCTGTTACCAGTAGAACCACCTTGGATAAAGTGTTGGAACTTTCTTGGGACACCCCAACCACCAGATGGGTTGGACAACTTGAATGGCCACAAGAAGTTGTTAGCTTGCTTGAAGTTTGGACCAACGGTGTAGATCTCGTGGATCAAATCCTCAATGGAGACGATACCGAATTGACCAAGAGCAGCCTCGATGATGGCGTTCTCAGACAATGGGATTCTTTGCTTGTTGACCTTACCGTAACCTCTCTTGTAGATCAATTGCTTGATGGTAGAAAGGGATGGGTAACCGTAAGCAACGTATGGCTCAACAAGCTTCAAGAGCTCGGAGGTAGCCTTGGTGAGCTTGACAAAGACACCAGCGTTGATTTGCAACAATCTCAACAATTGCAAAACCTTTCTTGGCTTTGGAGCAATCTTGTTGATACCCTTGATTCTGACAACAAAGACGAGCTTTGGTTGAGCCTCAACGTAGTAAGAACCAGCAGCCTTAGCCTCACGCTTAGCGTTGATGACAGCACGCTCAGCCTCGTAGTACTCCTTCTCGTAAGCAGCAGTTCTCTCAAAGATAGCTTGACGCTTCTCCTTGTTGGCCTTTTAGTTTAACTTGTTAGTACATTACGTTCCCTGTGCACAGCCTGAAGGTTTGCTTGCCCTGTGAAGGTGCCATCTTAGTTGTCAGTCCCGAAAGATGGTTAACTAACAGACAACATCGCCCCCTTGAGGGCTAGTCATGTTGAAAGTTGTTGTCATCACCCAGATCGCAACTTCACAGTACAAAGCGGTGTAGGTGTTCTAAAACTTACTTTCTTTCTAGCCAACTTCTCAGCAGCAGCCTTCTCGGAGAGCTTAGCGGTAGCAGTAGCTCTCTTCAATTGGGACTCTGGAACGAGGACTTGCTCAGCGGTGATAACTCTGAGTAGCGTGTTAATATAATTGAGCGACAGGAAGGATAGGAACGCAACGCAAAAGAAGAGATCGACATGAGAACCATTCATTCGACCAGTATAGTACTTCTCCCATTGAACGAAATGGGAAAGGACAGAGGAAGTGTAGCTGCTGGAATGATTGGTTGAATTACAAGGATTCCAGAAGCTAACACAGCCCATGCCTTCTACTCTCAAGGAAATGTTACAAGCGGATCATATGACAAAGTAGACAGCGATATCTATTTGTCATTATCCTCACATTCCTCGAGCGATTTGGTGTGGTATTACTGAGCAAAGGGAGTACCCATAGGGCATCCGTATTATCCCATTCGATGGAATTAGTAGATGGTGAAAACAACCATTTGTCTCTCTCTTCTCTCTAGTTGTGTGTTGTTTCTCCAAGAGCTTGACTCAAACTTACTGCTTTGGGGTAGTCTTAGCCATTTTTGTTGTGGTTAGTTCGAGTTGATAGATTGGAGGAAACGGTAACAAAGTGAAAAATTCCCCCGTTTATGTGTTGATTTTTTTGGTGGTATTGCGGATGAAACTTCCAGCTTGTGGGTTTGTGGTGTCTGGATGTTACAGAATTCGGAGACGGTGGAAAGTCAGTTGGTGTTAAGATGTTAGGGCTACGCTTTGATAGTGTCACGTGAGCATGTGGCCATCACCTCGCCCTAATGTTCACCAGAAGTACCACACTTATGTTCATAGTATTGATTAGTCCCATAACGATGTCTTCTTCCGCTCAATGCTATGCTTTGCCACGTTTGAAAGAACCGTCTCTGTACTCCAAAAGTCCAATGTGTTGTCCGACTCACCTATCATCTTTATAATGGTTTCATTGGTCCCACCGCTGCCTCTTTCCACTTTGAACAAACTCCACGTTCTATAAGTAGGCGACGATCCTCTTACTCGTTGCCATGAACACAGCTCCTTATGGTCGCCCTCCATCTCCTGTCGCAGTATTTCATCATCAACGGTCTCCCAGGCACGCATCAATTGGAAATCTTCCACTTCGAGCTCCGAGTTGTAACCTAAGCTGTACATGTTCATAGTTGGTGTTCTCAGCTGTGTCTGAGTTTGTAGTCCATATGGATGTTTTAATGAAACAACCCTGTACCCTCTTGATAGAGACCTCATAGCAAATAACAATGGAATGCTGTCCCTATCGTCCCATAGAGACTCCACTGTGGGTTGTACAATTGTCAACGTCAACCGTGGTCTGTCAGCCCTCACAGGTCCTGACTCCACCCAATTGATGTCATCGCCTCTTAGATGGATGAGGTCTAATGACAGTTCCTTCAGTCGTAAGGAGTTCAGTATTCGGAAAGAATCTTCAGCGAACATCCGGGTATAGTGTCCACCAGCAGACGTCACCTTAGAGTAGTTGTACTTTCTCAGCGTCAGTTTCTCAAGGTGGTTGAAGCTTGGGAGTACCAACATAAGAGGCTCATGTCGCAAGAGATTGGTACTGTCACTGGCCATCACATTCAACTCTTGCAGCCTGCAACACCAAGTTAGGTCATCCAGCGTACTTGGCTCAATATCGGCATTGATGACGATATCTAACCTTCTGAGCCTGGTTCGCCCGTCACATGTAATCCTCTGGTGCTGTAAGCTTAATGCCAGATGCTCCAGCCCAGACGGTATGGAGAAACAGCTCCCCATCTTCCCAGGCCCTCCAAGTATTGTTACACTCGCAACATTGCCGAACTTCGAAACGATATCATCAAGACACATTGACGAGTGCACTTCCAGCTCCTTAACATCCGTGCGCCATGCATCCCAGAGGTGCTCTGCTAGCTTATCGCCATCCTCTTTCAGCTGCTGTGCCTCGTACTGTCGACATAACGATACCCTCGAGCGTAGGTATCGTAACACTGCGCCCCTACACTGTTTACATGTCTGTGATACTGATCTCAAATCACCGTATGTCGGCACAAAGGTGAACTTTGGTATGGCAATTGGAGGTTGTAAGAAAGCAAATACAGCAAACTGAAGCTCCAGTGGCAGCCTATCAAACATCTCGTCTCGTCTACTGTGTGTATCTGCCATTAAATGTGCAAAAGGTATCATCATTGTTGAATTATATGTTGATATATATGCTGCCCGGAATAATGGTGTGTGTCCCGTACCGCACTCATCGACCTCAGCATCAATCACCGTCTAAAGGTATCCAGAAACTGTGAGGTCAGAGGTCTTGTCTCCGTGGCTGTTTGCTCTGCTTCCTCCTCAGCAGCTTCTACTTCGGCAATCAGCACTGGCGTGGATTCCCTGTCGTTGAGGAGCCTGTTCAATCTGTTTGGTAATCTCCAGTGCTTCCCAGGGATTACTCCCCTGCTGATCAAATCTCCTAATATCCATCCCAGGAGTGCGAGGGCCAAGGTTCCTAGGCCCTGTGACACCGATAGATGGAAGCACAATATGTATATGAGGAAGTGGTCCGTCAATGTGATCTTACGTTCCTCCGTTATGGCAATCTCGAACTTGTACATGACGGGGATGTAGTCTCTGTAGTTTGCTAGCAGTGCAAAGATCACTGTCGTTGGTCCAGAAGAGACGCTGTTCAGCCACTGCATCCCAGTGTAGAACTTCACAGAGGCCAGCAGTGCAATCAACAGCAACGTATAGCTGTACGTTGCCATGATGACCCCCAGGTACTTTGGTGTTCCGAATAACCTTTCAAGGTCCCTCAGCAGATAAAACACGATAACTGATATGAACACCTGGCTCTCGTTCACGTACGCCAGCTGCACTGTGATCATCCTCCATAGCTGCCTGTACTGGGATATGAAAGGATCGTACGAATAGTAAAAGATGTACTTCATCCCCATCAGTGATACCAACATGGGTACCACTGTGGAAAAGATACAGAGTGCTCTCGATAGCGGGAAGTGCTTGAACGTCGATGGCAATCCGGTGCTCATTTGTCGAAACTCGTCCCCTGGCTCACTCTTCGGATTGATAGGTAGCTGGACAGCGGTGGATTGTATGGAGTTGAGCTCATTCTCAGTGTTAAGAGGAGCACCTTAAGGGTATCACATTGGTGTTAGGATGTTTAGATGTCCGGGTGTTCCCCCCCCCACCCGACTCCACCCGGGGATTTGACTCCACACAATCTTTCAACTAATACGCATGCTTTCCTTCGCCAATTGAGCTCGTTTCCCGTCTGAAAGTGTGTGAAAAGCCTTCAGAAGATGTCCAAGAGATACTTGTTAGGTGCTCAAGGTAGAGTCATTCAGCAGAGGCTTGAGCAGCAGCCTCTGCCCCCAAGCTCGTTCCAGGTTGCTCATGTGGTTGATACTCAAAGGGACGTGGAATTGCTCTTATCAACGTTGACCTCTGGCTCAAAGGCTGATAGCCAGCAGCTGTTGTCGTATATGGTGCACTACTTGCCACGGGTGAAGAATGGTGATAATGTTCAGTTGCTTATGGGGGCGTTCTTGCAGAATGAGTGGGTGTTTGATACGTTTGAACACTCGTACCTCGTCATTGAAGCATTCAAGGCTCTGTTTGAACAAAAGGTTTTGATCTCCAAGCCGAGCTTGCCCTTGACAAAGTTCTTCCATGGTGTGCTGAGTGCCCTCTACTCATCGCCAATGGAGGACTGGAAGAAGAGCTGTGTTCTTACTGGGATAACGCTGTCGAAGCCCTTGTTTGATGCCCATGCCATTCCAGAAACTCGAGGTTACTTCGAACAGTGCTATGCTAACGTTACGAAACTGAACCACGAGATCATCGCTCGTGGGTTCAATGCCTCATCGACAAACGATTATACTGTCAATTCGATATGGGCCGTTTCCTTAGCATGTTCGATGATCAGCTTCAATGACCATATGAAGGCCAATTTACCACATAATGCCATACTGATGCATGTCATTGACATGGTGTTCAAATCCCCATTGGGCATATCTCATGGTGAGCTGAAACAGTCACAATCGCCGGTGTGCAAGCACCTGAGCAGACTGGCGTACGTGGTTGACAACTGCTTCATCCAGGGTGTGAAGGTTCCAATAATGGACTCTGCTATTGGTACCATTTTGGACTTCTCCATGGAACTGCATTCCAGATTTATCGATAATGAACAGTGTTGGGACTTTTTAAAACTCGTCCTCTTTGGAATTGTCATAATGCTTCAAGGTTACTCGACTTTTACCTTGCACATTCATAACGGACTGAAAGGTGTTCAATACACCAAAATGACTTCTAACGTTCTGAAAACTCTCTACTGTCTTAACTTCATTGTCGAAAAGATGGGTTCTGGAGGGTTCCAGGTTTACAATTATGTGTTGTTTACTTCAATGGATGGGCTGTTTCAACATGGTTCTAAGCAAGCAGAAATTTTGGGTCAATGGATGATTTATTCGCTGGATTCCTCACTGATACCTCAATCTCAGTACGAGTCCTCTAAGGCGTTGTTTGCAATGATCTATCTCGAACACTTCACCAAGTGTTGTCGTGAGGAGTTTTACGACACTGTGATACACCCATTTGTCAAGCATTTCATCCATTTACCACAACCATTATCGTTGCACTTACGCCATGTCCATCGTGAATTGGTGGAATCCGCACACTCAGTTGTGTTGGCAACGTACTCGAGCCAAAAGAATTCATCGATAATTGCAATGAATGCGACGACTTATCTCAACACGGTGCTCTCACAGTTCCCAGTTGTTCTAAGCTCAAGACAACTGTGTCTTGCTGTCGAGACCATTGTCAGAGCAGTGGCACCTCCATCACAAGCTTCTCAGTTGAATAGAGATAACTTGAGAGAAGTTTTACACATGTTGTACATTACAATCATCAACTGTCCGTGTTCCACTCCGCTGAAGGAGGAAGGCATATCTGGAGGTCCACGCACAGTAAGACAGGCATTCATTAGTGCCCTCATGACAGCTCTACCGTTTATTCCTTTGAGGTTTTTGGAACAGTGGCTGTCTAACATTTGGGAACTTTGTCAAGGTGATGCGTATCTACAGGATAAACTGTGGAAGACGATTAGTGAGAATTTGGATATGCAAAGAGGTAGCGTTGGCATACAATGGTGGTATAACAAGGACTCTCTAGCTCCTAAGCTATAGGTTCCCAGCAGGGGGTAATTTCAGTCCAATATTGGGGTAACTCCTTCACCACCCTCTAGCAATACGTTTTTAATGTTTTCCATACACCTTATGTTCGAATTGACAGTGTTATCGGTAGTAATATTACCAGCATGTGGCGTCATTGTCACGTCCCAACGTTTGGCAAATCTTGGATCTATATTTGATGGTTCGCCTTTGAACACGTCCAGTCCCACCGAACAAACCGTACCATCATCCAATGCCTTTAGCAATGCGTCTTCGTCGATAGCAGTTCCTCTTCCAATGTTGACAATTCTCACGCCCGGCTTGCACAGTTTCAGAGAGTCTTCGTTGATGAGATGTGTAGTCTCTGGTGAATGTGGCACTGCTAGGACGATAAGATCAACCTCTTTGATCATCTCTGTGAATTTTGAGTAGTACTTCACAGGGAATCCGAGCTCATTAGAATCAAGAATTGGAGATCTCTTTGTATATGAAATCTTCATGCCGATAGCGTTCAACCTTCTGGCAATCTCTTTCCCAATAGAACCAAGCCCAACAATCCCTGCAATTTTGCCAGTGGGGGATTCAACTTTCTTTCCACCAATACTTGAGTTATGAGCCAAGTTGACGCCTGACTCTGGTGGTGGTAGAGGTTCGCCATCCTCACCAAACTTTGCAGAGCCCAACGTTGCTCTAACGTTCATGATGCTCAAGTTTGGCCTCAATTGATGTTCCATAAAGTTGAAGAACCTGTAACAGCTAAGTGTCAGGTAAAGAGCAGCATCAGCAACGTCGTGAGAGGAAACATCGCCAACGTTACAGAACTTGATGCCACGTTTCTTCAAGGCATCAGCCTCCTCCTCGAGGTACCCAACCCAGGAGAAGCAGTACACCTTTACTGACTCTGGTAAGTACGGTGCAAGCTTCGCAATTCCACCAAGGCTCCACACAGAATGGCCAGCAGCCCAAACGGCCTCGACGTTGGAGAAGTCGGCCCCAAGTCTCTCAACTAAGTCATCGAACGTGGATACCTTGTACACCAGCACATCAAAATGGGTCAGGAACTCTTCGTACTCTTCAATATGATCCGCGTGTTCTGAACGCTCGGTCGTCAGCACGAGCACTTGTGGCTTGCCCATAGTATCTGATGCTTCAATTGGCTCGAAAGTGGAAATATAAAGCAAGAAAACCGGCGGATAGGCCGTTTATATCGACAAATTGATGCCGTATTGGTTGAAGAGTTCCTCCCTTGCTGGGCTAATTTATGTCTCGACGCTGGCGCCCCAAAAGGGAAGTAACGCCGACACGCGCGCTTTCCATATACGGCTATTTCCTGATTGGGCATTTTCGTGTGTTTTCTTCCCCGGATTTGATTTTTTGACACAAAAAGCCGTTGCGGTCACGTGCGCCCGGATGTCTCACACAAAGGTTTGATGATTCAAACGCTTTTGTTCCAGTGATGACAACCACAATGGGCTTCTCAGCTAAGCAAGAGATGGCTGTTACGAAGTGTACTTCAGGTGAAGAGGATATCCAGATCCCGTTGAACTTCATACAACGGTGGGCTCTGGGCTTGGAGACCTACCTACGCTCGCAACTACAGCTCCAGAACGTATGGGCTCTTTCTCATGTGGCGACGATTGTGGGATTCGTGTGCTACGTGTACGCCCTTGTTGCCGGCGAGCTGGAGCTTGGTGGGCTCCGAGAGAGCAGCTATAAGCTGACGATGCTGAGCATGACGGTGACTTTCGTCATCGTCATGTACAGGGCGAATTTTGAGGAGCAGTTGGTGATCAACGATAACAAGGAAGAGGTTATAGTGAAGCCGAAGGTGATGTCCGTTCGTGAGTTGATTCAGAACGATAACGCATTGCTTTTCGCAACCATCCTCCTCTGGAACTTCACCCTGGAGTCCGTGTTGAAATTGCTTCCATTTGTCATATACGCCATGATAAACTTGTCCAGTTTCTTCATCCAAGAAGTCATACCTCACCGTCCCTTGAGTCGTGCGTTACTCCCCTTGTTTGACTATTTGGAATTGCCTCTTCTTACTGTGGCATCGCATTTCGACTTGCTCAATATGTTTTCACTCTTCAAGGAGTCCTACGAGTCCCACAATGGCTATCCCTCGGTGATTTACTTTTGGGTTTGGTGCCTTAGGTTCGAAAGCTCAGAGATTAGTCGTTCAAGTGTAAAGGCTCTATTTGGCTTTGTTGATGGAATTGCGAATTTGGGGTTCCTTCCAAACAGATTACACCGCCTGTACGTTGATTGGAGACTTCGGTGGACGTTTCTCATTCCAATGGATTACAAATCAGCTTACTACAGTGGAGGTGATGTTGATAATGAAGATGATGACTGATTCGATACAGATGGCTATATATGTGGTTCTCATTGAAAGAGAATGCAGAGTTGCTTCCTATAAAACTCGGTGTTTATCCTAGCCCTTGCGTATAGCTCATCGTACTGATTTCTTGTTTGTTGAATAGAATTGTCCAATTGCAGACGAAGCCTTTGACTGTTTAACTCGTGTAGTTGTTGGATCTTTATAATGTCATTTGTCAATTCTTCGTGCAATTGCTCAATTATCCTCAAAGATTGGTCCTTTAGATCTGAAACTTCAGATGATGGTACGTGTGGTGATAACATCTGTGATTGAAACCTCAATGTGGCACGTTCGCTATCTTCGTTTGAGCCACCATCATCTGCATTGTTAGACCCTGTTATCACTTTTTGAAATGCATCTTCCTGTTTCTGTAGCTCTAAGATGTATTCAGAATCCAAGGAGTAAATTTCACTATCGTATGCTGGATCAAGCTCAAATGGGTGCTTGCTCTTCTCATTTGGCTCCACATTGGAGACGTATTCCAAGACACATTTATCAACTGCTAGAAAGCTCTTCTGTTCATTCGTATACAGTGCTTCGTCTCCCAGGGGAGCAGCATTGCCCTGAGAAAACCAGCAATGAGCTTGAGGTCCATCTGCTGAGCCAGAAGAAGTGTATACAGATGCCATTGGTAGGCAATGATCCTTCTGTGGGGTAGAGTTGTACGTCGTCTCTTCAACGCTAGCTTTAGAACGCTCTGATGTTGCGTTGGTTTCATCCTGCAATACGTAGGAAAACTCCATCGAATAACTGCTCGATACGTCGTGGTACTCCTCCAGAGCCCTCTTTTCTAGTTGTTCCCTCTGTCTCGCCTCTCTTGAGGCCATCAACTCCATGTACTCGACGTGCTCATCAACAACTTCGTCCAATGGAGGATAAGGAGAAGAGCAGTACTCATAGGGAACGTGATATGCAACAACGCACGAACTATCGTCTCTATCGTAGAACAATACATAGCCCTTGTTGCTCGCTGCGTATCCTTCAACATCTGAGCTATCATAACTGTCAGTAGCTCATCTCAGTGGAAACCTCTGTTCAACAAAAGGTATGCTTTGTAACATACAACCTAGGCTTATGCTCCATATTCATGTTGGAAGAGACATAACCACATATAAAATGGCTCATGGATGCCACCAACCTTGTCGTCTTCTTCAAGGCCCGTCTCTTGGACTCAGCACCACAAGCTCTTCGTCTCATCATCGTGTCGTCTAGCAAAGTCGTCTGGTATACGTTCTACAGTGCACAGCTTCCTCAAACACAAAGAAGGTGAATTGATATGAAGTTTATATAATAGAAAATGCATGTTAGAGAGGTAAACCACAAAAGTTCACCATCTTCAAAGGAGCTTCAGTGCTTCTTGCCCTTGGATTTGGGCTTGGACTTCGAATGCTGAACAGGTATGAGGATCTCGTCACCTTCACCTTCTGGTCCTTCTTCGTTTCTGAATACTTTCTTTCTCCATTCCTTGAGGTTCTTCTTCTTAGCAAACTTTCTTCTGTCCTTTACCCTTTGCTCCTTTGGTCTGTAAGGTGCCAGCTTCTTCAGGCCAATGAACTCGTTGAGATCAGCGTCATCGGCCATGAAGATCTCTCTCGTGGTCAAACCAAAGCTCTCTGGCGAAACTTCACGGTACTTGAATACGGTTCCACGTTCCTTTGAGCGTCCCTCACGTTCTTCCTCCACTTCATCGATGATCTTGAGCTTGTCTTGTTCGATGGCTTGCTCTGCCAGTTCTTTGATCTTCTTCTTATCCTTCTTGGATTTGGACTTCTCAAGAATCTCCTCCTTCTTGGACTTCTTCTTTGGAGGTTCATCCTCAGCTTCTTCAACCTCCTCAGCAGCCTCATCCTTCTCCTGCTTGGAGTCTTTCATGATTTCATCGTCGTCATCCCACTCGGGTTTCTTGTCACCATCGTTATAGAAATCATCGTTGAAGATTTCTCCAAGGACTTGATCCCATTGGCTATCATCAAAATCATTGTCAAACAAACGATCACTAATCTTCTTGACTGTCTGTTCGTCCAAATCTGCTCCATATTCCTTCTTGACCGTCTCCAAGATGTCAGTGAGCTTGTTGACTTTCTCTGTCTTCTTCTTCTGAACGGCCTTCTCTTTCTCCTCCTGGGCTTTCTTCTTTTCCTCCTTTTCTCTTTCTCTCTTCTTCTGTCTTGCACCGGTGTTGTTACGTCTCATGGTGGCTTGGTTACGGGCATAACTGATAATCTCTGCACTGTTTGGATCTTCATATCTGAAATTATAAGCTTGTTCGTACTTCTCTGCTGCGTCGTCAAATTCATCATCATCTTCACCTTGACGGTCCAAGTTCACCACTTTATCTCCTTCATGTGGGATCCATGCGTGTTGTTTCATGAACTCTTCCAAGAACTTCTCACCGTCCTGTTCAGGATTAGGCAATTGTCTTGTAGAATCGCTGGTTTTTGGATCTTTCTTCTTCAAGAAGCCATCGTCATCTTCGTTGTCCGTGCCGTCGACATCCTCACCGTCTTCGATATCCTTGAACGCAGACTTGATGTCATCCAGCAACTCCTTACGTTCTTCAGCTTTCTCCTGGTCATAAGTCTTGAACTCTTTGCCATCATCTTCGATGTCTTCCTTCAAAGCATCCCCTGATAACAGATTCATTCTATGGTAATCCTTCAGGTATATCGGCTTCTGCTTCTCTGTCTTCGCAGCAGTGGAAGAGCCCTCTTCAGGGTCATTGAAGAACTTGACGTCAGGGTTCAACAATAACTCTTTGTTCTTGGACTTGAGTGCATCCAACACTTTGTTCAAGCCTTCCTCAACGTCTTCAGTGAGCAATTCACCGTATTCATCTTCCTCTTCGGAGGAGCTCTCATCCTCACTCGACTCAAACTCCTCAATCACTTGTTTCTTCACATCTTCATCGGCATTTTCCAATTGTCTCTGGAGCTTCGTTTGCTCCTCTGCCTCACGGGCTCTCTTAGCAGCAGACTTCTTTCTAGCCATCGCTTTATTCGCTCAAGATATGGGTAGTTTTGCAAATAGTGATGTGTGTGATGAGATGAGATGAGGGTTGAAAATTTTCGCGATGAGGTAGTAAAGGGAGCCAAAATCAAAACTATCCACTGTTCATAGAACCAACGATATCTCAATAGAACTCAGAGATATAGGTTTTTCAACCGAGGAGATGGTTCTAAACAGGTGTATAAACATAGTTATCGCTTTTTGAAGCGTTCAGATCCACCTGATATTGAGAGTGATGGGGCACAAGTTCAACTACTCGTGGTTAATATCCAAGGACAGACTTATAACTACAAGCCATTCTACAATAACCAAGCTTTAAACGTAAATGCTCGACTAACACCCCATTATTTTATACATAATACACCATATGAACTATTGAAATGAGAAAAATTGATCAAATGGTAAATTACTCGTCATCCTCGTTCTCCAAGGTTTGAGCAGCAATACGGTCCAAATCTCTTTGACCGTTAGCAGAGATTCTTCTACCCTTTGGGGTAACCTCAAGGACACCCAACTTCTCCAAGGATTGCAAGACTCTTCTGTTGACGGAACCGGAGGCATCAGCGTGCTTGGATGGTCTACCACCTCTGTTGATGGCACCACCGTAGAGCTTGTTCAACTTACCGACACCAACTTGCTTTCTCAAGTAGATGTGACGAGCAGCGGAGGCAGCTCTCTTGTAGAACCAAGTCTCAGACTCTTGTGGTGGCAATTCATTACCAGCAGAGGTCTTGACGAGATCAACGTAACCTGGAATCTCCAACTTACCTTGTCTTTGCAAGAATTGAGCATAAGCGTTGATGAAATCTTGTGCTGGAACGTCCCTATAGCAGTCGTTGTTAGTACATGATAACTGGCTCAGTCTATGGAACTGTGTGATGTGTGCTGTCTAGTGGTGGCGTATCATTTCATCTCATGGCAGCAGTGTCAGCTGCTATCCTTCTCCCCCTTCTGTATCGTTCACTTCCGTGACAGTTCTAGGTATCTCACAATAATCGTTCAAGCTCCGCTCTAATAGCACTCCCGATATTCTACTTCGATAGCACACACCAGGTCATCCTACATGGGCTCTTATCCTTCAATCTGTCTTCCTAATAACCATCCCTCTCTGTGATTCGCTTGGGCTTCCCTTGTCCTCTCCTCTCTCATACATCAATACCCAGTAAACGCTCCTCATAACACGCCATATCCACTAACAAACACATCACACGTTCATGCTCCACCGTTTCTCTTCAAATGTCAACATACTTAACAGTAATACCGGCCATCTTGGTGCTATTTGGTTGATCTTCCTATACGTCTCTCTTGTGAAGTTGGTGAACAAAAAATGTCACTTTTTTGCGTCTTGGTGATGTTGCCGCGAAATTTTTCGAAGGGGACTTTTTTTGCGGTTCCTACCAAGTTTGTGCTCTGTAGCCCTAAGTATTATCACGTGATTTGGTTAGGGTTTGGTTTGTTGTTATTTCGATGGAGATGCTCCATCGAATGGTTGGGTTAATGGGTGCCAGTGGGCTGCTACAAGCTTGGTGTTTGTCATTTGTTTATATTCATCACGGATAATCATAAACTAGTTACCTAAATCCTCAGGTTTTTAGCGCCCTCCTCTGCTAATCTCTCCTTCTTACGTCTCTCAACGTCCCAGTTGTATAGTCTAGCGGTGTTAACCTCCATGGTGGTGATGTTTTCCCTCAGAAACTCTGCATCTTCTTCGCTGATCTCCAGGTTGGTCTTTGCAGTGGATAACTTCTCAACTAATAGCTCCTCGGCTTCGTCAATTGGGTATTCAAGCATAATGTCTGCTCCTAACCAAAGCATCACCTTATCTGTAGGCTCGATCGTCGCAGTTGTATATAGGGTCTCGTTCAACTCGTAATTCGTATCGATACTCTCTTGGGACTCGTTCTTCTCTTTCAGGAACCTAACCATCCTTAGCGATTCCTCAATCTCCGGGATCTTCTTCATGAACTGGGCCTGTGCGTTGATCTTACTCTGTTCCATATACTTGTATTGTTGTAATCTTTCTTGGAACAATTGCATCACCTTGTCAAAATCGTCTGACGTCTTGACATATTCATCAACCTTCTCAACGAATGGAGCCTGTGGAATCCCACGGGGGTTCTTCACCTTACTGCTTCGCTATTAGTACACGTTCACTTTCGTCAGCATCACCATACAACTGATGACACATGAAGGATATCTACCATCCAGTTGAGACCTTCACATACGAGTTCAAAAGTTCTTCCATAGCAACTAATCACACTCCAACACACGCAGATTGCACACAATTCTCCTTGGCCTTGTTCAGCTGTTCATCCAAGTAGCCATGTTCGTGATGCTATGAACCGCGAAATCAACAACAAACCCATAGTGTTAGCCCCATGTATTTCTCACGTGATTTAGATCCAAAGCCCTAACATCCATACACCATCTAGACGTCACAGCTCGCAAAACGGCCTCCCACGCACACAGTACAGTGCTGAAATTATTTTTCAACTCTTTCAATCCTTCACCTCTCAGCTTATTCGTTTTAGAGGTTATCGCTTCAAAGAACATCACAAAATGGGTAGAGATCACTTCACTAAGCAACACGCTAGATCCGGTCACAGAGAGGCTCCAAAGTCTGACAACGTCTACTTGAAGTTGTTGGTCAAGTTGTACTCCTTCTTGGCTCGTGAGTAAACTCATCATTATCAATGTCCCAGAGTGGTTTTTTTGTTCTTTTATACATTATACCCCTTGCTCTCTATTCTCTGAGAGCTCAGTGTCTTCTCTTGGTTGGCTCTCTTCACCTCTCATGTTTTGAAGGTGTGTGAAGTGAGATTTTTTCTTTTCTTAGGGGAACTTTTGGTTCGATCTAATAATGGGTCTTGAGCTAAAGGACAAACATCATAAATGGCTTTTCAGTGAAGATACTGAAGAATAAGCCCGTTTGTTTGTCTTGCTCCTCTAGATTGAACCCTCTTTAGTATCACTTGATTGTTCTGTCTCTTCTCACTCAACTCTAGACGTTGATGTGTGCGAGTCTAAATATCAAGAGATGAGACTGAAATTCCCTTTCTGCGAGTACAAAAAGAAACTTGTGCGACATTGAGCAGAAAACACCCCACTGTATACTAACAAACTTCCAATAGGTCGTACCGATGCTCCATTCAACAAGGTTGTCCTTAAGTCTTTGTTCCTCTCAAAGATCAACAGACCACCAGTTTCTGTTTCCAGAATCTCCCGTGCTTTGTCTCAAAAGGGTGCTGCTGACAAGACCATTGTCGTTGTTGGTACCGTCACCGATGACAACCGTATCTTTGAGTTCCCAAAGGCTACCGTTGCTGCTTTGAGATTCACTGCTGGTGCTCGTGCTAAGATCTTGAAGGCTGGTGGTGAGGCTATCACTTTGGATCAATTGGCTACCCGTGCTCCAAAGGGTCAAAACACTTTGCTCGTCAGAGGTCCAAGAAACTCCAGAGAGGCTGTTAGACACTTTGGTTTCGGTCCACACAAGAACAAAGCCCCAAGAATCTTGTCCAAGGGTAGAAAGTTCGAGAGAGCTAGAGGTAAGAGAAACTCTAGAGGTTTCAAGGTCTAAGCCTCTTGAGATCTTGCTCTTCTACTTACTGACAATGATTGGTTATGATTTGCTTTGCTTCTATAATTGTGTAATTTTATTTGGAAATGGGTTTTTGTTATCAATGGTTGTCTAATAATGAAGTGTAGTTTGAGGCTATCACAAATGTGTGTAGGTATATGGGTGGTTATGACGTTACCGTCACGTGACTGTCGCTTACTTTTTGTGCAGTGATCCACAAAGCACAAAAGAGATTTCCATTTATATACTTGTGAGTCAATTCACTGGCGAGCGTGATAGTGTTAATTTGTGAGTGAGAGAGAGAGAGAGAGACTTTGAGAACATTTGTGACGTAATCTCAATTCCGGTGCGCCAGCCAGCTTCTTTTACTTATGAACTCCAAAGATTGGTTTCCCTTCCGTTCTCATATCGAGCTGACATGGACGATCAGCAAGATGGCCTTTGTGTAACAGATCAGAGAGACGTTTGTGGCATCAGAGTCAGTATGTCTACGGCTGGTTTTGTGTCACTTTTCTGGTGAATCTTTTGACACAAAGAAGATAAATAAACGGGCTGTTCCCAGTTCCCTCCTTTCTTTCTCATACCGTCTACTTCACTACCAGTTTACCTTCTTATCAGATTATTCTGCCTGAGGAAAACGTCTATCGATACTACAAACTCGTTTGTACACATCACAGCTACTATATTAAGCGACATGAACTCCATTACTATCGAGCAAAGCTTCCAACAGACTTCTGAGAAGTCCAGTCGCCAATCTTCTGGCACCGCAGTTGTTGACCAAGCATATGCTGAATCCGCTGCACACTCTGATGAGGTTCCTTACCAGCATGGTGGGATCCTCAGAAGAGATCGTGACCATTCAAGACACTCTTGGAGATCCATCATCGCCAAGAAGTCTCATCATGGTGTGAGAGACTGGTTGAAGTTGCACATCACCAAGGTGACTGTTAAGGATGAAGACAACTCCACACTGAATGTGTCGGCTCGTCGTGACTCCGAAGCCGTTACTATTGAGTTGGTGAGCTTCTTCAACAATGATGAGTCTTCCGGTCCTAATGTCTCCATGGAGACTACGGTTTCCGGTGTTGAGAATAAAATGAGCAAGAGAACCTTGGTTAAGTCCTGGTTCAAACGAAAACCACGCAGTATACACACCAACAATTACTCCAATGTTACCACCGGAAATGAGAATAACGACAACAACACAGTCAACCAACAGCTTACAGGAAACAACGTTGCTGCCTATCTTACACCATTGACTGTTTCAACAACAGAGACTGGTTTTGCTATTTACAATGATACTATTGCTACAACTACGACTACTGACGCCATGGTGAACAACATTTCAAATGCTACAACTGATACCGACAATATTAACTCTAAACTCAAGCGCAAAAGGGAATTTACATTTTTCAAAGACAGTTTCAAGAAGTCTGTTGATGATTGGAGAATCAAGAGACAGAGAGTGGAGTCCAAATTTGAGGTCCAAGAGGAAACTTGTGAAGAAGAGGATACTGAAGAGGCTGCTGACCACGATACTAACGATTATACTAACGACTACACCGACCATGATTCCGATTACGAAGACTACACTGACCACGATTCCGATTACGAAGACTACACTGACCACGATTCCGATTACGAAGACTACAGTGATGATTCCTTCCGTTCCAATGGTACATATGACCCCGTTACTGTTTTGGTTCCAACTATCAGGGAAGGAAGATACATGATTTCCACATTGAAGAATAGCATCATGGAGGGAGAAACAATCAAGAGTGTTTATGGTAAAGAGGATGATTATATTTCAGATGACGATAAACCATTTGATATCAAAGATCCACGGTGCTTTGGGATCGAGCCCGAGGAGGAGGAATATTACGAGGAACCAACACTCTACTCGAAGATTAAATTTGAAGATTTTTCAGAGGTTGTTTTCTACAACGGGTCTGGAACTTTGAGACAGATCAGTTCTAAGAATGAGAGCCGCTCTATCAAATTGCAAGGCGTTGCTCATTCTGAAAACACCGAGAAGTACTTGGATGGTGCAAAGGATTTGACGCTTGAATCGTCTCTGACCATCGAGCCAAGATCCATTTTGAAATCCAAGGTTAACAAAAACCGTATTGATGAGACCATCAGACTGGAGGAGTGTGAGGAAATTGGTCTTGAAGACTTCTTGAACACTTTAGACGATCAGGAAGAGGAGAGAAATGAAGTACTTGATTATTTGTACAATATCAGGGACAGACAAGTTGTTGAATATTATATGAATATTTCCAAGTCTAGTACTACCACTGCTGGTGGTGCTCTGGAATGATGGTTATAACCAAAACTTATGTGTGTGTCTTTATGACTATTTGTTTCTTACAAAAAAAAAAAAAAAAATTGTGTTTTTTTATCTTATTTCTATTACAAAAAAAATTATGATACTATGTGTTTAGTTATTATGATTCTATTATACCTTCTTTATGGTTAACTTGCACATGTAAGCCCCCTAGTTCTAATTATAGCGTTCCGTAATGGAGGTTGAGCGTTTTATGCCTTGAAATGTCCAGTATAATCTCCACCAGATGGAGGCCAGTGGATGGCATCGTAAGCCTATAACTGACACGCCAACCACGGTGTATAACGGTCCGGATACTACGAACAGTACAATAAAGTAAAGCACATGACATCTCTTTACTCAAATACTACGTTTATAAGAGCCCATCCCATCGTCCATTATATAAAAGAAGAGATCATAACTATAACGCAGAAAGCAAGGAGCCTTTATAAGGTGTATTGGGTATTAATTATATCCTAACTTGCCCATTTCTAGGGCGATCCAATCGCTTTAAAATACCCTCATGGGGCATTATATACACTTCAGAACCATCTGCACCGTTAAATCTTCCCATTTTAGCACGCAGAACGCTCTATTCCTGTTGTATACATCTATAGATCACCATGAACGACGCACGTTTTGATGCAAACATGCGTGCATGGCCCGCGAATCTTCCCTCATTCGGACATTATTTCTTTTTTTGGCGTGCTTTGCTCGATGAGGAGCGGAAAAAAATTTTGGGCCCACGAGGATTAAAACTGGCTTCCTTTGACGTTTTTTCCCTCTTCTCCTTGATAAACAACAGCTTCCTCTCTGCTTACTTCGTTTGTTGTTGTTCTAACTGTGTGTGTGTTTGGTGGAAATAACTTGAAGAGGAGATCTCATTAACGTTCTGAATGGCTGGAAGCTAATTGGTTTATTCCCGCAGTTCGAACTCTTTTCCATCTTAGCTTAGCACTTACTAAGACGAGTCACTAAAAAAGAGCGAAGGAAAGAGAGAGAGAAATCACAAGAGAGATGTCAGACCACGAATCAGTTCACTCTGCTAACTCCATGAAGACAGAGGCGCTTCATGATCACAGGAACCAGGCTAATTCGTTGCCTATTCGCCGTGGCTCCGTGTTTGATGGGGGTAGGCTTCCTCCGCCTGCTATTGAGGTTGTTGCTAGTAGTACCAACAACGCAACCAATAATGACCCGGCAGGTGAGATCTCAACAACACTGGATGACGATACAGACACCAGTGATGAGAAGTTAAGACCTGTGACTCGTGTCAAACTGGAGAGTGACGATGACTCAAATGGATACACTAGTCCTCCGTTGAAGTCGAGAGGCCGTTCTTTGAGTGGTGCTAATCAGCACGACAGTACACCATCACGTGGTATATTGTTGAATAAGACGGCATCTATACCAGCCAATGCTGGTGGTGTTGGTTCCCACCACTCGCCGTCTTTACATCCTTTGAGACAGACACCTTCTGTGGTTTCTAGAAATTCCAACTCAAGAGCGGATTTTGATAACGAGTTGAAGAACTTTGAACGTCGTCGTCGTCTTTCACGTTCTTCCAATAACGATTCAGAGGCAACTTCAAGAAGATCGGACTCCTTGGAGACTGAGGAAGATGTCTGTTTCCCGTTATTGCCTGAACACGTGAGGGTCAACGGCATTGACTTTGACGAATTGGAGGAGTTTATCCAATCTTGCCGTGAAGAAGATGAAAGGCTACGTAAGGAAGGTGGAGTCACCACTGGTTCAAGTTCCAACTCGTCAAGTGCTGCTGCTCAAAGGTATACTCCACAGGTTCACAGAACGTTGAGCAAAATAACTACAAGATCATCAAACGCAACTGGTGTACAGTTTGGCCGTGATAGAGTGGAAGGTGAAACCAGTGCTCCTGATAGATTCTCATTCTTCTGTTCTGAATCTGACGAGACTGTTCATGCGCCAGATTTGCCGTCATTGTTGGCACCTGGGGAATCGTTCCATGAGCTCTTCAGAAATGGTAAACCAACATGGTGGCTGGATTGCGTCTGCCCTACAGATGCAGAGATGAGAGCTTTATCAAAGGCTTTCAGTATCCATCCTTTGACAGCAGAGGATATCCGTATGCAAGAAACTCGTGAAAAGGTTGAGCTGTTTAAACACTATTACTTTGTGTGTTTCCATACTTTTGAATCTGATAAGGAATCTGAAGATTTTCTGGAACCTATCAACGTCTATATTGTTGTCTTCAGAAATGGTGTCTTGACTTTTAGATTCGCTCCGATCTCTCATGCTGCTAACGTTAGAAGACGTGTTAGACAGTTGAGAGAATACGTTGATGTGAGTGCGGATTGGTTATGTTATGCATTGATCGATGACATCACCGATAGTTTTGCCCCAGTTATTCAATCCATAGAGTACGAGGCTGATGCCATAGAAGACCAAGTGTTCCTCTCCCGTGAGGATGATTTCGCCAATATGTTATTACAGATTGGTGAAGCCAGACGCAAAGTCATGACGCTGATGAGGTTATTGTCAGGTAAGGCAGATGTCATCAAGATGTTTGCTAAACGTTGTCAAGATGAAGCTCAGGGAATCCCACCTCCTTTAACTTCAAACGTCAACTTGGCAAATCTATCGAGTCAATCAAACAACTTACAGACTCAACCAAGAGGTGATATTGCCCTTTATCTGGGTGATATCCAGGATCACGTTGTTACGATGTTCCAAAACTTGGCTTCGTATGAAAAGATCTTTTCTCGCTCCCATTCCAACTATTTGGCTCAACTACAAGTTAAATCGTTTTATTCGAATCACCAAGTGACAGAAATGCTCTCAAAGGTGACGTTAATTGGTACTTTGCTCGTTCCAATGAATTTAATTACGGGTTTATTCGGTATGAACGTTACAGTCCCATGGCAAGATACTGGCAGCTTGGCTGCATTCTTTGGTATTCTAGGGTTCTTGGTGTTTATGGTTGTTACATTCTCCATTGCTGCAAATTGGTGGTTTACCAGAGCTTCTCAAAAGGTGGAGCAAGGCTCCATGTTTGACTCTGCAAAGTCAAGAATTGCAACGTTTGGTCGTGCTGGTAAAGCAAGAAACTTGGAGGACGCTGATCATCAAAAGGAGGCAAAATCTATACTTACTTTCCCAAGTCGGTTTGGTAGATTTGAATGAATTCAATGTGCTATAATAATGTTCTCTTGTTTAGTCAATCTTTTAACATAAGTATCTTTCTTCTCTATTGCACTATGAGGTCTTAAGTACATATACAACCATGACCTATAACAGTAAGACCTCAAATGCTGGAAGAGCAAAATATCAGATATAAAACCCCTTCCCAATAATCTAACATAATCCTGTAAACTTGTAATGAATGATGAAAGCAAGGAACGATGCAATTCAATACAAACCTCACCACATTGACTCAAACAGCTCAGCCAACGGCTCCGAGTGCTGTGATATGCCCTAACGCCAGCTTGATGGACACTTTTGAGCGATTTGAACCTCGCCTTAACCTTGAGGATGATGAAGATATCTTTGCAGTAATGGATTTGGCAACAAAGGAACCTCAAGAAGGTACAGTAACTCAACAAGGATGGGTTTTAAATTTGGTGTTTGATGCCATTGTTGGGTACTTTGGAGGTCCACAGGCAGTTGCAGTGATTCAGGGCATGAGGCTATTTATTGGGCTAGGCAAAACCCATAAAAAAGTTGTTTCCAAGTTGTACCGTTCTTTGATAAACAGGTGGTATGGTCAAGTTATCGTTCCTAAGGGTACAGGCTTTGTGAAGACCTTCATGATAACTTTGAGGTTGGCTGATAAGTACGTTGCTGAGAACCATAGGGAGTTCTCACAGAGACAGGTGTACAGAGAATTTCGTGGTTTTGCAAGTAAACACCAATATCTCATTGATACCGGGAGGAAGGAGTTTAGAAACGTTCATGTTGTTGATGATTTAAACAATCTCGCTAGTATTGACATTGGTGAAGTTAACTCTGCGGAGAGGGTGGTACTCGGACCTGATTTCAAATACAAAATCTCAGTTGAAGTTGGAGAAGGTGGATTGTGGTTGGACTTTGAAGCAGAGTCCAGAGCACCTAAAGGTAAAGATATCGTTGTTAATGACAGAATCTTCTTACCTAGGATGATTGATAATTTACCACAGGGATTGACAACAGAAGATGCTGTTGAAGAGTTGGTAAAAGGGTTTGATGATGGTCTACTCGATGATGAATTCATCAATAATCTAGTCAAAATTGCTTGATAATTACCACAGGGTTCCATGCCATTCACTTCTAACAGGTCCAAGAACTTCACTTTAATTCACATTTCTTCTAAAGAGAGACACCATCATGCGATATACAGTATCATCATTTTGTGCAAGTACACTGACCTTCAGCGCAACCACAACTTGAGCCACATGGACAGTTTGCGTTACCACACCCTGCGTTGTCCTTTGGAACAGATATCTGAGATTGCATTGTCGTAAATGGTTTGTTCTTTTCTTATCTTTGTTGAATGAGTGGATTAATGAGAGAGAAGAAGGAAGAAGAAGAAAAAAAGTGGAATGGTTCGAAAAGGCTCACAACTGTGTACACGCCGTTCACAATAACACGTGATTTGAGTTACCTTACAATACTTTGTGTAGAATAATCCAACAAGATGGATTAATTTATCGTATATTACTAGTTGTATTGAGCTATACTTATGTGTGAAGAGTCTACTATTCTCCCTTGAACTGCTTCCTTATTCTTTTCAATTACAATCACATTATATCGACATAACGGCTCCTCTACCTCAGAGAACGAACGCAATTTCGCTTATACAACTCATTGTCCAACGGAAGAAAGAAATCTATCAAAGATTGCCCCATGACAATCATACACCACTGCCTATTTAACCATCAAACAAAGCACAATCGCCACCGAGCACTCACTAACATTACCATCATCGAGTTCTATAAAATCAACATGAACGCAACTCGACGCATAGTTTTCGTTCCACCTGTGCGAAGTTCCTCTTTTGGAACGGTTTCGCAATTGCGTAATTATCCTTGCGCCAAAAAAAAATTTCGTTATCTCTTTTTTCGCAAATCTTTGACAGCTTTCCTTCGAGTACTAATTTCATCTTCAAAATGGCATTGAATTGTCTGTTAAAATTGGACAGCAGAGTCATAGAAGTAGACAAAAATGAGTGCTGCAGCTGCTGTTGACAGAGGAGTTCGTCTTGGTAAGTTGCAATGCCCAGTAGTTTTCCATTTGATTACACTAACAGAGGGTGTGTAAAGACAATGGTGAGAGGGACTATAACCACGTTTCCGACTCCGAGTACAAGAAACTGAGAGATTTGGCTGACCAGGCCTACAAGAAGAGACAACAGCTGAGTGCCCAGTCTCAGAAGGCATATAAACAAGGTGATGGTGCACGTGCAAAGGAACTGAGTGAACAGGCAAAGAAACAGATGGCTATTGGTGACGATTACAACTTTAAGGCTGCAGAGTATGTCTTTAGAGAGAACAATGCTGATTCTGATTCCAATGAGATTGACCTACACGGCTTATACGTCAAAGAAGCTATATATATCTTGAAGAGACGTATCGCGGCTGGTGTAAACCGTGGCGAGTCCAAACTTGAGGTTATTGTTGGTAAGGGTATTCACTCTGAAAATGGTGTTGCCAAACTGAAACCAGCAGTGGAGGAGTTGTGTAACGAAGCAGGGCTGAGATCGTACATTGACAAGAAGAACACTGGTGTTTTGATTGTAGAACTCCAAGGTGCTAGAATCCCACAATCGTGGAACGTTCAACCTCTAGCTTCCAGCTTCAACAAACCTCAAGAGGTTTACCACGGACAGGCCCAACAGGGTTATCAGCAACAGCAACAACCACAGTACCAACAACAACCTCATTACCAACAGCAGCAACAACAGCAACAAGGTGGAAACAACGACCTTGTTGGCTTACTGGTCAAAGTTTTCTGTATGTGTTTCAAGACTTTCACAAAATGATTCTCCTGTTCTTTTCTTCAACCTAGTGATAATATAATAACTGTACTATAATCTGCTTTCGTAGTAGGCATAGTCGATGTCTGCATTGTCCACCATCTCAAACCAGTACTGTTCAACCCACCGTCTATACTGTATTTGCAAGAATAAGCATATAACTAACGATACAAATGGGATAAGCACGAACTTGGTATAATTCTTTCCTTTCTTGTTTGTTTGTTCCTTAATATCCTTAGGTGTTGTAAACTTCTTCTTGGAATACAACATCTGCTTCAATTTGTCAATTGTATCTTGCTGTTTTTGTATGCGTGATTTCAACTCTCTGTGAAATTTATCCTCTTTTCCCCACTGGAACCTCATAAGCTCATCAGGATGTTTCCCTTTAAGCAATGAAATCTCATCATTTAAAGATTTCACTTGTTCTTGCAATTTTTGTATCTTGAAATCTCTCTGTTTTATGGTTTCATCCCTTTCTAGGATAATCTTATCCCTAAAAGAGATCTCTTCTTCATACTTCTCATTCTGTTTGACCAGGGTGCTGGTCTCGTGAATCAACTTATCATTGTTCGAATATTTCGTTTCTAACTGGCGTATCACGTCATCTCGATATTTAATCTCATCTTCCTGTGTTTCACTTAATCTCTTATACTTCCTCCACTCCTTTTTAAAGCTTGGTCGGATACTATGGTCATCGTCAACTCTCTTGTTCTCAACCCCAACATCGTTATCCTGTTCAATCGCCTTGGAATCCAGTTGTGCCAGTTGCAAAGCATTTGCAAACGTCAAGCCAACAAGAGAATTAAACAACGTCTTGAATTCACTCTTGTATATTCTCTTATGCGTATCCCTTTGACTAAATCTCTTCAACGTCTTCATCTCCTCCTCATTGATCAACGGTGTCTTTAGATACTTGTTGACCGTGTCAACAAGCAACGGAAGCTCTAAAGAAGGAATATATCCATTGCCGGATCTATCCACTTGTCTCCATGAGAGTGTTAGCACTGTGTCATCCATTTTTGAGGCCTTCAATAACGAGCGAACGTGGTACAATTCTGATCTCTTTAAAGCGAATAACGCGGTGAAGTAGAGATGTTATTATACATCTGAACACCTAAACACCCATACACCAACATATATGCGCACACATCAACAACGCTAATAAGCCTACAACCAATATTCAAATCTCATAATTAGATGCTAATAGATTCTCTTGAGGTTTATATAACTTGTCTACTTTACTTATTGTATCCCGGTAGTTACTATCAAAGGTTCATAGATAAACAACGATAAGTCAATGATACCAAAAAGGGAGGAACCAACTGCAACGACTGGAGCACCTGCTTCGTAATCAGCAAAAAGAAGTCTCTGAAGATGAAGCGTCAATTGATGAGGCCCCAGCTTCTGCAAAGGTTTCAATAGCAGTAATTTGGGCTAAAAATGTGGCATCCATCTTTGCAACGGCACAAGTCTTTTCTGCCTCTGCTGTTGTAGAAGTTTGGGTGGCATCATCAACAGTTGCTGCATTTAGTAGTTGTAGCAGCTTGAACATTGTCTGCAAATGCACCTGTAACTTTGGTGATGCTGTCATCAAAATTTGCTGGTGAGCACCAGATTAACGTACCAATTGTCTCGGTGGAGAGGGTCTCACGCCATGCCATAGGCACCTCGAGGTATGAATTCGTAATCAGCCAAAAGAGTCCATCCACATCGCATACAACTTGAATAACCGTCGATGAAATTGGAACCCTCTGAATAGGGACAAGTTTTGGTTTAGCCATTGGTTATCCAAACCTCATGGCAACGGCTCTTGTGTATTCTCTTCCAACAACTGAACAGCAGAATCTCCTTATGGGACGATTGATAAAGTAAATGAGAAAATATCTCAAACTTCATCCTTTTGAGTTCATCATTATGTTATATAATGAATTGTATCTCATTTGAACTCTGTGGGAGTCGCTTATGTATGTACTATACCAAGAAGAGGATTCTCTCCATAAAACAAGTCATCGTTTCTCAGACACCGGTCCAATGTTGAGGTTATGCTTACTCAAAAACTGTAAGAATTACTCCTCCAATTATATATATACTTGATTGGTGTCAGCTGTTTTACACAATTCAGGAATAATGTTGAGGCTGTTTATCGCTACCATATCTACATTGTTTATAGTTGCTAGATTTTTGACCATAATAGTCATTAAAAGGAACATAGTTTTCAAATTAAAGATATTAAAGGCATTAAATTGACGGTCTCCACGGGCCAACGAGCTGGTGCTTTGTATATTTGTCAATCAAATAAACAAAGCCAAAGCAATTATACCCATGAAAGAGCTTCCAGCTGCTAAGATTGATGCTCCGTTGACTGAAGAAGCTGATTCACTGTTTGCTTCAGAATTAGATTCAGTAGTAGTGGTGAGCTCGGTAGCTGAACCGCTTGCCTCGCCGGAGACGTTGGCACCAGCTGCATCTGCTGTACCAGAAGCCTCAGAGTCTGTAGTAGAAGAATTTGCAGTGTCACTGTCACTGTTACTGTTCTCTTCATTTTGGCTGTTACTGTTCTCTTCATCCTGACTGTTACTGTTCTCTTCATCCTCACTGTTGCTTTCTTCCTCGAGCTCTCCCTCACTCTCATCAGATTCTGTTGAGGCTGAGGCATTGTCAGAATTGGTACTAGTGATAACAGCATCATCGCTGTCCGAATCAGTTGCAGTCACAGCTATTGCTGCAACATCACTAGACACTGTGGAGTTTCCACCTTCAGTAGCCTCCTCCTCAATACATGTACCTCCATAAGCACAACCAGCGTTAGGATCTCTTGTGTACGAGTCTGTTAAAGTCGTTGAGCATCTCAAAGTACCAGTTGGTTCAGTCGAAAGTGTAGAGCATGCCTCCAATGCCTCTGAGACATAAGGACCATAGTACTTCCACAAGGTCCAACCACACTCCATACAAGATGGATAACGTCCCATGAAATTACCATCTTCAGCACAAAGACATGTCAAGTTGTGAGGACCAGAGTAAGTGTCAGTCTCATTGAGAGAGCAAGCAGCACCATTAAGAATCATATATCCACATGCAGCATGACAACTGAAGGAGGCACATTGATCTTCAGAGGCAGCCAGAGCATAGGCATGTGGATCAGGATGTGAGATGGCTTCAGCTTCAGCGTAGGCCTCAGCAAAAGCAGCAGCTGCTGCTGCTGCCTCTGGAACAGCATCAGCCCATGGTATAGCATTTGGGTCTGCCAAAGCCAAAGCAGCTGCTTCAGCATCAGCTTTAGCATTAGCAAGCGCAAAAGCATTGGCCTTGATCAATAAGGCTGCGTATGATAAAAGGTACAATGGAGATAATTTCATCTTGCTTATCTGTTTTTCTGAGTATAAAATGAATTCCTTTATTACAAAAGAGCGTAATCCAAAGGTGTTCTATATACAAGCGTTAAATATGGAGTACACTTGTGAAATACTGTAGAAGGTACCGTCTTTTTATAGTAAAAGTCTCCATTTTTGGGTGCAAGTCTAAGGGTTCAATTGAAGGTCTTGAATTCAGATATCGGTTCACGTTTACCATATTTGCCAAGTTCAGGCATACATGTGGTGCTTACTACTGTATTTGTTGCTCCTACTGCTTGGAATAGAGCTACAAGTATGCATGTTTGCTTATTTAACTTGTGACAAAGAATTCCAACATCCCAAGCTCCCATGTAAACCTGTCCCGTGCTCCATCTCTGGGCTCAATAGTAGAAGTTGGCATCTGGAGAAAACAACAGCTTCAAGTCGCAGCTCTAGAATCGTCACAAGGCACGATGCTATCGTCTAGAGAAGTACCCTGTGCAGTATTCAGAGATGTATCTTGTAGTAATGGATATATCTTCTGAATAGTTAATTTTGATTCTCTGCATGATGTTCAACTGACAGATTAACTTGCATGAATCACTCTACAACGTACATGATATAATGTTTAAAACCATTAATATTAGTAGTCGAAAAGCCCACTTGAATGACCATTTCGACACCACTAATTAGAATTTAGAATTAGATGAACAAGGCCAAGGCAAAAATACCGAAAAGGGAGGAACCAGCTGCCAATATTTGGGCACTGTTAGCAGTAGAAGAAGCTGAGGTGGAAGAGGATTCAGACTCAGAAGCACTAGCACTAGCAGAAGCGGAGCCAGAAGCAGAGCCAGAAGCTTCACCAGAGACAGCAGCACCTGCTGCACTAGCACTGGAAGCAGATGCTGAAGCAGATGCAGAGCCTGAACCAGAAGCTGAAGCTGAACCAGAGGCGGAAGAGTCGTCAGTTGTTGATGCACTTTCAGAAACACTGGCAGAACCACTGGCAGAAGACCCATCACTCTCGGTGCTTGTACAGCCACCTCCATAAGCACAGCCAGCGTTAGCATCCTTTGTATATGAGTCAGTCAAAGTCGTTGAACATCTCAAAGTACCAGTTGGTTCAGTTGAAAGTGTGGAACATGCTGCCAAAGCCTCGGTGACGTAAACACCATAGTATTTCCACAAGGTCCAACCACACTCCATACAAGATGGATAACGCTCCAAGAAGTTGGAACCATCAGAACAGAGACAAGTGGTATTATAAGGACCGGAGTAGGTATCAGTTTCGTTAATTGAACAAGCTTGTGCATCCAAAATCAGGTAACCACATGCAGCGTGACAACTGAATGTAGCACAGTCATCCTCAGAAGCAGCGAGGGCGTAAGCTTGTGGGTCTGGGTGAGCAATTGCCAAAGCTTCAGCGTATGCCTCAGCATAAGCCTGGGCAACAGCATTAGCCTCTGGTACAGCATCTGCCCATGGCACGGCATCACCTTCAGCAAAGGCAAAGGCATAGGCATCAGCGAAAGCATCAGCTTTGGATGTCAGGGCAAGGCAAGCAACTGTAGCGAGTGTTGATAGTTTCATTGTGTAGTTCTAACTAGTTTCTTCTGTCGCTTTATCTCTGAGCAGTGGGAAACAAAAGCAGTCAATGGCAATTGTACTTGTATTTTTACACTCTGGAGACTTTTTCCAAGACCTTGGCAGCCTTTTTATAGGGTTTATCTACTGCTTGTTTACCAAAAGGTGTCGATATGGGTGTTTATAAGCTCAGATATCGGAATTGGGGTTTTATGGGTGTTTGTGCATTCCCGTCATACAAACACCTGCACCTGAGCCGTGTGTAAACAACAGTTTAAGGACGCCCGACTGACACCATAAACAGTCCACATGCTCCAATTAGGGACTGTAAGACTTTATGAGGGAAAGAGCTTCGTCAATGGAACAATTGTTATTTATGGATGACTGTTAAGAACTTGGAGTAGTGATGAATGAGCTCGGTGGCTCTTCGGACTTATCGATGCATGCCGAGGACATGTATGCACCTTCTAGCGTTATGAGCCCTGTGCCGATGGATCCCCACCCCCACTGGATACCCCCACCGATGAATACGATTTAGTACTCTCCGAGTTTCTGGAGATGCTTAATAGTGCTATCTTGTTATCGTTATTTGCTTTGAAGTGTCCTTTCTCTGTTATCGTACCGTATACGGACAGTCAATTGGGCAATGAAGAGGTTTCAATTGGTGTTTAAGAGGCTTTCTAGCCACTACAGAGGGCACAGGCACCGGGTTCACTATGGCTATTCGTCGTTGGCACTGGCGTTGGGAACAATCGGTGGGTACTACGCTTCGAATTGGGAGAGGAGTTACACCGCAAAGTCTGTCACAAGGCTCAGTGATATGGACGAGTTGTCGTATGCTAAGTGGGAAGACAGGAAGCTGGCATATCACAAGATTAAATCGCTTCTGAGAGAGGACCAATGGTCCACCGACAAGACTGAACTGGAGCATTGTTCTTCAAATGACTACTCTACTCACCAATCAGATAAGCTGCCGCAATTGGTGGTGTTCCCCGAATCGACGGAGCAAGTATCAGATATTTTAAAGATCTGTCATTCCTATAAAGTCCCTGTGGTGCCAGTCTCAGGAGCAACTTCAATCGAAGGTAACTTCAACACCACAAGGAACGGGCTAGTCATTTCACTGTCATTGATGGACAAAATCATTCAATTGAACGAACAAGATATGGATTGTACTTTACAGCCAGGTGTTGGATGGCAGGATCTGAACGAATACTTGAAGCCTAGGGGGTTATTGTTCGGACCTGATCCGGGACCAGGTGCACAGATTGGTGGTATGTGTGGTACTTCATGTTCAGGTACAAACGCTGCAAAGTATGGTACAATGAAGGATAATGTTATCAGTTTAACTGTGGTATTGCCTGATGGAACAGTCGTGAAAACTAGGAAAAGGCCTAGGAAATCCAGCGCAGGTTACAACCTCACAGGCTTATTCGTTGGAAGTGAGGGAACGTTGGGAATAGTGACGGAGATCACAGTGAAATTGCATCATTTACCAAGATTTGAAACTGTTGGTGTTGTTTCATTCGCCAGATTGATCGATGCTACAAATATGGTTACCAGGTTGATCCAGCATGGTGTCTCTTTCAACGCTGTTGAACTGCTGGACGAGAACATGATTGATGTTATTAACAAATCTGGCCAGTGTAACAGAAGTTGGCCAGTAAACCATACCTTGTTCATGAAGATTGGTGGTTCGTCACAGGCACAGCTCCAACATCAGTTAGAGCTGCTTCAAGGAATAGGAAGGGAAAACAACGCATTGGCCTTTTCCTGTGCTAAGGACTCCAGTGAAGCTGAAGAACTATGGCAAGCACGTAAAGTTGGATTCTGGTCTACTATTCAACATGGTAAGTCTCTACTAGGGGAGAATGCTAAAGTCTGGACAACTGACGTCGCCGTCCCCATCTCAAAGCTGTCTTGTGTCATTGAAGAGACCATGGAGGATATCAACTCTAAGGGAATCTTCACAACGATCCTAGGACACGTTGGTGACGGAAATTTCCATTGTATCTTGGTCTATAAGCCGGAGGATCAAGGTGTTGTTAGTGGCATAAGTGAAAGAGTCGTCCAGCGAGCATTGGATAATGAAGGAACATGTACCGGTGAACATGGTATTGGACTTGGGAAACGCAAGTATCTTCAATTGGAGTTGGGTGAAGATACAGTGGCACTTATGAGACAGATAAAGCTAAGTGTTGATCCTCATGGAATAATGAACCCTGATAAAGTGTTCTCAACAGATCCTGAAGATAGTTGAATTCACCATACACATCATATTATACTGTACCGTGTTATATTATATTATACCATATTATATTATGTTATTATTTATTACCTCCGAGGAAGCTCATCGCGGAAAATTTTTTGTTAGAGGAAGAGCATCACACGTTCAATAATCCCCAACGTAGGACGTAGAATAGCACTCAAGTGAGGTCAAACAATGGCTGATTTCGAGCTTATCCACTCTCAGCTACTGCTGAGCATTCCATTGGAATCCCAAACTCTTCCAAAAGTTACTTCTCTGGGCTCCGAGGCTCTTCAGTTCTTTGCACTCTGTGAACCTCATCGCCTGTTTGAAACCACTCAGGTGAAGCAGCTTTTGGACCAGACGGTCAATTTCTTGAACTCAGACGGTGCCTTGAATGAGAGGACGAGAAAGTTGGCGGTGGATTTGTCTAACAGGGATAAGGAAACCTCCCTGTTGATTGCGATTGCATCGTTGTTGATCTTTGTTCAAAATAACTATACCGGCCCACAATGTCCACTTGTTGCGACTGCAGTCTTTTCTCAGACCGATGGAAGCGTTGAAGCACTTGGTTCCTATGGTCAGCCAGCATATGAGCTCTCAGAGGATTCCTTTTGGCTCTTGTTGTCACTGCACTTGCTGGAAGTGTTGAGCTCCACTCAAAACTCTTTACTCTTGGATCAACTACAACCAGAGGACTATGCTATGTCCTCGGTCCCTACAGACTCGTTCGGCTGTGTTGTGAACTGGTGGAGATGTAGAGCATTACTGGTCCAATGCTCGTTGTACCATGAGCTCTCAGGGCCTCATATCACCGTGTGTTCTACCTTATTGGATGAAAGCCTGCTTAAGCCCTTGATTCCATCTTTACCTGGGAAGATCGCTAAGGACTTGACTGTAATGTTCCACTTAGAGAAGGCTAAGACCCTTGTTGAGTGCAACTTGGAACATTTAGCACCTCAAGAGCTTGTCCAAGCTCAACAATTGACAAAGTTTGAGTTCGTACTCACGGGTGCGAGGGCTAAGAGAACTAAATTCCAACAGGTTGCACATTCTTCGCTGCTGATATTGGCTAAATCGAACTACTTCAACAATGTACAGCATGAATACAACCATGAGGACACACCAGAGAACTTTGAATTGAACTCTGATTTGCTCTTGGAAAGACCATTCTATGAAGACGTTGGAAAGGAAGATCCTGATCAACAGATCTATAAGAAGTTCAAACCTGATGACCAGACACCAGTGGATTACAGTGAGCTTCTACCACACACACTTGTTCAGGAGGATATTCCTGAGTCTCTCAAAGCTCAAGACCCAAATAACCCACCGAACTTATCTGACTTCGATAACTTGCAACTGCTGTTGAGATTGTATACAATCAGGGCTACTTCACCCTCCGGTGACCCACTCATCGAGGAACAACTCATGTCCTTAGTTTCTCGAGTAATATACCAGTCCAAAACCACGGGTGTTAACTATACGATCTTTTCTCGTGGTCTTTGGGAAAGATCGTTGTTAGAGACCAATAAGGCAAGAACCATTGAACGTGGTATCCTACAGATGCAATCTCTGATTGAGGAGATTGGATTGAAGATTAAATCCAGATATATTCCTGCAAATAACTCTATGGATTCTGAAAAAGAGAAGGAGGTGAAGAACAGGATCAGATACGTTTTCCAATTGCCATTGCTACCAAGATGGTCACTTGATTCTAAGTTGGCTGAGAAATTCATGTCAATGGGTATAGTTAAAAGTGCCATTGAGATCTATGAAAGATTGGGATTAGACACAGATGTTGCATTGTGCCATGCATCTATTGGCGAGGAGAACATCGCCAAACAGATTATAGCAAAGAGACTACAAGAACATCCAAATGATGCTAGGGCAATGAGTATAATGGGAGATCTGACAGAGGATCCAGTCTATTGGTTGAAGGCTTGGGATGTTGGTAGATATTGGAAGGCTAAGGTTTCCCTTGGTAAATTCTACTATTACGCTACAGCTCCAGGCATTGCAAAGGATATATCTGCGGCATTGGACCATTTGCACGATGCATTGACTATAAATCCATTGAACTTTGATACCTGGTTCTTTTATGGTTGTCTGGGACTGGAATCATCCCAGTTTGAGCTCTCTGCAGAGGCATTCTCCAGGTGCGTTGCCATTGATGAGACGTCTGCCAATGCCTGGTCCAATTTGGCAACTTCCCTGCTGAGATTGAACAAGCTGAAAGAGGCCTTCAGTGCACTGAAGAAAGCAACGAGTACCAGTGAAGGCCGCAATTGGAGGCTTTGGGAGAATTACTTGGTTGTTGCAGCTAAATTGGGTGAATGGGATGAAGTTCTGTGGGCCTGTAAGCAACTGGTTAACTTCAAGAAGGACTCCAGTGGTGAAGGGTCTGTGGATATCCCTGTTGTTGAGAAGTTGGTGGAGATCCTCGTTGCCTCTGATTACCACGAGGATAACCTCACGTTCTTCCAGAGAAACTGTGTTGAATTCACCACCGTGACGTTACCAGGCGTGATAAATACAAACTCAAGGCTCTGGAGAATCATTGCAAGGGTTGAGCTTTGGAGAAGGAGACCATGGGCCTCTTTGGAGTGCTACGAGAAGGCATACAGAGCACAGTCACACTTACCAGACTTGGAAACAGACGAAGCTGTTTGGAATGAAACTGTTGATGCCTGTGCTGATCTATGTTCTGCTTATGAGTCCCTTGGTGAAATGCCAGGTCGTTTGGGAGCAGGAGATGTTGTCTGTAAAGACTGGAAGTATAAGGCTAAGCAGACCATAAAGTCACTCATGTCAAAGGGAAGAACGTCATGGGAAGATTCTGATGGATGGAACAAATTGATTGAAACGAGAGATAACCTATAGATGATGATAAAATGGGAAAACTTTTATTGTTTATAAATAGCCTTTGTTGTATTCTTCTTCTTCTTTTCTTCTTGATCTAGTTCTTAATTTATCTCCATGAAGAATCTTCCTTCGCTTATGGCCTCCTCTGACATAGTCTTGGTACACTCTTTCAAGATCTTTGCCTGTTTTGCAATCTCACCAAGCTTACTGATAACAACCTCGTTACCTTCAACAAACCCATAGATCGAGTACTTCAACCCAACTCTGTCACAGAAGCCAATCACCATGGGCTGTAACTTACGGAAGTTATGTCTTGGGACCCTTGGGAACAGATGGTGGATTGCCTGGAACTGCAACCCTCCATGGAAGTAGTCAAACCATTCAGGACAGTCAACATCCATAGTGGTCCTTATCTGTCTTGAAGGGAACGACTCGTGAACACCAAGGTCCGATGTCGACATTGCAAAGTGACTCAATGTGATTTGCACATGGACGATCATTGTTGTAATGTGACTGACCATGATATACATGAATCTTGTCCAATTGTCCGGGATGGATTTGTAGACAACGAGGTAGAAGAACCACCAGTTGAAAAATGCCAAACCGAAGAGTTCATAGTAACGGAACCAGGCAGCTTTACCATGACGAGGTCCCAGTCCTAGCAAGATATGCTCCCAGGACAGTCTATACAAGTTGAAGCGACCAAAACAAAGAATAGGGTAGTATAGGTAGTTTTGGATTGGAATCATCTTCTGAGCAAGCTTATCAAACCAGAGAAACTTGTCGTAATAGGTTGAGTAGACGTTGCCAAAGAGTCTTGAGCTAACTGCGAAAAATGGTAAATGCTGGATGTCCGGGTCATGAACTGGATCATTGGTTATGAGGTGGTGAACGTTATGGTTACGTTTCCACCATCCAAGTGACAGTCCACCGATCCACGATGCCACCGTCATTCCAATGATGTTATCCACCTGGTAGTTATGAGTGATGCTAATATGGCCAGCATCATGAGCGATGAACACCAATTGCTGCCATGCCAACCCCATGAACACGGCAGATACAAAATACCACTTGAAATAGAGCAATACAAAAGAGGCTGTGAAGAGGCTTCCAATCCGCAGTGCCTCACGACCATAGGCCCAATAGTCACATTGGTAGAACCCTCCTTCGATCACTTGTTCGTGCAGCTTGTTGTACTCCTTTGATAGAAACTCTTGTGTTTCAGGATCCAACGCTGGAAGGCTTCTGATATCTTGCTCCACGAGCGAATGGTCATAGTTCGTTATGACACTCGCAGGGTCTGTTATCACCTGACGTTCGTAAGCCTCTTTCGTAGAAAGAGACGGAATCAAGTCGCCCTCGATTGGAGGAACAATCTTCGCCACCAGCACCTCGCCAGCCATGGGACTCCGGGTGCACTTCTCATCAGTCAGTGTCGAATCACTCCCTGCAGAGTCCGACAACACCTCTTTGGTGCCCTTCTGCTCATCCAAAGTCCGGTACACACCACCTTGGATTGGAGGCCTCATGTTCTCCCATTTGTAGTCAATCTCGCCAATCTTCCAACGCAGGAAAGTATCCTGTGTCTCATCACAGTGATACGCAACCATCTCGTCCGTGGCGTCCCGTCCGATCAAATGATACACAGCTTTGTCACCACCTGGATGGAACTTGATCCAATTGTTCAGCCGTAAAACGTGCGAATTGTAGATGACAATGGCATCACCAAGCGCAATCCTGTGCTCTATCTCGGCCCTCGACAAGATTCTACTCTTTGACATCGTTTGCAATCTTCAATGAACCGACAACCTGTCCGTGTAAAACGAGATGAAGCACCACCGAGCAGGGGAGGAAAAGGCGTCGTTTAAGATGAAAGAACTCGTGAGGAAAAAGTGAGCTCATCGGGGATTAAAAAAGAAAGAAACATGCAACGTTACGAATTTGGCACATAGCCGAGATGCACCCGGACACCTAAACATCTGGACACCGTAACATCTGGACACCGTCACACCCGGACATCATATATAAACTCTCGAGCTTTCATCACAAGCTCCCACGGCCACTTTCCCTCACACATCGACGGCAATTCCACCATCGGACACACGTCAAAGCAGGCAAATGTCACTATCCAACGTCCTACTGGTTACATTCGTGGCCATCTTGGTCGCTACAGGTGTGCTCGTCATCCTTCAAAGACAGTCAAGTGCCGTGGCAATACCACTACTGGGAGGTAAAGCCACCAACAAACAACCAACGTATATCATCTGTGGTCCTTCGAACAGTGGGAAAACGGTGCTGTTTCACCACTTGACCCAGCACAGATTCGTTCCGACGGTGTTATCACAGGAACCAAACTCGACGACGAAATTCCCGCTGCCTTCCTCCGGTGCCTCTGTACAAGAGTTCAAGCTTGTTGAATTCCCGGGCCATAACAAGCTACGTTCCATGCTATACGACGAGATTAAGCAGAGTCCGAATATCCATGGGCTCATTTTCTGCCTTGACTCCACCACTGACCCTAAGCAACTGTCTGAGAGTGCTAAATTCCTCTACAATGTTCTCGTGCTGACTGAAAGAAGACCTGGTGGTGTGGATGTGCTAGTGGCTTGTACCAAGAACGAGTCCTTCAGCGCAAGACAGCCAAAGAAGATTAGAGAGGTTATGGAGAATGAGATTGGTGTGTATAGATCTCTTCAAAGCTCTAATGTTTCAAAAAATGACGGTGATAACGATGGAGATGATGACGATGAGCTCGATCTCGGTGATGCTGGCGCAAAATTCCAATTCGATCAACTCGAGGCTAACGTTGACTTCATCGGTGGCAGTGTGCTAAAGGGCAAGACTGACCAGTGGGAATGTTGGATTGACGAGAGATCTGTAAACTTTTAATACTAACAATAATAATAACGTGTATGGATTACTAACTACCTCGTCCAGCTATGTTCTCTAGTCAAAGGTAATCTTCTTTGGCTTCTTGGTCATATCAACATCTTTGAAGAATGCACCGTAGGCACCGTGTTCCTTCTTCTTTGTATGGGAACCAAATTTTAAGAGTTCGTCTGGAACTGGTTGGTTGGCACCTTTCAACACGTTGATGAGAGCACCACTTAAATGCTTCTCATTCTCTGTGAAGAGCGTATGTGCCACACCTGTTTGACCAGCTCTACCGGTTCTACCAATTCTATGGACGTAGTCTTCAACTGTCAACGGGAAAGTCAAGTTAATGACGGTCTTCACATTTGGAATATCCAAACCTCTAGCTGCAACATCCGTTGCCAACAACAGGTTGGATCTTCCCTTCTTGAAACTGTCCAAAGCTGCTGTTCTCTGTTGTTGTGATAGATCACCGTGAATAGCAGCAACGTGGTATCCTTTACTCTCGAGCATTCTCTCGATACGGGCAGCTTCTTTCTTATAAAGGGCAAAGATTAGCACTTTGTCATCCTTCTTGGAACCAGATTGGTACTTCTTCAAGAGATCAAGAAGCTTGTACTCTTTACCTCTTGGATCAACAACTTCAACGATTTGGGTGATTCTCTTGTTGGCACTCAACTCATCACGGTCACCGATGGACACTTTGACCGGTTCCTTCATGAATCCTTGGGCCAATTCTCTAACCTCCTTTGGCCAAGTGGCTGTAAACATAAGAGTCTGTCTGTCTGGTGAGGTTGAAGATCTCATAACGTTCTTGATGTCTTCTTCGAATCCCTTCTCCAACATTCTATCAGCCTCATCCAACACCAAGTAAGAGACCTGTGAGAGATCTACAGCACCCTCATTCATCAAATCAATGAGTCTACCTGGGGTGGCAATGACGATGTTTGCTCTAACGAGGTCTTTACGTTGTTGATCCTTTGGAACACCACCGTAGAGACATACAATGTTCAAGTTTGTCTTGTCTGTCAAGTTCTTCAAGTTGTCATAGATCTGAGATGCCAACTCTCTTGTAGGGGAAATGACGAGAACCTTGATTCCCTTTGTCTTACCAGTTGTCACCAGGTTGTTGACAGCTGGAACACCAAAGGCTAATGTCTTACCAGAACCAGTCTCAGCAACACCAATAACGTCACGGTTGGACAAAAGGTATGGCCATGAAACAGCCTGGATAGGTGTTGGCTGTGGGAACTTGGCAATCTCTTGCTGAATCTTTGGAGAGAGTGAGATGTGTGAGAACGAAAGAAGTGGACGTAATGTAGAGGAACGTGGGTCTTCAACAGTGACTTCGTTCTTCTTGAAGAACTCATCAACCTCTGACTGCGGGACACTTGAGAGCTCTGCTGATTGGACGTAGGAGCCAGACACAGATAGAGCATCAGATTTGTCCTCTTGTTTTGATTCTTTGCCCTTGTCCTTCTTTTCCTTCTTCTCCTTCTTCTCGGACTTCTCCTTCTTTTCCTTCTTCTCCTTCTTCTCCTTCTTCTCGTGCTTATCCTTCTTCTCGGACTTCTCCTTCTTCTCCTTCTTCAATCTTTTCTTCTCCTGCTTCTCCTCCTCCGACAACTTTCTCTTCTTTTCCTTGATCTCTTCACCCATTTTGTCTGCCTAGTTCTTGATGATTGGCCCGTTATATAATCGGTTTACTCTCTCATCTTTGGAGAGAACAAAGAAAGAAGCTCATCTCATCTCGTTTGATGTGGGAATAAAAAAATTTCTCGGTGTCCCAAAGAGGAAATGGTTTTGTGCCCTGTATATTTGGGTGTACGGGTGTCATAGTGTGCTCCAACCATTATTGAATCCATAGAACAGTTCTGATATTGAATTATGCCATTGATGAGATACTTGGAGACTTGTTGAAGTCTTATGATTGAGAGGTTAATCATTGGATTCAAAGCACTGGATTCTATAGAGATGATCTAATTTTTATTGAGTTATAATTTCTTTGGTAGGACAACACATTGATTTTAGTATGCTTCGATCAATTCACCAGCTGATAAAATTGAAGAGCTATTCTATATAAAAATTCAACCCGGCAGAATCAAGATTACACCAGTCTAAGATTACTGAGACAGCAAGATGCTTGTAGTAGGACTATTTTTACAGCTTTCCGAGACCATTCGTAATTCTTGTGCTACTGGTAACAGATTATTTCCAGAAAATGTTTATCTTCATACTAAACCACCAGTATCTCAGGAACCTAAAAGGAAATTCCAAAACACCACAACTACTATTTATCTAAACAGAATTATTCCCGTTGTTATCCAGTAGTCAATGACTGAATCCTTGTACTGTTGCCAGAAGACTCGTGCGGCACAGGCTACTTGGACTAGAGGTGTTCCCTAAGCGATGTACCACAGCGTAGCACGGGTACAAGAAGAGTCGTAAACATATCCTAAAAATATTACAATAGTGTTTCAGCATCTACACTTATAGTTTCGAACATAGTGCAATACATGGCATCCAACCAAAACAATCTTCTCATACAACAAAAATTTACATATCCAAGGTCAGCACTCATAGTCAGACCAGGAAGGAAATCCTCTTCAATTGCGAGTAAAAAAAAACATGCACTCGGCAGATGATCAATTGTTTGGTGTCCTGGTGTTAGAATACCTAAAGTAGAATATTACCTATTTGGGTATTTTTATGGGGCCTCCAATCTTGATGCTGGAACTATGATCTTGACTGTGTATCATTGGTTCTACAACTCCTCCTCAGGAAACATCCAACGACCAGTTAGGTCACATAGTCTAGTTTGCCTATGGCACATTCGAAATAATGCTTTTCTAGGACAGACTACGTACGACAAGCCAGATAGTTGCCAGCTCTAAAAGACATGCACTATGAGCCTTTTCCAAGATTTGGATAAAACATTGAATCGTAGCCTTAAAACTGTCTTGTTTGGTGCTGAGTCTGAAAGACAGACTGTAAGCAGCCAATGCCACTTGAGTATAGCACATTTAGGTAATAAACCCAATAATTATTCTAATAAATCAGCCAAAAACGGGCTGTTGATCCAATAGCCTGCATAGCTAAACTCATGCTGCATATAGACTCAAACCACTGTAATATTACGAGCTATACAACTTCAGTTACTGATTCAGAAGACCATTGAATACAACTGTAGTGAACACACAGAACTGATTCACCAATCCAGTCCCTGTTTCTATCCCTGAGACTCCTGGAATTGAAACAATACATCAAACCACCAGATTAACCAAGCGTGATGAGCCCACAACTCTGAACGTCCAGCGACTAACGTGCAATTAAGCAGATTTAGGAAAAACTACATGTGTCCACAGCTCCATACCCAAATACACTACTCCATACCGGATTTTCCACAAGGTGCCGAGACTGTATTCAGGTGTTGCACCCATGTTTCAGGGAACCACTTTTGACAGAGAATTACAGTGCCCAGAAAGGTTTAGCAGTGTTGCGTTGCCTATTTACGGTTTAGCAATGTCGCCTAGGAGCGCTTATTTGTACATTCTGTGGAAAGGCAGTGAAGATCTTCTAAGGGCATCGTTTATTCTATGCTGGCATTCAATGGCATGCCCTTTAAACCCCAAGTAATATATATTTATATTTTGTTTTGTTTGAGCCTTGTTCTACACAACGATGTGTCGAAAATGCGTCAAGAGACCACGATTAAGAGAATGACGACACGCAAAGGTGGCGATTTGACCCCACGTAGAGGCGTACGCATAGCACGATGTTGCTCTTGAGGCCGAGTATGATCAGGCCAATGGATGGCGTGAGTGAGTAGAACACCTTTTATGCACGGCGATGGTTCTGTTTATGTTGTGTTCGTTACGCCCTTATGCTTATATGTTCAATCGTAAGTTAACTACACCTAATGCCATCTGCATAGTGACCGTCAGTGGCTTACAGACAGTCCACTGAAGCTGATGTGTAAGCAGAATATCATGCTTACGGGAAGTGTTCTTTTCATAAACACTCACCCCCACAGTTTTCAATTGTCCGTGAACAGTTTATAAACCTTTCAGTGCAGTAACCCATACTTTTGCATGTCATCACATCAACAAAATGCATGCTCTTGCATTGTTGAAGAAGAAGGTGATACAAGTATATAAATGGGTGAAGTTGTTTCAATTGTGTGGGAGAAAGATGTAGTGAATGTTTGTACACTATCAGGTCTAGCAAAAACACACACACGATGACTTCACCATTGCCTGTATCTCCAACACAGGATAGTGGACTTGAAGAACCAAAAGAGGTGAAGAACATAGGTTTGACACACACACTTCAAGAGAATGACGAAGATTCCAACAGCAGTAATGACGAAGATGTCCCAGACTATTCATGGAGCTCTATAAAACGTTATACAAGGACTAGATTCACAACTTTGGGTGAATTGCACTTGGACTCACTTAGCGACTTGAACCCTTTACCTGCTTTGAAAGAAATGACTCCACGTAATTGGAATTTCTTCTTCATGGGCTTCATCGCATGGTTCTCAGCTTCCTTTGCCTTCTTCTTGACTGCTGTGTCAGGTACTGTCATTGCAGAGTCATTGGAGGTTTCAACGAAGGATATTACATGGGGACTGAGCTCAGTGCTGATGGTTCGTTCTGCAGGTGCCGTGATCTTTGGCCTGTGGACTGATAACTATTCAAGAAAATGGCCCTTCATCGCAACAGCTGCGATGTTCTGTGTATTGCAAATAGGTACTGGATTCTGCAATACTTATACACAGTTTCTTGCTGTGAGAGCGCTATCAGGTGTTGCAATGGGTGGAACTTACGCTACTGCAGCTGCAACCTCGCTAGAGGATGCACCATTGAAGGCTCGTTCAACGTTATCTGGATTGTTCTTCACGGCTTATCCTTTTGGTATGGTGTTTGCAGCCATATTTTGGAGAGCATTCCAGGAAACAGACCATACTTGGAAAGCATTGTTCTGGTTCTCTGCTGGTATTCCATTTGTGTTGATAATTTGGAGATTGCTCTATCCTGAGACTATATACTTTACAGAGCTTTTGAAAGTTAAGAAGTTGATCAAAGAAGAAGCAAGCAACTCTCCAAAGGTTAGTAAGTGGGCAAAAACAAAGACCATGTTCTCCAAATATTGGTTACTATTCACATATTTGGTCTTGCTCTTAGCCAGCTCCAACTTCTTAACACATGCTTCTCAGGATATGTATCCGACAATGCTTAGATCCCAATTTGGGTGGTCTAACGATGCACAGACAGTGGCCATTGTCGTGACAAACCTGGGTGGAGTCATAGGTTCGTTGGTTACTGGTATAGTGATGGAAGTACTTGGTCGTCGATTGAGCATTCTGCTGTGTTGTGTTATTGGTGGAAGCTTTATATACCCAGCTTTGATGCTTCACACCACAAGTGCAACCTTGGGATGTGGGTTCTTTATGATGTTTGGTGTGCTGGGGGTTTGGGGAGTAATTCCAGCCCACCTTTCAGAACTATCACCTCCTGATGCCCGTGTCTTGGTCTCTGGACTAGCTTATCAATTGGGTAACCTTGCATCTTCTGCCTCCTCAACCATTGAAACGGATCTGGCTCAAAGATGGCCATTAGAATGGGACGCTGAAGGTAACGTTATAAGACTTGACTATGCAAAGACTATTGCCGTTTTCACAGGTGCTGTCTTCATCTATACCGTTGTAATTGCACTTGTGGGACCAGAGAAGTACCACAGGGATTTGAATTCACCTCTTCTCAAGAAGTACTTTGCAAAGTTGAGAGAGAATGACGTTGAAAAGGGCTCTTCAAGTGAGTGAAATGTTCCATGTATGAATAATTTTCCAACTACGAATAGTTATGAATGAGATAATGAATGATTTTGAGGCGAATTTTACATCATTTGTAGTTATATATGAGGGACACCAAAGTGGTCAAGATATAAACCGTGCATGGAGAGAGAAAGAAGGGATAAATATAAATTAGATAGAAAGACAGGTAGAGGAAAGTGCCATCATTCTAGGTTGGCATACACAGCACTTTCAATTTGAACCCAAGAGCCTAGAACTTGTGCATCTCCAAATGGTAGGATCTGACCAGCAACCATTCCTGCAATTCCTTTTTCTCTATCACACCAATAGAAGCAGTTGGCGATACCACACCAAAATGCCGTATTGGCACCACGACCAGTTGCACCAGGTTCTGGTGTTAAGAACCAGGAAAGACCCCAACCTTGGGGTGCAGATCCTTGGGGATAGATCTCATCAAGTGCATTTGTCAACAGAGGGTCGGCATCTGGGAGACCTTTTCTTCCAAAATCTGGCCATTGTGGAATCTGATTTGTGAAGAGAAGATCCACGAAGTCCTTTGAGAGGATTCTAGCACCAGTTTTCGGTGATTCACCATCGTTCAAGATTACACTCAATATCTGAACATAGTCATGAGGTTTCGAAAACAGCCCGGCCCCTCCAGAGTGGAAAAACAGCTCATCATAAGAACCAGTGACAACCTTTTGGTAATAGTGTTTGATTGTTGACAATTCTCCGGTTTGGCCATCGCGTCTACTAATATCCACGAGTTTTGATCTTTGAAGTTCATCCGGGGTGAATGAACTTTCCGTTAACCCTAATGGAATTAGAATATGGTTCTTGATATAATCACCAAGTTTCTCACCCGTGACTCGCTCCAACGCTACACCTGCCCAATCGATACCGACGCCGTACTGCCAATCAGTACCTGGTTCAAAGAGCAGAGGAAACAGCAATTCCTGAGGAAGACTGGCATTGAATTCGTCAACTGCGAAATACTCCTTCCATTTTTGTAGCACTGGGCTGAAGAAGGAATAACCGAAACCTGACGTATGGGACAGAAGCATGCGTAGAGTTATACGCTTGGTCTTTGGTTTCAAAACGATATTACCCTCTGAGTCCTCTGAGGCTATTGGAACGTGCTTCAGCTCTGGTATGATCGACTCCAATTGGTCCGAATCATCCAAGTCCAATCTTCCTTGCTCAACTAGCTGCAAAACTGCAATGGTAGCAACGATTTTGGTACAGCTGGCAAGCCACCATAGAGAGTCTGTTGAAACTCTTTCCGAACTATCTGCACTCTTTACTCCGTTAGCGTATGAGACCAAGTCTTCACCTTTGTTGTTGATAATGGACACCGAAAGTCCTGGGATCGTCTTGTGTGGGTCCAAAGTAGCATCATTGACGATTTGCTTTATAGCATCGACACCCTTGGAGGTTAGTTTCGACATGTTGTTTCTCCACGCTGCTGACTGGGTGTTTTCAGGCAGAGCTATGGAGGATTACCGGGGCTCCTTATATCGTAAACACATAGATGGACTCTTGCTATGAGTACGGTTGATTCCCTGCACCCCCGCTCTCTTGACGGTACAGAGCAGTGGTTGCACATGCTCTCCTTCTCCTCACGAAGGACTCCGCGAGGGATATCGTTCGTGGCACATGACCGTTGTAGCAGAGAGTTGTAGCAGAGCGCTATAGCAGAGCGCTATAGCAGAGCGCTGTAGCACACAAACCACTGCCCCACTAGACCATGACTGAAGAGGCGGGACTGCTCACTCTCTCCGTCTATTCGCCTCTGGGCCTATGGCCAACTGCCTGTGAAGAGAGGCATCTGCCGTCATCCTCTTAGACCAGCCGCTACAGCAGGCTTCACCATCAACATACAACCTACAGGCACAACGACATGGCGGCGGCCCTCCAGCACTCAACAATGTACACCCAGCGCTACTGCGCACCACGAAGATAGCACCACCAGCCGTGAGTGCACACGCGCTCAGTGTCACCGTGGACCGCCATAGCTGTCAACCCGTTGATTAAATAATCAACAATGACGCAAGCACACACACACACACACGGAGAATTTGTATGGATAAACTCCGAGAGTGCGGCCGCTGCGGCGCCCTAATGCCGATAAGCATTTGCCGGCGCACGGCACCAAACCCGTGGTGTCCGGGTGTCCAGTGATGCCGTACGGAGTTTCCCTGTTGGGCTTCGTTTCCCGTTGGGCGCCGTTGCCCGTTGCCTGGGGGCCTTTGTGTCTGGCAGTTGTTCCTTCGCATGAGGCCCGCCAGTGGAAGCACACGGATCCTAATACGCCTACAGCGAAGAAGAAGGAGGAGCCGTATGTACGCTTAGGAGGAAACAATAACGAGGTTTCCAGGGGAAGAAGTTTTTCTTGGGGGATTTTGCGGTTTGTGTCAGTTGTTCCATCACCGTCCTTGGTGGTATTGTAAGCAGCTTGCACGATGTCGAGAAGACGGTTTTTCGGCAAGAGAGAAGGCAAGAGAGAAGAGCATGCGTCGTCGTCGTCGTCGGAAGAGGAGCTCGAGCCAGTCCAGTCGTTGAGACAGTCGACGTACAGATCCTCGCTTTTTTCCTCCAACAGGACCTATGATACGAACTCGACGGTGCCAACGTCGGCACAGTCGTCATCAGGCAACCAGCCCAAGGGGTTTCTGTCGTCGATTGATTCCATGGGCAAGCCTCTGCGAGTCATGGCGGCAGATAAGTACAACGAGCTTTCCCGCACGGGTACCATCCAGTCCAACGCCTCGTCCTCCCTGAGCAGAAGGAGGAGGAGCGAGCTGAGTGAGCAGTTTGAGCATCCAGGCGCTGCGGCAGCAGTGGACACGGAGGTGATTGAACACGATGTGGAGGTGCTGAGTGAAAGTCTTTTGGAGCTGGTTGACAGTGTTAACCAGAGCAATACCGACGTGAGCAAAGCCACGATTCGGATCGTGGAGTTGTTGGATGAGAGTGTCAATAACGTTCAGCTTCAGAGCCCGCTGGCACAAGGCCCTGTGTTGCAGAACGTGTACAAGGTTTGTCTCCAGTTCCACGACACCTTTCTAAGGCTTCACGCGTACGAGGACTCGAAGAGATTGCTCATAAGGTCATTGGCCAGCTTCCAGAGAAGACTCGGGTTCCAGTTGCAGTGCGATTTGCACGATCCGGTTCCCTATCTACAGAACTTTGCCATACCCTATGACGATGGCGAGGTGAATTTGCCAAACCTTTCCAGAGTGGAGCTCATCATGGAGAAACTGGCGTCGACATCGTCACTGGTTTCTGACCAGCAAGGTGCATTCATTGCTCCGGTGCTGCGTGGGCTATCCAAGTCGACGAGCGTGCTGTCGATCATGTTTGGATTCCCAGAGCCCCAGGATAACCACTACGAGGTGATCAACGCGCTGTTCAGAACATTCCCAGACGTTCATTTCTTTGTTGTGAAGAATTCGATTCTCCTTGCCGGCGGTGTCTCAACAGCAACCAGATTCCATACTCCGTTCAAAGTACCGACACGGTCCAAACCAGAGATATCCATATCGGTGTCTTCAGTGAATAGCGTCAAGTCTAGTGGTACGCTTGGTGGTTATATCCAACCAAAGATCACACAGTCAACTGATAAGTCCTTGTTGAAGTACAAAGGTGCGAAGTTTGCCTTGACTTGCGCACATGTTCTTCTAAGTGAAGACCAGGACTATCCAGACGTCTCTGTGCCATCAACGGTCATGCTGAATACATATAAGAGTGCCCTGAGGGATGAAATGGATAGGTATCCTAAAGATTCCATGGAGCATGATTCCTATTCAGCGGAGCTACAAAGCGTTGATAAGTATAGTTTCCCTCTCGGGCAGGTGGTTTGGGGCGAACGCATTGTATTGAAGAACAAGAGATTGAGCGATATAGCTATAGTGAAGCTTGACGATTCCCTACAAGTGACTGAGAACTCACTGGGTGATGACGTTGATTCTTATAACCCATCTCTTAAGTTCCAAAACACGAAAGTTAAGAAGGTGATTGGTAAGGATGAATATTATAGACATTCAAGGGTTTTCAAGATTGGTGCTAGTTCCAACTATACAACGGGCTATTTGAACAGCGTGAAGATGGTTTATTGGCTAGATGGGTCAATTCAAACCTCTGAGTTTGTCGTTTCAAACAGCGCTAAATCAATGTTTGCTATGGGTGGAGATTCAGGGTCTCTTATATTGAACGATTTACAAGACCAGGCTGGATTGGGCGTGCTGGGTATGTTGCACAGTTATGACGGTGAAAGACGCGAGATCGGGCTCTTTACGCCGATGGATGAACTACTGAAGAGGTTACAGGATGTTACTGGAGTTGAATGGGTGTTTATATAAACTATATGGAAGTGCAAAACAAGTAAACATGAGAATTAAAGGTAGATAAAAAGAAGAGAACCCGTGTATATGAAAAAAGTGCGTAATTCTAAGCAAGATGTCTATTCATCCTCTTCGATCAACTCTGGTAATCTCTCGATGGATTCAGTACCATAGACGATTTGGTAGATGGCCTCGAACAATGGGAACTCCTTTGTCAAATTCTTTGCAGCCAACAACTCGTGAACTTCTTTAGAGGTGATGATACCTTGGGCTGACTGACCGTTAAGCAACTCCCTTTCAACGTCAACTGCAGATTTACCAGTGATTGCCATGGCCTTGGCAACTCTGACGTTTCTACCTCCAGAACAGGTTGTGATCAAATCAGCAACACCAGCAGATTCCTTGGTAAAGGTATCCTGGTTGGTTTCACCTGGGAAGAAGACTTCTGCGAACTTGATGGTCTCGTTCAAACCAAATCTCTGAATGGCAGAAGCAGCGTTATCACCCCAGTTCAAACCATGGACGAAACCGACACCGAGAGCAACAACGTTCTTCAATGCACCGGCAAGTGAGACACCGGCAACATCTTCAATGACACGAACGTGGAAGTAAGGTCTGTGGAAAGCAGCTCTTAGTACGTAACGGTCAATATCTTTTCCGTGGCCTTGGAAGTCATTTGGCAATCTGTAGGCAACTGTGGTCTCAGACCACTTCTCCTTTGCAACTTCTGGAGCCAAGTTAGCACCTGAAAGGGCACCACAGTGGACACCCAAGTGCTCAGTGATATAGGTGGAAAGCAGCTTGCAGCCGTTTGGAGTGACTTCCAAACCCTTCAAACAAGAGATGGCTCTCACGTGTGGCTTGAGGGTTGCCTTGGACAACTGTTTGCAGATACCTGGCAAGAATTGATGTGGAATGTTGAACACCAACAAATCGGCACCTTCAGCAGCCTTGACGATGGAAGGCTCGGCGTGCAAGTTCTTTGGAAGCTTAATACCCGGCAAGTACTTGACATTCTCATGCTGTGTGTTGATGATCTCCGTCAAGTTCACGCCGTTGATCTTCTCTTCAAAGACCCACATGTCAACTTGGTGCTGGAACAGGTGAGGTCTCAAGCCGGCATTCTCAGCCAAAACTTTGGCAATCGTGGTACCCCAGTTACCAGAGCCGATAACGGTGATCTTGTAAGGACGCTGTGGAGCAAGCGATTGCTTTTGAGCAGTGAGGTGTGAGCCGACTTGGGCCAATCTTTGTTGAGCAGAGGACATTGTGGACAAATTCAGCTTTCCAATCCTTAACATATCAAGAGAAAAGAGAAAAGAGAAAAAAGTTTGGGGTGCAAATCAACGAAACCTGAGAATTGAATGGGTTTAAATAAACCACAGGAAACCGTTGAAGAGATTTATAAAAAGAAAAAAAACAGCTGGGGGGGGGAGTCACCGGCACTAATTGCAATTTAAGACTCATCGGTGGGCATTTTCCGTGGGTAAACACTGCTTTTTTGTCCGATTAAGCGGGTGAAAATGAAAAAAAAATGTTGTCTCCGTCTATCGGTTACATTCCACCCTGCCTGGGGAGCTTGGAGAAAAAACACAGGCACACACACGCTGGTGCTGTTCTGCCCAAGCTGAACTGCACTCGGCCTAAGAAAAAAGAGCCCACCACGAATTTTAGGCAGGGAAAGTCCCTTGTCCCCCGCCCAGGTGAGAAAAAAAAAACCTGCACACACTGGAAGGGACTTTCGGTAAAAACTTTCCCCAGATTTTGGGAGAGTTTCGCAGTGTCAAAACACGGGATATCACGGGTGGAAAGCGAGACGTATGCCAGGTTTCCCGCAATTGTCCGAATAACCGACTATCGGAAAAAGGTGTACACGCGGTGACAGAGCCTTACGTACATAATCACATCCATATAAAACAAGCAATGAACAACAGGGAACAAGAGGTTAGGAATACGGGTGGAGTTAAGCGCACGCATCCCCAGAACTCGTCGCTGTCCCCTGTAATCTTTTCACCCGGGTGAGTGGCACTGTGGCTGCAGCGATAGGAGAAGAGGGTTCATCTTGGTGTTGGGATGTTTGTTCGTCTCGGATTATGCGATGTATTACATAAGCCGATGGATCACGTGTCCTTTGCCGTGCTAATAACCCGGACACCTACGTGTTGGGGTATTTCTATCGGGCCACAAACAGAGAGAGAAAGCGTAAACAAAAGATATCACTATACACTTTCACAGCGGTAGCCGCAATTGTACCCCAACGGCACGCCTGCCAATTCCAAAGTGGAGCCATAGAACGATGTCCTTCTTCAAGAGAAAGTCAAAGAGCCCATCTCCGTCTGCACAGCCATCAAATATCGATACATATGTACCACCTCCTCCCATTCCAATAGAACTTGATGGCTATTCACAAACAACAAAGAACAGGCTCATGTCGACGGAGCTCGCAGAGGATATTAGGAACATCCTGCCAATGAGGTACCAGGTACGGACAAACTGGCATCTGGTTTACTCGTTGGAGCAGCACGGTGCAAGTTTGCACACGTTGTATCGAATGATGAAGCCGCTAACAAGATACGATAAGAATGGGTATATCCTTGTGATTAGGGACTTGAAAAATTCACAGTTCGGCTGTTTTGTGAATGAATATCTACATCCAACAGATCTGAGGAGGTTCTATGGTAATGGTGAATGTTTCCTATGGAAATCAAAGAGACAGGGTGATGACGTGGCTGAAGAAATGGGAGGGGAGGCGAATCATATTCAGTTTAAGGCATTCCCTTACACAGGGCTAAACGACTTCATCATCTATTGCACCTCTGAATTCTTAAGCCTCGGTGGTGGTGATGGTCACTATGGATTGTGGTGTGATGCCGATCTAATGACTGGCGTTAGTGATCAGTCCCTCACATTTGGTAATGAACCGCTAAGCGAAGAAGGCACAAAGTTCAACATCATTGGACTAGAAGTTTGGAGAGTTGGTTAACCAGCAACACTATATACGTATCTCATTGTCATTGTCATTGTTATTGACATCTTCATCGTCTAACAGTAAGGTATCCCTTCGTAGCACCTTATCCCTGGCTTGGTTGTACTCAATTGGGTACTTGTTTGAGATCCTTTGGGATGCAGCTTCCACTTTATGCTTATTCAACTTCAAGTCTCTATACACGACGTGTAACGTCTTTAATCCACGTTGCATAGTGTCATGTAACTCTTGGAGTCTACCTTGCGATTCTTCGTACAGCCTTAACAGCTCCAATTCCTTTGACTTTAACTGTCCTGAAATCTTAGCCTGTTTAGCAACGGCTTTGCTGAACTCCAGACTCGACAACGCATTCTCTAAAGTGTCCGTCAGGTATGTCACGGGGTCAAACAGCTGTTCTTCCTCATCCTGAGACGCATACGAATCGGTTGAGGTTGTAGATTCCGTGTCGTTTATCCCATGCACCGTTTGGAAATCCTCAGGAATAGCGAATGACGATGAGCTTATCGACGGCGCTCTTCTTCTCTCGCTCATCTTTGTCTTGTAATCTTTTACACTCTCTGAAAGTGTCCTGGCTCTAAAAGGAACGCAATATGTCTCCAAGATTAAAAGCCCATCGCAATTTGGTGTAAACAACGTCGGAATTTCTCCCACTTTCGATCGCGAGCAAACCACAAAACCGGGAAAAAAGCAGCAGTTGAAAACATCAAAAAGCGGAAATTGCACTCGTAAAGCAAAGCAAAACAACAAGTAAACCTTCACGGCGGCTGATTTCAAACAACGGCGGCATTGAGCTTGAAAGAACTAGCGAACACATGAGCCAATCAGAAGTCAAGGCCAGGCTGCGCCCGTTCGGCTTCTTCTTTGAAAAGTCCTTGACGGATCTGATCAAGGGCATAAGGGCCCACAAGGATGTTGAGTCCCAGTTGAAGTTTCTCCAGAATGCCATTAACGAATGCCGCTCAGAGGTGAAGAGCAGTGACATGGATGTGAAGACTATGGCGGTGTTGAAATTGAGCTATTTGGAGATGTACGGGTTTGACATGTCGTGGGCCAATTTCCACGTGTTGGAGGTGATGAGCTCTTCGAAGTTCCAGCAAAAGCGAGTTGGCTACTTGGCTGCTTCTCAATGTTTCAGGAATGACGAGGACGTGTTGATGCTAACCACCAACTTATTGAAGAAGGATTTGAATTCGAACAAGTCCGTGGAGACGGGTGTTGCGATAAGTGGTATCTCCAACGTTGTCACTAGAGAATTGGCTGCAGACGTTGTTGATGATTTAATAAAGATGTTAAACCATTCCAAACCATACATCAGAAAGAAGGCCGTGTTGGCTATGTATAAGATCTTTCTGAAGTATCCAGAGGCTTTGAGAACCCATTTAAACAGGATCACTGATAAGCTGGACGATGATGACGAATCTGTCGTCACCGCTACAGTGACTGTGATTTGCGAGTTGTCGAAAAAGACACCAAAGATCTTGGTCAACCTGGCCCCATTGTTTTATCAGCTCTTACAGAACTCAAACAACAACTGGATGCTGATAAGAATATTGAAGTTATTTTCTTCCTTGACTGCAGTGGAGCCTCGTTTAAAGCACAAACTGCTGAACCCAGTACTGGAACTGATGTCAAAGACCAAGGCATCGTCCTTGGTATTTGAGTGCGTCAATTGTTTAGTGATGGGTGATATGATTGATGAAACAGACTATGAAGTTGCCCGCCTCTGTCTCGAAGAATTGGTTGAGTTCTTCCAACAAAACGATTCAAATTTGAGATACGTGGGACTTTTGGCATTTTTGAAGATTGGAAAGATCAATCCAAAATTCATTGCAAGCTATTCAGAGTATATCTTGCAGTTTATTGAAGATGAAGATGTTACAATAAGGGAAAAATCATTGGGAATAGTACAAGGTGTTGTTGATGATGAGAATTGTTTTACAGTGGTAAAAAAATTGATGTTACAACTAGTACCGGAAGAGTCGTCAACATCGAATGAAAATGATTCCTTCCCAAAATTGTTCGCTAAGAAAACAGTCTTATCAGAACATTATAAGCACGAAATAGTTTACAAGATATTGGAAATCTCGTCAATGGATAACTACACGAACATCCCGAGCTTTGAATGGTACCTAGCGGTAATTTCAGACTTGATCGATCTGTCAATAGTTAACAATCTTCAAACAGGAGACCAACTGGGAGAACAATTAAGAGATATTGCTGTTAGGGTACCAAGTGTTAGAAAAGAAGTGGTGGGAACGGCGATTAAAATTATAAACAACAAAGATGTCCTGGGGAAATTACCAGCCGCTTTGAAATACACTATATGGCTTGCAGGTGAGTACTCAGAGTACATCAAAAACGGTGACATCTTTATTCAAACGATATTGTCAAATGAAAGCAGGTTGGAGTTGGCACCTTATGATCTCCTAGAGTTATATATTCCGGCTTTGGTAAAGATCTACAGCAATTACGTCAATAAGGACCCAACTTATTGGGACCTGGATAAGTCTGACAATATTTCGTCTTTGACGAACAGATTAATCAATTTTTTCGAAAAGCTATCCAACTCAAAGCATTTCGAAGTTCAAGAACGTTCCGTGGAATTTTTGGAATTTTTCAAAGTCATCTTAGAAGCTATTGAGCAACACGATTTGAATGCTTCCGAACCTCCTCTGCTATTAACCGATGCACTGCCTTCTTTGTTCAACGCTTGGGAATTAAATCCGATCTCCTTGGGTTCTCAACAAAAATTAGCTGATCCAGATTTCGACTTGGATACTCCAATTAACGAGGAAATCTTTGAACAATATCTGAAGAGTGATGATGATGATACGGATTTAGAAGAATTTGAGGAGGAACTTTACGAAGATTTGGGATATGTGGAACACGAGGAACAGAAGAATGAGCAAGAGAGAAATCCTGTTGTTGATGAATTAAAGAAAAAGGAAAGAGAAGAGAGATTGAAAGACGACCCGTACTACCTTTCGAGCGATAATCATTCACAAATTGTGTCTCCAAAATCAGGCGTTTCACCAACTCCGAGATCACTGACTCCTACGATTGAAGTTGAGGATAAGCCAGTGAGACCAAAGAAGAAGAAGGTGCTGATATTGACTGATGAGGTCATCGGCTCTAAGGATGGCTCTGATCAAGAGAGTCTTGTGTCTTCAAGATCTGGAAGACCATCTAAACAACCAGGCATCAAACCAAAAAAGAGAAACCTGTTGGGAATTGACTCTTCAACTTTGGAGAATTTTGACTTTGATGAGAAGGCCACTGCAGCAGACCTAGAAGGTGAAATCGAATTGGCCAAACTCAGAGATCAATTAGAACAAGAAAAACAACAACAAGAACAAGAAGAAGTTATTGTTGTTAGAAAGAAAAAGAAAGAAAAGAAGCTTGACGAAAATGGTAACCCAATCGAAAAGAAAAAGAAAAAGAAGAAGAAAATTACCAACAAGGAGACACACGAATGAATCGCACATAAAATCGTTTAAATGAGCTAACAACTACTCGAGGATCAAGAACCTTGTTCTATATGAATTTTGGGGCTTTCAGAGGAGACTCCGAAAAGTATATCCTTTCAATCGCTCAAACACGTTCAATAGGGGGGATCGACCGGGCATGTCGCATATTGGACAATAGAAATTGACGTCGGTGGTGTCCTATATTGGAAAGAGGGTTGTTGATCGTTGCATGATATACGCCATATAGAGGACGCATGTTACGTTTGAGAACAATTAAAGAACATTTCTTGGTGTATGTATAACGCTTTTGAACAATATAGGTCATTGATTCTTCAACTAGTTTGTATTCATATGTGTACAACATACCATAATATCAACGGTGGAGATAGTTGAATCTAAAGACGTATTATCTCTGTGTAATGATGATCTTCTTACCTTGCTTCTTCTTTTTGGCAAATTTCATGACAAAGTTCTCAATCTTGACGTTCTTATGGTTGAACTCTTCAATGAATGGGGCCAGTTCGGTTAAATTCCAAGAGGATTGTAGTTTAAACAACACTTTAAGCCTGTTTTGAATATCCGACGGAAGTTCCAGTTTACTAACATATTGTATTCTTTCAGGTAATGGCATAGCGTAATTACCACGCAGAAGTGGGATATCCAAAGAGGATTCGAAAAATGGTGGTAGCTCCGATTTCCATTTTATGAAGAAATCAGAAAGTTCAATTGGTTTCGTGCGACAATGCCTTCTCAATGTTTCGATTCCATACCATTGTACCACTTTTGCCTTATTCAACTGATAAGGCTCGCGATCATTTGTTACGAATTTCCTTAGCACCGTTTCCACGATATCTATGGTAATATCTGGGTCTTCCCCCATGCTTTGGAAAACTTCGATGAGTGACAATTCACTAAAGTCTAGTGATGAGGCCATGATTGACATGATCATGACATGCAACGTTCTTGTGATGATATCATCGGTAAGAATGATTGCTTGTCCATTTAGAGAAGACCCATTCAGGGCAAACCAGTTGGACTCGAACTCCAGATCCGAAATAGCTGAGCGTGTTTTCAACTCATCAAGAGTAACAGATTCACCGGTATTTGTAATCTTGTTCTGGCCGTCGTACAAGGGAATACCCTCTGTGATAATGTGACCTTTAGATTTCCTGACTTCAAAGACATTCGACAACGTCGCATAGCTGCAGAAGAACTTCTTACCATCTCTTTCCCCCTCCTTGGTCATCATTACAGTGTTTGAATGGTTACGTTGTCTAAGAGCGAAAGTTTCACTGCTCGTACACAGCACCACCTCTGATTTCGATGTTGGCGCCTTTAGTACCAAGGGTTCTTTCTTTTCTTCAATGACCTTTAAAAGTTCCGGTGTTAGCTCCATGAGCCTATAAGAGTAGCTCTGTGGTACATTGGCATGTACCTCATATTCATTATCACTGGTCATCGGTATTGGCTGTCCAGATCGTCGATAATGTCTCATGCTCATGCTGAGATGAGCTCAAGCTAAAATGGACATGTACGCGAACACGAAATCCAATAAACCGAGCGTGTCCCGATCAGATACCTGACGCGCGTTAATTTTTTTCTTTGTTGTTGTGGTTACGCTGAAATGTAAACAATCGTCGTTGCCTCAGAAAAAAAAATGACAACAAGGAACAAAAGAGCCAAACTATGAAATGTAAACAAACATAACAAAGAACTCTTTGGGCATACTTTCATCCATCAGCCAACAGATTTGACAAGAGTAAGGAAGGGAGGTGAACAAGGATGTCACGTATTGCTTCTAGTCTTTATGAAGAACATTTCCAGGACCTTGATCCTCAGAATGAAGGGGCCCTTGAACCATCCTTGAACGTGATCAAGTTTAAGAACAATCTTGTAACACCGGTGACGGGGAACCACAGGACTCCTGACGAATGGCGTAACATCTTTGCAAAAGGCGCCTTCTTCGAGGGGAATGACGTTAAGCTGGGGTATTTGCTCGCATTGGTGTACGAGGACCCTGAGGCCTCTAAGATCAGCACTGTTTTGTTTACATCGCTTGGTGAGCTATGTATGAACTCTTTGACTCTGGACACCAGATCGAGGTTCTACGTCGCATGTGAGAACTTAACCAAGGACTATAAAGAATCGAACGTTAGAAGGGCTCTGGCAATCTTGCTGCTGAGAGCGTATTCCGTATATGGCCATGTTGATCTATCGTCAATTAAAACCAACAGCCCAGCTGTAAGCCAACGCGACTGGGATGAGACGATGGCAGGTGAGGTCGCATCAAATATGACACTGGTGTCATCAAAGACACCTTTGGAACTCGGCGAGGAGTTGCTATCATCTGGTTTCTTACAACCACATTTCATCGACTCAACGCGACTTGATGTGGTCTACCAGAATTCACCCGAAGTCATAGAGTCTAATAACAAAATGGTCTTTCTGTTAGGGAAACAACTCGAACAGTTGTTTGATCCTCTGACGGAGTATTCTCCTGAATTGACCAGATCAGTGTATACTCCTCCAGATCTTGCACCAAGAGAGGATACAGATCTCGTAAAGAGCATATGCCATGAATTGTTTGATTTTCAAGAGAACATAACGACAGAACTCGTTCAGTTTTTGAAAGAAGTTGTCATCCCAATGAGAATCAAAGTGCTGAATGGTGATATAGCGGGTGTTTCAGCAGCAAAGCTTAATCAAGTTTTCCCTCCTACGCTAGATGAAGTCACAAGGGTAAATTGTATGTTCTTAGAGACTTTGAAGGTTGCTATACCTTACGGAAGCTTTGAAACGCTGAAAGCATGTGCGATAACTATCCCTTACTTCTACAAAGCATATATGAGGCATGAAGCTGCTATGAAAAGCTTCTCGCAACAATTCAATGACTTCATGGAGCTTTACAGTGAGGAACTTCCTCCTGATTATCCAAGAAGTAAAGTTGAATCTGTTGTAAAGGCGTTGCCGAATTTGACAAAAATTAAGCAAACACTGGACAGAATCTACAGTTGTGGTAATTGGAAATACAATGAGATGGAAGATGTTAAGAAATTCGCAGAAGGTGTTGCGACAACTGTGGAATCTTTTGGTAGGGAGGATCCAAAGCCCTACAACAGAAGAGTCTTTACACCAACTGGTAAAATCTTGACAGAGATTTGTGAAGGATGGCCCTCAATATTGGCATATGGATGGCTCAACAGAAAAGTGATATCGGTCGCTGACTCCATCTATGGTGAAAAACAAGGCGTAATAATTTTGTTCAACGATTATATCATTTTCACCGAAATTGAGCGTTTTGATGGTGATGAAGAGGACGTCAGGTACTCACCAAATATCTCAGATATACTGATGAACTCCTTGACTAACGAGAAACCGATAAAAAAGATACCAAATTTAAAGGTTTTAACTTGGACAAGTCTGAATAATGTTGAGGTATCATATTTTAACAATAGTCATCTCGATTTTCTCTTTAAAGATGATCCAGAGGTTACAATAAACACAGAAGTCAAAGAACCATCAAAGTTTATCAATCTGTTGAACAAGGCTCAAATATTGGGTAAATCCACTCCATTCCATTTGTTTAAGAACGAGAGATTTGGACTTACTTTATATGCAACTGCTCATGAGAAATTATTGTATGATCGTGAACAAAGCCGCTCAAATATTTCTCTGTTTTTAAACTTTGATCCTGATGTGGAAATACTGAAGAAGTACAACCTATTTGCAGGTATCTTTGCTGAGTTTAAGAACAATATGGTTCAGTTAACAAGGCTCACACAGGAGGGTGAGAAGTTTACCAATTTGGTGAGCGCGTCTGAATTATCGGCATTTATCTCAGAGGAGGTGTGTGCGTTGGAGAATAAAAGAAGAACATACCAAAACGCTTCTCTTTTCTCAGTTATGGCATCCAACAATGTTGCAAAATTGAAATATTGCACAACAGTCAAGAATCCACCAACGCATGTGGAGTCGACACCAGTTCGTAAAGTTTCTGATATATCTATGGCTTGCAGTGTAGACGCCAGGAGATTGTCATCTCTTTCATCATCGGATGTCAACAAGCCATTACCAAGAATTAACCGTGATGTCACACCGACAAGTCAATTGAGAAATGACCCTCCTAAGAAGCAGAATAGGGTGACACCAACAATGCAAACGAAAAATGAATCTCAAAGGAAACAGAGTAAGATCAAGAACAGGCTTTCCCAGATCTTTGGCTTCTCCAAGAAGAAGAACCACAACGCTGGACGAACACAGACCCGACAACAACAAAAGTCATTAAAGCATAACATGCAGAGACCTATATCAACACCACAACCTGTCACAACCCAACAAGAATCTGACTTAATGGGGACTAAAAAGTTTGTTGTTAAGAAACACGTTTCAAATCCACCAACTGTTGTGAGAGATTTTCTTGATGAGGACACAACACCCGAAGTCGAAACCTTTGATGATTGCAAAACGTTTGAATCTTCAATGTCTGCTATATTTGACGATGGAGATGGTGATTATGTTGGGCGCAATGTAGATGTTAACATCAAGGCTTTAACAGGCTTCAATTGGACCATTACAAGAGAGAATTCTTCTGTGAATTGCAATTTGGATAAGCAGTGGCAATTGTCAAATTCCCCAAGAGAACCTTCTGTTCCTCGGGTTGTCAAGTCTGAACCACTCTTTGGTCCTCGTCAATTTTCTGGCCAAAGTAAAACTAGTGTCACTTTATCAAATGAAGAGTTGGAAGTTTCTGATTCTGAAACTAACCCTGATGATATACCCCCTGTGGACTCAGAATCGCATTACTCAACGCATCACACATCTGATGCGGAACCTGCTCGAAAGATATCTCTTCGCTCTTCTTCAACGTTAGCTGTGAAAAAAGTCAGAGCTGTCTCAAACGATCAGATTAGTTTCAGAGATCAATCGGTAAGGAACGTTTCCACACCAAGTGCAGAAGCTATAGCGACGTTCCTAAGTTCTATGGATAACATTGATATGGATGAATCCTTCACTTCCACTTATAGGGAGGATAATTTACATCTGATAAGAATTGGTGTGGAAGCAGAAGATGAATCAGGGATGAATGATATAGAGACCTTCACCACTCCAAAGATTTCAGAAGTGGAAGGCTTTGATCAGGAAGATCAACATGATCAATCTACACTTGAAATGGACGTCGACACACATACACCGAACCAAGAAGTTCAAGATGAGGATGTTCAATTGGGTTACGCTAACATCAAGAAAGAGGAGATCAACTCAAGCACTGAAAGTTTCAGATCCTGTATGAGTAATGTCAAAATGGAAAATGGAGAATTGGTCACGGTGCCAAAGGGCGAGGAACACGATGACATTGACCTTATGGTGTCTCGTGATGAATCTTTCAAATATTTGGCTGGTATATTGGACTATTCTGTTGAGCCGGTAATAAAGAAGTCAGAGACTTTCCAATCCTTCACAAGGTCATACTCTTCGTACAAGTACCTCTCAGTGTTCATCGATTCTGAGGCAAGCGTTTCTAGCGATCTCTACAAGTTCTTGCAAGAAAGTTGAAAACAAAAACAAACAAAACAAAACAGTCATAATCAAAGAGTGAATCGGAATAATAATACGATCAAAAGTGAATAATAATAATTGTGTTTCTCCCCCCCCCCCCCCGAATGAACAAGATATTGAACTAGGAAGTCTCGCCACGTAGTTTACTAAACGTTATAGCCTTAGGGTCCAGTGGCATTCCATCTTCCCCAATCTGATTATCAGAGAACTTGGACTTGGTGTATTGTAACCGTGCCTCATCAAACGAGATGTTTTGAGCCTTCATTATTCTCAGAATGGCCTCTCTCCCTTCCTCATCTAGCCCCTTTCTCGAATCATTCGCATTATCATGAGCTATATTGAAGTGTTCTGAGTTGAGACCTGCTTCTATATCTCTTCTGAAGGAGTTGAGCGTCGAGTAGCCACTTAGTCGGACAGATCTTCTGCTCCACCAATCGCTGACTTGTGGTACTGTTCAACAGGTTAGTATAAAAAGTACTGGTGCAATTATTGGAAAAACAACTTACACCATCTCCCTCTTAGAACGAATAGCACTACACCAGCGATTAATACAAATATAGCCACCCCAGCAATGTGATGCTTAGCCATTGTGTCTGGTTGCTGTGATTTGGCTATGTGTTATGAAATACAAAATATCGAAACCTCGAGAAGAACACCCCTGTGTGGGGCAGGGCACAACGCTGGTGTGTTGCTTTTTTTGGCATATTTATGGAACTTTTGCGTACATCGAAGGCGGAAGGGCCGGTACAAATACAAATAAATAAACGCTCGAAAAAAATCATAAAATAACAAAATGGCCACAAAGAAAAATAAAAACGGGGAAGTGACACAAAATCGATCCCAATTAATTGAAGAAACAGGGCAATATAAAATATATCAAAGAAATAAAAATATATAACTTATACGGCGGATTCAGTAATACTTCGAATTAATTTTGTTTTATTGCAGTTATGCTGTTGACATATTAAGACAACTTTTGGTGAATTGAGATGGAGATTTAAAAGAAGTAACAAAGAATCGGATTATGGTCTCTTTGCATATGTCACTTTCAAATCACGTCCTCCATAGTTATAGCCGTTCAAGCTTTCGATAGCAGCTGCAGCGGAAGGTTCATTGACGTATTCAACGACACCGGCACCTGCTGCCCTTCCGACTTCGTTGTATTTGACCTCAGCTTTTGATACGGTGTCTATTGTTCCGAATAGATCGATCAAATCCTGGTTACTTGTGGCAAATGGTAGGTTATCCACGTAGATGATACTGCTTGGTTCACCGTCACCCTCCACACCTTGAGTGAAGTCGGAGTTTCTGTTTGCAGCGACAGGGGCCTCGTCCCTCTCCAAATGTGTTGGTGCTGCAGAGTCGGAGTTGATCTTACCTTCACGGACGTCAATGGCTCTTCCCTCCATCTCATACCCGTTAAAACGCTCAATTGCAGCCTTTACATCGTCTTGGTTGTCGAAATAAACCATACCAAATCCTCTCGAGCGATGGGTGTAGTCATCCATTTTGATATCAGCACGAATGACATTACCAGCCTCCTTGAAGAGATCTTTCAAATCTTGCCATCTCACGCTGAAGGGTAAGTTACCAACAAACACTTCGTAATGAGGACCAGCGAATTTTGGTTTACGTTCTCTTTCTCTGTCTCTTCCAAAGTCTCTTCTGTCATCGTATCTGTCTCTTCCATAGTCACGTCTGTCCCTATCTCTGAAATCACCTCTGTCTCTGCTATCTCTATCCCTGAAATCACGTCTATCACCAAATCTATCTCTCGATCTCTCAGGTCTAGACGATTCAGGTGGTGGGTTGTCGTGTCTCACAAAGATCTCACGATCACCAATCTTCGTCTGATGCAACTTGTCAATTGCACGATCAGCATCTTCTCTAGTGGCGAATTCAACTGTGGCCATACCTCTATGACGCCCACGCTGTGTGATGACGTCTGCACGGATAACATCACCGACTCCTCCAAATACATCTCTTAAACGTTGTGAGTCCACGTCGAATCCTAGATTACCAACAAAAACACTATTGGAGAAGTTTCTGTCAGACTCGCGAGAACCAACTGGTGCAGTTCTATCCTTTAAATCTTCAAAATCGTTATATGGTCTTCTTGGTGATCTCTCTCTGCGGTATCCACCACGTCCACCACGTCCACCACGTCCACGGCGGTCATAATCACGATCACGACGGAATTCACGACGATATCCTTTGTCGTCGTCTCTACCTTCATCTCTACGTGGTGAGAGTTCTCTATCACGGTCGTCCTGTTTTGAACACAAGCTCTGTGTTAGTATGTGTTTAACATGTCTTGAGCATAGTATACAGCAGGATGTGACGTCTGAGTTGGGGTTGTTAAACAACAACAAGATATACCTTTATCTACAGCCCTCAACTTGTAAAACCATCCTAACAACCAATGTTATCGTTATCGACAAACATGAAAAAAAATCAACCCAGGTAAATCATCAGCAGCAACAACAACAACAGCAAAACAAAATCAATTAGCAACATACATAACCTCTGTCAATGTCCATTTCATCACTCATCTTGGAAACGGCAATTTATGATCTTTTTAAAGGTGAATTGAGAAGACGTTTCTGTTTATATGTTGATGTTGATCTATTTTTTGCGCCAGTTTGTTGAGCTTTGAAAAAATTTTCCGTTTTTGTACTTTCACAATATAATATAATATAATTATAAGTATCTGTTTTAATTGTGTTTGTTATTATTCTTGTCATAGGCAATATTGATAAATTGGAAATTCATTTAAGAGTAGAAACATCTTATAATGAGTTTAATATCATTTCCATTAAGTTAGATAGACTTTAGCTGCTTGATGTCTCTTTTATTCGAGAATTAGTATTGTTTTATTAACAACTGGAATATTCCATAGTATTGAATATTGCTGATTAGAATTACTAATTATTTTACAACTTGTTCTGAACAACTTGCTAAGAGATTTGTTCCTACATGTGCTTTACAATAAGAGCCCAATTATACATCTCTTTAATCACTCCAATGGATCAATACATAACAGCATATTAAAAATTGTGTAATTTTTGCTCAAAACGTTATAAAAATTATTCATCTTACAGGGTATGGAAGAACCAGTCTTCTGTCAACTTCGGTCTCTTTACCTTCTTCTTCTTCACCTTCAAACTTTAACCTACAACGGCCATCCCTTCTCGTCCCAATAACCTCTGCTGGATAAAATGTTGTAGTCTCTGGGTACCTGGCTAAGACACGCGTCCCATAAGGATAAGGTTCCAAGTCCACAACTTCATCAACCGTAGGTATCTGTATTATGTCCTTCCAAGTTGCCTTAAACGTCTTCCCGGGATTGTTGTTTTCATCAGGCTCTGGATCACGAACTTCGAACTTCGTACCATCACCGACTATCTTTGTAACCTCACATTGAATCCATTCATCATCTGAACCTCTTTGACGCAGCTTAAAGGCAACCTCAGAATAGATATATATAGTATCACTGACATTATATGGACTTGTCCAGAAACTCCTACCTCTTTTCTGCTTGGCTTCTGCCTTCTTCTCTGTCTCGTGTGTTATTAGTGCTTGTAGAGTGTTCAGAGTCTCCATAAGTACTCTTCGACTCTTATCCACATTATCTTTATGCGAAGTCACTCTTTCGAGCGCATCCTCAAGTTTCTGTCCATCCAGAGATTCTATCGATTGTTGTATATCTCTCTTTTCGTCAAATGGTATCTCCTCATTGGCATTGAATATGTCTTGCAATGAAGAGACGACAACATCCCACTGACCATCCATTTTCCCTAAGCCATATGTTTGTATGTTTCGTGCTTGCAGTTCCAAGTCGACTTCTTTTCTTCCACAATTGGAGTATAAATACAAAAGAGATCGATGAAATAATTGATGATAGTGTTTGCACTTTTGTTGATTGGTTGTATAAAATGAGAATAAATAAACATGTACGCGGATCCAACCTTTCTTCTTTCAAAGTACTCCACCCGAACATCGATACATCCTAACACCAATGTGTTGGTAAGAAAAAAAAAAACTTCGTCCAACGAACACTTCTTTCTCAACATTGAAAGCTCGTTAAGCAGAATTTACAGAGCGAAAAGCATGAGTTTTCTTAGTAGTACAAGAGCACTGGGTCTGTTCAAGGGCCTGTCACTAGGTCCTGTCATTCAGGTTCGTACTGCAACAAAGAAAGTTGCCGGTTCTAAGACGTCGATGAAGGATTCCGCGGGTCGTCGACTCGGCGCCAAAGCTGCTGAAAACGAACCTGTCAAGACTGGTCAGATCTTGATGAGACAACGTGGTACCAGATTCTATCCTGGTGAGAACGCATCTATTGGTAAGGATCATACTATTTATGCTACTGAACCAGGCTATGTTCGTTTTTACCTTGATCCATTCCACCCAAATAGAAAATTCATTGGTGTGGCATTGAGTCCAGAGCTGAGATTACCAACTCCTCATTTCGAGCCAAGAGTGAGAAGACTAGGCTACGTGCCAATTGAAGATGAAGCTAAAGCTTCATTTGAAGAACAAAACTTGAAGCGTAAGGATCACTTGCTCAGACCAACCATCTTGAAGGAACTACAGGAAAGAGCTGCAAAGAGACAAGCCATTGTTGAACAGTACAAAGAACAGTTGAAGACAATCGTTCCAGAATTGTCTGACAACGAATTGTCAATCGCTGCTGAACGTCTCTCTAATGTGAAGAATCATTTGAAGAATGGTGTTACTCTACCAGATGCTCAAGCCACAGTGACGAGCATCCATCTCCAAGATTTGAAACTTCAGAATAAGAAGGGTGCTATCTCACCTGAGGAGTATGAAACCTCAAATTCGAACTATCTTTCACTTATAAAGAAGGTTGATTCTTCAGTATCGTTTGATAACAAATACCAATTGACAAAATTCCTTACCCCAGAGGCTAGACAGGGCAAACTTGATGAGTTGGAGGCTCAATTACAATCTCTTACCGAAGGTAAAGGAAAGGATTCAAAGAAGCAATTGTCCAAGGTCCTGGATATGTCCACTCTGATAACACCAGCTGAGAAAAAATTGCTCCATGCCAAATACGTTAAGCCATTGTTACCTTTGAATCATGGATTGGCCAAATCAGTTACTAAGCGTTGGAACTACGAGAAGAAGAGAGTCGAGCCATTAGCATGAAATGATACATCTATATATTGTCAACAAATCAAAAATCATGTACATATCTTAGATCAAAGCCCACCGTAGACGACTATACCCTATCGGTAACGTTTGCGTTATCGTTTTCCTTCCATGAGAACCCACCGTCGATATAACGTTCAGTCTTCCAAATCTCAACTCTTTCCTTGATAGTATCTAACAGCCATATACCTGCATTCCAGCCTTCTTGTCTATGTGTACTACTCAAACACACAATTATGCTATCTTCCATGATTGGGACCTTTCCTAATCTGTGACCCACGTACACTCGATGGATCTTTTCGTCTTTAACCGAATTCTCAAATTTAGTCTTGCACTCTTGGACAATTTTGCCCAATGTTTTCAACGCTAGCCTGTGGTGAGACTCATAACCTAGGTCGCTGACTTGCTTACCTTCAAATACATCTCTTGTTGTTCCGCAGAACGATATCACAGCTCCAGCCTTGGGTGTCTTGACAAATTTAACACCTTCTGCTAAGTCTAATTCTTTTGTCGTTAGGAAGATCTTAATAGACTCATCTTGAGCTAGTTGTGGGTCTTCCCAGTAATTATCACACATTGAGTTATTAGTGATCGAATAAGAAACTCTTTCCTGAATTCCGTCTTTTGATGGAGACATCGAGAAGCACCTTGCTCTCGGACTTTGACCGACTATTTTTTTTTCCAATTGTAGCTTTTTCACCGTTGCTTCCTTGTAGACGAAGCATTTCCAGAGACTCCTGATCCTAATTGGAACGAGAACACTTGCACATGCTTCGATCAGCTTATAGTACCATGACCACTGGATTTCAGCCAGAGGTACGTGCACTGACGCAGAAGTTAGACCAGATTTGTCCCCGTTTTGAACTATCACAAGGGCAAATTGAAATCATCCAAGATCCCAAGATCTTCTATTCAACTTTGAAAGAGAAGATAGCCACTGCAGAAAGACGAATCTTTTTATCATCTTTGTATATTGGCAAGACCCAAGATGAGCTGATAGAATGTCTTGCAGATGCACTGAGAGAGAAGCCCGACTTAAAGCTGACCATATTGACCGATGCGCTCAGAGGTACCAGAGAAGCACCGTCAAAATCTTCAGCTTCATTGCTAGCAGAGCTCATGGAAAAACACGAATCACAAGTGGATATTAGAATGTATCACACTCCTCACTTACATGGCTTAATGAAGAGTTTGGTTCCAAACAGATTTAACGAAGGATTCGGCTTACAGCATATGAAAATTTATGGATTTGATGACAGCGTTATCCTCTCTGGTGCTAATTTGTCTTCTGATTATTTCTCTGATCGTCAGGATCGTTATTATCATTTCAAATCCAAAGATTTGTCCGATTATTACTTCAAAATTCAATCTACTGTGGGCTCTCTAAGTTATAAGTTAGTGCACTCCAATAATGAATCCAAGTTCAAGTTGATATGGCCGTCAACAAACACACTAGATGACCCAGTTAAGAACTGGAGAGCGTTCATCGATGGGTCCTCAAAGATCCTTGGAAAACTTTTGGAGCACAAACACTCTGTAAAACCCGAATTGCAGGGACGTTTAACATATGTGTATCCAGTCTCCCAATTTACTCCGTTGTTTAACAAAGATAACGATGGCTCAACAGAGAAGAAGAGTGTTTTGACATTATTAGATTATGCTAATGATCCTAAAATTAAATGGAGTTTCACAGCTGGGTATTTCAACATGCTGCCCGAAATTAAGAAGAAGTTATTAGATTCGAACTCCAAAGGTGTCGTGATCACGGCTTCTCCATTTGCCAATGGATTTTACAAATCCAAGGGGGTTTCCGGTCATCTTCCAGACGCTTACCAGTACTTGTCAAAAGTTTTCTTAAGAGATGTTCACAAGGCACAAAAGGATGATGATATTAAACTTAAAGAATGGAAGAAAGGTGTTGTTAACACTCCAAATGGTTGGTCTTATCATGCAAAGGGCTTTTGGGCAACGTCTCCAGATGAAGAAACACCGAGTATCACCATCATTGGTTCTTCCAATTATACAAGAAGGGCCTATAACTTCGACCTTGAGAGTAATGCAATTGTGATCACAAGGGATCCTCAACTCAAAGAGGCGATGAAGAAAGAACTAGATAACATTTTAGAGCATACTACAGAACTCAACCTTGAGGATTTCAAAGAAAAAGATAGAAGGATCCCAACTGGTGTTGTGTGGGCTACTAAAATCCTCGGTAAGAGACTGTAAAAGCAGCTTAGAAGACATATATACATTTCTTTCATAAAGTAGAATGGCCAAGTTGTGAAATTTAATCAAGTCTCTCTTCATCTTTAACAACAAATAGAGATGGTAGTACCTTTTTCTCTGTGCCATAGATTTTAAATTGGTATAGGACAAAAGATGACATCAAGAAACGAATCTTTTCACACGAGGTTAGTAGAGTCCATTGGAAAAGCTATTAAAAAGAAAATCGGCTCACGATGATTGTCAATGTATTATCCCTGTTCTGTATCAATTGTGTTAGTGATCTGAGATATTTACAGTCAGTTGAAAGTGTAAAAAGCAATCACTCACTATTGGGGATAGAAAAAACATTGTTACGTCTGTGAAATATCTAATCATAATGAGAATGAAAGAAGAAATAGCCTCTAGAAGTATTGCATCTTTATTCAATTCACAAAAGTTCATACCCAAGAAATTAGTTGTGATCTATTGATAATGTCAGCTTATATGTAGATGAAAATGCAATAGCTTAGCGTAAGTACTCACTTGTGGAACCCATTTTACTGCAGATGCTAATTGAGAAGCATACCATATGAAATCAAAAATGTCGATGAAGAAAAAACCATATGTTCCTGGTTTTGAATCATCTCGTGTGTTCACATTTAAACCTATCCATATACTTATTGAGAAAACCACCAATGCAAAAAGTTTTGAATATATGGACACATATTGGAACATATGTCTTGACATACGGTATTTTATACACTGATAGATCAGCATAGTAACAAGAAGTAAGGATAGCAGTGAAAAGAATGCTTCTAAATGTGATAATGGCACCTGTGGGTGGACAGGAAACCGTCTCGCATACTGCTTTTGAACATACTGTAGTTGATATCCAAAATTCACAAAGAGTGTGCAAATAAACTGTATCAACTGAAGACATACGTTAGTAACTCAGTGTATAACCCTTGAAGTTCCAATTCACTTACTGAGAAGAATACATAGTCAAAGGAAAATCCATAAATCGACCGTGATTGTCGAACACGATAGACTTGGAGTGCAACAATACCAATCTAGTTATATTGGTCAGCGTCACATTTTTATAGATCAGAAAGACATGGTGATAACTTACCCTCAGAAATGATGTGAGTGTCTCTAGCTGTATGAGCATGGTTTAACCCAAGTTGTTGGGTAGATAGAAAGCAGATTAAAGGTATTTACACTTCTGTTTAGGCAGGTTAAGCATATCCGTAATAAGCTCATATAAACAAATGTTGTCCAAACCATGTTCCCGCGATCTGAAAAAACAACCAGTTGAGCATGAAAAAAAACACACGTCGAAGGAGTACCAAAAACACAATAATCAAGAACATCCATACTATCTGTATTGTGGGTTTGAAGGGTAAACATAACAATGGAAGACATACCATTACCAGAATATAGTAAGAACTTTGTGGTTAACTTTTTCCAAAGGATCAAGGTAACATACAGAAGATATCTCGATGCTTCCACTCCTCATGTCAACTACAGATGGGGCTCATTTGCCGTACTTCTTGTTTTGTTCATGACCCGTATTCTCTTAGCCCAAGGATGGTACATCATATGTTATGGTCTTGGTATCTATCTTCTAAACTTGTTCTTGGCCTTCTTACAACCGAAGTTTGATCCATCATTACAACAAGAATTGCAAGATGAATCTGTGGAAAGTGGTGAACACACAGCTGAATTTAGACCTTTTATCAGAAGGCTTCCAGAGTTCAAATTCTGGTATCGTGGTACTATAGCTACTGTGGTAAGTCTACTTCTAACTCTCACCAACTTAACTGATGTTCCTGTGTTCTGGCCAATTCTATTAATCTATTTTATTGTTCTCTTCCTTTTAACTATGAGAAAGCAAATCCAACAGATGATAAAGTACCGTTACATACCATTTGACCTTGGAAAGAAAAAATACGGATCCAAATGAATAGATGTGAATAATTCCATTGGCAGCTTGGTGGATGTCAATATCAATTTACAGGAATGAAATTGCCGGTATTGGTTACAGATACGTTGACTCTTAGCTCACAAGCACTTTAGCAAATTTTATACAGGACCAAAACAGTTTGTGTGGGTGGGCTATTAACGGTATTTAGTTTTATTCTCCTGAATTTATACAATACACGTATTCGACTTCTAATTAAAATTCATAGATCAGAACTTCGAAGATGGACTTACCAGCATTTATCCAATTATAGAGGTTACCTTTCTTTTGGTGGGCGTATTTTCAATCTTGTCATATAAGATCATTTAGGTCATAACCGATACTGTATATTGAACGCTTAGAAAACTTGCCGTTCCTGTGCATCACACCCAAGTAATATACGTAAAGAACACAAATTTGAGTCTTGTCAAAAGATTCCAACAATTCTAACTTAATCCCATTAGAATGATACCAATAAAAATAGCAAACCTCCCTTCAAATTTCCTCAACGTCTACCAAAATGTAGTTCACACTCGGACTAAGAGATATACAAAGTATGAGCATGTAATCTTCAAGAAAGTCTGGGATATATCAATTCATAGTTTGTATGGTATAATCAAGAAAACCCCCATAAATTTGCTTATCTCACATTCACGAAACAAAATGAGAGAATCCTAAGACTACCACACACTAGAATTGACTTCTATCATCCCATCTACCAACTTTTAACTTGGTTGGAGCCATGATTCCTTCAAATTAAAAAGGGACATGTTGCTCCACATATGTAATCCTGGTTCTTCGTTGCCCCAGCAAGAGTAAAAATGTTAGGATGTTTCCAATTTTTATAGGCATTGTTTACATTTTGAATTCTTATCAACACAAAATGACACAAAACCAATAAAGCTTTATACACAAAAGTGGAAACATTACAGACTAATGACCACAAACAGAGCATCAAACAATAAAAGCAGAATCCCTAGAGGATGTCCAAAGAAAATTTGAAGAACTTTCACTGGGGACATCGGACAACGTTTTCAAACTTGAAGAAGAAACATCAGCGGCTAATCCAGAACCACAGCGGCACCTTCAAACATATGAGCGTATGACACAACAGGTATTTTGGGACAGAATAACCGACCTATTATGAGAGCAAGATACAGAGCCAAGAAACCTTCAAGTTCTGTCACAGGATACCCATGCAGAGATCACAGACTTACCACAACAGCTGACAATGCCTAAACCTGAAATTGATAATGGAACTATGGCTGATAGATTAAGAGATACACAAAGAAACGCAGCACAGGTAGCAGAAATAGCGTTAGAAGAAATTAGACGTGATGGTGCTTTTGATTATGATCCAAACTTTGAATACATCATTGAGGATGACACCAACGGTTTTAATGAGAATGATGATCCAGTTTATGAACAACAACAACAACCGCAGAGACCATTGAGACTACAGAACTCAGTGTAGAATCCAGGTGGCCTTGAGAAATGTTACGGTTATTGTCATGCTCTCTTTATCGATACTGAATTGCCATCTTTCTGTTGCGACAGGGCCGAAGTTTTACTCGGTGAGATATTCAAGGAACCTCCACAGTACATGAAGGACATCTTATTGGATCCAATCACCTCTAAATATTCTCGAACAATCAGTGCTGGTGATCCAAGGGGTGAAACTTATTCAATGACCATCAACGGACGTTTATTCCATAGATTTGATGGTATAATAGCTCAAGAAAATGGACAAGAGAAATTGGAAGAGATTAATACACTATATTCAGATTTCGCTACAAACGGTCACGTTGAATTGCTTAGAGGCGTTCTTCAAAACGATGAAGAATAAAATAAACTTGAGGACTACATTAGCAAAATTGGTGAATTTCTATCTCAAAACAATCGTTATAC